CAAACTTAGACTCAAGGTTTGTCTTGTCAGCTAAGTGAATTGCCTTGTAGTCTGCAAGAATCTGAAAAAAAAAGTTAAAATAGTTTACACAAAAACTGTTGACTATACTTATGTTTCTCTTTCTGGACCAGTGTCAAGAAATCCGATTTTGTCAAGCTATCTTTTCTGGCAAAGCTTTTGCCCTTTGAAGCATATATGAAATATGTCTTTGGGTTTTCTCTTCCACAACTGCAGACGAAACAGACTTTACTTCAGCTTGCTGATGTGTGTAGCTCTGCACTATATCAGCAATGGGACAGTTGGATGTTGAGAAGGCGCCCTCATTGACCATCAATAGCATTGTTGCCAGAACTGCTCGTGTTTGAGAATGGATCAATCTCTGCAAAATATAATGTAAGTAACTTTGCAATATTCTATTACTAGTATATATCCTACTAAAACCATTGGAAGGTGGTACTTTATATATTCTCCTGTAGTAAGAGCCTGACCAATGGGACTATGGTTCGAATTGTTATTCTGACTATTGGTTGCTCCCATGTTGTGGTAGACCTTCTCCAGAAGTGAATGAGATTCATTCAGTCGGGTGCTCATGGTGAACAAAATGGACAGGACAGTACCATCTAGTTCTGCACTAACTGTCAAGCTGGGAAGAATTTCCCGTTGTCTTGTGCTTGCTGCTGTCCCAGCGGTTTGTTGAACAGACTTTTTTGTAGTCGTCTTTTTCGTTTTTTTGGATTGCTGCGTATTAGAAGACATGAATTGAGATATTTAAGGCTAATGAAAGAAATGGAAACAATGTGAATACTTTAATAATTAGAGTCGGGTTTCTTTAAAATAATAAAATAAATCAAAACATACGTAAAGGTGGAAAGTAAGGCACCAAAAGATTATTTTTCTGATGATGCTCTTTATAGCATTTTGCTCTCTATATTATACTTTTCTTTATAAGCCGACTTGGAAAGGCATTTGTAATAGCTTACATCCATTACAAAGATGTGAGAGATTATGGTTTAGTACATAATGTCTTGTCTCAATTGGGATGGGTTGAATGACTTTCAATTTGCTCCATTGATTCTATCAGTTTCTCAGGGTCAACGGTCATAAAATTATAATTTTGAATTTCCCTCGTTTTTTTTTTTAATTTTTTCTTTCTTCTTCTTTACTTCTTTCTTAATGTCTAACATGGTAAGCATCAACTCACATCAAAGTTTCAAGACCTAATAATCTTGTTGTTTTTATTCTAGCATGATACTCTATGCTTTAAAACACCAAGTCCTTCTTAACTGCCTCAAAAATAACAATAAAAAGATAATAAAAATATACTTGAATATTTATTCACGATTTATGTATTAATTATTCTGTTTAGATTTTTCTGGCCCATTAACAAAGACATATACCTTGGGAGGGTTTACAAAATGGTATGTTGTATAAATATTAATGTACACCTTCAAGATACAACTTGTATCTATTATTTTTCTTATGTATACCATACACTCTATAGTCACTGGTCTTTATCTTGGTCCTCTTTTTTTGATTATATACCAATTCTTATTCTCTACAGACAGACAAGTAAGTAAATAATCATTCTACTTCTTTGTATGTAATTCTAATGAAAAGAAATTATTTTATAGATAATATCTCCATTTCTCGCATGCTGCTTCTTCTATTGTATTAAATAATTGGTAAGCAAAAAATAGTCTGATACTCTTTATTTCATTCTAATAAAAGATTATATTTTATAGACAATGTTATTGTATTTTGTGTTTGTCAACTCTTCTGTTTTCTGAACTGTCTGGTAAGCAAACCATAGTCTTATTTACTTTGTATCATATTAACAAAAGTTATTATTTTTATAGACAATATTACTATAATTGAGACATTTAACTAAAACGTTGATATATCTATCTTTATGTTAAAGACATCTATCTGTTCTCATGTTTAACTTTATTGTAAGTACATTCATATTTTTTAAATAATCTGTCGCTCTCAAATAAATATATCTAGAACATTCTTTCTAATCCACCCTATAATTATTTTTTATAAAAGTAAACAAACAGGCCAAGAAGGCGTGCCGCAGCAAGCAATGGAATACAGTAGGGGTCGATTGCACCAGGGGTGGACCAATGGATGTTTGAAAGGAATAATATAATATGCACTAAAATAAATGACAGCATCGAGTGTGATGTTTCTACCCAATTGCAACAGAAGACAATCAGTGATGTAGACAAATAGAAATAGCTAGAAACAATAAGAAAGTTTTTTCAAACCAATAAAAACCTTTAAAATGACCCATAAACCTCTAAATGTTGACTAAATGTTGACTAAATCTCTTCTTTAACAACCCATATATAGTAATAAAAAGATGTTGAATGTTATGTGCTGTATTTAAAAAAACCCCAAAACCAATATAAAATGAAAAATCTGCGGTCTAATAAAAGTGTGTCTATATTTTCACAACTAAAATATATCACATAAAAGTATATCACACTTTTTCTTTTTGCATTCCTAAAATTCAGTATACTAATTGTATTCATTTAGCTGACGAACTTTAAAAAATTGGCATCATAAATTCTGATCGAATTCATGCTGAATTTTATTCATTCAGACAGTATTTGGTCAAGATTTAGTATACTGAATTGGCACTCCTTTTGCAGTGGCAAAGATGTCTGAGAGAGACTGAAGAGTGTGGACGCTGGTCTTTCTCTGGCCAATTGGCTCCTCTTGGACAAGTGTGTGTCCAAGGACGTCAAGGATGGGTTGCTTTTTCTATCCGGTCGGAAGCGGAAGGTCATTGCCCCTGGGGTGAACATGGTCCAGCATCAAGAGGAGTCGTCGGACAGCGAGTCTTTCTATTTGGACGATTGGGAAACGCAGTTCCTGGAGACTGATGCAGCAAATCTGGATTCCGATAGCGAGCTCGATGGGTATGACAGTGACGACACAGTTTACAACTATCATTACAACTATAAAGACTTTGCGTCCAGTCAACCCCTGAGAGCTCCTATCACCATCAATGGTCAGCTTATCCCGGCAATCTTTGACTTGGGTGCCAGTGTGTCCATCATCAGCAAGGCTTTGGCTCTTTGTCTCGGTTTGGTCCCTGTTGTAAATGAGTATTGACTACTACTGTAATTGAGAATAAGTCTGAAGGAAATAATATAAAGCCTCAGCTATTTCAGTCAAAGGTGTCTACCGATTACTTTATTATTTAACACACAGGTTTAGCATGCATGATAGTGATTATATTTCATATGATGATATCACCATAATATGAGATACTTCAGTGGATTATTATAAGCATAATTATAACTCATAAACACATTTACTTTCGATGTTAATACTTCATTGGGACTACACACATTTATATAATTAATTATGCATTAATTATCTCAAGATCACGTTGCTCTGATTAAGACTCAGATAGAATCCATTACCTGACCCCAGTCATATAATTTTCCCAATCCAAAATAATATAAATAGCAGTAGTAGTTTAGTGTAGGAACCTCATCAAACTTTGATACAAAATCTTTTCTCAATAAACAAAACCTACACAAGTTCTTACAAATCTTTATTTCTAATCTCAAATCTTCAATTCTTCCTCTTAAAAACTTCTTCAACTTCAACTACCACAACAGTATTTAAAAATGTTTTTATTGGTTGTTATAATAATAAAAGTCTTTTCTAAATATCATTGGCTAAATATCATTCAGATTATTTCATATCTTCATATTTAATACATAATTCATTGAACTTATCAAACATAAACTTACTGGAAGATTGTTGCTTCACATGGTTTTTCTATGTATGACTGACTTTCGGAAGAGATGTCTAGCTTTTGTGACATCTGGTAAGGTCAACATCACTTCATTTGAGTGAGCATATATGTTTGGCATACATCAAGTTCTTCTCATTTTGAGAGATAGACATCCTATCTAGATTTGCTTCTAAAGCTTATATAGAAAGATTTCCAGTCATTTTATCACATATAAAACATGTGCAAGGGTTAATAATTGCTTTGTTTTTTTCATGTTAAGTTAAGCCTTAAGATCCTGACTCATCATCCTAAAGTTATGTTTTAAAGTTATAGTTTTAATACAGACAATGTTTCTGGAATTAGGACAGCAAGAGCCTGTATTGCTTTATATTAGTTTACATGTCTTTTTTTGTTTTATTATTTCTTACATCTGTTGTATCCAACATAATCGTAGATTTAAATTAAAAGTACAGACACTCAATAAATACGTACATTGAGTTACCGACAACTAGTAACGATACTAAAAGATATACCTTCCCTTATACAAGGAAATTACGTAAAGAACATACTAAGACAAATACTAAGACTCTAGTCAATAACACTAAAAACATAAGAACTAAATCATAGAAGATAATGGTAGAGAAACAGACATTACATGATATCATCATATCATCACCAAGCTAAATACAATGTCTATATAAACGCACAATACTAATAGCAATAGAACAGCATCTCTTTTCTGATTCTTGCACTTCTTCTAATAAAACAAAGTCTCACCGTACTCTCGTCTGCACTCGTTTTATTTTATATCTTATTTTTACCTCATACATAACAACATCACAGTCTGAGATTGGCCCCTCACATGTGCGTCCATTTGTGACATTATATAGTTTGGTAATCTCCTGTTATAGAATCACTTGTTTCTTTTGTAGTGCTTCTTGGATTTTCTGCAAAATATGAAGCATCTCTTGCATATCTTTAAGTAACTAGATGATTTTTATACCTGTATTATTCATAATAATAATAATAAAACCAGATGTAAGGGTTTGTTTTGAAGAAAGGGAAAAGTAAAAGAAAAATTCACAAGTCATTATTAGCGTCATATATTTTCTACAAATGTATTGGTTAGTTCTTGATATGAAATATCAATATAGTAATTTTACAATAATAACATATGGTTCATCATTTTATTTTTTTTAGTATGCCTTTGAATTGTCTTTACAAATTTTATTCAAGTAACAAAAGCTTAGATATTTTCTTCCTTTTTATGTCTGACATCAAATATTTCTCAATTGCTCTATATACTTACCATAAATGTAATATCTATAGTTAAAATAGATATTTGTCTCTTCTGAGATCTAAATTTCAGTAGTTCACTTGCTTTTTATAACCAATTCAAAGAACAGAGATTTTCTTGTTTGAACTTAGATTTTTAGTGATTTTTTGATTATTATAGACTAGAAATGAAGTTACAAATTCGAAAAAGTCTACCTTTTTCCCATAGTATTTAAGAGTCTTCTGTTATAAACTTTTATTTCAATATCTGTATTCATATGCCTAATTAAGCTGCAAATAACCTAAACATGGTAAAGCTTGTAGGAAATTAAAAAAGTTGCCAGGTTTGCCAGATTTTCTTAAAAAACATAATAATTTTTTTCTTACAGTGTTATTCTTATCTAAAACCTATTCTTAAAAACTTAACAATCCCCAGTAGTATTGTGTCAAGTCTCAATCTGGTATTTCTTTTCTGGCACTTGTAACTAAGTCGCAGAATCAATACCACTGGGGATCGTCAAGTTTATAAATAGTTTTTAGATAAGAATAAAGATGCTTTTTATTAAATATATTTCTTGACTATTTATACAAAATAATAATTGATTTCTGGCTAAAAGAATAGCTACGATAATATGTCTTAGATGCCTGTTGTCCAGTAATATCTTCTACAAGTATATTCACCATCTTAAACATCTAAAACATATATGAAAGACTAATCGGCAAAGTCAAGATCTTTTATTCTAAAAAGTCAACTCTTACTAGTTATTTATAACTACCAATTTTGTTCACCAATGTCAACTCTGACAATTGATTCTGCGAAGTTACAAGTGACAGAAAAGAAATACCAGATTGAGACATGACATAAATCCAGTCATTTTCTACAAATTTGATAACAAAAACATAGTAACACAATCTCATATAAATCTGAGACAGCATGTAAAGTTCAAGCCCAACGGGGGGGTCGAACCCCCAACCTTGAGATTAAGAGTCTCACGCTCTACCGATTGAGCTAGCCGGGCTTATTTACTTTGTCACGTGTGTTATATATTAGTGTGTTTTTGGTAATGGATACCAGACAGTGGATTCCTTCAGTGGTTTGGTCTGGCAGTGAGCTGTGGCAGGCGGTACCAGACTTGTGGGCGTTGACGTCAATGGTGAGTCGACCAAGTGACATGTCTCGATGGACAAGAGTGGTCCCCCCAGGTTTCTTGGGAAATCTTGCTCCCAATACCCCTATACCCAAACTCCCCCAATATAATCCCGTTCCTTAAAATTAGAATACTCACCTACATTGTCACCTCAGAAACACCTGTCACCCACTAAATATTATATCTTTTTCCCTTAATTTCATACACTTCTTTATCAACGACATTTATTTACACTATTTTTTATTACATTTTATTAGATTCCATTATTATATTATTATTATATTTTTTTTACTTTACTTTACTACATCATTATTATATTATTACTTTACTTCTATTCTACCTCACTATATTTTTACTTTATCTTTATTCAATTATTATATTTTTACTATACTTTTATTTTACACTTTCTATAATTTTCTATTCTACTCCTACTATCAACATCAGTTACATATAGTAAAAATTTTCACTTGACTTTCTTTTCTTTTCCTCAAAAAATTATTTTAACTAAACATTTTTGTTTATAAAAGGAACAACTTTTTCAATCAATAAAATCATCATTCTATCCTTGATCTTATTTATTTTTGTCCATTATTATCATTATTATTCATTCATATACAGTATCCTTGTTCTTTGAAGTGTTGTCTGTTGATTTTGATATATTTCGTTTCTCTGTTTTCTATTTTCTATCTTTCTCAAACTTTGTCATTGTCACAATTTCTATTTTTATCTTCTCCCTATTTTTTCTACCTGTCTGTCACCAATTCTTACCTATCAAATTACTCATTCTTTTCCATTTTTATTGTATTCTTCTTCTTGTATTTCATAATTCACATTACATTTATTTGCCAAGTAATACTGTTACAATCCACAACAAACAAACACATCAAGTGTCAGTTTTGTCACATGTGTTGTAGGCATGTCCGGCTTTTGTCTATGTTGTGGTGTCTGGTACCAGAAGGTCAGTCTGCTTGGTAGGTTTGTCCGACAGTTTGTCATGACGTATCATCCCAGTTATGAGAGGCTGACATCAACGGTATGTTGATGTGATACTATGCCCTTGGTGGTAAGAGGAGAATTTTTCCACGCACAGGAAAAATCTTGTTTCCATTCCCTGTTCTTTCTACACACAATATTTTTTCCTTTTCTCTTGTTAACATATTTGTCTACATTGTACTCATTCAAAATCATGGTTCCCCATGCTAGTAACATTCTTCTTCTACAATGCAAATAATTCATCTTGCTGACATCTCTGCACAACATCAGTACCTTTATTATTATATTTTTTTACCGTATTTTTATTCATATATTTTATCTTTGCCGTATTGATTATTCATCATTCTATTTTTACTATCTTTATTTTTCCGAACTTCTATTATCAACTTAAAATCTTGTCAACTATAAGAAGAGAAGCAAACTTAACTCAATAAATCATTTAATTCAGTTTCAGTATCTTTTTCTTGTTTTCTTCTCTTTGTAGTCTATACCATCTTGCGATATAACATATTGGTTCCTTGCTTTTAGAAAGGTTGTTTGTTGGTTTTGGTCTCCTCATCAGTTATTACTTTTCTGTTTTGTCATTCTCTTTTCATATACCTTTCTCTCTCTCTCAATTTTAACAACAATTTTATTGGTTATTCTCTCTTTTCTTACCTGTCAACTATTGCTGTTTGCCGTCTTTCGCTGTATCCATCTTCTGTTCTATTCTATTATCATTGTATTTTATTTACCAAGTAATCCGTTACAATCTACAACAAACCTAACACATCACGCGTCAGCTTTTGATATGTAGTGTAATAATCTTGTTGGCCTCAGTCTAAAAACCAAATTCTACTAAGTTCAGACTTTCTTTTGAAAACCCCTTTTTAATTTTCTTCAAAATTTTAATTTCTTTCTTCTATTTTCACAAAATTGTCTTTTTCCAAAAACCGATTTTCAGAAAATTAAAATCTTTCCCCTTAATTTTTCTCAAAATTGTTTTCTTCCTTTTCTTTTTATTTTATTCCTGCGCACTAAATGTGACACTTCCTCTCAAACACTACTTTACTAAAATTGTTAACTGAATAGTTTTCCCTTTATTTATAACGTACTTCTTTCCAATATTTTTTTTTCTTGTAGTTATATATTATAACTTCATCTATTTTTTTTTATGACAAAATATTTATATAGTTATTTTTCTTTATATTTTTATTTACAATTATCTTATCGAGTTTTATCTAGCCTATTTTTGTTATATATTTTATCCATAAAATGATATAAATATCTCTCTAAAATCAATCAATAAACAACAGTCAATTTTTTTTGATACAAGTTTTCTTCAAGATGCTGTCTATTATCTCTGATCTCTCTTGTGAAATTTCTTCAGTTTTATTTTATTTTTCTGTCAAGTCTTCATAGAAGATTGAGCATCCCCTTTTATTTTATTATTTTGTCTCAATTTCTTCTATTATTTATCTGTTAGTAAATTTACCATAGTAAATTTCCCTTTATCTAAATCCTTTACTCTATTAAACATTTCTTTCTCATAGTTAACTCTTTAGAATTAGTATTATTTACTTCACTTTTTTTAGTTTAACTATTTCTGTAATCATTCAAATTATTTACACTCTTATCTTAGTGTTAGTTTCCCTTTTTATTTCTTTAACTGGTCTATTTGGTAACAAAGAGACTATTTTATCATCTTAATTTATCTGATATCAAACCCAAACCCTCAATTCCTCTTTTCAATTCCTCTTCTTATATATAATTATCTTTTCTTGTACATCTTCTACACACAACACTGCAAAAGGAGTGCCAATTCAGTATACTAAATCTTGACCAAATACTGTCTGAATGAATAAAATTCAGCATGAATTCGATCAGAATTTATGATGCCAATTTTTTAAAGTTCGTCAGCTAAATGAATACAATTAGTATACTGAATTTTAGGAATGCAAAAAGAAAAAGTGTGATATACTTTTATGTGATATATTTTAGTTGTGAAAATATAGACACACTTTTATTAGACCGCAGATTTTTCATTTTATATTGGTTTTGGGGTTTTTTTAAATACAGCACATAACATTCAACATCTTTTTATTACTATATATGGGTTGTTAAAGAAGAGATTTAGTCAACATTTAGTCAACATTTAGAGGTTTATGGGTCATTTTAAAGGTTTTTATTGGTTTGAAAAAACTTTCTTATTGTTTCTAGCTATTTCTATTTGTCTACATCACTGATTGTCTTCTGTTGCAATTGGGTAGAAACATCACACTCGATGCTGTCATTTATTTTAGTGCATATTATATTATTCCTTTCAAACATCCATTGGTCCACCCCTGGTGCAATCGACCCCTACTGTATTCCATTGCTTGCTGCGGCACGCCTTCTTGGCCTGTTTGTTTACTTTTATAAAAAATAATTATAGGGTGGATTAGAAAGAATGTTCTAGATATATTTATTTGAGAGCGACAGATTATTTAAAAAATATGAATGTACTTACAATAAAGTTAAATATGAGAACAGATAGATGTCTTTAACATAAAGATAGATATATCAACGTTTTAGTTAAATGTCTCAATTATAGTAATATTGTCTATAAAAATAATAACTTTTGTTAATATGATACAAAGTAAATAAGACTATGGTTTGCTTACCAGACAGTTCAGAAAACAGAAGAGTTGACAAACACAAAATACAATAACATTGTCTATAAAATATAATCTTTTATTAGAATGAAATAAAGAGTATCAGACTATTTTTTGCTTACCAATTATTTAATACAATAGAAGAAGCAGCATGCGAGAAATGGAGATATTATCTATAAAATAATTTCTTTTCATTAGAATTACATACAAAGAAGTAGAATGATTATTTACTTACTTGTCTGTCTGTAGAGAATAAGAATTGGTATATAATCAAAAAAAGAGGACCAAGATAAAGACCAGTGACTATAGAGTGTATGGTATACATAAGAAAAATAATAGATACAAGTTGTATCTTGAAGGTGTACATTAATATTTATACAACATACCATTTTGTAAACCCTCCCAAGGTATATGTCTTTGTTAATGGGCCAGAAAAATCTAAACAGAATAATTAATACATAAATCGTGAATAAATATTCAAGTATATTTTTATTATCTTTTTATTGTTATTTTTGAGGCAGTTAAGAAGGACTTGGTGTTTTAAAGCATAGAGTATCATGCTAGAATAAAAACAACAAGATTATTAGGTCTTGAAACTTTGATGTGAGTTGATGCTTACCATGTTAGACATTAAGAAAGAAGTAAAGAAGAAGAAAGAAAAAATTAAAAAAAAAAACGAGGGAAATTCAAAATTATAATTTTATGACCGTTGACCCTGAGAAACTGATAGAATCAATGGAGCAAATTGAAAGTCATTCAACCCATCCCAATTGAGACAAGACATTATGTACTAAACCATAATCTCTCACATCTTTGTAATGGATGTAAGCTATTACAAATGCCTTTCCAAGTCGGCTTATAAAGAAAAGTATAATATAGAGAGCAAAATGCTATAAAGAGCATCATCAGAAAAATAATCTTTTGGTGCCTTACTTTCCACCTTTACGTATGTTTTGATTTATTTTATTATTTTAAAGAAACCCGACTCTAATTATTAAAGTATTCACATTGTTTCCATTTCTTTCATTAGCCTTAAATATCTCAATTCATGTCTTCTAATACGCAGCAATCCAAAAAAACGAAAAAGACGACTACAAAAAAGTCTGTTCAACAAACCGCTGGGACAGCAGCAAGCACAAGACAACGGGAAATTCTTCCCAGCTTGACAGTTAGTGCAGAACTAGATGGTACTGTCCTGTCCATTTTGTTCACCATGAGCACCCGACTGAATGAATCTCATTCACTTCTGGAGAAGGTCTACCACAACATGGGAGCAACCAATAGTCAGAATAACAATTCGAACCATAGTCCCATTGGTCAGGCTCTTACTACAGGAGAATATATAAAGTACCACCTTCCAATGGTTTTAGTAGGATATATACTAGTAATAGAATATTGCAAAGTTACTTACATTATATTTTGCAGAGATTGATCCATTCTCAAACACGAGCAGTTCTGGCAACAATGCTATTGATGGTCAATGAGGGCGCCTTCTCAACATCCAACTGTCCCATTGCTGATATAGTGCAGAGCTACACACATCAGCAAGCTGAAGTAAAGTCTGTTTCGTCTGCAGTTGTGGAAGAGAAAACCCAAAGACATATTTCATATATGCTTCAAAGGGCAAAAGCTTTGCCAGAAAAGATAGCTTGACAAAATCGGATTTCTTGACACTGGTCCAGAAAGAGAAACATAAGTATAGTCAACAGTTTTTGTGTAAACTATTTTAACTTTTTTTTTCAGATTCTTGCAGACTACAAGGCAATTCACTTAGCTGACAAGACAAACCTTGAGTCTAAGTTTGATGAGACTGTCGTTGATCTTCTGGACTATGACATGTTATCTGATATTGAGTCAGATGAGGAGAGAAATAAAACTAGATATACTCCTAGAAATAGACATCCCTTGGTAAGGCTCTCATGATAAAAGTTATTTTTTTTAATACTTCTAACTCAAAAGTATTTATATTATAATGCAGGTGGATGAATACTTTACTGTTTTGAAGAAACAGAGACTTGCTAACAAGGGACCAGACGTCATTGGCAATTCTGTCTATCCAATTATTTTGAGAAACACCAAGTTATCAAATGAGAAAAAGGCACGTGTTGCTGCTTGGATTCACACACACCAACAATAAATTGTTATTTTGTTTACAAAGTGCATATATTACTTTAATGATTTTTATTGATTGTGTTGAATGATGTGGGGTGAAGTGGTAAAATATAATCGGACGGTATTGTCAAGATGAGAAGCAATTAATATATAAATAAAAGAAAAAAGAAAAAGACAAAATCAAAAATCAAAATAATAAATTATTATTTTATTTTATTTTATTTTATTTTAAAGCCAATTAATAAAAAAAATATATATACAAAGCAATTATTTAATTATATAGCCCTGATTGTTTTATCCTCGTTTTTTTTATTGGAAATTATAATACTGATATTAGCAAGAATATGTAATAAAGGCTAAGAAAATAGTAAATGTCGGGTATTAAATATACAAGTTTTTTTGTCTTTTATATTATTGATAAAAGCAAGAGAAATAAATAATGGTTTTTACTATTCGTTAATAGTTAAAAAAAACTGGTAATATAATTTACTATTGCTCTTTTAAATACTTAATAAAGAAGTAATGTTAAAACTAAATAAGAATACAAAGATAAATAAAGCTAAATCTTTTTACAGTCAAAAAAACTCATATTATAATTATTTATACTGGTAACCTAAATAGTTGCTATTTTTATTTGTTTTTATGTGACTACTTTTCTAGGCAGTGGGATAACCAGGTGCTTTTGCGTCCCACTCTGCATTTTATGCGTAGTCAACACAATGTATGAAGCATCCTCTTCCATAAATCCCTTGTCCCACAACTGCAGACCTTGATCAGCTAATAGCTGATGACTACTTGAATGGTAGGTGGGAAACCATTTAATGAATGCAAATGTTGACACTCTTTTGACTCTACTGATCTTGATGGTATGAGTAAATAAATACTCTATTTGACCAGGGAATTCAGATACATTGTCATTTGTTCTCTCAAGAAACAATACCCTCGCAAAAGATCTGCACTTCTTCTTTTCACCACTGCAGTACTCTTGCCCCAGCAACGAAATCTTCTTCACCTTTTGAATCCGATTGTTCACAAATACATCCTCACCAATTGGGATTCTCCTTACCACACAGAAGGAAACACTTGTACTCCGGTAAGCCTTGACATAGAATTCAAATAACCACTGATAGTGATCATCCTTCATCATAGTCAAAGGCTGCAACTTGATTGGTAATGTGGTCGGGGACAAGGCCTCACTTCCGGTGACATTGTACCATGGATTGGTAGCAGCTTGCTGGAACATTGCTAAGCTAAATGGCAACGCAGGAGGGTGGCCATCATCTAAATTCAAGGGAGAAGAGCTGTTGGAATTTGATTTTACTTGGACAACCCCCTTAAGGAACTCTATCAGTGGTGATGAAAGATTGATAGAATACGCTCGAAGAAAGTTACCAATGAATGCTTTCTCCAGGAAGACTCTCATGAAGGTGACCTCAAGACCATTGCGACGTTTTGTCTTGATGTTCTTCAACTTGCCATTGTATCTCTCGAAGCTATACAACCAGAATGCATACACCGGACCAAAGTTAAGCATCAACTCACACAACTGCATATGCAAGTGCATATTTGGCGTGATGCTGCCCTCTCCATAAAGAGTCTCACACTCTTTTCCGAATTCTCCAAGGAGCTGGTGTGTGCTGTCAATTTCTGAATATGTGACTGAAGGACTGGTCAACTTTTGGCATGCTTTTACAAAGAGAGTCCAGTTTTTGTAGTCGTCTTCAAGCAATGCGTCTTTTAGTACCACCAACAAATAAATCAGACATCACAATTGCCACTCGTCTGCCTTCATATATGGGAAACCAGATTCAATCTTTGTTGATAAAACAGCATACCCAGGAGGAACAAGAATACCATTGGCAAGACGTTGCATACGGACAAGAACAGCAGTTGGGAGATACCTCAGGTCTTTCCAAACACTGATCATACACTTTGCTGTCCCAAGAAACAAATTGTGCATGGGATCAACAATTGTGCATTGGACGGGATCAAAGTAGTGTAGGCAATGCAACTCAGAAAAACGGGTGCCATTCTGCTTCTCCAAAACAGCTCTCTCTGCATCAGATTCTGCGCAGAACCACATCTCAGCTTTTGTTGCATTTTCCTCTTTTGTTTGGGAGACCTAGTTCTCATGATCAAATCCAGAATAATTGATCTTACTTGTTCCAGCAACAACAGTGAAATGACGCTTGCATATGTGACAGGCGTTTGTACTTGCAAATCCTGTAAATCCAGCAGTCTTTCTTGCAGCAGGTATGTTGCAAGCAACACACATAAGAGCAGCACGGATACTAGTATCATTGGGGAACTCTGGAGTTTTCATAGTTATGCCACTGTATAACTCTACCAGCCCGTCTACCAGAGGTTTGAAGAAGTTGTTCATCTGGTCGATCTTTGCTTCCTTTGGACCAGGCATGACATCAACAAGGATAATGTTTTCTGGCTTCATTCTTTCTTCCCTAGGCAGGTTGTTTATTGACAGGTACAAGGTCCCACTTGCATGTGTACAACCCTCGAACAGTTGAAACCAATCCACATTCAATGCCAATATCAAAGAATGGTTGTGATTCACAAAAGGCTCGTCATCTTCATCAAGGAGCTCAGACCACATTGCACCATCATAGACGTCCAACAAGGTACTGTTTACGGTTTCCCTTGATCTCCATTGAACGATTTGATGCTCAAACCCAGGTTTGGTGAAATGCTGTGCCAATGCATTCTTGAGCAAGTTGTATGGGAAAACTATGAGAGGGACAGGGCGATCAGCTTCGGTGTCAGAGAAAAGAGAATTTCTGCAGTATGTTAGTGGTGTGGTTATGTATTTTTTGAATGTGCAATTTGGTTGGTGATTTCCTGGTAGGTAAATTGCAAAGCACTTGTTGCAGACGGTGTATTTGATGATGCTTTTTGTCATGAAATTGAAGCCGGTCATAGTCTTTAATGCATCAATGGTGAGTGGGAGATCGGTATCCTTATCAAAGGCAACAAGAAGATGGTGGAAGAATTTCAACATAGCAGTTCCACCTGCTTGAACCAAGTAAAATGCCTGAAAGATAACGCCAAATAGAGCCATGAATTGGCTTGTTTGAGACATTTCATGAATTTTCAAAGAAGCAACTACAAAGGCAAGTATTTCTGTTAATTATTTGTAACACAATTTATATATATTTCTTTTTTAAATGTATGCATACCGGAAGCAACTATGTCTTCAAAATCTTCAACACCAGCAACCTCAACTTCACTCTCATCTTCAGACTCATCGCTTGAATCAGAATTGTCATTGTCAGAAGCCAATGATGTTGTCTCAACATCAGACTCTTCGAATTGAAAAATCTCGTCTTCTCTCAAAAAAGGTACACTCTGTATGGTAGTTTTGGCTGATACAATAGAATAATTGTTTTCATCTATAGTAAAACCAGACTATTAGCTATCTAAATTATGATTTATTAAAAAGAAATTTTATACTCACAATCAATTGATGTTTCAGATACATCTACCATCTCAACATCTGTCTCTTCTTTGACAACTTCTGTATTAACTGATAATTAACAAAAAAAAATATTAGATTACAATTTATCCAGTAATGCATGTACTACTCAAATGTCATTTACCTCGATTTTTTGGGCCAATGTCTAATAACTTATCAGCATTATTATGATGCTTAAAGGTCTGTGCATTTTGCAAAATTCCGCCAATTGCATTTTTGGTACATGATAAACATGTACACATAACAGTGTAGGTTTTAGTTGTAGAATTCATAACAGTAAGAATAATATTAATAATAATAAAATAATAAAGAGGTGTATACTATATTTTATTTTCATCTTTTATATGTCTCTTATTTTTGTCATTAATAATGAGTTGATATATCTTGTTCACTATGTTGTTTACTACATTGAGCTTACCGTCCCTATTAGTAAGAATTACAAATGGATTTTGATACAGCAATCTTTTCTTAAAAAAAGTGTGCCTGATTATTAATGGGGCTTCAATTTAATAATCACTGATATCATGACGTAGTTTTTCTCTTTCGCGTTTTTTTAACATGACATCAATTCTCGCTCATTTTGGTAAGTGGCCTTTTTGGATTTTCTTTTTCTTATATTTTTTATGACATCAATTCTTGCTCTTTTTTTCAATTTTTTTTGATATACTTTCTTATTAAAAATAAGTCATATATCATACATTATTATATTCTAATAAAAATTGGTATTTTTTGCGATGCAATAAAAATATTATTGAGTCTAAATTAGGTACATCTGTAACAACAAGTTTTTCCTTCCAGAAAAATAATTAAATACTACATTTAACATTTAATATTTTATTTTTATTTTTTATTTTTCTGCCAAGTCAATTGAAACATATATTCTTTAAGACAATTGTGCGATTTATTACCTAATTAATAAATATTTGTGTTTGTATCTGTGTTTATTTAATATAATCAGAAAAAATTGCGAATTCACATCTCAAGAAAAAATATATTGAAAAATGATGGTGTTTGAAATATTTTTCCAAATTTTGCCAAAATTCAAAAAATAAAATTCGACCAAATCCACCCTCCTTTTGCAGTGATTTGATCACAATAGCCAACAAAAAAATAGTTGTTTTTTATTTTATTACTCACAACAGCTGTCTGAGTTTAATATATCACAAAAGAAATAAATTACAAGTGTGTGCTTACTAAAACAGATTTAAAACACTCTAAACACAGTAAAGCATGTAGAAGATTAAAAAATCTGCAAGACATCACCAGATTTTCTTCAAAAAACTGGTCAAGATTTCCTACAGTGTTTTGTTTAATTATTGAAAATATATATAAAAAACTGTATATCTATTTGTTTGTGCTGATAAAAATTAAATGTTACATGTATATGGCAACTATAAAAAATGAGCCCAATTTGTCATAATTTCTCTCCAATTTTTTAGTGTTTAAAATGTCTCAAACATTGCATATCTCAATTTTCTTATCTGGCTGTTATAGCAATTTGATTTGATTTTGTCATAACATAACACCTACTTTAATAAAAATAAAGATAATGAGAAGTCAAATTTTTAGGATATGAAATAAAAACAATATAAATTAAAATTAAAATTAAAATTAAAATTAAAATATAAAAATATAATTGGGAGTTTGAGACTTTGTGACTGATCAAAAAGGTTGAAATCGATTGAAAAAGGGAATAGTACTGCGGCCAATAAAAATTACAACGCATTGCGTCTAATCATCTAGTTAGCTGAATAGCGCAGAGGAAGCGCGTTGGGCCCATAACCCAAAGGTCGGAGGATCGAAACCTCCTTCAGCTACATTTTTTGTAGCGCCCAAAACCTTGTGAATTTGTCAAGTCTCGATCTGGTATTTCTTTTCTGGCACTTGTAACTAAGTCGCAGAATCAATACCACTGGGGATTGTCAAGTTTATGAATAGTTTTTAGATAAGAATAAAGATACTTTTTATTAAATATATTTTTGACTATTTATACAAATTGATACTTGATTTCTGGCTAAAAGAATAGCTACATTAATATGTCTTAAATGCTAGTTATCCAGTAATATCTTCTACAAGTATATTCACCATCTTAAACATCTAAAACATATATAAAAAACTAATACACAATGACAAGATGTCTTACCCTAAAAGTCAACCATTATTGATTGCTTGTGAATTCTGATTTTGATTACTAATGTCAACTCTGACAAATTAATTGTTGGGTATTTGTCATTCCCAATCTGGCTTGGTTGTCAAGTGTTGATCTAGTATTTTTTTCTGGCACTTGTAACTGGTAGCAGTAATTCCCCAATCAGAAAAGCAAGCCACATATTTATTTTCATTTGTTTCATTTGGGCAAATTTTTTTTTTTTTGGAGCCAGGAAGAAAAAGCTCAGGATTTTATTAAAGGTCTCTGATTGAATAGGAAAAGAGAAAATTAAAATATTTGTTTGTAAGATTTTGTAGCTTATATGATGTTTTTGTTTTTGTTTGGTTTTTTTAAAAAAAAGTGGAGGAGTTATGGAGAGTCCAGCTCTAGTTCAGAGCAGAGATGAGAAATTGACTTTTGCGCAGTGTGGAGCACTGCAGAGAAAAGGAAAGAAACAGAGTTAAAGTGGAAAGATGAGTGGTGATCCCAAATAGCCAGGATAGCTAGGCCAAAGATGGAGGAAGCAGGGATTGCAGAGTTAAGCATGGGGGGGGGAAGACAAAGAATTGGAAAGCATTTGAGAGGACAGAGGGCAGAGAGACAGTGCCAAAGAATTCCAACCAAATGCCTGTCCACACAGCAGATTTCAATGTGCACGCAAGAAGAAAATGTTCTTGCGTCTCAATAGACACCTGGCAAATAGTGCAGAGAGGAGAAGAGACAGTGGATGACATGATGCAGTACAGAAGTGCTTAGCACGAAAGCTTATTGTGCAACCTGAGAAACCAGACATTCCAAGCCCAGTGAGGGAGGGCAAAAGACCAGAAGGAGCAAAGTTGTTGTGAGATGAGAAGAGGGTGGATGAGAGCAGGCAGAATGGTAGGAGCACGTGGAGAGCCAGGACCAGGTCTGACTGAGAAGTTGGGCTGACAGAAGTGGCTGAAGGTCAATGGACAACCTGTTGCGAATAGGAAGATCTGGCTATTGGAATGCCAGTACAAAAGAAGGAATGCATGCTCAAAAGAGAATGGGATGCAAGACCATTGTATGATTGCGAATTCTGTTGAGGATGTGATTAAGTGTGACAGAATGGGGTAGAGAACAAGAGGGAGTGATTGGTGTGAGTATATCCAAATTGGACTCGATTTGATATAGATGGTGGCCTCGCAAATCATGCCAAGCAGGTCGATATGGAGGGTGAGAGGGCATACTGGATATCATAGAAGACAACAGCAGGATAAGACAACTGAAAAGGTTGAGCATCACTTTGTCAAAGTTTTGGGGAAGAGTATCTATAGCCTTCAGAACCAGATGCAGCAGGGAATCAAGGGTTCAATAGTTGCGAGAATGACAGTCCAGAAAGAGTAAGAGAAAAAGAGAATCAATGGTAGGGACGTTGGAGCAAAGAAGAGTAGAGAACCATTGGGGAACAAGACCATGAGGCAGTAGAGGATTATGGATAAAGGGCTTCAGCCAGCAAAGTTAGAGAGCACATTGCTGTATACCAGGATCCAAGATACCAAGGCCACCCTGCAGTTGGAGCAAGCAGAGAGTGTCAAAAGCAATGGGAGGAAAAGAGTTGACACGGAAGAACCCATGCATGATGGAGCGAACTTGTACAAGGAAGGCAGAAGGGAATAAAACCATATGAAGGACGTGCCATAGTTGAGAAAGTACAAGAGAGTTCATCATGGTTGCCCATCCACAAAAGGAAAGAGATCGTGATCCATGAATACTGCAAAAGGTCTCAATTTTTGACAGGAGGGTGGTCCTGTAGGAGTCTCGTTGAGTGATAGAGAAAAATAATGGAAAACCAAGATATCAGAGAGAGGTAGCTGACATACGATCATGCCAATCAGTGACATTGTATGTACAAAGGAAAGTATTCCAGTTGGGGAGTGGCGATCCTGAAAGGGAGAAGGCTTGAGTCTTGTGCATATTTATACGAGTGTTAGATGCAGCAGCATATGTGTTGAGATGGTGGTGAAGTTGAGACATGTGATCCGTGTCCAGAAGAAACACCAGCAGATCATCAGCATAAGCCAGCAGTTTGACAGGAGGTAAAGAGAAAAGAGTGAGAGAGACAGAAGGGAGGACACCGAGGAGCAGAGGATTGTGTATCACATGGCAAAGCAAAGGCTTAAAAGCTAGGTTGAAGAGAATTGGTGAGAGAGGATCCCCTTGTTGAAGGCCACAGGCTTGTGTAAGAGGGCGTGAGAGAAAGCCATTGACGTTAATCTGTAGCTGTGTAAAGAAAAATAGAGAAGGGACAGAATTAACAATGGAAGGAGGGAAGCAGAAATGAGTGAGCACTGAACGAAAATACTCTGGGTGTACTTGGTCATAGACCTTTTTCTGGTCCAAGAGCAAGCCAATCCCTGAGGATCCATCCTTCGCGGCTTGTGCCATGAACAAACGAGTCAACATTCCATTATCAGCTATAAATCTACCTTGAACAAAACCAGGTTGATACAGGGTGATAAGTGTGGTAACAGCAGAAATCATATGAGCATTCATAAGACAGATAAACACTTTTGCATTGGTATTAATCAAGACAATGGGACGCCAGTTCTTCAGAGAACTAAGATCGCCTTTTTTGGCAACAAGCAGATGCAAGTGGACTGCCAAAAAGGAGGAAAGATTCCCTTCAACAAGGCATCATTATATATCCAGGAAATGAGGTCGCCACATACAGAATGGGCGAGAATGAGGCAGAGAATCTTGAATGGCAAACCATCTGGGCCCGGGCTACTAGAGCAGGGAGAGTGGGCAGCGCCTAACCAAATTGTGTCAAGAGCAAATGGTTGAGTCATATAGTCCTGTGCAAGTTCTGGCAAATGGAGATCTGAAGGCAAATGAGAGAGCAACTTATCCACAGCAGAGTGATTTATAGGATCAGGGGTGTACAAGCCTTCATTGAAGACTGCTGCTGCCTCAGTCATGGCGTCAGGTGTGGTGCAAATGTCGTTTGTAACAGGGTGACAGAGGCTTGCAATGGCTTTGCAGGATTGGCGAATGACAATAGTGCGTTTGAGGTATCCTGCAGAAGTCTCACCCTTTTCCCACCAGTGTTTTCCAGTTTTAAGAGCCATAATCTCAACCCATTCAAGTTGGACTTGCTGCAACAATTGTTCCACAATTGGGAGTTGGAAGTTCTGGGCAGGTTGGTGGCAGAAATGGTGAATGAGTCGGTCCTGTCGTTTTTGTAGGCGTGTTTCCAGGTCGTTCAGAGAGGGGCGAAGGTGGCAAGAGAAATATTTAACAAAACAAATGACTTCAAGCTTAATCGCATCCCATTGGGCTTGAGGAGAAAGATCAGCACGAAGGGCAGGAATGAGGGTGGAGAGAAGAGTGTTGAGATTGGTACAGAACAAAAGTGATTGTGCTAGACAAAGGTTAGCATGTCAAAGTCTCTTACCAGAAGACTTGGTTGAAGGGAGGGACAGACTGACTGCAACCAGACAATGATCAGATCAATTCTAGTGAATATAGCTCACTTGTGGGTCTGTAGTGCGAGGGTGAAGGTCTGAGAACACAAAGATGTAGTCAATGGTAGTGGAAGACAGGGATTGGTAGAACGTAGGCAGTGGGTGCTGGCCACGAAGAGTGATACAGTCAGTCATATTGATATCTATAAACTGTAGCCAGTCAGCTGGAGCACGACGTCCGAGAGCATAGTGTGAGTGAATTGCATGATTAAAATTGCTCAATAGAATAAAGTTTGAAGTATTGGGAGGGATGAAGTCAGAAGTGGACAGCAAAGAGGCAAGAAAACAATAACGTAGAGTTTGGGAAGTAGACACATAGATGACGCCTATCCTGAAGGGCAAAAAATTATTATCCACATGTGTGATAGTTGTCGTGATACACCTTGTTGTGGGGAGAAAATAAAGCAAAATATAATATAGACAAAAGAATTCGTGAGAACTTGTGTAGGTTGTTTATTTCAAAAGAAAAGTAAAGAATGATAAAATTCGATTGTCTTTCTACACGGAACTATCTACTGATATTTATATGTTTTTCTAATTTGTAATTCAGTGTGTGCTTAAGTAATTTTTATCATGATGAGTCATCTTCCAGGAGTATTGTTCTTCTGGAAAGATCCGGAAAGACCAATTGATATGATACTTCTCCAGTCAGATCAGTCCAAGAGTTTTGGTAAAGAAGAGCATTTATGCTATTGGTAATATTTTAGTATTCCGACCCAGATACTTGGGTAATGTTTCATAATATTAGATAGTTGTAGTTGTAGTCTCTCAATTAAGTATTTGTATAATAAAAGAAATATGTAGATGAAATATAATGATGCTATATATATAATGTATATGTATTTGTATATCCCATGTCATGGTGATAATAATAAATAATCAATTATGTGTATAATGATCTGTGTATTAGATAATATCATAAAGGGAGATCCATTTGACTGGAATAGCTGAGGATATTATTTTATCCTTCAGTCTTACTCTCAGATTCAGCAGTAATCAATACTCATTCACAACACACCTGCCACATGGTTTAAATAGAGGGTCAGTGAAGATAATGTGAGGGGAAAGGCATACAACACCGCAGTGTGGAGACCATAATAATGAAGAGGACCGAAATTGTTGGTCAAAGGTAGAATGAAACATAGATGATGAGGCATAGGTTTCTTGCAGGACTAAAATATCAATTCCTTGCGAGTGTAAATGACATATAAAAAAGGAGCGTGATTCAGAGTGTCCAACTTTGGGTAGACCCCTACAATTCATAGTGCCTATTTTAATCATTGGTTAATGTTGAGATCTGCGCTGAGGGCTTTTATGGTTTGTAGGTGAGTAAAGCAAGGAGGAGAGAGAGATGTATTGTGGTCTGTTGGATGTGCCAGCCGGAAAAAACAGAAATGAGTGTGGCAAGAGGCAGACTGGAGTTGGAGAGCCCAAGCATCATCTCTATCCATGAGATTAGTTATCATTCTGTTGTCTATCCCTTTGTCCAAGCCATGCGTGGGGGTGTTGACAGAACAGCTTCAAGGACGAGGGCCAGAGGACATGGGCATCTCAGTTGGTGTTGGTAGAGTAAAGAGGGTCTTTGTGGGAGACAGCTTAGACAACTCACGCAAAGCAGGTTGACAACTGTTGTGCTTGAAGGCCTCTGATCCTCCATAGACAAGTGAGAGCTCAGTGGGAATCAAAGGCTTGGGTGCAATGATGGGGCGATCGAGCTTTGAATTGTGGCTGGGGTGGCAGGAGCGCTTGTTGGACGTCTTGGAAGGATTGGTAATGTATAGACAATTGGCTTGTAAGTGACTGGTCTTGTTGCATCCAAAACACATTCAGGTTTTTTCTGGGCGTTTGGTGCATTTTGCAACGTCGTGCCTAATTTCCTTACAGTAGGTGCAGTGGGAGCCCATGGAAGGCCACTTACCAAGAATCTTTTGTATATCGTTGTATGCAATTTGGTATGTCAGAGAATCTGATGGCACATCGTCAGTAGGTGTATTGGCGAGGACAACATAGCCAGAACCGTCAAAAAACCCATATGATTCATGAATGGTAATCTCCCGCACTTTGCCAAAAGCAGACATACATTTGACAAGTTGTGTAGCCAGATCATGATAAGGAACACAAGGAAGCTTGGTTAGAAAAACATGGCAAACAATTGTGCCAATGCAAACAACAGCTTGAGTGGGGAAAGACGAATCACTGACTACCAAAGGTTGAGAGCACACTCACTCGCAGTCAGCACTGGTAGATAGATGGAGTTCACATATATCAGGGGAAGACTGTGAGCCAAGAGTGATGCCCATGTTAATCTCGCAAGGATAAGCTGAGAGAAGAGCTCTCCAGAAAGGGTCAAACTTGGGCAAGGATTTGGGTAGGACAGTGAAAAAAACTGAAAACTTAGAGGACCCTACACGCCAGGTACGTGGGGTCGTGTTATTCGTAGAGCTGAAGATAACACGAGATTGTTTTTCGAGAAATGGAAGTGCGTTCTGAGTAGCTACTTGTGAGTAAAGAGGTGTCGAAGAGGGTGAGATTGGTGCGAATAAGGTTGGCAATGGTGGATGTTGTAAATGAGTATTGACTACTGTTGTAATTGAGAATAAGTCTGAAGGAAATAATATAAGGCCTCAGCTATTCCAGTCAAAGGTGTCTACTGATTACTTTATTATTTAACACACAGGTTTAGCATGCATGATAGTGATTATATTTCATATGATGATATCACCATAATATGGGATACAGCAGTGGATTATTATAAGCATAATTATAACTCATAAACACATTTATTTTCGATGTTAATACTTCATTGGGACTACACACATTTATATAATTAATCATACATTAATTATCCCAAGATCACGTTGCTCTGATTAAGGCTCAGATAGGATCGATTACCTGACCCCAGTCATATAATTTTCCCAATCCAAAACAATATAAATAGCAGTAGTAGTTCAGTGTAGGAACCTGGTCAAACTTTGATACAAAATCTTTCTCAATAAACAAAACCTACACAAGTTCTCACGAATCTTCATTCCTAATTTCAAATCTTCAATTCTTCCTCTTAAAAACTTCTTCAACTTCAACCACCACAACAGTGGAGATGAGCCAGTGGTAGAGGGGTTTTTGACCCTTGATGGTTCCAGGGTGTTAGTGGAAAGAGCCATGGGCAAACTTTTATTATGTGCTTACCCCTTAATATTTTTTTCCAAACACACTTTTTTTTACCAAATCTCAAAATGTCAACCTTTAATATTGCTGCTAATTATGACAATCGTATAATTCCAGATTATACAGAAGCTGTCGACTCCTTTGACCTTTTATCTGAAGATGAATTTACAAATTGGTTAAATGATATAGCTAAAAAACATGCCAATTGGATTTACCATCAATCTTATGGTCATAAGAAGAACATAGTCTTTGTTGGGAAGCCTCTTGAAAATACTCTCAAAGTAAAGACAGTAGTTTACTTGTGTGATCATGCTGGAAAACCACAAGTGAAAAAAACTTCTCAGCCTGCTCAGAAACATGTCAGAACAACCAAGTCCATCAAGATTGGTTGTCTTGCTAGTATCTATAAGCATACTATGACTGATGGTACTGTTTATATCAAATACAACTGGCAGCACCCAAATCATGATTCGTTTAGGATTGAAGAGATCAGTTTGTTAAGAGTGCCAGATGAATTAAAACAATGGGTAGAAGGGCTTGTCAGCCAAAACATGGATTGGAAATCCATCAAAAACATGCTTAGAATGAGTGAAGACAGACTTCTTGAAGTAAATATTATGTAGTATTTTTTGAGACACTTTCCTTATTTAAAATTACATAGCTTGAACAAGCTGGCAATAGATCTTTTTTCCCTTCTTCTCTTCTCATTGATTATCAATATGTGAGAAATGTTGTCAATGCTGAAATAATGAAACTCTCAAGAAAACATGTGGATCATTATGAAAGTGTCAAACTGTGGGTTCAAGAGTTGAATGAAAGTGAAATTACTACTCTTTTTACAGTTCATAAGAATGTTCTCTTCCTTGTTTCATGGGTTTCTGAGTGGCAGAAAGGAATAAATAACATGCATTATTTATATTTTATTCTATACATCTATTTATACATCTTATTATTGTATTAGTTTCTGGAGAATTCAGAAGAGTAGTGCATTGACTCAACATACAAAACAAGCAAGTCATTCAATACTGTAGCTGGTAAAGAACCTGAAGATTGCTTTGTGTTTACAATTACTGTGCGAAATCCTATCACTAATAAGGGATTGCCTGTCTGCTTCTTTATAACTGATCATGAATATACCTCAACCTTGAGTCAATGGTTAACATGGGTAAAGAACACCTTTACATTAAAGATGAAAAGAATAATAATTGACTGCAGCCCTATCAAAATTAGTGCAATTGAAGAAGTCTTTGGCAATAGTGTTAATATCCTGTTATGTCATTGACATATTAAAAGAGCATGGGAAGTTAATGTAAAGAAGCATATAAATAGTATATTTATTTAAAATTGTGTATATCTCATATAATACTATAATATAGGTTAAAGTGCAAAACTCAACACATGCTTCAAACATAGCTCATAACAGTGTTTGTGCTGTATTAAGTAATATGATACATACAACAACTTCTGTTGCCTATGATACATTGTATAATGAACTTCTTGTGAAATCTGGGAAATACAAGGACTTTATTTTGTACTTTAACAGAATGTAGGTGCCAAAAAAAGAATTATGGTGCAAAGCATAGAGATTGGTATGAAACTTTATTGATTATTAGCCCATTTCTAATATGTAATATAAACAATAGGCTGCAACCTTTCACACAAATAATTTGATAGAGTCTTATCACAATCAGCTGAAGACTTTCTATCTTGGACGTGCAAGATCTCTTCGAGTAGATAGACTTATTTATCTTCTGGCCAAAGTCTTGACTCTTAACTACAGATAAGAGAACGTCAAGACGTTATATAGATTCCAATCAGTATGTCTTACACGCCAAGAAGAGCAAAAAAGGCGAAATGTATACATGTTAGATAGCAATACTGCTATGGAAATGGTTGAGAAATTGAGTGATACTGCATTCACTTGCAAATCATTCACAGTTGATTTTGCTATATACAACATTGAGCTACAGAATAGTTTTCTGCAAAACTGCACTTGCCCTGATACTTCCAAGCTTTGCAAGCATATCTTTCTCATCAATTGTATGCTAGACATTTCCTACTTTTTGCGCCAAAGTCTTTTCTTCTCCTCCTCTGCTGTCCATGTATCTAATACTGATACTAAAGCAGTAGTTGACACTTCTCTTCTTTCTGACGAGATAGAAGCTGATATCATGAAGTATCGTCAATTATACTCTGTTGAACTTGATAGCAAGATAGCTGAGTACAAGGGAATCCCAGAAGACATAAGCCAGTTCTTAGATATGTTGAAGTTTGCATACAACAAGCTAAAAGAACATGGCTCCCCATCTCAATCCCGTCCACCTCAACAAACATATTTTTTTTATTATCAATTATCAATTATATATTATCAACTACTATTTTTTTTATTTTTTTTTAATTGGTATTTTTTTTAAAATTGTCTTTATAAAAAAAATCAAAATCAAAGAATCTTTTAAGCTGTGACTTTCTTTTCTGATTGGGGAATTAATAGTACTCCAAGAAGATGAAGAAGGAGTATGAAAACCACTGGCATTTGAATCCAAGAAACTTTCTAGTGCTGAACGTTCCTACCCAGCCCAAGAATGTGAACTCTTAGGAATACTGCATGCACTATGTATCTGGCACTGTATGATTGAAGGGAAACCATTTACTGTTTTTAATGACCACCTGCCCCCCAAGTACTTCCATAGCCAAATCAAACCAACCCCTCAATTAATAAGATGGATTTCCGAATTCGAGTTGTACAACCCCATTATTCAATACAAATCTGGCAAAGACAACAGTGTCCCAGATATACTTTCTCGAATGGACAGTCCCAAATTTGATGTATCTACAATTGAGTCTATGGAGTCAGAGTATCTGTACATCATGCCTAAATCACAGACTTCAGATTGGTGCAAATACTATGCTTGCATAGAAGATGAGTGGCCAGAAGACATAAAAGAGTTGCTACACAGACAATGCAAGAAATTCGTGGTTCATAATCAGAAGGTTTTCCGCTTGTTTAAGATTGATGACACATTTCAAGAAATCTGTTTTGCTCTGTTTACCAAGCATACCAATCTGGTAAACAGTTTCCACAATGAGTTTGGACATGCTGGTGAGACAACAGTTTATGACTTGATGAAGAAACGTTGGTCGTGGCCAGGAATGCAAACACAGATCCAAGAATGGCTTGCAAAGGGCCCCCATGTCAATTAGCATCCAATGCCAAGCAAAATATCTATCATGCACCCATGGAACCCCTAGATATTCCCCCTCCATTTTCCCGCTGGCATCTAGATTTCATTGGAGAGCTTCCAACAACTGTAAATGGTAACCAATGGATTCTTGTTGCAGTAGATCACACCACCAATTGGACAATCGCACATGCTTTACCTGCTGCTACTGGTGAAGCAATAGCCAATTTCCTGTATGAAGAAATTGTAATGTGTTTTGGTTGTCCCAACAAGATCCTCACTGATCGCGGCACCAATTTCATGTCACATATCATCAGTTTTTACATTAAAAAGATTAAATTACACCACAAGTCAACATCAGTATTTCATCTTTGAACCAATAGAAAATGTGAACGTTTAAATGATATTTTAAAACAGATGCTACGAAAATATGTACATAGTGCTATTCATTGCTGGGACAAATATTTGGAAACTGCACTCTGGGTCTGCCAAATTAGGAAACACCAAACAACTGGTTTCAGTCCATTCTTCCTGACCTATGGCCATGAACCTCATATTCCACGTGGTCCTCTACGCCTATTCATTGATACCTCTATTCCTGATGATCCTTTTCTTGTCTCTGATGGTGCTCTCCCTCTTCTCCGCAATCTGCAACAAGCTCACATTAATGTTGATGCTCGAGTAGCCATCAATAGGCAACAAGACAAGGAATGATGAGATTCTATTATGAAACCGCACTAATTTGCAATCAGTAAACATTTATTGCTATGACATGAAAACAAATTTGGCTTAGAATATCACTTGATAGAACCATACATAGTTATAGACAAGAATGCAGATAAAAATATATATAAGCTCACAGCTATGGAAAGTGTCTCTTATACTTCCTGGGTTCATGCCAATCGTTTAAAAATTGCAAAATCCAATGATTTTGACCATACCTGATATCACCCAACCTCTGCCCGTGCCCAAATGTGCCGCGATTTAGCCTTGGACTCTTCTTCTGCCCTAACGTTTTCCCTTCTGGATTCTTCTGTGGTTGATCGAGAACTATCAACAGTTTTGGGAGGGGGTTATGTCAGACATTATTTTGATGAATCCGTAAAATTTGAAAATGATTAACCACAGTACTTCTTTATACATAGTAATATCTTCCTGAGCATTAACCACAGTATAATGACTATTTCTTTAATTAAATATAAATAATAACTACTGCAAATAATGCGCAGTACTAGTTTAGAAAACTATATAGGACAATTCAATTCATATCAATAAAAATTATCTTTTATCCCCTCTTTGATTTTATGTATACTCCTTGATCCCCAGTGGGTTTGACCTTTTGACTTTGTTATAGTAAAAGGAAAACCAACCCAGATCAGGGACGGCAATTTTAATTTGTATAAGTTTTGATAATGGATCACCACCAACTAGAACGTTGTGAATAAATAGGAACAGATAGGAATATAGAGAATTGAATACTTTTTATTGATATAAATCTTGGAATATTTATACAGATTTCTTAAAAGTGAAACTATCTAATCTAATTATTTTACCCAAGACATATTGGTTTTACATTTATGGAAGGCAATATAACATGTCTTGATTAACAAAAAGGGGAACCAATTGATATAACATTGAGGGCATATGTTAAAAGGAATAACTGATTGGATATCCGACTTAAGGATTTCTATCTACAATGTCAACTCTGACACTTCTGTCGTTTCCAATCTGAGTTGGTCTTCCTTTTACTATAACAAAGTCAAAAGGTCAAACCCACTGGGGATCAAGGAGTATACATAAAATCAAAGAGGGGATAAAAGATAATTTTTATTAATATGAATTGAATTGTCTTATATAGTTTTCTAAACTAATACTGCACATTATCCGCAGTAGCTATTATATTATATTTAAATAAAAGAAAAGTCATTATACTGCGGTTAATGCTCAGGAAGATATTACTGCGCATAACGAGGTACTGCGGTTAACTATCTTCAGATTTTATGGATTCATCAAAATAATGTCTGACACTTCCTTTTACTATAACAAAGTCAAAATGGCAAACCTAACGGGGATCAAGAAGTATATGTAAAATCAAAGAGAAGATAAAAGATACTTTTTATTGATATGAATTGAATTGTCTTATATAGTTTTCTAAACTGATACTGCGCATTATCCACAGTAGCTATTATTTTATATTTAAATAAAAGAAGAGTGATTACACTGCAGTTAATGCTCAGGAAGATGTTACTGTGCATAAAGAGGTACTGCGGTTAACCATCTTCAGATTTTATGGACTCATCAAAATAATGTCCAACACATTATCTTTTCCGATCTGAATTGTTCTTCTGTAATGCTCAGTGATCTTTAAGATGTGATAATATCCGTTTTAAAAAATGGAGTAGAAGAAGTAAGAGGAAGAAGAGTTGAGCTTGTAAAAGAGAATATTTATTGAAGAGAATATAAAACTATTTTATATGAAAAGACTACGGATATTGATGCAGACAGAATGATGAAGAGAGAGAGTATTTTATGCACTCGTATGTACCTTCATGCAGTAGTCCCTTACTACTGCAAGTAGTGCATTTGTGACTCTCAGTCACAACACTTCCTTTTACTATGTCAGACATTATTTTGATAAATCCATAAAATCTGAAAATGGTTAACCAAAGTACCTCTTTATGCACATTAACATCTTCCTCAGCATTAACTGCAGTATAATGAATTTTTTTTATTTAAATATAAATAATATGTTAAGTCTTAAGTCTCAATTTGATATTCCTTTTCTGACACTTGTAACTAAGTCGCAGAATCAATACCAATAGGGATCGTCAAGTTTTAAGAATAGTTTTTTAGATAAGTATAAAGATGCTTTTTATTAATTATATTTCTTGACTATTTATACTAACAGATGTTTGATTTCTGGCTAAAAAAATAACTACAATAATATGTCTTAGATGCTTGCTGTCTAGTAATATCTTCTAAAAGTATATTCACCATCTTAAACATCTAAAACATATACAAGAGACCAATCAGCAATGTCAAGATCTTTTATCCTAAAAAGTCAACCAATACTGATTACTTCCAATTCCCAATTTTCATTACCAGTATCACTTCTGACACAATAGCTTTCTCATACTCTTGTGAATCAATCATCTTATTGGGAAGAACTATTTTTAAGAATTCAGACTTTTAAAAATAGTTCAAAATTGGAGAAAAAATGGAATGCTTACAAAAAAAATAGAATGCTTGCAAAAACAAATTTGGTTCAAAGAATATTTTATTTATTTATTTTTGTAGATTGAAAATATTGGGGCCATACAATGCCAAACCACCCTCACCTCTGGCTCTGCAATAGCAGCTATTGCAGGGACGGCAGGCTTTTTTTAGGTACTAGCAGTTAGGAATACAGCTAGCTACTTTAATAGCATATACAGCAAAGGGAAAGAAAAAACAAGCTATAGAAAATGCCACTAAATCTTGTTGTATCTCAAATGTTTCATATCTATACATGATAAAAAATGATTAGAATCTGTAATGTTAAAATTTGAATACTTTAAATAACTTACCTTTTAATAATAAACAGAACTAGAGTAAAAAAAAATTGTTTATGTCAATATTTAAGTCATACGTGTATTATTTATATTGATATTCTTACCTTTGAAACTTTGGCAGATGAAATCCTTTCTCTATTTCAAAATGAGATAAGACTTAATTAGTACTTTTACAAGAAAAATAATGTTTAGCATACACTATGGGAAAAAGGTGATCTTTTTTGAATTTGTGACTTCATTTTTGACCTATAATAATCAAAAAATTACCACAAATCCAAGTTGAAACAAGAAAATCTTTGTTCTTTAAAATAGTTGATAAAAAGCAAATGAATTGCTTAAAATTAAATCTCAGGAGGGACAAATGTCTATTCTAATTGAACATCTTACATTTTTGGTAAATATAGATTGGAATTGAGAAATATTGGATGTCAGAAATAAAAAAAGAAAATATCTAAACTTTCTGCTGCTTGGATAAAATTTGTTAAGACAATTTGAAAAAAAAAACAAATTATATATCACTTAAGGCACCAAGTATCAATTTTGGGCTACGTTTAAGGCTAGGCCAAATGATGTAATGGCTACCATTGACATTTGATGGCACCAAGCCAACCAACTCTACAATGTCACTGGCATAAATCACTATAGTCTTCAGCATTACTACAGATATAATAGGCAATCCATTTTTCAAATGTACACTATATATGGTTATGAGAGCTAGTGGCCATCTCTTCGAGTTGTGTACATGTTGGAAGAATATAACCACCTTTCCAAAGAAATGCTTATATCCTGGATGGTAAGAGCGGGATCTTCTGGAGTTCATGTCCACTTGTAGCTGCATATGAACATGACATGCATCTCTTGTAGAACTTTGGTTGAATGCAGCATCAATAACACAACCATTAAGATAGGCCTTGCAGCTTGTCTTTATAGAAGGCTCAAGCATACTATATTCTCCCCCCTTCAAATCATAAAACGTTTTAAGAAGCAATGAAAGATGAGAGCTATCTTCAAAGCTATCAAAAATTGTTAAATTCTTCAAAGGCCCCCAGAACTCAATTTCACACTCAGCATTGGCAGGATCATCCCCTTCTCTAAAAGGCCACCCATTGGTATATGCACTGTAAACTAGAAGGTTAGCTGGCAGAGTTTTTGTGTTTGCAACGGTTGTCAGTTCCGCTACACGCCGGGATTGAGCCAGTCTGATCATGATTTTTCCAGCATTGACGCTGACTTGGAAGTTACTCTTGATGAACCTGGAGTACTCACCAATGGCTTTTTCCACGGATTGTGTGCTATATGCTCTTGGTGGGCCATATAGCTCAATCATCTGAGGATAATGCTGAATAATGTGCTGATTAATTGTGAACACGCCAATGTAAATATCTGCTGTAAAAAGAAGACTCTATAGGAATAAGTTCCATTCTACAAGATTACTAAGAAAAAAGATAAAAGTAAATTACTATGAAAAATGAAATAAAATATGGCATTAAACATACCTTCTTATTGAGGTTTGATCCTCTGCTGATAGCTCCCAGCTCATGAGTAAATTGCATGTTTGAACCAGGCTAAGTAATGCCTTTCAGGCAACTGAGTCTTGGACACGCTCTGCAACCAACGTGGGGACAACAAAGAGTAAAAAGTCTGCCCAACCCACAGCTCTACACTACGGCGGGATGAATGGCAGTTGGGCTGAAAGTAGGCACATAACTGCCATTTTTTTGGTCAAAACCCAATAAAATCTCTGCCATTTGTTGTAAGATGGTAATGTCATTCGTAGCAATTTAAAAAAGTAACATGAAAACACTTTTTTTGTTGCTGTACAATATTTTCAATACTGTAAAAAATGTTTGTAAGTTGTAATGACTACTTTGATTATTGAAATATATGTTTTATTGAATATCAAAGATGTCAACAATTATTAAGATTAATAATTTTTGGAATGTGTGAACGAAATGGTAACATAACTGCCATTTTTTTTATTTTTTAAACTACGTTCTTTTTTTTTTAGATATTCTTTTTATCTTGATGAATTGGCAATTTGATTTTATTTAAATCGCGTAACGGCGTATAGAGCATATAGGGAATGAAGAGAAAAGCATAAGGTGTATAGAGAATAGAAAAAAAACCGGAGTATATAAAGAAGAAAAGAAAGACGGGGCATATAGAGATTAAAAAAAACATAAGAAATAGAGAAAATTAAAAAAAGAATATAAGATACAAGGATGATATAAAAAATATAAAAGATATAAGGATATAGAGCATATAGAAAAATAAGATAAAAATAAAAAGGATTACAGAATGGAAAGATTGCCTTTAGTAATGCGCATGTTGTTGTTAAAGATATAATAGGGCGCGATTACATAAAACTGGTTTCCATTCGGTGGGTATTGGACCAGACCAACTTGATGACAAATGTCATTTACACTTATAACTGCATAAGTCGGTTGCGTTTGGTGGCCTAGTGTATGGGTGCTTTGTGACTGTTGTTTGACGATAGGTACTGATGAGTCATGACTAGCCGCGTCATGTTCCTTCATGACCTCCGCGAAAGCAAGAAAGTGTGGGAAGCCATAGAAATCTACATGCTGAAAGTAGAACTGTACTGTACCGACGAGCCAGCTGTGAACAATTATATTATGGTTGCTAAAATAAATAAATAAATAGAATGTAAGCAACTTTTGATTGTATATCGAAAAATATTATACTTACTTTCTATAGGGGCAAGTAAACATCACGTAATGGTTGCCACGGCTGGTCTCGTTTTTCTTTCTTCGGTACATGCATGAGGAATATACAGTCGAGTCCATCCACAGACGTGCAGCTACAACAACAACAGAGTCACCAAACTCGTGGCCAGTCAAGCCTGTTGTTCTCCGGTAGTATTTCAATAAAGCTTCCTTCACACTAGGGCCGCCTACACCTTCCACCAAATCATCATTCAAATTAACAAACTGATGAAACGGCTCCCACAACTGCGCGCCACTAGGATCATTAGGAAGGTCCATGTAGCTCTCTCTTCCATATGGCTTTGGCCAAATGAGGTTGATTTCATCACAGATGCTGATTGCCGTGCTGGTATAATTGTGAATCGCAAATCGCTCGACGAGAAAACTGGCGTTTCAGCCACCCTTTGATTTGGACTTTATCAATTTTGAGAAGATGCCAATTACTCTCTCCATTGAGTGAGTGGAGTAGCATCGCAGGGGGCCTTGCTGCTTGATGATATAGGGTATATGGACCAGGTAATGTTGCACTGGTCGGAAAACACTACGAGACAGGGTATTATTCTGGACTTGTTGGTATAAAAACGAGTGCCAGTGCTTGAAGTATCTATTATTAATATTTAAAAAATGGTAACAATCAGCTATTTGTAATGATAATATATGAGACGTATAATAACTTACGACTCCATCTCATCAAGCAATTCTGATGTCAACGTCCATTGCAAGACAAGCGCGCAACCTTTCACGAGAGATAATAGAGCTGTTTTGACAGCCCTATTTGGTAAATAAGGCACGACCAAAGTGGGGACAAGGTATAAGAGAAAGTCAAGCCAGTCCACTGCGCGAGTACCATCGATCTTGGCAAATACGTTGTCGAAACTGCCTTGAAATGAGGTAGGTATATATTTTCGTGAGCTGGTAATACAGTTTCCGATTGTTACAAGGTCTGCTCTTGGTATATGAAAAGGGTATTCGGTGGTATTGAGGGTATTGTCTGGATGGGTATAATAAAATTTGGTTTCCTTTGTGAGAGTGACGGTAATCAGGTCATACACAAGCTTTCCAATCCCTCTTGCAATTAAATGAAGTTCATCTAATGCAAAAAATGATGATCCAGAGAAGGTTGAGAGTTGGGTATATATGCTCGGCTGGTATATGTTCTTCGACTATTACAAGCAGTTATTTAGTATGAAAAAAAGATGGCTAACTGAACATTTGTATACTTACAGGGCTGCCTACTTTGAAGTCTTCCAAAGGTCTTAACCGGGCGGAAATGTCATCAAAGTACATGCCATGCCGTCTGTTAGTAGGGCATTTGCCTTTGGTCTCACAAAAACGGCAACCAAATAAACTTGTATGGGAACCAATGTGGGCCATATCAGCTACAGCTGGAATATCGCCAGAAGCAAGCAGAAGATAGACCTTGGATCTGCAAAGCTCCACTCCATTGTGCTTGACAACCAAGCCATGTGCCTCAAGATCTCGCAATTCATTGATGATGGGTATTAGAAAGGAGTCCAAATGAGTTGGCTTCTTGGGGCCAGGCAAGATTGCCAGTTGCAAAAGGTATTTGTTGGTATATATAAGTATTTTATTAGTAATTTTTTTTTAAAAAAAATGTAATAATAATAATAAATAGTAATAAATTAATTAATTACCTGATGGATGGGTCTAGGTTGAATATTATGCAATGGATGATGGGATATGAGTTTTTGCCTTTCTTTTGATTGACAAACCCATCGGTATAAAGCCCAATAGCAATATCATCGGGATTGGAGAACAGGCCCTGCTGCACCAACTGCTTGTAATTGTCACCATCAAAAATGTCGGTTAGCTGACCAGCTACAGATTCCCGGTTTGCTCTGTAACAGAGGAGTTCTCTTGTGGCTGGATCTGCCAACATTTGAGAAAGCATATCCCCAACTGACATAAGTTTCATACTGGCAGCTGGTGTCTGACTTTGATCGGGATCAGTCTTGTATCGCGGTTTGCTGCAGTTAACACAAGATTCCTGGTCGTCATTAATGCCATACAATCGACAACCACTAGAGCAGACATCATACTCATGGCCCTTGACACTTGACTTTGACTTGAGCAAAGCATCAACAGTTTCGCCATGACTGATCTTAGCCCCAGGTTCTAAAAAAAACGATATCACTACATGTTAGTGATCTGGAATTAAAGTACAAGGTAACAGAAAATATAATATTTTACCCATCATTATATCGTCATGGTCTCAGATGACAGTGTTTATAAATTGAACAATGTCTCTATATGCTGCTCTAGCAATTCTATGCTGTAGCATCAATTGAGACAGATGAATACTCATCAACTCGGCCTTGGTAAAAGTATTTGTACTGATTCGGCTGCTGTCGTAAATGTGAGCTTCACTCTCACTGTCCTCAAAATTACATGCGCACTTATATGAAATAGTATTATCAAGCTCCATAGACTCCATAGTATATTCTGTAATACATTATTTAGTAATTGGAAAATAAATAATACAATTACAGCTCTTTTCATTACCTGAATTGCTAACAGATTCATCTTCATTACTAGTATCATTTTCGTCATGGTACATGTCAACATCATCCAGAATAGACTGGTCAATTTCAGTCATTGTTGCTGAATCTCCTCTGTGAATTCTCTTGTGGTTTTGCAGCTTCTGGTAGTTATCAAAAAACAAGACACATTGATCACATTGGTATTGCTGTGTAGATATTCTATCTCTCTGCTGGTTGGCGTTGGAAGAAGACATATTGGTTAGGTTGGTACGTATGTAATATATAAAATAAAGCTGCGAAGAGGATTTTGGTGCTATTTATTAAATGTAAAAGACATCTTTATATACTCTTTATTTTTTAACCAAAATGCTTGCGGCTCTTTTTCTTTTTCTCTCTCATAATGATGATATAGCAATGATTACAGTAATGTCAATGCTAGGTGAAACACCTGTCAGTAAATAATTCCCGTGGTTGGAAAGATTCTTCTTTATTAATAATTATGATGTAAGTTAAAATACTTCTTGGTTGACAAGGGGGTACTATTAAAAGAGCACCGGTGAAACAGACACGTACTCTTTACTTGTGAGTGATTAGATATTCTTTGGGCTTTATAAAGAGGTATATGTATATTTAGGATAATTAATGACCAAATAATTTATGTTTTTTTTTAAATAAATTATCAATTACTCTCTAATACCAAAGGCAAAGAAAAACAGCCTTCTAATAATTAACAGTTAAAAAAAAGTAGTACTGTCTAAACACATTGGTAGAAAAGACATATTTATATTATCTGTGTTGTACTAATAATATTTTTGAGATAGTGAATATATATTTAGCTAATAGCATTATTTTCTTGTTTATGTATAAAACTTAAAGAAATAGATATAGATAATGAGGGCTATAGTCTGATACTCTTTTACTGACATCATCAAGATAAGCACTACTGATCGAAAGGGGTGTTAATTGAAAGTGCCGATGTGAGTTAAAGCACACCTTTTTCAAAAATGTACAGTTTCAGTCAAAAATGCCCCTTGGTAAATAATAGTAATGACAGTTAAAATTATTTTTACCTTTGATGACAGCATCAATCAAAAGTTTTAGTCGATAATGATAATAAGTATGATATGAACTTGAGTATCATAACATTTACTTTAATGTTGATAAAAAGGGACTAATTAACTATCACTGCAAAAGGAGGGTGGATTCAGTCGAATTTTATTTTTTGAATTTTGGCAAAATTTGGAAAAATATTTCAAACACCATCGTTTTTCAATATATTTTTTTCTTGAGATGGGAATTCGCAATTTTTTCTGATTATATTAAATAAACACAGATACAAACACAAATATTTATTAATTAGGCAATAAATCGCACAATTGTCTTAAAAAATATATGTTTCGATTGACTTGGCAGAAAAATAAAAAATAAAAATAAAATATTAAATGTTAAATGTAGTATTTAATTATTTTTCTGGAAGGAAAAACTTGTTGTTACAGATGCACCTAATTTAGACTCAATAATATTTTTATTGCATCGCAAAAAATACCGAATTTTATTAGAATATAATAATGTATGATATATGACTTATTTTTAATAAGAAAGTATATCAAAAAAAATTGAAAAAAAGGGCAAGAATTGATGTCATAAAAAATATAAGAAAAAGAAAATCCAAAAAGGCCACTTACCAAAATGAGCGAGAATTGATGTCATGTTAAAAAAACGCGAAAGAGAAAAACTACGTCATGATATCAGTGATTATTAAATTGAAGCCCCATTAATAATCAGGCACACTTTTTTTAAGAAAAGATTGCTGTATCAAAATCCATTTGTAATTCTTACTAATAGGGACGGTAAGCTCAATGTAGTCAACAACATAGTGAACAAGATATATCAACTCATTATTAATGACAAAAATAAGAGACATATAAAAGATGAAAATAAAATATAGTATACACCTCTTTATTATTTTATTATTATTAATATTATTCTTACTGTTATGAATTCTACAACTAAAACCTACACTGTTATGTGTACATGTTCATCATGTACCAAAAATGCAATTGGCGGAATTTTGCAAAATGCACAGACCTTTAAGCGTCATAATAATGCTGATAAGTTATTAGACATTGGCCCAAAAAATCGAGGTAAATGACATTTGAGTAGTACGCGCATTACTGAATAAATTGTAATCTAATATTTTTTTTGTTAATTATCAGTTAATACAGAAGTTGTCGAAGAAGAGACAGATGTTGAGATGGTAGATGTATCTGAAACATCGATTGATTGTGAGTATAAAATTTCTTTTTAATAAATCATAATTTAGATAGCTAATAGTCTGGTTTTACTATAGATGAAGACAATTATTCTATTGTATCAGCCGAAACTACCGTACAGAGTGTACCTTTTTTGAGAGAAGACGAGATTTTTCAATTCGAAGAGTCTGATGTCGAGACAACATCATTGGCTTCTGACAATGACAATCCTGATTCAAGTGATGAGTCTGAAGATGAGAGCGAAGTTGAGGTTGCCAGTGTTGAAGATTTTGAAGACATGGTTGCTTCCGGTATGCATACATTTAAAAAAGAAATATACATAAATTGTGTTACAAATAATTAACAGAAATACTTGCCTTTGTAGTTGCTTCTTTGAAAATTCATGAAATGTCTCAAACAAGCCAATTCATGGCTCTATTTGGCGTTATCTTTCAGGCGTTTTACTTGGTTCAAGCAGGTGGAACTGCTATGTTGAAATTCTTCCGCCATCTTCTTGTTGCCTTTGATAAGGATACCGATCTCCCACTCACCATTGATGCATTAAAGACTATGACCGGCTTCAATTTCATGACAAAAAGCATCGTCAAATACACCGTCTGCAACAAGTGCTTTGCAATTTACCTACCAGGCAATCGCCAACCAAATTGCACATTCGAAAAATACACAACCACACCACCAACATACTGCGGAAATCCTCTTTTCTCTGACACCAAAGCTGATCGCGCCGTCCCTCTCATGGTTTTTCCATACAACTCGCTCAAGAATGCATTGGCACAGCATTTCGCCAAACCTGGGTTTGAGCATCAAATCGTTCAATGGAGATCAAGGGAAACCGTAAACAGTACCTTGTTGGACGTCTATGATGGTGCAATGTGGTCTGAGCTCCTTGATGAAGATGACGAGCCTTTTGTGAATCACGACCATTCTTTGATGTTGACATTGAATGTGGATTGGTTTCAACCGTTCGAGGGTCGTACACATGCAAGTGGGGCCTTGTACCTGTCAATGAACAACCTGCCTAGGGAAGAAAGAATGAAGCCAGAAAACATTATCCTTGTCGGTGTCATGCCTGGTCCAAAGGAAGCGAAGATCGACCAGATGAACAACTTCTTGGAACCTCTGGTAGACGAGCTGGTAGAGTTATACGGCGGCATAACTATGAAAACTCCAGAGTTCCCCAATGGTACTAGTATCTGCGCTGCTCTTATGTGTGTTGCTTGCGACATACCTGCTGCAAGAAAGACTGCTGGATTTACAGGATTTGCAAGTACAAACGCCTGTCACATATGCAAGCGTCATTTCACTGTTGTTGCTGGAACAAGTAAGATCAATTATTCTGGATTCGATCATGAGAACTGGGTCTCCCGAACAAAAGAGGAAAATGCAACCGAAGCTGAGATGTGGTTCTGCGCAGAATCTGATGTAGAGAGAGCTGTTTTGGAGAAGCAGCATGGCACCCATTTTTCCGAGTTGCATTGCCTACACTACTTTGATCCCGTCCGATGCATGATTGTTGATCCCATGCACAATTTGTTTCTTGGGACAGCAAAGCGTATGATCAGTGTTTGGAAAGACCTGAGGTATCTCCCAACTGCTGTTCTCGTCCGTATGCAACGTCTTGCCGATGGTATTCTTGTTCCTCCTGGGTATGCCGTTTTATCAACAAAGATCGAATCTGGTTTCCCGTATATGAAGGCAGACAAGTGGCGATCGTGGTGTCTGATTTATTTGTTGGTGATACTAAAAGACGCTTTGCCTGAAGACGACTACAAAAACTGGACTCTCTTTGTAAAAGCATGCCGAAAGTTGACCGGTCCTTCAGTCACATATTCAGAAATTGACAGCGCACACCAGCTCCTTGGAGAATTCGGAAAAGAGTGTGAGACTCTTTATGGAGAGAGCAGCATCACGCCAAATATGCACTTGCATATGCACTTGCGTGAGTCAATGCTTAATTTTGGTCCGGTATACGCATTCTGGCTGTATAGCTTCGAGAGATACAACGGCAAGTTGAAGAACATCAAGACGAACCGTCGCAATGGTCTTGAGGTCACCTTCATGAGAGTCTTCCTGGAGAAAGCATTCATTGGTAGCTTTCTTTGAGCGTATTCTACCAATCTTTCATCACCACTGATAGAGTTCCTTGAGGGGGTTGCCCAAGTAAAATCAAATTCCGACAGCTCTTCTCCCTTGAATTTGGATGCTGGCCACCCTCCTGCGTTGCCATTTAGCTTAGCAATGTTCCAGCAAGCTGCTACAAATCCATGGTACAATGTCACTGGAAGTGAGGCCTTGCCCCCGACCACATTGCCAATCAAGTTGCAGCCTTTGACTATGATGAAGGATGATCACTATCAGTGGTTATTTGAATTCTATGTCAAGGCTTACCGGAGTACAAGTGTTTCCTTCTGTGTGGTAGGGAGAATCCCAATTGGTGAGGATGTATTTGTGAACAATCAGATTCAAAAGGTGAAGAAGATTTCGTTGCTGGGGCAAGAGTACTGCAGTGGTGAAAAGAAGAAGCGCGGGTCTTTTGTGAGGGTATTGTTTCTTGAGAGAACAAATGATGATGTATCTGAATTCTCTGGTCAAATATAGTATTTATTTACTCATACCATCAAGATCGGTGGAGTCAAAAGAGTGTCAACATTCGCATTCATTAAATGGTTTCCCGCCTACCATTCAAGTAGTCATCAGCCATTAGCTGATCAAGGTCTGCAGTTGTGGGACAAGGGATTTATGGAAGAAGATGCTTCGTGCATTGTTCCAGTGCATCGTCTGCATTCGTGCTTTGCGTTGACTACGCATAAAATGCAGAGTGGGACGCAAAAGCACCTGGTTATTCCACTGCCTAGAAAAGTAGTCTCATAAAAAAAATAACAACTATTTAGGTTACCAGTATAAATAATTATAATACAAGTTTTTTTGACTGTAAAAAGGTTTAGCTTTATTTATCTCTGTATTCTTATTTAGTTTTAACATTACTTCTTTATTAAGTATTTAAAAGAGCAATAGTAAATTATATTACCAGTTTTTTTTAACTATTAACAAATAGTAAAAACCATTATTTATTTCTCTTGCTTTTATCAATAATATAAAAGACAAAAAAACTTGTATATTTAATACCCGACATTTACCATTTTCTTTGCCTTTATTACATATTCTTGCTAATATTGGTATTATAATTTCCAATAAAAAAAAAACGAGGATAAAACAATCAGGGTTATATAATTAAATAATTGCTTTGTATATATATTTTTTTTATTAATTGGCTTTAAAATAAAATAAAATAAAATAAAATAAATAATTTATTATTTTGATTTTTGATTTTGTCTTTTTCTTTTTCCTTTTATTTATATATTAATTGCTTCTCATCTTGACAATACCACCTGATTATATTTTACCACTTCACCCCACATCATTCAACACAATCAATAAAAATCATTAAAGTACTATATGCACTTTGTAAACAAAATAACGATTTATTGTTGGCGTGTGTGAATCCAAGCAGCAACACGTGCCTTTTTCTCATTCGATAACTCGGTGTTTCTCAAAATAATTGGATAGACAGAATTGCCAATGACGTCTGGTCCCTTGTTAGCAAGTCTCTGTTTCTTCAAAACAGTAAAGTATTCATCCACCTGCATTATAATATAAATACTTTTGAGTTAGAAGTATTAAAAAAATAACTTTTATCATGAGAGCCTTACCAAGAGATGTCTATTTCTAGGAGTATATCTAGTTTTATTTTTCTCCTCATCTGACTCAATATCAGACAACATGTCATAGTCCAGAAGGTCAACGACAGTCTCACCAAACTTAGACTCAAGGTTTGCCTTGTCAGCTAAGTGAATTGCCTTGTAGTCTGCAAGAATCTGAAAAAAAAAGTTAAAATAGTTTACACAAAAACTGTTGACTATACTTACGTTTCTCTTTCTGGACCGGCATCGAGAAATCCGATTTTGTCGAGCTATCTTTTCTGGCAAAGCTTTTGCCCTTTGAAGCATATACGAAATATGTCTTCAGGTTTTCTCTTCCACAACTGCAGACGAAACAGACTTTACTTCAGCTTGCTGATGTGTGTAGCTCTGCACTACATCAGCAATGGGACGGTTGGATGTTGAGAAGGCGCCCTCATTGACTGTCAATGGCATTGTTGCCAGAACTGCTCGTGTTTGAGAACGGATCAATCTCTGCAAAATATAATGTAAGTAACTTTGCAATATTCTATTACTAGTATATATCCTACCGAAACCGTTGGAAGGCGGTACTTTATATATTCTCCTGTAGTAAGAGCCTGACCAATGGGACTATGGTTTGAATTGTTATTCTGGCCATTGGTTGCTCCCATGTTGTGGTAGACCTTCTCCAGAAGTGAATGAGATTCATTCAGTCAGGTGCTCATGGTGGACAAAGTGGACAGGACAGTACCATCTAGCTCTGCGCTAACTGTCAAGCTGGGAAGAATTTCCCGTTGTCTTGTGCTTGCTGCTGTCCCAGCGGTTTGTTGAACAGACTTTTTTGTAGTCGTCTTTTTCGTTTTTTTGGATTGCTGCGTATTAGAAGACATGAATTGAGATATTTAAGGCTAATGAAAGAAATGGAAACAATGTGAATACTTTAATAATTAGAGTCGGGTTTCTTTAAAATAATAAAATAAATCAAAACATACGTAAAGGTGGAAAGTAAGGCACCAAAAGATTATTTTTCTGATGATGCTCTTTATAGCATTTTGCTCTCTATATTATACTTTTCTTTATAAGCCGACTTGGAAAGGCATTTGTAATAGCTTACATCCATTACAAAGATGTGAGAGATTATGGTTTAGTACATAATGTCTTGTCTCAATCGGGATGGGTTGAATGACTTTCAATTTGCTCCATTGATTCTATCAGTTTCTCAGGGTCAACGGTCATAAAATTATAATTTTGAATTTCCCTCGTTTTTTTTTTTGATTTTTTCTTTCTTCTTCTTTACTTCTTTCTTAATGTCTAACATGGTAAGCATCAACTCACATCAAAGTTTCAAGACCTAATCATCTTGTTGTTTTTATTCTAGCATGATACACTATGCTTTAAACCACCAAGTCCTTCTTAACTGCCTCAAAAATAATGATAAAAAGGTAATAAAAATATACTTGAATATTTATTCACGATTTATGTATTAATTATTCTGCTTAGATTTTTCTGGCCTGTTAACAAAGACATATATCTTGGGAGGGTTTACAAAATGGTATGTTGTATAAATATTAACGTGCACCTTCAAGATACAACTTGTATTTATTATTTTTCTTATGTATACCATACACTTTATAGTCACTGGTCTTTATCTCGGTCCTCTTTTTTTGATTATACACCGACTCTTATTCTCTACAGACAGACAAGTAAGTAAATAATCATTCTACTTCTTTGTATGTAATTCTAATGAAAAGAAATTATTTTATAGATAATATCTCCATTTCCCGCATGCTGCATCTTCTATTGTATTGAATAATTGGTAAGCAAAAAATAGTCTGATACTCTTTATTTCATTCTAATAAAAGATTATATTTTATAGACAATGTCATTGTATTTTGTGTTTGTCAACTCTTCTGTTTTCTGAACTGTCTGGTAAGCAAACCATAGTCTTATTTACTTTGCATCGTATTAACAAAAGTTATTATTTTTATAGACAATATTACTATAATTGAGACATTTAACTAAAACGTTGATATATCTATCTTTATGTTAAAGACATCCATCTGTTCTCGTGTTTAACTTTATTGTAAGTACATTCATATTTTTTAAATAATCTGTCGCTCTCAAATAAATATACCTAGAACATTCTTTCTAATCCACCCTATAATTATTTTTTATAAAAGTAAACAAACAGGCCAAGAAGGCGTGCCGCAGCAAGCAATGGAATACAGTAGGGGTCGATTGCACCAGGGGTGGACCAATGGATGTTCGAAAGGAATAACATAGTATCTACTAAAATAAATGACGGCATCGAGTGTGATGTTTCTACCCAATTGCAACAGAAGACGATTAGTGATGTAGACGAATAGAAACAGCTAGAAACAATAAGAAAATTTTTTCAAACCAATAAAAACCTTTAAAATGACCCATAAACCTCTAAATCTTGACTAAATCTTGACCAAATCTTGACCAAATCTCTTCTTTAACAACCCATATATAGTAATAAAAAGATGTTGAATGTTATGTGCTGTATTTAAAAAAAAACCCCAAAACCAATATAAAATGAAAAATCTGCGGTCTGATAAAAGTGCGTCTATATTTTCACAACCAAAATATATCACATAAAAGTATATCACACTTTTTCTTTTTGCGTTCCTAAAATTCAGTATACTAATTGTATTCATTTAGCTCACGAATTTTAAAAAATTGGCATCAAAATTCCGATCGAATTCATGCTGAATTTTATTCATTCAGACAGTATTTGGTCAAGATTTAGTATACTGAATTGGCCCTCCTTTTGCAGTGTATATGATGTTCAGATGTTATATAGCTACTGTAGAGTATATTTAAAGTTATAATTTTAACTGGTACAGGGTTTTGTCATCGAGAACTTTAACCAAATTTCATGCTATATCTGCAATATGTATAGAGTTATATTATTATATCATATACTTTAAAACGTTTAATATGTAGACGGTGCAAAGTATGAACATTTATACATATAATATTGATTTAAAGTCTAATTCATTTTATCTTTATATTTCTTACAGTTTTGTTGTGTCGACACGAAAAGACTGTATCATGTTCACATGAGCTACTGCAGACAGGTGCAGACAGGTGCATACAAGTGCATAAGCATCCCTTCTTCTATATGTTTTGTTTGTACATCTGTCTGTATCTTTTTCATATAAATAGCTATCAATTGCTTGTAATAAATCGTTGCCTTTCTCAAACTCAAATCGCTCTTATTCTACTTGTCTAAACTATCACCTTTTCTTTTCAACTCACTGCTTATAGCTAAAAAAAAACTTAAACATGTCCGATATTAACACAACTCTCCTCAACTCAATTCAAAAGATTGAGGTTGATCTTGCTGAAATCAAGCAAGCATTGCGTGAGCTTCAAAGGCAATTCAGCAATCAATTTGAGCCAGCAGTCAGTGCGGAAGATCTAACTACAATGCAACAAAGCATTATTGAGCAGAGTTGTAAGTCATATATATTCTGTGCTTAGATGTTTATTTACTTTATTAATATTGTCATACATTTTTTGTAGCTCTTGAGCACATTGCCGAGTCTGTGAAAAGAGCCCAGCTCACAGAGTACCCTGATCAGCTCGGTAAGCGAGTAATCAATACTGGTGGCGAGTTCAAAGGAAAAAACGAAGCACAAAAATACAATCTGTTGCTTCAGATTCTTCACGAGCAGGACTGGAAGGCGCGCTGCAAAGAAGTTCCACAAGGGCAGCCTTTGCCCCCATTAGTCCCTCTTTCAGACCATGATTTGACAGTAAAAAGACTGCATCTCAAAACATTAGGCTGTACGGTAAAGCATGATATCATTGACAAAGACTATCCTGCGGCCTCAAAAGAATGGAAGAATATCCCAGAGAAAAACAGGGAATACTACATGATGCATTTGGAGAGGTTGGTGAAGAATGGTGGATTGCACATCCACCAATGTAAAAGAATGTGGTGTGTAAGAAGCCTTCTTCGGGAAAGCTTCAAGAGCGACAACCAGACGCACAAGAGAAGAATGGCAGAGAAGAACAAAGTAAGTTTATCAATTAACAAATCTATATCTTGTAAACTTTAATTAACACCGTTTCCTTTTATTATGCTATAGACACAGTGAGACATAAGTGATTCTTCGCTTTCTTCTCCTGATATGTCAGAAACTGGTGATGTTGAGTCGCCCATAATGGCAGATGTGCTGTAAGTTACCATTGTTGCTTTTTCTCATGCGCTGTTAATACAAAACTAATATAAACTTCTTACTCTTTTATGTAGGTCTCCTCCACCCACAGCAAGTGTCGAGCCTACTCACAAGAGAAGCCAAAGATCGTAGTTTGGCTGCTGTGATTGGCCGAGTTTTATTTTTTTAGTCTGTCTTTAGTGCATTTTTTTTCTTATCTCGTCATTTTTCTTTTTATGTTTTTTATTCCTTTTTTCTTTCATATAAAAAATTTATTGACCTCTTTCATATGATTGCTAATGTTGTGATTACAAGAATTTGAAGCTAATGTACAGCATCTACAATTCTGCTACATTCAAATATAAAAGGAAATAGTATATAGCCTTTTTTTTGGGAAAAAAATTAATAGTAATATTTTTATACTGATATATTATACTTGGGAGTCGTTCTATTATATGTAAGTATATTGAGTAGAATAAACATGTTAAGCTTTCTAACAAGATGCTCATTCTGGTTGTATGAATCAGATTTGAATTAGCTTCATGTTACATGACTTGAATCTTTGCTCAAGTTTTTCTTCTTCTATGATAACGACTTTCTATAGTGCTTATGTTTTATTGCTTTTCTTATATATAGATCTTAAATATTAATACATTCTTTAATATATATATATATTCTTAGAGTAAATGCTTATTTTACTGAACAAGTAAGCATATTATATAAAGGTAAGCATTATAATAATATTATATCTATTTATTTATTTTAAGTTTTTTCTCTAATATTAGTATATTTGTAGAAATTGGTAAAAAATAATAAGTGCTATCTAAGATATATTAGAATACCCAAAGTATATGAAATACAATTTGAATAGTAGTGTTTTACTGCATACGTTTTGCAGTAGCTAAACAGAACCATTTTTTATTGCGAGTGGCCGATGGAATTGTTTTTTCATTATTACTATTATTATTATCATTTTCATTTAATAAAACATGCATTGAAATAAAGATTCAATTCAATTAAACCCGATTCAATATTGTATAATAAAAAACAGACCATTCTGTTAAAGCTGCAAAGGAAAAACAAGAGGTTGTGCTAGAATTGAAAGCAATAGAACAAAAGAAAGAATGTAATAGAGGAAAGGAAGGACGCTTGATTTTTTTTTGAAAAATGGTAACAGTGCCTGTTTTGGCTTTTTACATAATAAATAACTGCCATTTTTTATTATGAAAAAAATGGTAACAGTGCTTGTTTTGGCTTTTTACATAATAAATAACTGCCATTTTTTACTATGTAAAAAATGGTAACAGTGCCTGTTTTGGCCTTATACAGAGTCATAACTGCCATTTTTTATTAAGTAAAAAATGGCAGTTATGTTACCAAAGTGGTAACATGTTACCATTTTCTCTGCCGTAGTGCTAAAGAAACTGGCATTCTTTGTCACATCACTCCAGGCACCATGCAACGATGTAGGGATTGTGGATTTTGTGGCTACCATTGCAGTACCAATCTCCCTTTGAGTGGCAAGAGAAAGACATAGAGGATGCTTGATTCCATACTTTCCACGTACAAGTCCCCATACCTGTTTACCAATTCCATGGCACAGACCATGCATCTTGTCTAACACAAAAAAAACGGGCCAGAGAATGTTTCCATTGAGGCTAATGGTGACTGACCATTGAGCCCCTTTCTGTCTTCACTGCTTGCCAGATTGTAGTTTCTGAAACTCTCCAGTGAGCGCGTCTAGGTTCCAGGCAACATGCAGAAGTACTGGCCATGTTTAGGAGTTTGGCCCACTATGTGACAAATACAACAGCCATTCTTACTCGTGTGGCCAACATGGCATGCCAGCTTTGCCAGAGCCGGAATATCACCAGTAGCCATGAGGACATGCACCTTTGCCCTGATCGTTGTTGTCAGTGCCTTTACTTCCATGCCTTCTGTCTGGAGCAAACTGAGATCTCTCAGCATTGGCTTAAGAAAAGACCAGATGTCACTGGGACCAGTGCAACCAGGAAGCATTGCTATTTGGATCATCCTGTTTTTCTCATAATGGATTGTCAGACTCAAGTTCAAGACAGTTGCATGAACAATGGTTACTGATCCAGGTACATTGTGTGGGTTGAACCCGTCCATGGACAACAAAATCGCAATATCGTTTTCACCAGAAAACAGATGCTTCATGAATTGGTATACATGACCATCAAAAACATCTGCTTTTTGCCCGTCTTGGCTGGATTGGTAGTTATGACGATAGATCATTTCAGCCCTGGTCTTGTCATCAGCCAAGCACAAAGCAAGCTGTCTGGCCAAAGGGAGCTGTATGATCGATCTCACAGGAACCCTGGTGTCACTTTCGCTAGTTTGGCCATTTTTGTATCTTGCTTCACTGCATTTTATGCATGCGATATCATTCTTGTTGTTGAACTGCATACAACCTCTGATGCAAATGTTGTATCCGTCCGCTTTGATACCTGAGAAGCGCTCAAGAAGCTTGTTTCCAAGGTGTGGGCTGCATGCTCAGTATGTAATATTGATAGAATAATCAAGGATCTGGTTGAAGTGTTCTACAATCTTTTCGTGGGCTCGATGAGAAATTCCGAACTCTTGGATCGACTGCATGAACACAAGATTCTTTTTATCATCATTGCTGGGAACAGGAAGAGGCTGGCTAAAATCAAAGACTAGCGAGGGTGTGGTGCCTTCAATTTCATCAATGACATTCTCACATTCTTCTCCAACATCGTATTATAGTAAGATAAACAACAATAAGTATGCCTATCATGATATATATATATTTATGTATCTCACTATGGACTCATCATCTTCAGTACTGTCAATGATATCCATATCCTCACTACTGCTTGTATTGATGTTTTCTTTGTTTGTTTATCAAAGTATACAGCTAATTAATATACTGTCTATCTTTTTTGTGTTTTTGCTTTTGATAAGCTTACCCAAAAGCCTAGTTAGAAACCATTGCTGATGTAAACTGGCTTTGATCAGAAAGAGAGACAGTTTGGGAAACTTTGCCATTGGCAAGTAATTCTGCCCTATTTGTCATGCATCATTCGAGACATCTTTTATATGTTCGACTGTTAGTAAAGGTTGACTTGCAAGTAGGCATTGGTAACGAGGGGCTTTTGTAATTTTGGACATGTTTGAGGTAGGTAAAAAAAAACTTTGTTATATAAGTAAGAATAGAATTAATTACTTTCTGAATGTATAGCTTTATACTTAATTATATAAAGACAATGATGTTATATGCTTTCTGAATATATGCTCAGGATCTTAAAGAAGTATCTGTATGTCATCAGTGAAGTTACTAGATCAATGTTTCTTCAGGAGTAACCAATAGATTTTTACAAATAATTTGAAACTGATAATTTAAAGCTAAAAAATTGAAGCTAAAGATTTAAAACTAATAATAGTTTCTGGTAAAAGATTTTATCTTTCTTTCTTTTTCTATAACAAACACGTAACTGATTTTTTTTACAATTATGAACAATACAAACAATACAGTGATTCAGTCGCTTCAAGGAATACAAGCTGCACTTATTTCCCTAAAGAGTGGTCAAGAAGCATTAGAAAAAAAAACAAGATGTGATGCAACTTCAAATGACAAGTTTTTACAATGAATTTAAAGATCGGGAATTTCTAGATAGAACTATTGTAACCTCTACCAGTGTAAGCAAATACTATAACAACTAAAGTCCTTTCAATTAATGTCAAGCATAATAGACTCTTACTCGCATCATTCCAAGACCCATATCAAAAATCAACGATATAACTTTAAAGCATATATACAAGATGATAACAGACGATCTTAGAATAGAATTGACCAAGGAAACTAAGAGAATTGTTAACACATGTATCAAGGTCATATGTGATCAACTGGCAGCTCTTCCATCTGTTCAGGATCTTGGAACAAACTCTGCCTAGTCATTGCTCCCTCAAGAGGATAAAAACAGGCTGTGTATCAATCATTTCATTAGACTCAGAGACAACGGAATCGATTTTATCAGATGTCACAGAAACTGGGCATCAATTGCAAGGGTTAACCAGCTCTGAAGAGGGTGTAAGAAACGAGAATACTCTGGTAAGTTCTTATCTGGTAGGTACAATAAATTGTGTAATCAATGTGAAAATATATTATAATTTGAAAGAATTTTAGCCAGTACAATTCATGAATAAAATGTTATTTCTATTATAACAACCAATAAAAACATTTTTAAATAATAATCTTCTATAAAATAAAACTTTTTTGCCCAATTAAAACTGTGAATGAATCAGAATATATATATAAGAACCAATCGAGAGAATACTTTTGTTTAAATGACTAATACTATCAATGGGCATACTGAAATAAAGTTTATATTATCTAATTAAAAGTAGCAGTATAACGAAAGTATTTTATGAGTGACAATACAAAGATTCTTTTTTTCCATCTATACCAATAAGAAAGCTCTTTTTTATTTTCTTTCTACCAATAGAGCAAGAAGAATAATACATAAATTTAAATATTGCAATATGAATAAAACCTAACATCCATCAGTTAATGGAAATCTAATTATATTTCCAAAAATAGGGGTGGTCTTTTTGCTGGTTTTACCAAAACTGCCACCCAAAAGACCACCTAAAAGTCCACCTAAAAGACCACCAAAAAGACTACTTTTTTTCCCATAGTAATAATATATCTGCTATTATTGGCTTATATATATATCAGATTAGCTGTTATCAGCTTGTATATATATCAGATCAGATATCATTTATTTATATATATACTAGATTGGCTGTGAACTACTTATATATATATCAGATTAGATATCATATGTTTATATATAGAGTAGATCACCTGTCATCAGCTTATACATATATGAGATAAGCTGTCAATAGCTTATATATATACCAGATTGACTGATATCAGCTTTTATATATATGAAATTGACTATAATTATATTATATATACAAGCTAATCAATTATAATTAACTTATATATATATGTGATATTGGCAATAATTGATTTATATATAGTGTCAATTGGCTGTTACCAGCTTATATAATATTGTATAATCTTAGATAATTATATATAAACATATATAGAAAATATAAAAAATAAAGTTTGTGTAACATATGTCATTATGCATATTTGCGTAACATAAACGATACAAATCACTATAGAAAATAATTTGCAATGATTTCCAAAAAAAACTGCACATCTGCAAAATCTTTGCACATATTTAAAACTCCTGTTAGTCTTTCTAAATTTAGAGCAATTTAAACCCTTTTTAGAAGCTCTGTGCAGATAATTATAATTTTTTTTGGTTGTTTGACTCAGACAGCCGTTTTAAATGAGAAAAGAAAGAGGACTGTTGTTTTTTGTTTGCAAGTTTGATCAAAGTCAAGAACACAGCCAATCAATTAGATATATCATAAATTTGGTTTTTCTGGCATTGAAAATTTTTAAATCAAATGGTAATAACAACAGATTCTGCTATTGTTTTGGGTGATTTTTTTTAAAGAAATTAAATGTTTATATATGTATTAAAAGAATAGGGAAAAAAAAACAAAGAAAAAAAAACCTATTGGTTGTATTTTGGCAAAAGCCAGATAATGCGCCAAATGGCTTTGTTGTTTGGGTCGTGTATGAGGCCAGCAATCCCCTTGATAGACTTCACGTCTACCACCTTCACCACACCAGGTGCCAGGCTATCCCAGACAGGGAAAAGATCCTGGTTCACGCGTTGGACATCGGAAAGACAGTCAATGGCCACAAAGAGTCTGGTCACTCTGTTGACAGTTTGGGAGAAGAATTTAAGAATAAATCCATACCTTTCAAAAAATATAAATGAGTTATGATTAATAAAATTTAACAATATAGAATACAACTAGTGCTACTTACTCCCTGGCATTGTCAAGCACAGCAAGATTGTTTGCTTGACCATTCCTGCTGTCAACAGAGGACCGGACTCTATAGATCACCAAGTCTTTCCACATCTTGTTGGCGCAAACCACTTCATCGTTTTCCTCAAAGGAAACAATGCCTTCTCTTGCCCAGAAAGGCACCAAACTGCGGACCAAGTTCTGGCACTCTATGCCAATGGCAGCAACCAACTCAGCCAGAGAGCTTTGAGTTGGCCTGGACCAAAGTTGAGGACCAGCAACATTGTTACTTGCAACCTCAAAGTTGCTGGTCCTTCTGTCATTTGTGGCACAAATGACAGGTTGGCAACCAAGACAGTGATTGATTGCTGCCTTTTTGAGCAAGAGATTCTCTATGTTCTTTCCTGGTTACTTTCTCAACTTGATTGCCATGCTGTAGACACCAATTGTCCTTTTGGTTGGCCTACAACTGTATGCCCACAGAGAGCCTATCTCCCACATCATATAGCCAAGATGAACCAGCATATGCTGGTTCATCACGAAAACTGTAGGCTTCAGCCTCTTTTCTTCAATCTCACAACAGAGGAAGGCATGCCAGTGACCAATGGCCCTATAAAGATGATTAAAACACTGATCAGTATATATCCAATTGACTTACTCCTCTGCTTCTTGGATATTGGCAGCAGTGGTTCTCCACTGCTGGGCAATTCTGTATGCAGTAACAAGGTTCATCACTGCTGCTTTTGTATGATCAAAAACGAAATGATTGATGACAATCATTGGAACAACAAACAAAAGGAAGTCTATCCAATCAACAGCCTTCCTCTTGCCATTGAATTCCTTCAAGGATCTCCACATTCCTGTGAAATTGGCTGGTATATTGGCTCTGGATGCACAAATTGCTTTGTTGATATCTTCCAGACTGACATCCAGGGCAAACGGGTATCCATGGTGTTTCAACTGGTCTCGCAAGTGAATGCCATGTGCATTTCTTCTACCGTCATTGATCGTGGGCAGAATTTTCCTCCAAGTGCAACGTACAACTGCTGGCCTGTACCGTGACCTAGAAGGTGCATCTCATCCAGTCTGAAGAAAGCAGTACTGGTTATTGTGGGCAAGTCCTTGAAGATGTTGGGCCCTTTGACGCCATACATCTAAAATGGTATCAATATCTATTTTGTTTAACAGTTTACAACTTACACCTCCAACAGACTGGTGCAAACTCTCTTCTGTTCTTAACAGTGACGGTCCATCTCTTTTCACAATACAAGTCGTGCTTGAATCTCTTGCACCATACGAGATGCAAGCTCTGCATCCGTGATGGGCATTGTGATGTGCCAGATTCATCTAGTCAGAGATGGCTGGAATATCTCCAGTCGCCATGACTAGATGAACCTTGGCAATCACCAGTCCAGAATCAGTCTAAACTGCAGGCCATTTGCCCCCAAGTTTCTCAGGTCATTGAGAACCAGCTCCAAAAACAAAGCAATATCTTTTGGATGGTTAGGTCCTGGTATGATAGCCAACTGCATCATGTTACCTGCCTTGTATCTAAATAGTTCGTATTAGTAACTTTATCTAAACTAATTTTTTTTAAATACCTTTCTTTAGGATCGATATTCAGGTTAATAACATGAATAACAAAGGATGACATTTTGGCATTTTTAAATGGGTTGAACTGGTCAACAAACATGGACACCAGAATGTCATCCTGAGCAACCACTCTACAATCAAGTAACCGTCTGACTGCGTCTCCATTGAAGATGTCTTCACATACATTTTCACGTCTGCCAGCCAAACACCTTGTACCATAGGCCATCTTGGCCTGTTCCTCAGGGTGGGCGAGTTTGAACTGCAGTTGCTCTGAGAGAGGCACAATCTGAAAGGTCTGTGCAGGATTTACACTCACTCTCTCCACTTTGTACCTGTCTTCACTGCAATGAGGGCATGTCTCATTCTTGTCAATGAAGTCTTCTTCTTCTACTGTTGAGAACCAGCAGCATCCATTTATGCACATATTGTTTGCAATGGACTTCACTGGGTACTCCTCCTTCAACAAGATGTCTACCCTGTAGTATGACAGAAGTGAATCCACTTTAGCTAAAATGGTGGTAAGTGCATGTGATATAAGAAGAGTATACTAATTATAAACTTACTGGATCCAAGTTCTGCCATGTACTTGTTGATAATTTTTATGCATTTGTTATAGACTTCCCCAGAGATGTTGTTCTCAAAAAACATGGAAAAGAATTCTAGACTGACAGCTTGTGCACGACTGTTGGACACGTGTGTGGGAACAAAATGTTTATAATCAGTGACATGGTCTACTGGAGCATTGTAAACTCTGTCAGAGTTACAGACACACGAATATCCATAGTCATTATCTGATATATTTAGGGTTTTAAAGTTAGATACAATTATATTTAATACTAATGTTTTTTTAGTTGTTTCTTTCTTATCAGACATATAGTCGATGTTTTCATTGATTTTCTCAACAGACTCGACTTGAACATCATTGGTGTCTATACTCTCTGCTTCATTGTGGTTGCTATTGCCTGCAGCCAAGAACTTGTCAAAGTCTATAGGGGCAGTGGTAGCAACCTTGTTCCTGTTGTTGAATTTTTTACAGGCTTGGGTAATAATACGGTCTTCAATCTGATTTGAGCATTTAACAAAAAACGAATCATCAAGCATATGACCACTTGTTCTGGTCTCAGAGTCATTGTTGAGTAAATCTTTGATATTCATTTTGGCTTATGTTTGTATGTTAAAAGAAGTAGGGATGTAAGGTAGCAAAAAATGTTCACGAGATGAGAATATTTTTGTATTATATTGGCACGTTGATAGTGAAAATTACAAGTGCACTAATTGTCTTAAAACTTTTTTTCAAAAGGATTTTGATTGTTTGTTTTTAAATTAATTTTTACTCATTTTTCTTCGACTCACTTCGCCCCTTTCATTTTATTCTCCAACTATATTTTTTATTATGTCAACATACAAAATTACACAAATACTTGAACGTCTGGTCTACTTAGAAGATTCTAATGCTTCACTAAGAACTAAAGTTGCTTTATTGGAAGATAGGCTTGAATCCTTGACCAACAATTACGAGGCAGAACTAGCTCTGTCAACTAGAGACAATGCTCAGACTGCAATGCTGTTATTGCCTGTAACTGGGGACCATGACATCAAACGTCCTTCACCCCATGGGAAGCCAGAAGGTTGGAATCAGTCAATGAAATGCTTCAAGGGGGTGTTGGCCGCACACTTTACTGGAGGCAACCTTGTCAAAGCCAAATTGGTGTACAAGGCAGTGGGCAAGCTCACTCGAGAGCTAGTCCACTACTCATTTTCCAAATATAGTGGCAGGAATATTGCTATACTGTCATGGGGTAGTCTGGCAGATGACCAAAAGACAATAATGAGCAGCAGCCTCAAAGAGAATGCAGCCCTGAAAAACATTGCTCTTCACAGATTCAAAAATTCTTGGGAAGCATTGCTCATACTCTCTCACAAGTGGAGAACTGCCAAATATCATGGAAGATCTTATTAACAAGTAAGGTACTTATAAATATAAAGTCATTTATATGTTTAATCACAACTAATAAAAAACAACTGTTTTGTTTTGTTTTATTTTATTTATTAGAGTAGGTAATACTAACTTTTATATTTTCAGTCTATAGAAACCTAATAAAAATATCATTTTAAAAAATAACTTTATGAAATACAATATAATTTGTTTATTGCCCTGTGTACTTCTTCTATTATTTTGTATGTTTTTTTTTGTGGTTGTTTTTTGTAGTTTTTTTTTTGTATTTTTTTTTTTAAAAAAATATTTCAAGGACCAAAAATAAAAAATAAAAATAAAAATAAATTCGCCCATGACGTATTACATATTTTTGACCAATAAGTGAATAGATAAATTTACTCAAACAAGGTCTAGCTCATCTTAATATAAGTATTTTACTGGCTGGAAAGAGTTGTATAACACTAAATAAAGTTCAAAGTCCTCATATTTCACGGATCCAATTTGCCAAGAGATGTAGCACCAACAGAGTTATGCTTGATTTTTATTGGTCCATTGAGAATGGGCAGTTTTGCACATAATCGCTCGAAATGTGCACTACGGAATTACAAATTGTGCCATTTTCTACAGTGAATGCATTACTGAAAAAAATTGATAAGTTTTGGCTATACTTGTTATATAATATATAATTATGCATAATCTTGCATAAATGATTTACGTGAACAATACAAATGCATTGCTAAAAAAATTTGATAACTTTTAGCTATACTTGTTATATAACATGCATAATCATGCATAATCTCACATAAATGATATATGTAAACAATATAAATGCATTGCTGAAAAAATTTGATAACTTTTGGCTGTATTTGTTATATAACTTGCATAACTATACATAATCTTGCATAAATAATCTAAGTAAACAATACAATTGAATTCGTGGAAAAAATGATAAAGAATAACTTTTTCTGGAAAAATTTTCTTTTTTGGTTAGTCTGAATACGCTTAGTTTGAGAAGTCTTATTATTTTTAGTGTGGGAAGATACACTGAAAAAACACCCCTGAATACACTAGTGCCGAAATAATTCAGTGATAGTATATATGTAGGGTATATTTCATCTCAGCACCACTTTTTGTGTTCAAATAAAAAAACCTGCTTTTACTACATTCTATTGGCTCGGATATAACAAGCAACAAAAGTTATTTTATCTATTACTATAAAGTCTTTGTGAATAGATAAATGTAATACCTGTTTCCCTTTTATTTCATTATTAAAAAAACACAAACGTCATGTCTTCTACTATCAAACAAAACTTTGAAGAGTGCTATTGTACCGAGTGCATTAAAAATTATAATGGATACACCTTAGTGTCAAAGATAATTGCCCAGCGTCATAGCAAGAAAGCAGCTTTAAAAGATGCTATCAGAAGTGAACTTGGTATGCCATTTATAATATAAAATTTGCATTTTTATATATTAATCACCACGGATGAAATTTGATATCAAATTAGGAAATTGAAAATGCATCTGTTATCTTATTGACTTACTAAATATATTGCTCATGTAATTTCCTTTTATACTTATAAATCAAAACTTGTGTTCTTTATAAGGGAATGCTTGCAGTACAGACATCTACAAATGTATTTCTAGTGTAACAGAAGAGAACTAAAAAATGACTTAAAGAAATTGGAATGTTTTATTGAGATAAAAAAAAAGATATAAAAAATTAATAAAAGGAATAAAGGAAGGACTAGTATGAACCAAATTTGTTGAGGTTAACAACATATTTACAGCCAACTTTCAGATGCATGTCTAATAGACAAACAACCTTCAATTCATCTAGTGGCGTGTATATATCATCAGCATATTTGAGTGCTAGATGATAATTGTTGTGAACAGCATGTGCGGATGGATATTTGATATACAAATGGTATACTTTAGAAAAAAGCACCATTCCAATGATGATATGTCTATTGCTTTGTCTAAATAGAGCAAATGTATTGTCTTTTAATATCCTTCCAGGGGTCAAACCTGTACTGTTGTTGTCTGCAAATTCTCTGGACCCACTGAGCAAAGTTTCATGGAATTTCCCATCAGAGTTTTGTTGCATACATTCTGCAATAGCTTTTTCATGGGTTTCCCTTAAACCATTCTTGCCTATCCATGAACTACCATCAATAATATGTCTTGTCATATATTGTTTACCAAATTTGAGACATATATCTTTCGATGTGTTCATACGGTTTGTATGAAACAAGTGTTCACAAATGTGCTTGTTGAACTGCTCTCCCTTTTCGGTCTCGTAGTTAAGAGCAGGCCCAAATCTTTGTAAATCTTCAGGTAGATGGGTCAACAGATGGACTTTTGGCTTGGACGTATAGAATGCATGTTTTTTATGTTTACAGTTAGTGTCGTATTTGTGTAGGGCTTCAATTAGACTTCTAACGGCAGAGTCTACTTCACTGATATATGTCTCGTATTGATTGTCAATAGATCAAACAAATACTAGAGAGCATAGACAGCCAAGACGAACAAAGAGGGGAGTGATTTACTGTAATACTTCTGTATCTGCAAACTTTATGGCCAGGATTACCGGAAGTATTTGGATTAGTACCTTGAAATCTCTACCAAGAAACGAACCGGCATGGGTGAGAGACCTTGTAAACACTCTTGATATGCCTCTGGAATTTTTGTAGTCTTTAACATAATCAAACAGTTCTTCTAGTTCTTTTTTGTTTTTGTTCAAGACAACTTTAACCAGATTGGTGATAAGATACTTTGCAATGCCAAGGAGAATGTAGTGCAATATTTCAGCAGGAGTGTCTTTTGACTGGTCATATGCTTTAAGTTCTAGCAGTTTGTCTGTTGACTTGTTTTTAAAACTTAACTCTTCTGCTGTGTTTTTGTTGTCAAAGTAAGAAATATCAGGGATCACTGTATCTCTGTCTGGCGTAGAAGTGGCCTGGATATAATGATCCTTGGCTCTTGTTGGATGCCTGTTAGTATAGTATTCAACTTCGTTCAACTTGGGGATTCGACTTTGCAATTTAATGTAGCACTTTCTACAAGGGTAAGTTGAGTTGGGCGCACCTAAACCGCAAAGCTCTGAGTGACAAGGTGTATCTGCCTCAATCAAAAGTAAAAGAGATACCACAAGAACATATGCATTATCTTCTGCAGAGAACATTACCACGCCGTTTTCTAGCTTCTTCAAATCATCAACAATTTCAGGTAACAACAAGGCAGCGTTTGCACCTTTTTTCTTTGGAATTGCTGATATAAATAAGATATTCTCTATGGAGCACCTTTCTTCAAAAGAGAGGGCCGCACATTTCATCAACCAGCTCTCGTATGGATGAAATTGCTTAGAGGTGTTTCCAGAAGTATCATCTGAGAAAAGAATTACAGGTGCAATCTTTACCTTGTAATATTTTCTTTGGTTGTTTTCTTGGTCAGTTCTGTCACATATAAGCCTCTTCAGAAAATGTTCTTCTTCAAGTAATTTACGATGAGTTGGAATGAGCAAGATAATTGTGTCAGGAGAGATGCTGCAACATAAGGAGGTGTTTAATGGGGTTGTGTCGACAGAGAGAAATGATTCAATATTTATGTCGGTATGATTGATTTCGATGCCAATGCTACAACCATCTTTTGGAGTTCGAAAAATATATCCATGAGAGAAGACATTAGATGTATCCATTGTATGGAAAGATTCCACCAGAAAGCGAATGTTAGGCAAGCAATCTTTTAACAGAACAATGTCACCAGACCAGAAATCAACATTGTTGTGAGTAAACATGGGCTGTTGGAAGTATGTATTTGTTCTCCATTTTTCTCCTTGTTGAAGACAGACAGATTGGTTTGGCATGCGATCAGGTAAAGAAAAGATTGATTTTGACTTTATAGGATCGGCAGCAAGGAGTTTGATGTGCTCAGAAGGCAAGTTAAGGAATGCGGTGACTTTTGTGCTGTCAGAAAGAGTAACATCTAAACTTTTCGATTTGAAAATTGGGATGTTCGATCCTTTTCGTGTCTGATAATTCCAGAGTGCATCTAACCGGGGCAACTTGAAAGAAATATCTTTTCTAATAGCTTCTTCGTGGATCTTTAGAAGAAGATTGATGGTAAATAATATCTTCTTTAACATTCTACAAGAAATCATGTCGTTATCACCATTGACAAGTGCGAGCAAAATCATTGTCTGGATATCTTTAAATGGATGAGTATTTGGTGTAAATCTGTTCCAGGCGGTAGAGTTAAACACTTCACTCTGGAATTCATCCTCTTCATCTATTGAAGATTCGTTGTTATCAGCAAAAGCAGACATGTTGTTCAAGATGTGATTAAACAGAGGAATGCCTGCGTTTGGCTCTGTGTTTTCCTCAACATCAAAATCACTATTGCCAACTCTACTTCCATCATCACTTTCTTCACACTCGTCATAATTTAAGATACTGTTGTAGTATTCATTATCAACGTCTGATTCCTCTTCCACACTTTCACTTGGTGTAAGCGGATTTTTTGGGCTGTCGCTCATCTGTATATCTTGATATTCGGTCTCCTGGACTATGCTCATATCATCTGCAACTGTTTCCATTATGTCATGGCATCTTTGCAAATGTCTTTTAAGATTCCAGTGATCTTTAAAGGTCTTCTCACAAAGTGAGCAAGACTTGCCAATGTCAACAAGACTGAAGTTGAGTTGGCCTGGAATTCTTGGAGTAGGTACTGATACTCTTCCTGGGGCAAGTTTTTTTGTTACTCTGTTCATTATTGTTTGTAATGTAAAGGAGGTAAAGACAAAAAGATAGATAGAATTAACGTGTACCTCTTAATTTTGTTCAAGTTACAACGTGTCTATTTTGTGAACAAACCAATTAAATTGCATTATTTTGCTGAGATTTTAAAAAACCAAGAAAAAATAAAAAAAACCAAAACATTCTTTACTCTGTATTTTTTTAACACAATCAAGTTACTAATCAAACTTTTAATGCTAGTATACAATAACATGTTCTTCTCGCGAAAATCTATGGTATGATATATATGACGGCTTCTAAAAAACAATATAAAAGATCATTTATTTTAATTGGCATTTACTAATCACATTTAATCTCAAAATAGTATAAGATCCAACAATTTTTTAAGCTTATAAAGGTACATGTGTTGACATTAAGAGTAGTCTATACAATATGAGTATTAACAAAAACAAATTTATGTCTTACTCTAGATTTATTCATTATCATTATTATCAAAGATAACTTATTGGAAACAACTCTTAAAGATTGCAGCCACTAATCATTCTTGTCGTCTATATAGGTTTGAAACACTTCAAGCTCAATGAAATAGAAAGGTCCTATCCATAGCTTTTTTATTTTGTAAATTGTATTGAAGTAGCTAGCTAGCTTTTTATTTATAATAATAGCTACCAGTACCAGCAGCTCCTGTCTACCCTGCAATAACAGCCAGTACTAGGCTGATACTGGTAGCCTAGTATTTTATGACCCCCATATTTTCAACCCACAAAATAAAAATAAAAATATTTTTTTCAAACCGAAGATTTTTTTTTGTCAGCATTCTATTTTTCAAATTTGGTCTATTTTTAAAATCGTGAAGCTTCAAAAATAGTAAGTCCAAAAAAGGAAATCGAGCCACCGTCATACAAAACAGTCATTTGTAACACTAGAAAAATCTCCTATGGTGATAGCTTTTATATTAAACACAGGTGCACAGAGACATGTAATGAACGTTGATGCAGAGTATAAGAAATTTTTATTTGGGTATCAAAAAAACCAACTTTCTTATTATATTCCATATTTGTAGCTATTGTAGTCCAAGAATCTGGATCCGTAGAAGTTCTTGCACGTCAGTCTGACTTACCCATTTTGGATATCTCCCCTATGTCAGTGGACTATGAGGTTGATATCAGTTTTAATGACATTGACTTTGAGTATGAGAGCAATGAGAATGCTAAAGATACTGTTGATATTGATGCTGAAGAAGTCGACACTGAATGTTTGTATGAAAGTCAAAAAAAATCTAAAAAAAAGTCAAAAAAAAATAATATTTTTTTATATTTTTAAATAGACATGTTTTCAAACAGCAGTATGCCTGAGAATCCTGTACACAGATTCATCGCAACATTCACTGTGCTATTTGCATCCCACTACGTAGTCAACAAGGGCGCAGTTTTCTTGATTGAGTTAGCAATGAGCTCTTGAAGATTTACAAGCAGGACTTCCAGCTTCCCACAAGTCTGCCTGGTCTTCAACATATGACGGGATTCTGTGAGCTCTCCAAGGGCGTAAGACAATTTGTGGCCTGTGAGGATTGCCATGCAATTTATGAAGAAAATTAATCTGTCCCTCCTTGCTGCATCTTTGTAAAGACAGGTGCTCATGCAGCTTGTAACTGTGAATTGACAAAGAAATCTTCGTCTGGTGCTTTGATTCCCAAGTGTAGTTTCCATTACCAGTCCATCAAAAATGCGCTCAAATTTTTTTTTACTCGTCCAGGCTTCAAAGAAAAGATACGTCAATGGAATACAGAGCCAAAATTAGTAGACACAATGTGTGATGTGTATGACGGTGCGGTTTGGAAAGAACTCAAGGATAGTAATCGTGCTTCATTTGTTGAGCAGCCTCATTTGCTGATGCTGACACTCAATATCGACTGGTTCCAGCTGTTCAATAAAGTTACATACTCCTGTGGTGCAATCTACTTGGCCATTAACAACTTGCCTTGCAGTGACCAGTTTAAAGCTGAGAACGTAATCCTTGTAGGACTTATGCCTGGTCCCAAGAAGCCTAAAACCAATGAGATAAATAACTATCTTGAGCCAATGATAGATGAGTTGATACAACTGTATCGTGGGGTAAGAATCCCAACATTCGAGTCTTCTGCTGGCGAAGTGATTTGTGCTGCATTGATGATGGTTGCCTGCAACATCCCAGCTGCCAGAAAGACCAGCGGATTTACTGCGCATAATAGCACTTGCACATGCTTTAAGTGCAACCGTCATTTCACTCGCCTTGACAGCACAAACAAGATTGATTTCCATGGATTTAAAGAGTCTGAGTGGTGTCGTCGTAACTGTGAGGAGAATAGGCTGCATGCTGAGGAGTGGAAGAACGCAGTTACTATCTCAGAAAGGCAGCATCTGGAAATCGAAAATGGTGTTTGATGGTCGCAGTTGCACCGCCTTGGATACTTTGATCTAGTACATGGAACAATCATTGATCCCATGCACAACCTGTTCTTGGGGACAGCAAAAAAATGATGAATCAGTGGATTGAACGTGGTGTTCTTGGAGACAGAGATTTGACAGCCATGCAAAAGATAGCTGATAAGATGATTGTATTAAGGGGATATACTGCATTGAAAAGCAAAATTGGCAAAAAATTTGCATTTATGAAAGCAGATGAGTGGAAGTCATGGGTATTGATATATTCTCCTGTGGTGTTGAAGTTGGTGCTCTCATCCTTGCATTTCAATAACTGGATTGATTTTGTCCATGCATGCTGTCACCTTGTAAAGCCCAGCATTACATTTGATGATATTAATACCGCCCATAGACATCTCGAAAAATTTTGTGAAAAATGCAATGAAATTTACACTGTCACAATCCTTACCTATAATATGCACTTACACCTCCATATTCAAGAAACTATTCTCGATTTTGGACCAGTGTATAGTTATTGGCTCTTTGCATTTGAGAGATACAATGGCCTACTCAAGAATATCAGCACAAACAGCAAGAACGGTTTTGAAGCCACATTTATGAGATGCTTTGTTGAAGATATATACAAAAGTGATTTTGTTAATTCTGCTCTCACATGTCCCACTCAAGCTCCCTTTCTTTCTGTCTTTACCTTGCCATCTGCCTCCTCCACAATTGTTCAGCCACCATTCATTTTGCAAGCATTTGTGGATTCTTCTGAAACTACCAGAATTCCTATCTTAGGCAACAAACCTCTCCCACCTACATTCTTTCCACTTTCAGTTAGTAAACCTTCTTCAATGAGTGATATTAATTATCCCCATTTGTTGGAATACTATAAACTTGCATACCTCACTCCTGATCTCATCCATTATCAAAATGCTGCTGCCTCTCCATTCTTTGTCAACAATCAGATTATAAAGTTGAAATCAATCAATATTCTTGGCCAAGTGTACTATGGCAATAATGGCACCACTGGCCGCGGATCATATGTCCAATCATTGTTTCTTGGCAGTGATGGAAGTACAGAAACAACCTTCACTTGTCAAATCAAGTATATCTTCATTCATTCATTTACTCCTCCTTCAATGTCGCCCTACTATGAAGCCGATTCCACTCATCATGATCAACATATATTTGCGTTTGTCAACTGGCTTCCATTACTTGGAGATGAATCACAAGAGAAAGATGGAGTTGATATTTGTGGTTCAACACCTTTGCCATCAAACTATCATTCAATTTTGCCTGTACATAGAATCTCTTTAGAAGTAGCAATTGCTAATCATACAACAGGACTTGTCCAAAAAAAACTGGTAATTGCCTTACCAAAAAAGCTTTATACTTAAAAAAAAAACAATAATAAATATCCCTTCTTTTTTAAAAAAGAAAAAGTAAAGTAAATGACAATAACAAAAAAGGGCAGAGAAAAATAATTACTATCTCTATATAAATCGTCAGCATTGAGTTTGTGAAGATGAGAATAAATAAGATGAGATAAACAATGATTTTTATTTTTTTATTGTGGTCCATCTCTAAGGGTCCATGGAGGGAAACATAACGCAACGTCATCGGGAACTGGTTTCTCAGACAGGCTGGCAAGGTTTCTGTCTAACAACTGGCGAATGTTGTTACCCAAGTTTTCTTTCACAATCTCATCAATGTTGAAGATGAGGTTGTTAAACTAAAAACATATTTATATATAATATGTTAAATATTATTCAAATATAGAAAATTATTTCTTGCAAAATTATTTACCTCATCACTTCTCCAAAAAGGACGGGTAACCTTTACAATGCGCTTGCAAGGTCTCCCAGGAAACTCATCCTCTGACTCGCCTTCAGACATTGCTGATCTGATCATCATCCCAGAACAGTTTCTCTTCATTAAAGCATCAATGACATCCTTGTTTAACACATATGCCATTACGCAGCGATTGAAGTGCTGTAATTTTATATATATATTAATATTAATTCTATGGTTAAATTTGGGATGAAATATAAAACAACACTCACTTCAGTTTCTCTTGCAGCTCGTCTTCCATGAGTGTTAGTGGCAGCTCGCACCATAGGATCTTCTCTGTCCTTACAAGTTGTGCTCTGGAAGTTTGTGTGCACCATAGTATGGAATTTGCTTGTTTTTATATCCTGCCCAACAAACTTTGGGAGCAGGTAACCAAGAAGATTGGCAACGATCTCCTTGTTAGGGCTTCTATTAAAGAAGACATTCATTTCCCACCTTGGCTTTGCCTCGTTGGCACTGACAAGGGCAGGATCATTGGAAGTAAATTTGTCCCTCCGCATGTACCCTCGAATCAACTTCTATTTAACAAAAATGGTTAATGATTAGAATATTGGATATAGTAATACTTACAAAGACTTTGTCCTTGTTTTCACAGCTGATTTCAGAAGCGACACCAGCAGGAATTCTGACAATGGAACTGGCAGCAACAGAAGGATTATCAAGAGAAACAGAAGCAGATGTCTGGGATTCATTTCCTTGTCCAAAGCCAGCACAAATGGCTTTATGCATTGTGGTGAGTTCACCACGTACATCGACCATGGATTTCTCCATTTCTTTCATCTTGACTAAAAGATTTTTGTATTCATCAGATGAATTAGGAGCAATTTGGCATATTCCAGTCATGATCTATAATATTAAATAAAGTATATTTTTGAGTTATTTAATTTTTAACTTTTAATTCACAATGTTTGATTTCAAATTAATGATTTATTTCTTACGTTCAAGCAAGTATGTATGTGAGCAAGTAAAGAAGTGGAAGAGAGAGAGTGTGTATGTAAGCAAGAAGTGTTATGATATTCCAAAAAACTTCTTTATATAAGTATACTAAATGGAATTGTAAATATATCAAAAATATCCTCTTGTAACTTTGGAAAGACAATCCGTCATTATATTATCTTTTTGGACTCAATTGGTTTTTTTTCTTTTTTGTTTCAAACACATACACTTCTTTTCTTTTCTTTTTTTATCTTGTCCTTCCTATTTCCCGTTTTGTTCTTTTGTCTTTTTTATTCTTTTTTTTCTGATTTTGGGTTTGTTTCATTTTTTCTTGAATTCATTTTTTCTCTCTCTCTTTCCAACTTTTATTATATTCACGCGTTTTTCTGGTAAGACATATTTTCTTGGCAAAATAAAATACTTCCTTACAAACAATAAAATAATTAATTCATTTCACTGCAATAGGCAAGCACACACTTACTCTGCCTCTCTTACACTTTTATATCCCTTCGTTTTTCTTTGGTAAGACAATCTCTTTAAAATACTATATATATACATACAACTAAAAAATAATAATTATTTATGTTGTCATAGACACTCGCGTTTTAACTTCTGATACATCCTCTTCACAAAGGCAATTCAGATTAGCCAAGGTTAGTAAATATACTTTATGCCATCATCTTATAAAATTATTCTAACTTTTTTTTCTTTCTTATAGGCCATATTGCCAAAAACACTCTCTGCAATTAAACACAGCCATGAAAATGGTAACATTTTATTTTACTTTACTTTATTTTTATTTACTTTTTATATTTATCTAAAAAAATATGACTTTTATTATAGATTAACAACCCTCTCTCAAACATGCCATGCATCAAGAACTACCATCCCATGTTACCGTCATTGACATGGTAAGTCTTTTTTTTCTTTTATTGTTTTTATATGTACTACAATATTATTTATGCTGTATATTAATGTAATACAATATTCTACTAGAGACTATATCACCTCTTGACAAGTACTATCGATGTTTACATATAAATTGTTTTGCTTTGGGTATGTAAATAAATTATTCTATTGCGTAATTTACCTGAATTAATTTCCTCTGATCCTTTTTATAGTCAAAGAAAATTGAAATAAACGCCATGTTTAACATTCCCAGTGTCTTTTTGTTCAACCCATTTGTTTCTAGTATTTTCAATGTAAGTATATATTAAGTATATATTGATTGGCAAAAATTACTGAAAAGTATACTATCAAAACTATATAATTAATATATTGCCCATATTTTTTCAAAGGCTGTTGCATCCTAGCAAAAAAAGCCCATTATTTTCATTTTTTAGTGCTTTTTTCTATGCAGCAATCCTCAAAATAAAACAGTATCAAGGAGCCCGCGGAAAAATTAGCCAAAATATATAATACTATCACAAGACCATCAATCTAGAATTATTCTATTATTCTTTTTCAATAAACTTTAAATGAAACCAAAGCAACCCAATAATTATGGGATATCAAATTTACAAGAGTATGTTACAGACTGAGAGCAATAAAGAGGCTTTTGTGATTGGATATATTTGAACAAAAAGTAGTGTATAGGTACCTATACTCTAGTGTCAAAGATATGTGTAACTATAGTAAGGGGAACCCCATCAGATCTAGGATCAGCTCGCACTTTAAAGTATTTTAATAAAACTATAAGTTTTACACAAACACCTATAGTGTACATACGTAATTACTATATGGAGAATACAAATTGGTCATATCTGCGGCACCTTGCTTTGACACCACACTAGTGTTCTGCTCGTCACAAACCTAGTGTCTAAGGTACTCTGCCCATAGTTTACAGGTCACCCAAATCCATGCATATTTTTAAACTAAACACATTGGTATACCCATTCCTACACATGTGTATGTGAACCCATTTTTCCAGTGATAGATTATATAAATAGCAACTATGTAAAAGCTTGGCATGGAAAAACATTTAATCTTAAACTATCAAAAAGCCATTCTGACAATAAATAAAATATATCTCTTCTAATGAAAGTTCAAATTCTTACTAAGTAATAATTTTTTAATTTTTTTTACTATATAAAGTCAATTCAGTAATATAATATAAAAGTATAAAAATATGTAAAGAGCAAGTACAGAATTAATAAAAATTAATTTTCATTTTTTTTATTCATTTTCTTATAAAAATCGAAATATTATTATATAGATCAATAAAAAAATATATGAAAAAGTCAACTTAGTAATATTTATTATAATTTTGATATTGTTGTATTTGCAGAATCTGGGATATAAACTAACTGACTTAGAAATCCGTGACTCAAGTCAAAGTAGTAATCTGAAACAACACCAACAACAAGTAGTTGTTATCCAAGAGCCAATATACTTCCTTAAACCATTGCAAACAATATAACATGAAAATATTTTCTCAAAAGACAGTAACAACAGGAACGAATATCAAAGAACAAAAGATAAATTTTTCTAAGTAAAAAAGATATAAAAGAGATAGAAAACATCAAGCTAGAAACAGCATCTTTCAACAGATACAACAATTTCTCAATAAACCACCATACAAAAGTCTCACTTTATTCATCATCTCCATATCATTTCATATCTCTTCAATCTCAAGTTTATTATAATCAATCCAAAATACCTTATTTTTTAAAGTGAATTCTTTACAAATTTATATTCTATCTATACTTTTCAATCTACACATCCACCTATCTTACACACATACATCCATTCACTAGTGTCACTACACATTGAACCACTCACTTCAGAACCTAGTGAACACATTCCCATCTATGATGACATGATCATGGAAGGACCCAACCAAGATATAAAGAAATAAGCTAAGACCAAGCCAGTACAATTGATTGACAGTGCCGAGATCAAGCTTTGCACATTAATGGTGTGACTAAACCAAGAGTCCATGAACAACTCAGACAGTCAGGTACTCAAAAGCATTCAAAGGGAAATAGACGTTACCAACGCCTTACTCAACAGACTCCAACAATACCAACGATGCAACATGTTCCAAGATCCAAAGGTCTCACCAGATGGCATCTCCATTTCTTTCCGCAATATACCCAAGTTTCAGATCATGGGCAATAATGTACAAAATCCAAAGGAACCAGTCTACGATTTGGTATCACACTTCCTATCAATGTTTCAAAAAAATTCTGACAGCAGGCAAGACCAATATCGATTCAGCATGGAAAATTTGTCTGCCAATGTCTTTCGACCATGATCATGACACATGGTACAAATCGAACTTACAAGGAAAAGACATCTCTTGGAACGATGTGAAAGACATAATCACCAAGAAGTTTGACTCTTTTGACAGACAATTGGAAATGGCATCCCTCGTCTTTACAAGGATAATGGGACCCAACAAATCGATCCTCGACTATGGAATCAAATTTCAAAAAGCGTGCAGAGAAGGTGGCGTAAAAGAAAACGCCAACCTTGCTATGCGTTTCATGAGTAGCTTGACTCCGGAACTTAGTTCCAACGTCAAGTTAGCCTGGTTTGCTCGATATTCAGAAATGCCTCAAACGATTAAGCAGGTACTCCTTCTTGCTAATGGTATATCGACCAGCAATAAAAGAAGTAACCCGTATGACAACTGCAACAACAACTGCAACAACAGAAAAAGTAACCTAAACATAACAAACAAAGGAAAGTACTTTTGCACGCAACATATGTTCAACGATATGCATGTTACTTCTAACTGTCGCATGCTTCAAAAACACAAGCACACAGATAAAACCTGTAGATATTGCAACAAGCCTTGGCAACACCACCACACCTGCCAAGAGTATCTCCAAGCCAAAACAAGGACCGTAAATGCCATTGGTACCACACAAGAAAACATCACCTCACCTATCAATCATATAACCCAAACGCTTGAGAACGCCTCATTTGGTAAGTTAAATAATAATAAACAGAAGGATAAAATGAATTCATTCTCATTATATACACCTATACTCTTACAGAATGAGTATAAGATACAAGGTCTCATTGACACAGGGGCTCAGATTTCATGTCTTAGTTTATAATTCTACATCAATACAATAAAGACTTCAATAATAAAAGTTAAAGGACAACTATTGTTTGCCAGGAAAAATCATTCTTCTTTACGTATTGAAAAAAATATACTATTAAAAGTGACATATGCAAATGGCTATGAATTTTTACATTCCTTTGAACTTATGGAAATGAATCAAGAAGATAGTTTAATATTAGGACAAGATATATTACCTAAACTTGGTATCACTTTATCTGGAGTAGCTGTAGACTGGAACATTAAAACCAGTACTAGGGAAAATCAAGAAATAGAGAATGATCTTGAACCTAACAATTCACCGTACAGTACTAAAGAACAACATGATCAGTTTATGAGCACAATAGCTTGCTACATAGAAGATAATGAAGCAATACTTAAAACTTCATTTTGCACAGTACCAGAGTCAATAGCGGAACTCAAGACTGCTGAAGGTGCAAAAACCTATCAATGACAGTATCCATTACCATATGCGTTAAGACCTGTAATAGATGAAGCTGTTAACAATTGGTTAAAAGAAGGTGCCATTGTAAGAGCACCAGTAAATACAGCCTGGAATAGTCCTCTTACATTAGCCAATAAAAAAGACGTTTATGGCAACAGAACTGGAAAGAGGCCATGCTTAGACCCACGTCATATTAACAAATTGCTACCAGACGATAAATTCCCATTACCATTAATTAGGGATATCTTTGCCACCATCACTGGCACAAAAATATTCACGACCCTCAACTTGAAAAGTGTGTTCCATTGCTTCAAGATCGCAGAAGAAGATCGTCACAAAATGATATTCACACACAATAACCTACAATATATGTTCCAAGGGTGTCCATTCGGACTTAAACCTTTATAATCGAAGTTCCAATGTGTGATGTCATTAATATTCAAAGACATGCCATTCGTACAAACATTCGTTGATGACATTGTCATTTTTTCAAACAGTTTAGAAGAACATACCAAGCATGTTTGTCAGGCCATAAAAACGTTGACTAATGTTAATCTCATCCTGAATCCAAACAAATGTCATTTTGCACAAAAATCCATGTATTTGCTAGGCTTCTCCATAGACAAAAATGGTAGTCAAATCGATAAACGAAAAATCACCAACGTTATGAAGTGGCCCATACCTAAAACAGGTCATGACATTCAAAGTTTCTTAGAAGTCATTAACTATTTCAGGGATTACATACCAATCGTAGCACATATAACAGCATCTTTGGATGCACTAAGATCTGCTAACAACATAGAAAAAATATAGAATGAAAAACAGCAGAAATGCTTTGAACAACTAAAAGCAATATTGCAAAGCAATCCCATATTGCAGCACCCTGATTTATCACATCCGTTTCTAGTTGCCACTGACGCATCTAACCTAGGAATCCGGGCAGTATTGTATCAAATAATAGATGAACAGAAATGCTATATAGGATTTATGGCACGCGCACTTTCGAAATCAGAGCAAAACTACTCTACGACTAAAAGAGAGTTACTAGCAGTAGTGTTTGCACTGAAAAATTCCATAAGTTTCTCTGGGGAAATCACTTTACCCTATATACGGATCACAAAGCCTTGACCTATATACACACGCAAAAAATTGCAAACTCCATGATGATTCAATGGTTAGATACTATACTGGATTACAGTTTTGATATACTCCATATATCTGGCATTCTCAACAAATTGCCCGACCAACTATCACGCCTTTTCTCCATAGAAAACATGCTGGAGGGGGGTAATGAGACAATTAAGACATCTAAAGAGCACAAAGACCACATACACAATTCAAAATTCAAACACATAGCATACAAAACCAAGACTGAAAAAGAAAAATTATTCAAAGTAACAGTACAAAACATGAATCTCGATTATATGACACTACTGGAAGGTGAACGCAAAAAGATAATCCAAGATGCACATCTATTCGGACACTTTGGTACCAAACATATCGTCGAACTCACCCATAAAAACGGGATGCATTAGACCAATATAATTAAAGATGCCTTAGAATGTGTAAAAGAATGTGCATCATGCCAGAAGTACATTATAGCAAGAAAAGGATACAATCCACTTAGACCCATACATGCGTACATACCAGGAGATCACTGGGCTATAGACTTAGCTGGTTCCTTAACATCTACTGACAATGGAAACGTATACCTGTTTGTCATGGTAGATGTATGCACACGTTTTTGTTTATTAAGAGCCATACCAAATAAACAATCAGACACCATAGTTAAAACTCTAGTACTGGAAAAATAAAAAAAAAATACTATAGCTTTAAGTAACGAGAAAGGTAGTGGAAATGTCAGAGTTTTTTTTCAGCTCAGCCGTTTTTTTATTTAAGTTGGGGGTGTATTTTCAACGTATTCTATTGGTTTAGATAGACAATAAAAAATGCATATTTTTTTGGCTTGCTATAAAATCACATCAAATAAAGTATTTGTAGTACTTGTTTCCTTTTTTATTTTATAATTCAAGCTATATACAATATGTTTCCCTCTACTCAAATCCACACCTTAGACTGTCACTGCATTAAATGTCACAACAGTCATCAGAAATCTTCTTATGCTACAAAGCGTACTGAGGCCCGTCATAATAAGAGAGCTAGAGTTGAAGGTACCAGAATATTTGAGAATAGTATAATATATTCAGTGTTGGTTTTTTGTTTGCTGCGTAATAATCATTTTAATTTTTTATTTTTTATTTTTTATTTTTTATTTATGTTGTTTATTTTTAAACTTTTAATGAAACACAGCCGCAATGAGAAACATGGATGTAGATACTGAGGGTAAGAATTTTTTATTTGAAAGCAGAAAAAAAAACTAATAAACTATTATATTCCATATTTGTAGTAATCCCAACCTCTCGTTCCAATTCTGTGGAAGCAATGGACGGTCAGGCCAACTCACCTTTTTTGGATGCCGCCTCAATGTTTGACAATGACAGAAACGACAATGATTTTGATGACAATGTTGAAGATGAAGTCAATGAGATCGAGATTGAGGACTTCAACAGTGAAGGTCAGTGTGAGATACATAAAGAAAACTAAAAGAAAAAGAGAGTAAAAGAAAAATCGTGTTAATTTTTTTTTAATTTTTTACAGACCCTTTTGCTGCTCCTGATATGCCCAAAAATGAAGTCCATCAATTCATAGCCATCTTTACGGTACTGTTTGCTTCACGTCATGTTGCTGATAAGAGTGCTGCTGTCTTGATTGAGTTTATCAACAATCTGCTGAGAATCTACGACCAAGATTTTCAATTACCAACCAGTCTTGCCAGTTTACAAAAAATGACAGGATTTTCTGCTATTACAAAAGGCATCAAGAAATTTGTGGTGTGCCAAGGCTGTCATACAGTATATCACAATATCGTATCTGCTCTTCCTCGATGTGTTTCCTCAAAACTTGGTGCCAGGTCTGCATGCAACTGTAATTTGATGAAATCCATATCTTCCGGTGCCTTGGTTGCAAAGCGTGAATATGTCTACCAATCCATTAAAAATACATTGAGCGTTTTCTTCTGTCGCCCTAGTTTCGAAGCCAAGATTCGTCAATGGAATAAGGAGTTGAAAATGGTAGATACTCTGTGCAATGTCTATGATGGTGCGATGTGAAAGGAGTTGAAGGACAAGGATGGTGTATCATTTGTGTTGGACCCACACTCACTAATGTTAACACTTAACATTGACTGGTTCCAGCCCTTTGATGGTGTCACTCACTCCTCTGGTGCTATCTATCTGGCCATCAACAACTTGCTCCGTGATGAAAGATTCAAGCCAGAGAATATTATCCTTGTAGGTCTCATGCCTGGTCCAAAGGAGCCAAAAACCAACGAGATCAATAGTTACTTGGAGCCCTTGGTGGATGATTTGAAGCAGCTGTATGTTGGCATGCAGATTCCTACACACGAATTCCCAAATGGTATCAGTGTTCATGCGAACGTCTATATTTTCTGGTATATGGTAAAGTATTAGCTGAAATTGAGGCTTATCAGATTTCTGAAGGTTTATGGGTTTTAAAGCTCCGAATTCAAACTCCGTCCTTTGCTTACACCGCGGCAGATTTTTTGTATAATCTTGTTCCTTAAAAGGATTCTTGTATACAGGGCGAATTTTGCTCATAACAGGAAATTAATTTTTTTGGAGGACTGAAAAGTGGGGGGATGGGGGAACTACTCTTGGCCAATAGATTTCGATTAAAAAATGTACTGCACAATTTCAAAAATGGTTCAAATTTTTAATTTGTTTCAAATAATTTTGGGTTGTAAAAAATTTATTTTTTATTTTCGAAAAAAATTAGGCTAAAAAAAAGCTAGACTGGACCATAAAATCCACAGGCAGTAGCACACCAGTATATCTATACCACTAGAAACACTAGTAGTATAGCTGTTTATACTTATGCCTGTAAATTACGCGATTGGTTTGCTGCAAACTACTATGTCTAACTAATCCAAGAGATCCGGTACCAGAAATGCCAATAAACCCAAAGAGCATAAAGATTTGAATTTCGAGAAAAGCTAAAGCAGAAGAACTAATAATTAGTAATTAAACTTAGTTATATATATTTAACAGAATTTTATCTTTGACTCTATTAAGGTATTTGCAATAAAAGGCAGCCAAATCTCTGCAAGTAAGGAGTAAATAGTTAGTCTTCTGTTGCTTTGTAAGAGGAACATGTAGTTATTATCTCTTTATTGATTTACCAAGATGATGAAAAATTAATTTATAAACTAGAATTGTATGATTAATAAACACAATGACATAAAAAACTTTGATAGCATAAATACCTTTGAGCTTATGGTCCTTAAGCAAAATTCTGCTTCTATAAATACTATAAGCATACTGGAATATCTTACAAATGGAAGCTCATGCAAATAATAAATATTTTGTGGAAAAGTAAAATGAAAAAGAAGACAAAAACACGCGATATTTTCTTAAAAGAAAAGAAGTAAAAAAAATTCTAATTGGTCTGCTGAAATTAAATATCAATCTTTCCACATTTTATAAATTCAATTATTTTCGCAAAGTCATTTTCCCCCCTTTGGTTTTACAATCAATTTACTATTATGCAAAAGAATACAAGACAAAAAATATATAAAATTGTTAAGACTCACCCCCTAAAAGGCAAGGCGAACTTAACTTTAACATCAATTCAGGTGTTTTTACCTGCTCTGAATGCAAAAAAGAGTTCGAAAAGCCTTGGTTACTGAAAAGGCATTCGAAGGTTCACCATATAAGTAATCAAATGGCAACCAATACTGTACTCAACAAACCTGAGCAGGCCGAATTGATAGTTGAGAACACTATTCCAGATGCTAATGCATTTGATTACTCGAGTGACGAAGATGACTCCTCCAGTATCGGGGATGAAGAAGACAACATTGTAGACGAGAAAAACGATATTGTCAATAATTTTTTTGATATTGAAATGAATAGTAATCCAGTTTTCAACGCGTTTTCTGACATGTTTTCTTCTGCTGCTGCTGCTGATGAGGTATCAATGACCAATGATGACTCTGAGAACCCAGAAGAAGTCTTTGAGACAATTGGTGCTGTAAATGACCCTACAAGCTGTTATCCTTTTCGCAATCTTCAAACCATGATTCTTTTTGCTTTTATCGATGGGGATAATGACATGATCTCCCAGCAAATGTTGAAGAAGATACTGCTTGCGATGAATTTGATCATTAAGATCCAGCAAGAAACTCCCTTAGGAAGAACATTTAAGTTACCTCGTTTGGATGCTCTTTTAAATTATCAGGCAAGAAAGAAGTCCAAGATGCCTGTCTTTCCTTCACAAAGAATATCAGTACCTGGATCAAACGGGAACGCATTCGTCCACATTAACCTTCCGTCTGACCACTTGAGATTTCTTATGGCAAACCCAAAGAAATCCAAGTTGATCTCGTCCATGCCCAATCATACCCCAAACCAATCGATCTGTTTGGAACAAGGTGAAAAGTGGAGAACCCACCATCTCTTTCAGCAGCCTATGCACACTGTAAATGGTATAGATGTCTGGTTTGGAAACATCATTTACTTGAAGACAAACGATTGAAGCATCTGCTTTTTGGTTGAATCGTTCCACACGGCAAATAAAAACATTTTTGTAAGAGGGTATCTGGTCAGAGCGATTTTGATTGTATGCTATGGCGTTGAGGTTGCTGTTACCAATCTTAGAGTAGAGCAGATCTCTCACGTTGACACCACTCCTGTTGAAAGAGATCACTACTACAGTATCTCAAGTAGCCTTACCAGAGTGAGTCCTGCTCATGACTTTCTTCTTTTTGGAGTTCATCCAATGAAGAAGTCTATGATTCTTTCTGTTTTGCTCAGTAATGTAGATCGTGATGCAGTATTTTACAAAGTTAGGATTGTTTCAATCATTCTTTTTACAGATGACACTTCCGGCAATCGTTCAAAGCAGTACAATTCATTTGAAAGCTAGTTAATGAGATGTGCTGCCTTGCCTTTTAAGGATCGAAATTCGATAACAAACATCCAGTTTCTTTCTACAATCCCTAAGAAAGATAGTGCAAATGGTATGTCTCTTCTGCCAGCAATCGTTAATGACTTTAAGAAGCTCGAGAAAGGTGTAAAAATGTTCTCCGCTGAAGACAATGAGTATGTTCTGGTTGTTGCTCCCATTCTTTGGATTGAGGCTGACACACCATGTCATTTGGAACTTTGCGGATTGCTTGGGCCGGCCACCACATTTCCTTGCAAATAATACTACATCAAACTTAGACATGCAAAAGACTTTGTGAAGGACTTGTCTTACTTCTGTGAGTGCCATGAGAGACGAACTCGAGAGCACTATGTTCTTGCAAACTCGTCACCTGGCAGAGACACTGAGATCCCAAATGCTCCAAAAATTGGAATGAACACGCCTGCAAATGAGATAAGCTTTAGAGATCATTCGACTGGCCACTTATTAGAATTGCAGTCGTTTGATCCAGAAAAGAATACACCAGTGGAAATCCTCCACACAATACTTCTTGGTGTTGCAAAGTATATAGTGATTGACTTGGTTAAGGTTGTGCTTAAGAATGACACAGCCACAATAGCAAGACTTTCAGAATTCTTGACAGATTATACGCGATCAACTGGTCTATCAAGAAAGTTCACCCAAAACTTGAGACATAGTAGTTCATTTTTCAGTAGAGATTTCAAGGTTCTGCTTCAAATACTTCCTGTAATTCTGATTACAGAATTCTCTGGAAATCATGAGCTAGACCTTGTAATATCATGCTTTGTTGAACTTGGCCAATTGTGTTCTCTGTTATTCGTTTGTCAGGTGACATCAGACTTTGATAACTATATTATCAGAGTAGATAATACAGTGAAGCGCTTGATCAGAGCATTGTTTGACTACAATAAAGAAACCAAGAACGAGCTCCACAAGGCATATTGCACCAAGCTGAAAGTTCATTACTTGACACATCTCAAGAAAGATATAATTTGTTTTGGCCCAGCCCTCAATTATGAAACAGAAAAGGGCAAACAGTTCAATAAGCACATTTGCAAACATCTGTTTCATACAAATCACCAAAACACTTCCAGAGATATTTGCCTAAAGTTTGCAAAGCAGGTAACATTGCAACATGTAATTGATGGCGGGTCATGGATTAATAGCTCTGGCAACCAAGAGAAGTCTGGAACTAGAATAGAGAGGTTCATTAAGGACAACAATGAATCTTTGTTCTATTACACCTTCTTTGGTGGCTCGAGAGAGCTAAAGGACAACAACGACACTGGAGATATTGAAGATGACGCCGTCCAAAACAACAGTTTTGGCGCGTTTGTTTTTAAAGATTATTCAATCTCTCGCCCTTGTATAGGACTTGTCTCAGGCTCTGTTGTTAAGTTTCTTAGCATTGTTCCTTGTACGGATAATGACAGAAACAATAACTATGCCAAGGCTGTAATGACAGATGAGCATTCTGATGTTGCTAACATGAATCTCATTTGTAAGTTAGATTTGCACATTTTCCGCAACCTATTTTACATTGTAAATTTGAGCAAGTTCGGTTCCTACTGGTTCATTTTCAATAATATTCTTTTTGATGAATAAAATGATGCTACTTCTTTATTATTATTATAATTATTATTTGAACCTTCTGTTTTCTTCTCAACATCAATTTTTTTGCGTAATTTCTGTGAAGTCATTTTTTGGTTACTCAAACCAACCCCCAACTTTCCTTAATAAATCCTTTGTCTCACTTAAACACTTTCTGACTTCCCTAACAGTTTTTTTTCTTACTTTAAAAGCCCACAAGTAGTACTGAACTTAATTTTATCCTTTATTCAGATGAAAAAAATTGAGTACAAAAACAAATTACAATATTTTGGCCTCTAAGCCAATCATATTACTTAGGTGCCAATTTTCACCCAAAATGATAACAAAAATCTCTGGTGGTGTACAGTGTCATAAAGCAATCTGTAGATCACCAGTTCAATTCCCACAAAAGACATATAAATATTTAGTAAAATATAACATATTTAAATCATTATTATTAATTATTTTAAAGTGTGTTTTCTGTATCAATTTGTGACGTCTTGTGACGTGCATATACTTAAAACAATGCCGTAAATGTAAGCTATATATATTCAGTTTGAGCGTCACATAACGTCACAAATTGATAAAGAAAATATAATTAGAAAATTTATAATATCTATTTTAAGTGTTATAATCTTATAAATAATATAGTTTGTGTGGCTTAGTCACGTGCCACATCACAGAAAAGTTTTTTGACGGCTTTTATTTTGTTTAAATATTATGTTCATTTGTTTTTTTTTGCTTTCTTTTCTTTTATTTCTACTTTATTTATTTTGAAATGAATAATTAATCTTTTTTATCAGTTCGTCTATTATCTATTCCTCCTTTGAGCTATGTTATGGCATCAACATATACATCTGAAGTTGCAAAACAGTAAGTAAAAAAGCTATTTTTAATTATTATATATTAATATTTAATATATATAAAGATATTTGATTGCACAGGGTGCTTTATATCCACGAAATCATATTATTTTTACTTGTTCTGGTGGCAGTTCTATGGACTATATATTTGAAAAAGACAGAGGCTACAGTTACAGATGCAGTGGAGTAAATAACATGGGAGCAACATGTTGTAAAAGAGAAAGAAAATCTAAAAGATTGGATTCTTTCTTTGCACAAATACATTTTTCCTATGATATTGTTATGCAAGGAATATATTACTGGTTAAACTGGATTTCTAGAATGACAATGGGAGTTATGCTTGGTGTTTCTCCAGAAACTATAAGACATCTCATTGCTAGTATTTACCAATTGATTCAAATGGATTTAACAAACAATAATATGAGAATTGGTAAGTTTATAAGAGTTAATTATATATAGATATATTAAATATTTTTATAGGAGGTATTGATGACAATGGTCAATCCATTATTGTTGAAATTAATGAAAGCAAATTTGGAAAGAAGAAATATCACCAAGGACATTGAGTAGAAGGTGTTTGGGTTCTGGGGGGTATTGAGAAAACAGCAGAACAAAAAACATTTTTGCTGACAGTTCCTCAGAGAGATACTGCAACTCTCCTTCAAGTGTTAAAGCAGTATGTAAAACCCAATAGCATTATTCACACAGATTGCTGGGCTGCATATGGGGGATTGGCATCAGTTGTTGATATGAACTATACTCATAGAACAGTCAATCACAATGTTGAGTATGTTACATCTGATGGTATTCATACTAATACTATAGAAGGTAAAATACTATAAAAGATAAAATTATTTTATTAACTTTTATTACATAGGTCTGTGGAATGGAATAAAAATGAACTGCAAGGCCAGATTGCAAACAAAACAAATGGTGCCATAGATGTTGATGGAATTCATATGGAAAAAAATATGAGAACAGATTGTGACAAGGAATGCTAAAAACGTTAGCTGAGATTTCTTTTGGAAGCATTGCTGACAACCCAATATATACAAATTATGAATATTTAGAAGATGATGAAGATGAAGAATATACTGATTCTATAATTGTTTAATAAAAAATATAAGAAATTTGGATTTAAATTAATTTGTTTTAATAATATTAAAACAATAATATAAAAACAAAACATAAATACATTTTAATTCAAATATATCAAAAGAATAACATCATTTAACATCTAATAATAGATATAAGATAAGATTTATATCTTAAAAAAAATCAAATAAAAAATACAGAGAGTGTAAAATACATCCAGCTAGAATCGAATCAGAGTCTCCATGTCAGTGAACCATAACTGTAACAAGTGGACCACGAGCATATGTAATCAAAAAACATTTATTATATAAAATTCATTGCCCCTAATTTAAAAGCATATTTGTTACCTTTCTTACATAAACTTTGAAACTGCATTATCTTCACAACAAAAAACAGTACCAAAATTTGACGACTATTGATTAATATCTACGAAATTCAAACTATCCAAATCCGGTTTTGCCATTATTATAGAACAAATATTCGCAGAGTAATTTAAAAAACAAGATATTAAAACACAGATATATAGAACACAAAAAATGATTGGTTTTTAGCTTAAGAACATTTATCTGATTTTGAAAACTTATAGAGATATTATCCATATCAGTAGTTTAAATCTGGCTTTAAAAACCCCATAAACCTTCATTTAACTGAGACTGGCTGTATTACGTTTGTACTTATGACAGAAGGTGGAGAGAAGTAGAGAGATTGGTTTGCATGCATTTTAAGCAAATACATATGCTTACAAGATTTATATCTTTGCTGATAATCAAAGCAGGTACAGGAAATAATCAAGTTTGGCTCTGCAACCTGAACAACATATGCTATATTTTCATTTACAAACGACCAAACTTGCCAATTTACATCTTCTGCAGTACCAGGAGCAACAATCATTATTTCTCTGTCATCATCATCGACTTCTTCAGCTTCCATCTCAAATATTCTTTGCTGTCTAGTAAAAGAAGGGGATCTATATGGACATGCAAGAAAAATTAGGGTCGGACATGCAAAAAAAGACCAAAAGAGAGAATTAAACGTGATGTCACTTGTAATTGGCCTTTGGGAGTGTTACTGACAAATTGAGCACTGATAAGACATGCAAAAGCAACCAAATTGAAGAATTAAACGTGACGTCACCTATAATTGACTTTTGGAAGTGTTACCAACAAATTGGACACTGATAAGACATGCAAAAGTGAGCAAATTGAAGAACTAGACGTGACATCACATATAATTAGTTTTGCATGTTACACACATTTTTTTGGGGGGTCAGCCTTGATATTTGTTAAATGTTTCAAAATTAATGTTGATTGTAAAAATATAAAAAATGATAATGAGATAGATATAAAGATAAAAATGGAAGATTGTAAAGAAGATAAATATAGAAATATAGATAAATAGAAAGATAATAATAAATTGAATAGAAACAGAAGGGAATATTGATAATAGAGATAAATATAGAATCTAAAAAGTAAAAAAAAATCTAAAAAAGATATATACAAAAAGTTAGTATAATTCAAGATAATTCTAGTTTAAAAGCCATACCTTGATTGTTAGTACATCAAAGAATAATCTTCAAGGCCATGTTTTTGAATTATTCTTTTATGAAAGGGGTTGATTTTTGGCCAGCAGAAATTTCGAGTGTTTTTGCACTTGGCAAGAAGAAAGTGGTTTACATCTAAGATAATAATTATTGGTTCCACTTTTTCTGGCAAGGTAGCAAATGGAACAAAAAGACAGTCGCCTGTTTCAATTGGAGAATTCCAATATACAGCCACTGCTCTGCTAAATGTATTGGCTACAAGTTGAGGATGGTCGATTGTACCAAACCAATGTTGCTGGGGGAGAGGTGAGTGCTTGTCTTGGAGACTGCGAATTAGTGGGTTATTGGATGCAGGCATATTGCCATGCTCCATTCTTCCGTGGTAGTAGTTGTTTTGGTGCTTTAAAAATGTTTCTAGCATTTTGTCTTTTACTTTTGACCACTCCTCCTGGTCCTGGTACACTTCCATTGCTATCACCCTGTACCCACAATTTCCGTCTGCTTCAGGAGAAAAGATTGTTGATATATGTTTTGGTGCGATTGTGAGATTTGTTAGTAATGTGGAATCGCATGGTGACCCAAGGTTGATAATATTTTTTATGGCTTTTTGCTCTTTAGCTGAGGATATTTTTTGCCTAGAAAACAAAGCAAAGATTTAGTAAATTAAATCTAAACAATATTAAAATCTTACTTTTTTTGTTCTTTTTCTATTTTAATTTTTTTTGTGATTTTTTCTTTTTCAGTATTGATGCAATGCTCTAATGCAATCATCTTGCGCTTGGTATTTTTTGGTCGGCCTTTAATGGCTTCGACTACTGTTGGGCCCTTAAGGTTTTTGAGTTTCTGTGTGTCAATTTGTTTCAAAGTTTTTTCTATCAATTGGTATATATTGATTTGTTCTTGTTCGCTCTGAGCATTGGCGAAATGTTTGCAAATAAGCTCAAGAGCATAGTTGAATTCTGAGGTTATTGGTTTGATATTGTTGATGTTTGGGGGTACTGGGGTTGCATTTTGGATAGTTAAATGATCTACATAATAAAATGTTATATGAGAAAATCGTCACGTAATTATTGCTATTATTATATATATTACTTTCTCCTTCTAGATAGTTTTTTTTCCAGCATCTTGGGATGCAGGAGATTGGGATGGTATCGAATTTGGCAAGTGTGTGGTAACAAGGAAGCAGGTAGTTGTATTGTATGAGGCATTTGCACTCTTTGGCTAGTTTTTTGGGTATAATGGATTTGGATAATTCTAATTTGATTTGATCCATTGCAAATCTACAGACTTTAAGATGGATGTCATTTAGTCTGGCAGCATTGACTTTATCGAACACAATTTTTGTTCCTTCTCCAAGGCTTTCCACCATTAGCCAATGCTTGCGATCTGCAACCTGTACAATTTATAAATATATTATAACCAATAAATGCATAAAATAGTATAGAATAAACTTACCAACTCGTCATACCACTTTTTTACTTTAAGGGTAACTGTCTTCAGTTTACCCGAGGAAGTACCAAGAGAATGCTTGAGAGAAGAATGGGCACTTTCTTCACGGTTCAATGTGCAATTGCCAAAATGGGCATGTTTGTAAACATACATGTTCACCCAGTTTTCCTTGTCTTTCATTTTTCTGATAAAGTATATTAAAAAAAAACACGATTTTTTATAGTTAAATACTGTTTACATCAAATTTAAAAAATTTATATGTACTTCTCAAGAAAAGCACTAGCAGCTTTTCCTTGGTCTTTGCAATTTTCCTTTGCAAATTCAAGGTATCCATTTGTTTCATTTTTTACTTCTTGATGTGTAATACATTTTAAAGCAATTCGGTCAAGGAATTCTGACAGCTTATCCAACAGGTCTCTCTTTTCGCTACTCTCGTCTCTCTTCATCATCGGAAGCAATTGCTTTTTAAAGTTGTCTTTGATATGCTTATAGCACAACAACTGCTTCGACTCAGGAAAGACTCAAGTAATAGCATTTCTCAATGCTTTTTTATTGTCCGTGATGAAAACATCTGGGAGAAGTGTTGTTTGTTTGTCGTTGCTGCTGTTGCTGTTGTTGTTGTTGCTGTTGTTGTTGTTGTTGTTGTTGTCATCAGGCCAGACTGCATCGCAGAGACAGCTAAGCACCCAGAGATAATTTTCTTCTGTCTCATGCTCTACCCAAGCACCAGCAATTGGATACGTCTTTAAAGTGGTACAAGGGTTTCCACTCACATTGCTAGTACCAACAATGTTGACATAAGTCATTCGATGACTATTTGTCTTATATGTGGCATCAATAATGACAGTCTCAGGCATTCTTCGTGCCTCATTGATCGCATCCTGATGCACAAAGAAGACCATATTCACTTGATTGTCTTCTGTATTACCGACAGAATACCTGACATGGAAGTCAAGATCTTGCAGAGTGGTGATAAAGTCAAACATCTCCTTTCCTTTTTCCGATTTTCCAAAATGTTGCTTTATATTAGCAATGTCATGGCGAACAATGTTTGTATATCCATTTATCTTCAAACTGTTGAAGATGGTGGATATATCGTCATTGTTCTCCAGATGCTTAACCACAAGCGTCATTGCCTCAGGTGAGAGCTTGCGGTGCATAGCATATGCTCTGCGGTCTTCTTCGATGAGGTGATTATGCTCTGCCTCACAGAAGTGCACAGTGAGCTTTCCGCCCTTCTTGGTGTTGGCATACATGAAGCAAGGGCAGCCATGCTTCTGCGTGTCTTTTTCGCGCTTTCTCTCCCATCCAGGAAGAGTTTCACCCATAACTGATGTTTTGGAAGCAACCTTCTTGGCTTTTCTGGTATCTCTATATTTGCCAGAGTGCTTGCAAATCAATTTGATGCGAGAGCTTGATGCATATTCAGTAGTGAGAGCAATGTTATGCTTGACACCATATGCTTTGGCAGCTTCTCAAACAGCTACGACTGAAGAGAATTCTCTTCCAACAAGAAAAATTGAGTTGAACTCAGTCAAGGCAGCATTGTACTTCTTCGACGTCTTGCTAACAATGACAAAGTCGTTGGTGTTGTTGATGTTGTTAATGTTGCTCATGTTAAATGTCAAAAAAAATTATGCGCTGATGTTGTAGTAAAAAAGGGCAGTGATTTAATTGGCAATCTGGAGGGTAATTTATCTGATCCCCCCAAAAAAAAATGCGTGTAACATGCAAAACTAATTATATGTGATGTCACGTCTAATTCTTCAATTTGCTCACTTTTGCTTGTCTTATCAGTGCTCAATTTGTTGGTAACACTCCCAAAAGTCAATTATAGGTGACGTCACGTTTAATTCTTCAATTTGGTTGCTTTTGCATGTCTTATCAGTGCTCAATTTGTCAGTAACACTCCCAAAGGCCAATTACAAGTGATGTCACGTTTAATTCTCCCTTTTGGTCTTTTTTTGCATGTCCGACCCTAATTTTTCTTGCATGTCTATATCATTGCCCTAAAAGAACTCATTGGATCATTGTTTGACATGACGCGTTCATATTCTTGGGTGAAATAATACTCAACATCATATACTAAAACAAAAACAAGCTTATCAAGTCTCTTGTTTCTAGATCTTTTCATGAAAACTGTTTTTAATTGATTGTGCCAGGACTCAATATAGCTATTTGTGAGCATATGAGAGAATTGTCATTCATGGTATGCTCTACTCCAGATCTTAAACTTTGCTTCTGTGCACCAGTTTCTCTCAAAGTAATCCAAGAAGCTTTCTTGGTCGTCAAAGTCTTCTTTAAACTGTACAATTTTATGATGAAATTTGTCTATGTCTTCTTTATAAATGATGTCTTGCAGAGACTTTATCATCATACCATGTACAATTCGTGTCTCTGATAGTAAGGATTCAGGAATTTTCACACTGTCAGATAACTTTTGGTTCCATGCTTGGGTTACATGAAAGATGCAAAATTGAATGGATGTTGCAGGAAAAGTTGTCAGAATGTCATCAACTTCTGCTGCACAACAATCAATAGTAAATTGCTTTAGGTCAACAAGCAAAGAAGATCTCTTTAAGAACTGCAGCCACTGCACAATGGGGCTTACATCTCAATCATTGGTTACCATAAAGGCAACAAGCTATCCTCTACCAATATCTTCATCACACACCAAAAGAGTATAAAGAATCTCATTCACGTTGCTAGAGATTGCATGAGTAGCATCCAAACAGAAACAAGTTGTGGTTTTCATTTTTTCTTGCTGAACGGGTGACATAAAATCATATGCAAAGGCTGATGGATCTGGAGAATATGAAGTGCTTGCCTTAAAGATGTTGAAGTTTAAGGCAGGAAGTTTGTTTTTCATCCAGATTAAAAAAGAAGTCATTTGGTCTTTGTCAAAATGATACAGCTTTTTATTGATCTATTACAGAAATATATTAAAGTAAATGCTATAAGATATATTATTTTTAAAGCTTACTTTGTTCATCAAATTCTAGATATCATAATAGTTAACTTTTCTTTCAGACTTTTTACCATATCGATCTACAGCTCTCAACATATCAATTCTAATTTGACTAGCAGATTTTGACGACTGTTCTAATTACTGAGCCAACTCGTGAGGATATTTCTTTGCAAGAGGAAGGGTGCAAATGTCACTATGCATATTATCAGGAGTATGCTCTGCATGATCTTTTGTAACAACAAATTCATAAAACTCAGGTGTCTTAAAGAATCCTTTCACATGAAGAAGAGCAGAACACTTGTTTTTCTTTGTTTGCTTTTGAACCACATGCAAAGCTGCCTTAGATTCATAGGTTCCCCAACAATGACAGGAATACTCCTGAGAAAAACACAACTTAATACCAGTTGCTTTGGTTTCTTCAGCAGTAATGTTGGTGGGTTGCTTATTGGTATTGCAAATGACTCACTTGACTGCACAAGCTTCCCCAATCTCTGTTAAACATTCTTTCCACTTAGATGTTTTTACTCTAATAATATTTTCTAATCTAAGTGTCATCACTCCTGGAACAGAAGAGCATTCCAAGGCTTGGAAGATTGTTGCTAATATGTAAATGGTTCCATTAGATTGAGTGTTATTGATTGACATATTTGATAAGAGTGTGTATTTTAATAAAACGCGTAATTTAATGGATATAGAATATCTGTTTCAAATAAACAATTCAAAAACAAAGAAAAGGATTGGTAGTCACTATTTCGGTTAATATTTTATCATCTACCAGAGAATATAGACTTTCGGGCCATAGTCTGACTGAGTTTTATTCTTGCTATTTTTGGTGCGATGAGATTGAGCATAGAGATACCCTTTTTCGAAAAATTAGGTTCATTTCCCAAAAAAATCCAAATTTGTTAATAAAAAGAGGACGATTTTGACGTTTTTAGCATAATGGATGTCTTTATTTTAACATGAATATGTGTCAACTAAAAGTTATATAATTCAAGGCTGGCTACTAGTACTACTAGAATGGACCTTTCTTGACAGCTTTCCTACCTTATAATGCTCTAATATATATGATTATTGATTGGGATTACTTGTATTTGTAATGATTTATTACTCATATAGTTTTCTGGAAAGCCATAAAATAAAGACATATATTTTGATATAACAGTGAAAGTAGTATATATTTATTGAATATAATAAGAAGTATTTATGTAGAAAAATAATTAAATGAAGATAGTTTTATATCTTTTACGATAATCAAGCTCTATATTTATCTAGAGAAATTCCAAGCTGAACTCAGTCATTCTCCATTCTTTGAGCAGCTTCTTCAGGGGATATATTCTCTAACTCTGCTCTTTTATTAATTGCATCGTACAGCTCTTTTCTTCTACTAAAAAATCTAGACTCTTTACGATCTTTTCTCCATGCAGTTCCGTACTTATTTCCTAAGGATTGAATGGATGGGCTACCATTAAAGCTGAAAACATATTCTCTCCATACATTAGTAACAGAGAAAATTCTTCGGCTCATTGTATACTGTTCTGGCTGTTCTGGGTATGTTAGCTGTTGAGATGTTACAACACTATGTAATGAAGTACTTTGGGGTAGTGGCTGTAGAGATTATGATGTAATAATGTTACACTGTAAAGGTAGGTTCAATGGTGTTGCAATTGTAGAGTTACTGAATTGATTGTATCCAAGAGCAAAAAAATTGGTAAAATTGTTGTTTAATCTATTAATGGAGGCAGCATGTGAAGAGAGGTGGGCATATATCATGGACTGCATCGAATTCATGGTGGTGTGAACTGTTCCGAAACCAGCTCTGACACTATCTACCATCTCTGGCATAACCATATCCATCCTGTTATTGCTCATGAACACCTCTTCTTCTTGCTGTACTGTGGAGAGAACTTGCTGTTTGAAGCTTTTGTATTCCTCTGAGCTGAAGATAGCACATGTCCAAAGATAATAACCTGGGAATTTCTTTTTCAGAAGAACAGAGTCCTAAAAAAAAGCAGCAAAGAAATATTACTTAGAAAAAATATTACAAACAGTGCTTTAATAATAACATGTACCTGTAGAAATACCACTCGAAGTCGCGAAAGTAAATTCAAAAAATTTGGGCCAGCTATGTCCTCTTGGACATCTCCATTTGCAAATTTCTGTTTCCAAGATTTGATATTTGGGAAAACCATTGTTTGTAGAGAAGCCGAAGGTTGAACCACTGCTCGTGCTAAAAAGAAGTTGCTACTGTTTCCAGAGAACCCTGCTAAAGCCTTTATTGCTTCCACAGGCAATGTTGACATATAACATCCCACTATATGGTCTGTTCCCCACCTTCCAACCATTCGTTGTTGGTCGCCGGAAACGTTCTCTTGTGCAATCATATTGAGAGCACTTTTGCGGTTGGCATGGGTGACCTTTGAAGTATGGATCCCAACTGATTTGAATGCCTTAAGGTATATTTTATGCTGTGTCTTGTATTGTATTGGCTTGAAGCGGTCATCACCTTTAAAAAGAGCTGTTTCATATCATTTTTCACAGGAAGAAAAGTCAGGAAATGGCTCATTCTCATAATGAAATCTTGAGAATAAACTCATGGCCAATGCACCGATAGAACAGAATTCAAATTGAGGATAACAGATTAACAATCCATACTCAATCTTTCCATGTTGATTAGTTTTTCCAAAGGTCATGGTTGCTACCAGAGCAATGCATTGTGTGGCGTCTTGGTTGTCTAATTCCAAAGAGAAAAGGTCAGCAAATTGCATTCCAAGAACTGTTTGACTTTGGCATAGTATTGCATGACTTATAAGAAAGCAAAGTCGATCTCGACATGCGCAGATATCGTTTTTTTCCATGAAATATTGACTGATTCTTTCTAATTCTTGCTTGGTGTATCCTTTGTTAAGTATATTCTTTCCACAATCTTTAAAGTTTTTTCTAACAGTCTGTGCGCGTGCCTTATTTGCTGTATCAAGGAAAGCATGGACAAGTGGTCCTCTTGCTACACCATTGGGATTCAATCCAAGAGCTTTCTGCTTGCTACATATATTGGCTACTGCCTTGACATAGGCCACTATTGATTCTTTGCCTAATGGAATCGGGGAGTTGTTAACATCCCTCTTTAATTTATATTCTCTATTCATGACATAATCTATCATGAAAAAGCTTAGTTTCTGATCATTCACAAGTTCACCATCTCCAAATTCTTTCTTGAAACACCATTGCTGTTTGAGATGTATAAAAACACTTTTAATATTTTTTATACAGAAAACTATATTATACATACTCTCCATTCTTCTTGCTTTACAAGATATGTTTTTGTCATATTTGTAGGGCACTGGTCCAGATTTTGAGCTAATACCAATTGGTTGCTACTGTACATTGCCACTGTGTTGTCCATCATATGCTGAAGACTTGGATCATTGATGGTAGTATTGTTTCCATTGTTCATTTGAGGCTGAATAAATAGAAATAAAATAATGTATAATATATCAAGCACCACCTTATTTTCTGTCAGTTCAAATTTGAGACAAAAAGATTCAAAGGAATGAGTGACCACTTTTTCTTTTGTTTTTTTTTTAAAAATAACAGTATTTGTTTATGAAAAAAAACACTTCTTTATAAAATACAAAATAATACATGTGTAATGGTTTTTTTATTGACGTTGGATATTTCTATTTCTATTTCTATTTCTATTTCTAATATTATCTATTCTATCTAACAATTCTTTAACACAACGAGTCATATCATTTATCTCAGACATATCAATGTCAGAAATAGTTTGCATGTGTTCAAGATCGAGTCTTTGATGATGAAGTAAGGTGGTGTGAGTGATAAGGTCTGTAATAGATATATCAACATCATTTTGAGCACCTACAACATCTTCTCTACCATCTTCTTTGTCAACAATCACAACTTCTTCTTCTTCAGCTAACACTGCTGGTCTTTGCATTGCCAAGTGATTGGCATCTCTTTGAATTATATATAAGACGTTAATATTACAGTATCTTTTGAGAAGAAATACATGCTTGCAAGGCACTTGTCGGGAGATATATCTGGGGCACAAACAGCATTCAATTAAATCATTTACAACAGTGATAGAATACCATGTTGTATCATTTGTAAAAGACTTGATTTGCCACTTACCATCAGAGTCATCCATACTAGTACTAATCACATTTAATGGACTGATGATCATAGTAGGGAGTATGTCATCTTCTATCTGAGATGCAGCAAATTCATTTCTTGCAAGTTCGTTTTCTACCGGCCCCATCTTTCCATTGTTTAAGTGAATATGATCCACTTCTTATTTGTAGAAATACTCTACATCGTTTGTAAGGACAAACACGAGGCAATCCAGTCTTCTGATTCTAGCATGGCCAAAGTAGATAGTCTTAAGCTGGTTATGTCATGACTCAATATAGTTATTTGTCAAATATCTTCTATGCGAGTCATTGACATAAGGGTGCCCCCATCTTTTCAGTAATACTTCACTTCCAGTCCATCGTGTTTCAAAGTATCTCAAGAATTGTAACTGGTTGGGTATATCGCGTTTGAAGTCAAGGATTCTTGTCAAAATACTTCTTCATTCGACTCTATCAAGATATACTTCAGCTTGTTCTTTAACTCCTGCTTGTATGCTGCCAGCTGGGCTGATGTAAATGACGCATCAAGTCTTACTTTGTTGTCGAGGTTTGTTTGCCAAGCACAAAGAATATAGAATTCACAATAGTGAATTGCAACGTGAGGAAATGCAGATGTAATTGCATTAACTTTGGGAATACTACAGTCAATGGTGATATTCAAAGGACGGAAGTAGCTTCTCTCACAAAGATGCATAAGTCATTGGCTGATCGGCCTGACTGTCTGGTCATTTGTAACCATGTAAGCAACAGGAAACCCTTTTCTAGTTACGTTGTGTTGAGTCACTAAAGAGTATATGACCTCTCCACTTCTTGCTGATATGACATGAGTAACATCAAGGCAGAATGATGTAGCTATTCTCATAACTCTCACTTGGGCAGGCAATTGAAAGCCAAAGGCAAAAAGATTGCTTTCAATGTTGTTAACACAAAGGTCTCGGTAAAAATGCAATAATTTCTTTCTGGCAATTTCTCATTCATCCAGATAGCAATAGATGCCTTCTCATCAGAGTTGAACATATACAATAAATTTGTCATCTTTTTATTTCATTTTACTAAAACTGTTAAATACGAACTTTCTTTTATCTTTTTTTAACACACCTTCTTCATTCTATTGTATATCTCTTCATAGTTTGGCTTTCTAACACCAACACCCCTAGCTGTCAATCTGTCGAAGGACAGATATTCTTGTACTTCTACAGCTGCTTCCACTTCTCAGTTGATTTTCAATCAACTTAATAGCTTCAAAAGGCAAGGGCAAAGTTCTAATCTCTGATCTGTCTCCAGGAACATGATTGTTATAGTCCCTTGTCATACAGAACATAACAATAGTAGAAGACTTTTTGAACTGCTTTATTTTCAAAGCTCCATTATATCCACATGCCTTTGATTCTTTTTATGCAGGGCGTGAATCTTGCTCTAGTATATATATGCCTGCGCAATGACATTGACATGTTTCTCCAAAAAAATATTCTTTTGAATCAAGACGTCTTTTTTATTCTATTTCGTTGAACAAAGAGTATTGATTCGGTCAAGACAATGTCTCGATTCACTAGCTTTTACAGGTATGACTACTTTAAAAGGAAGCATCTTAATCCCCTCCAAAGATGAGTTGACTAAAACATTTTGAATGTTTGAAATATTGTAAATAATTGGGTTGGACATGTTGAGATTGGTGTTTAATTTGTATTCGAAATAAAGAGAAGGAAAAGAGAAGGAATAAAAGAAATCCCCAATAAAAATTAACTTTTTCAAAAAGCCACTTACAAAGCCTCTGACAGAAAAAAAGCCTCAAAAGGTCAATTTCAAATTTGAACTGGCAGAAAATAAGGCGGTGCTATATCAACAACATTATTCATAAAGTCTTTGAAAATTTGAAGTAATAACGTATTAATTATTACAAGATATACTTTCAGCTCTTTATGAGAATGTTTGATTTGTTATAAAGATAGTTTCTTTTTTTATTAATTGTAGTACTCTTTATATTCTTTTTTTAATGAAAACTATCAGAGTACATCGTACTAAAAATACATTATGAAGAGAACTAATCACATTCAAGTAGAATAGTGTATTGGAAGTATAGAAGACATTGTCAGGAACCAATGTCTTTGTTTGTTAAAGGTAAACCAATCCTAGACTTCAAATGCCTTGCAAATAAAGATATCTTTTTATTATTAGATGAACCACTAAGAATTCATACTTCTCTTCTTAATATATTGTAGTGTAACATGTAAAATAAATATAAAAATAAATATTGACTATAATAAATAACCAAAAGACAAAAGTTGTTATTCATTGGATGTATCTGAGCTTGCGTTTCATATGAGTTTGATATGCAATATATCATGGTATTTGCCATGGTATTTTTATGAAAATTATATGGAAACAGAAAAATACTTTTCTTTTTTCAAAAAAGTACTGCCAATTTTTAAAAACCTGCCAAAAAATAACTGAGTTTTGTGTGAGTCTCAAGAATCAGATACTGTATAAGTTTCACCCTGATGAAAATAAGTCTCTAGATATTTGGATGCATGAGAAGTTACCATCACAGAACTACTGTATCTTTACTGGTGATCTTTCTGCATACAGTAACAATGCACAGCATTTTGTGTTTGGATTTCAATTACCATCTCAAATGATGCTTATGAGAATTTCCCAGTCGTTTTGTCTTGATGCAACACACAACATCTCTGCATGCAACATTGAAATATTATACTCGCTTGTTACTTGTCATCCTGATACTGGAAAAGGGTCTCCTGTTGCATACATGATTACAAACGATCATAGTGTTGGCCCCATTAATCAATGGCTTATACATCTTTGCGAGAAAAGCTGTTTCACTCCCTTATATATTATCATCGATTATAATATTATTGAAGTTAATGCAATTACAGCAGCATTGCCACAGACTATCATTCATTTCTGCAAGTTTCATGTTTTGCGTGCCTGGCAACATAATTTAGATAGCAATGTAAAGCTTGATACTTCATACACATCAGAACAACTTGGCAAATACAAGTATGAGCTTAAGGCCGATTTCAAAAATATACTTATTGAATCAGATAAGGATGAATTTTTGAGAAAAATCCAGGAGTTTAGGCTTCATATACAAAGTCAGCAACAATTCCTGACTTATTTCAAACGTAAATAGATTGGAACAAAAGAATTGTTGAGAAGATGGGGAAGGCCATATGTTGCAAATGACTACCAAAGATATTTGGCGAACAATTATATCGAATCGTGGCACAACCAATTGAAAACCATATACTTTGGCCATACTTGCATAAGACGATTGGACTGTCTTATCTTTATTTTGACAAATGATGTGGAGTTCTTTTACAATGAGAAAGTGGAAAGAATCTACATACAAAATGAATGAATGGGTCCAATTGAAAATGAACTTGCTCAACACTCTTTTTCTGTCAATACCATACAAGATGACATGTTCCCTTTCATAATCATTAATCTGCTTAATGAGATTGGCAATAGCATGGAGAACTCTAATGGCAAGTGGACAGTAAAGTCATTTACAGGTGAAGCACAATAGTATCAGGTTAATGTATCAAACAATTTGATACAAAATGGCACTTGTCTCAATTTTGCTTCATGATAAATTCCCTGTAAACACGCACATCTCCTAAAGAGATTTATTGATCTAGACTTTGTGTATATAGTTCAAAGGGAAAACAACCACCTCCAACTACAAAGATCGCTTGCATCTGAGCATGAAGTGGCAGTTGTTAATGAGGAAGTTGAAAATGAAAGAAATACAGTTGTTGTAAGTGGTAGAAACAATTCTGTTTGGTTGCAAAGTATCATGGCCCAGAATACAACACTTTATTATCAAAGAGAAGACTTAGAGCAGTTGATGGATGTTCCAGGAATTGATGAAGCCAAATTACAAGTGATTAGTAATTTACTTGGGGAAGCAATGAATTGTATAGACACTCTTAGAAATGCAAACTCTTCCTGCTTTAGAAATCTTAATACACAAAGATAATAAAAAATTACAATTATGTTCTATAATAATATGTTTTGATAAAGAGAAAAAAATATAAAAAAAAACATTAAGATTCTAAAAAAAAACAACAAAAGTAAAAGCTGTCACTGCTTCTACACATCTTTATAATTTAAAGCCCCTTGCAACATAAAAAAGTAGACCCCCCAAGTAATTTAAACTTGGCATACAAGGAAATAAGTGGGTACAAGATCTTCCTATTCGGAGTACAAAGCTCTACTCACTGTATCAAGCAAGCTGACGTGTGAAGTGTTAGATTTGTTATAAATTATAACAGATCACTTGGCAAATAAAATACAATGACGATAGAATAGAATGGAAGACGGATACAGCAAAAGGCAGCAAGCAATGATAGTTAACAGGTAAGAAAAGAGAGAACAACCGATAGAATCATTGTTAAAATCAAGAGAGAGAGAAAGATATATGAAAAAATAATGACAAAACAGAAAAGTAATAACCAACAAGGAGCCTAAAACCAACAAACAATCTTCCTAAAAATAAAAAACCAATATGTTATGTTGCAAGATGATATAGGTCATAAAGAGAAGAAAACAAGAAAAAGATACTGAAACTGAACAAAGGATAGGTTGATTTATTGAGTTGAGCTTGCTTCTCTTTTCATAGTTGATAAGATTTTAAGTTGATAATAGAAGTTCAGAAAAATAAAGATAGTAAAAATAGAATTATGAATAATCAATATGGTAAGAATAAAATATATGAATAAAACTATGGTAAAAATATAATAATAAAGATACTGATGTTGCGCAGAGATGTTGGCAAGATGAATTATTTGCATTGTAGAAGAGGAATGTTACTAGCATGGGGGACTATGATTTTGAATGAGTACAATGTAGACAAATATGTTAACAAGGGAAAAGAAAAAAGTATTGTGTGTAGAAGGAACAGAAGACGGAAACGAGATTTTTCTTGTGCATGGAAAAATTCTCCTCTTACCATCAAGAACACAGCACCACATCAACACAGCACCACATCAATAAACTGTTGATGTCAGCCTCTCATAACCAAGACAACACATCACAACAAACCGCCAGACAAATCTACCGAGCAGACTGTCCTTCTGGTCCCAGATATCACAACACAGTTAAACACTGTATTTATTCATAATACACGTGACAAAGCAGCTATGCTGACTTTAGTTCAGATGAAAGATTATATTTTATTAAAAGAAATATTGCTGGCAATCTATAGATCATATAGCCTCCAAAGTACAAAAAGAAGATATAAAAAAGTGCCAAGGGATCACAAAAGGCAAAAAAAAGAGAGGGGAAAGAGAAGATCAAATCATACTAGCTTCAATGCTGAACCTGCTCTTCACTTTGCAGCTGTGAAAATAGTTTTAACAGTGAAAGAGAGAAGACAGAATTGCAGAACAAAGAACTTTTCAGACAGCAAAGAACAAAAAAGAAAGAAGAGAGATAAAGAGAGTAAAGAACAATGAAAAGTGGAGAGCTATGAAAGAAAAGAAAAGTCTAAATTATATCCAAAGAGCACCATGTTCAGTCTTATGTGAATAGTCACCATCAGGATTATATATAACATCTATGTGCCAAAGAATAGTCATCAGTGGTATTCAGTATGCAGGTCGCAGTTCTTGAGATGTCAAAGGCAGAGATGTGATAGCAAAATCAATTCTGTGTATCTGGTCATAGTTAGGTTGAGGCAACTGTTCAAATAGTGTTGCAGGAACAAGTGGACAATTCAACAAATGGCAACGTGAGGTGTAATCAGATCCACCAGGACATTCTTTTGGTTTGCCTAGCAACCATCCCATTCTCCAACGAATCAAACAGCCACGTTCCACATGTGAAGCTGGCAGAAACAAAATTGTATCAACTCCAGGAACTAAACGTCATTAGTATATAAACATTTGTGAATTGGACTGCAGGAACCGGCTTTAGCTCAGTTGGTAGAGCGGAGGACTGTAATGAATTGTAATCCTTAGGTCACTAGTTCGAATCTGGTAAGCCGGAATTTTTATTTTACTTGTGTCATGCTTAATTTTTGTGATACAAGTTCTAGTGGCTTGTTATTACAAAAGTGTCGTTCCCGATCTGGGTTGGTCTTCTTTTTACTATAACAAAGTCAAAAGGTCAAACCCACTGGGGATCAAGGAGTATGTGTAAAATCAAAGAGAGGATAAAAGATATTTTTTATTTATATGAATTAAATTGTCTTATATAGTTTTCTAAACTAATACTGCACATTATCTGCAGTAGCTATTATATTATATTTAAATAAAAGGAGAGTCATTATACTGCGGTTCATGTTGAGAAAGATGTTACTGCGCATAACAAGGTACTTCAGTTAACCATTGTCAGAGTTGACATTGGTAATCAAAATTGGAATTCACAAGCAACTAATAATGGTTGACTTTTAGGGTAAAAGATCTTGTCATTGCTAATTAGTCTTTTATATATGTTTTAGATGTTTAAGATGGTGAATATACTTGTAGAAGATATTACTGGATAACTAGCATCTAAGACATATTAATATAGCTATTCTTTTAGCCAGAAATCAAGTATCAATTCATATAAATAGTCAAGAAATATATTTAATAAAAGATATCTTTATTCTTATCAAAAAAACTATTTATAAACTTGACGATCCCCAGTGGTATTGATTCTGCGACTTAGTTACAAGTGCCAGAAAAGAAATACCAGATTGAGACTTGACAGATTCATCAAAATAATGTCTGACAAAAATTAAGCACAACACTACATAAAACTAAGCAAAAGTATGCCATGACCTGGAATCGAACCAGGGTCAGCGCGGCCACAACGCGACGTACTGCCACTATACTATCATGGCTTTCATATATTATATCAAGTGTGTTGTAGACAGGTCTAACGTTGGCTAGTTTCTGGTAAAGGATACCAGATGGAGGATTTCTTTGGTGGTTTGGTCCAGCAGTGAGTCATGATGGGCAGTACCAGACTCGTGGGCATTGATGTCAATGATGAGTTGACCAAGTGACAAGTCTCGAGGGACAAGAGTGGTCCCCCCAGGTTTCTTGGGAAATCTTGCTCCCAATACCCCTATACCCAAACCCCCCAATATAATTCTGTTCCTTAAAATTAAAATACCCATCTATATAATCACCTCAGAAACACCTGTCACCCACTAAAAACATTATACCTCTTTCCACTAATTTTATATACTTCTTTATTGCTGACATTTATTTTACACTATTTTTTATTATATTTTATTAGATTCCATTATTATACTATTATTATATTTTTTACTTTACTTTACTATATCATTATTATATTATTACTTTACTTCTATTCTACCTCACTATATTTTTATTTTATCTTTATTCAATTATTATATTTTTACTATACTTTTATTTTACACTCTCTATAATTTTCTATTCTACTTCTACTATCAACACCAGTTACATATAGTAAAAATTTTCACTTGACTTTCTTTTCTTTTCCTTAAAAAATTATTTTAACCAAACATTTCTGTTTATAAAAGGAGCAATCTTTTCAATTAATAAAATCATCATTCTATCCTTGATCTTATTTATTTTTGTCCGTTATTATCATTATTCTTCATTCATATATAGTGTCCTTGTTCTTTGGAGTGTTGTCTATTGATTTTGATATATTTCGTTTCTCTGTTTTCCATTTTCTATCTTTCTCAGACTTTGTCATTGTCACAATTTCCATTTTTATCTTCTCCCTATTTTTTCTACCTGTCTGTTGCCAATTCTTACCTGTCAAATTACCCATTCTTTTCTATTCTTATTGTATTCTTATTTTTGTATTTTGTAATTCATATTACATTTATTTGCCAAGTAATACTGTTACAATTCACAACAAACAAATATATCATGTGTCATCTTTGACAAAAAATGTTATAGTTATAGTTAACTCTCCACAAAATTCTAGTTGTCCAGCAGTGCAGTGATGTTGCAGAATTTCTTGTAATTCTAGAAAATTATATTTTATTATTTTTCATTTCCCAATGGCAGCTGGAGCTGAATAGAAATCGATTTTTTATTTATAAAACAAAACATCAATAAGTACAATAAAAAGGCTCATCATCCTGTCAAAAACACTTTACATAATCATATAATCTATATTATTTTCTGACTATATTTAACTGAACAAATGAACTTAGAATTCATATTATTTTTTATATATTTTTCTGTACAAGCATAATTATCTTCATGATTATGACTTAATAATTATTTTTCAATATTTTATTTGTATTTAATAACACTAAAGAACAAATCACATTTAATAGATTATAAATTATATAACTTATTATATTTTTTAATATTTTATTTATTTAATTATTAAAGTCAATTGCAAAGCTATTTAAAAATTTATATAAATATTGGAATAATTGCATTTAATAAATATTAATTTTTTTGTCTTATTTTCTGACATCAAGATATCTTACCATTTAACACTGGTGATATTTTACTTGTTTGATTATCCGAGTATATTGAGTCAAATCTATTTAGATTGATAAATAATACTGTTTTTCCCTTATTTTTTATATTGATTTTATTATCTTTAATTTTATATTATCTTCTGAGTTTGTGTTTTTCTCTCTTCTGGAAAAGAGAGTTTTATTTCACATTTACAAACCTATTACAAACCTTTAATAACAGTCATAACTTATCATTTGTCAACATTTACCATGAAGACAAGCACCACATGTATCATCTTATCACATGTGTTGTAAGCAGATTTGATGTTTAGCTATGCTGTAATATCAGGTACCAGAAGGTCAGTCTGATCAGTAAGTTTGTTTAGTAGTTCGTCATGACATATCATCCTAGTTATGAGAGATCAATGTTAACGGTTTGTTAATATGATGTCATGCCATTGGTGGTAAGAGAAGATTTTTCTATGAACAGAAAAATCTTAGCTACAATCTCTGTTCTTCTTCTACACAATACTTTTTCCTTTTCCATTGTTTAACATACACTATAGAAAAAAAGTTGTCTTTTTAGTAGTATTTTAAGTCAACTTTTAAGTAGTATTTTAGGAGGTGATTTTGGTAAAATCTTCATCAATACTACTTTCTTTTTTGGAATAATATTTAGATTTCCGTTGACTAACAGATGTTAGGTTTTATTCATATCCCAAGATTTAAATTTCTATATTATTTTTATCATTCTATTAGTAAAAAGAAAATGAAAAAGAGCTTTTTTATTGTTATAGATGAAAAAAAGAATCTTTGCATTATCACTCATAAAATACTTCTGTTATACTACTACTTTTAATTAGATAATATAAACTTTATTGCAGTATTTATATTGATAGTATTGGTCATTTAAACAAAAGCATTCTCTTAATTGGGTCTTATATATATATTCTAACTCATTCACAGTTTTAATTGGGTAAAAAAGCTTTATTTCATTGAAAATTATTATTTAAAAATGTTTTTATTAGTTGTTATAATAGAAATAATCTTTTATTCATGAATCATACTGACTAAAAGTTCTTCAGATTATTACATATTTTCACATTAATTACACAATTTATTGTACCTACCAGATATGAACTTACCAGAATATTCTCACTTCATACCCCCTCTCCAGAGCTAGCTAACCTTTGCAAGTGATGCCCAGTTTCTATGGCATCTGGTGAAATCGATTCCATTGTCTCTGAGTATGATGAAATGATTGATACACAACCTGTTTTTATTTTCTTGAGGAAGCAATGACCAGCTGGGATTTGTTCTAAGATCCTGAACACATAAAAGAGCTGCAAGTTGATCACATATAATTTTGGTATATATGTTAATAATTCTCTTAGTTTCCTTGGTCAATTCTATTCTAAGATCGTCTGTTATCATCTTGTATATATGCTTTAAAGTTATACCGTTGATTTTTGATATGGGTCTTGGAATGATGCCAGTAAGAGTCTATTATGCTTGACATTAATTGAAAGGACTTTAGTTGTTATAGTATTTGCTTACACTGGTAGAGGTTACAATAGTTCTATCTAGAAATTCCCGATCTTTAAATTCATTGTAAAAACTTGTCATTTGAAGTTGCATCACATCTTGTTTTTTTTTCTAATGCTTCTTGACCACTCTTTAGGGAAATAAGTGCAGCTTGTATTCCTTGAAGCGACTGAATCACTGTATTGTTTGTATTGTTCATAATTGTAAAAAAAATCAGTTACGTGTTTGTTATAGAAAAAGAAAGAAAGATAAATTTTTTTACCAGAAACTATTATTAGTTTCAAATCTTTAGCTTCAATTTTTTAGCTTCAAATTATTAGTTGCAAATTATTTGTAAAAATCTATTGGTTACTCCTGAAGAAACATTGATCTAGTAACTTCACTGATGACATACAGATACTTCTTTAAGATCCTGAGCATATATTCAGAAAGCATATAACATCATTGTCTTTATATAATTAAGTATAAAGCTATACATTCAGAAAGTAATTAATTCTATTCTTACTTATATAACAAAGTTTTTTTTTACCTACCTCAAACATGTCCAAAATTACAAAAGCCCCTCGTTACCAATGCCTACTTGCAAGTTGACCTTTAATAACAGTCAAACATATAAAAGCTGTCTAGAAAAGTGTATTGCAAATAGCACACACTTGCTTATAAATGCCAAAGTTTTTCAAGCAGTTTCTTTTTCTGATCAAAGTCAGTCTACATCAGCAATAGTTTCTAACTTGGCCTTTGGGTAAGCTTATGAAAAGCAAAAATACAAAAAGATAGACAATATGTTAATCAGTTGTATTATTTAATAAACAAACAGAGAAAACACTAATATGAGCAGTAATAAAGATATAAATATTATTGACAGAACTAAAGATGATGAGCTCATGGTAAGATACATAAATACATAAATACATATATCATGATAATCATACTTACTATTGTTTATCTTACCATAGTACAATATTGGCAAAGAATATGAGAATTTCCTGGAAGAAATTGAAGGCACCACACCCTCGCTAGTCTTTGATTTTAGCCAGCCTCTTCCTGTTCCCAGCAACGGTGATAAAAAGAATCCTGTATTCATGCAGTTGATTCAGGAGTTTGGAATTTCTTGTCAAGCCCACAAAAAGATTGTAGAACACTTCAACTAAATCCTTGATTGTTCTATCAATATTATGTACCAAGCATGCAGTCCACACCTTGGAAACAAGTTTCTTGAGCACTTCTTAGGTATCAAAGCAAACAGATACGCCATTTGCATAAGGGGTTGTATGCAATTCAACAACAAGAATGATACTGCATGCATAAAACGTGGTGAAGCAAGATATAAAAATGGCCAAACTAGCAAAAATGGCACCAGGGTTTCTGTGAGATCGATCATACAGCTTCCTTTGGCCAGACAGCTTGCTTTGTGCTTGGCTGATGACAAGACCAGGGCTGAAATGCTCTATCGTCATAACCACCAATCCAGCCAAGACGGACAAAAAGCAGATGTTTTTGATGGTTATGTATACCAATCCATGAAGCATCTGTTTTCTGGTGAAAACGATATTGCGATTTTGTTGTCCATGAATGGGTTCAACCCACACAATGTATCTGGATCAGTAACCATTGTTCATGCAACTGTCTTGAACTTGAGTCCGACGATCCGTTATGAGAAAAACAGGATGATCCAAATAGCAATGCTTCCTGGTTACACTGGTCCCAGTGACATCTGGTCTTTTCTTGAGCCAATGCTGAGAGATCTCTGTTTGCTCCAGACAGAAGGCATGGAAGTAAAGACACCAACAATGATGATCAGGGCAAAGGCGCATGTCCTCATAGTCACTGGCAATATTCTGGCTCTCACAAAGCTGGCATGCCATGTTGGCCACATGAGTAAGAATGGCTGTTATATTTGTCATGTAGTGGGCCAAACTCCTAAACATGGCCAGTACTTCTGTATGTTGCCTGGAACCCAGACGCGCTCACTGGAGAGTTTCAGAAACTACAATCTGGCAAGCAGTGAAGACAGAAAGGGACTCAATGGTCAGTCACTTTTAGTCTCAATGGAAACATTCTCTGGCCCGTTTTTTTTGTGTTTGACGAGATGCATGGTCTGTGCTATGAAATTGGTAAACAGATATGGGAACTTATATGCAGAAAGTATGGAATCAAGCATCCTCTATGTCTTTCTTTTGCCACCCAAAGAGAGATTGGTGCTGCAATGGTAGCCGCAAAATCCACAATCCCTACATCATTGCATGGTGCCTGGAGAGACGTTACAAAGAATGCTGGTTTCTTTAGAGTTGTGGATTGGGCAGACTTTTTACTCTTTGTTGTCCCCACGTTAGTTGCAGAGCATGTCCAAGACTCGATTGCCCGAAAGACATTACTTGGCCTGGTTCAAACATGCAATTTACTTATGAGCTGAGAGTTATTAGCAGAAGATCAAACCTCGATAAGAAAGTATGTTTAATACTATATTTTATTTCATTTTTCATAGTAATTTACTTTTATCTTTTTGTTTAGTAATCTTGTAGAATGAAACATATTTCTTGAGTCTTCTTTCTACAGCAGATATTGAAATTGGCATGTTCATGATTAACCAACACATTATTCAGCATTCACTGCAAAAAAGTGCCCAAATTCTATATGCAATAGGTTTCTAAAATTCTTGAGATAGAAAGCCAAAATTTCTATCTCAGACACTTTTTCTAGATTTTGATCTTGAGTTCCCTTTTTGACAATTTTATTGGTTTTTGAGAGTTGTGTAGTATCAGAACAAGATATCAAACTCAAATTTAATAAAATAAACTGTACCTGAATATATTTTTGTCTTCCTTACTGTTAAACTATAATATTTTTCATATAACTCTTAAGTAATAGCACTGATCTGTCAATCAAAGAAAACACATTTATGCTTCTGTTCTGTTTGCAAAAACAAATCTGGCAGATGTAATAAAATATCTATTCAGACATTTAAATTGCACAAGAGAAAAGAGGATGCTGGACTTAATGATTATTATAACAATAAGAGATATAAGAATTATATAATCTGTTTTATATCTTTGAATCATGAATTATTTGTGTCTCAAATAATAACATATATAACATACTATAGCAGCAACTACAGCTTCGATTGAAACTATCTCAGAGACTATTCAAGAAACTACTTCTGATACTATTATTGATGATGAACAATACTTTGAAGCCGTAGACAATTTCAGTGACATGGATTATGACTTTGGTAAAAAAAAACTTTTTTTTTAGTTTTTATTTTCAAGTCTAACTTATTTTGTTATACTTTGGTAGACTTGGAAAACAGCACTGAAACAGATATGAGTGCACCAATTATTACTCGAGTCTTACTTCTTTCTGAAGCTGACAACGTATTTGGCAATCAAGAAGACAAAGATTTTAACGATGTTGATTCTGATGAAGATGATGATGATGATATTGAAGATAATATTGAGAACAAAGGTGTGTACTTTTTTTATGAATAGGGTTTGGCTATTTAATGATTCACTGAATATTAATACATTTTTTTTCTAAAACAAAGAATACTTCTCCGAATCTAACTCAGAGTTGAGTTTCATTCATTGTTTCATTGTAAAGGTTCTTGCGCTGTTTGTATCATTGTACATAGTTGACAAAGGTATCATTATTATCATTGCCATCATGAACAAAATCCTTGAGCTGTTCAGAGATCCATTCCGCCTTCCTGTTAGCGTCCCTGGTCTCAAAAGCATGGCAGGTTTTAATACCTTCACAAATGGGATCAAAAAATATATTGCATGCAGTGAGTGTCATGGCATTTATAAAAACAATGGATCTACTCCTCCTTGTTGTACATTCCGCAAGTTTGGCACCAATAATCTTTGCAACAACACCTTGTTCAAATCAGGAAGACAGTCCACAGTTCCTAGAAGAACTTACATTTACCATTCTGTTATTAAGTCAATAACATCTCTGTTCTCTCGCCCTGAATTCAAAAGCCAGATCAATTCATGGAACCGTAGTCCAAAAGTAGAGGGGACCATGTTTGACATATATGACAGTGCAATGTGAAACGAACTGAAAGATATTGATGGCATTCCTTTTGTTGACAGCAACTGCTCGTTGATGTTGACTTTGAATATCGACTGGTTCCAACCATTTGATAGAGTCACATATTCTTGTGATGCTATTTACCTTGCTGTAAATAATCTTCCTTGTGATGTCCAATTCAAAAAGAAAAACGTGATCCTTGTTGGATTGATGCCTGGTCCAAAAGAAGCAAAGACATCTGAAATCAAAAGTTATCTGAGGCCCTTGGTAGATGAATTGGAGAAGCTGTATACCAGCATCAAGATCAAGACAAACAACTGCCTGCATGATACTACTGTTTGCGTTGCCCTCCTCATGGTTGCTTGTGACATTCCCGCTGCTAGGAAAGTATATGGATTCACATCCCATACGAGTACTAATGCATATCCCAAGTGCTCCTGTCAATTCTCCTGACTAGCTAGAACAAGTTCTGTTGATTACTCTGGATTTGATTTCTCAAAGTAGCTCCTTCACACTAAGAATGATAATCGTAAGGATGCTGAGGTCTGAAGAAATGCAACCACTCAAACTGAAAGACATTGTCTTGAAGTAGAAAATGGTGTTTGCTGGTCCGAACTGTATTGTCTTCAATATTTTGATGCTGTCTGCTGCACAATCATTGATCGAATACACAATCTCTTTTTGGGCACTGTCAGAAGAATGATAGAGAAATGGTTAGCAGATGAAGTAATTGACAACAAAAACTTGTTGCCATGCAAAAGATTGTTAAGAAAATGGTGTTGCTGTCGGATTATACTGTATTGAAGACCAAGATTGCAAAGGGATTCCCTTTCATGAAGGCAGACAAGTGGAAGTTGTGGTGTCTTGTGTACTCTCCAGTTGTGCTGAAAGATGTCTTGCTACCAAGAATGTATAAAAACTGAATGTTTTTTGTGGACGCATGTTGGCACCTCAGCAAGCCCAATATTTCTTGAGACAATGTAAAAAATGCACATGTATCATTAGAGAAGTTTTGTCAAGGCTGTCAGCATATTTACAGCCGTAATCTACTCTCTCCTAATATGCACCTTCACCTTCATCTCCAGCAAACACTTACCGACTTTGGGTCTGTGTATGGATACTGGTTGTTCAGTTTTGAGCAATATAACAGTGTCCTAAAAAATGTCAAAACAAATTGTTGTACAGGTTTTGAAATAATATATATGAAAGTCTTTATCAAAGATACCTGTAAAGGCAATGTTGTTTGTGATTTGTTGAAGACAGCAGGCCCATTCGATTGCTCTAGCATTTTCAGCAAATCAGTAAATACACGCAGTAATACTGTTTCTCACACAAGTACAACGGACATTTACAATGGATTCTCTCTTCCGGATTTTATTGACGCTGCAGAAAACCCATATCTTTTAATTTGTTGTAACGAGCCCTTGCTTACATCCACCCTTCCTCTAAAAAAAATCTTTCCAAATAATGCCAAGACAGAAATACGATTGTTTGGTAGAGTACTACCAGGTTGCATATGATGATCCCACCATCTCTAGCTGCAAAGACAACATCAACAGAATGGTCTTCGTCAATGACTGAATTGAAACTGTTGTATCCAACATAATTGTAGATTTAAATTAAAAGTACGGACACTCAATAAATACGTATATTGAGTTACCAACAACTAGTAACAATACTAAAAGATATACTTTCCCTTATACAAGGAAATTACGTAAAGAACATACTAAGAGAAATACTAAGTCTCTAGTCAATAACACTAAAAACATAAGAACTAAATCATAGAAGATAATGGTAGAGAAACAGACATTACATGATATCATCATATCATCACCAAGCTAAATAAAATGTCCATATAAATGCACAATACTAATAGCAATAGAACAGCATTTCTTTTCTGATTCTTTCACTTCTTCTAATAAAACAAAGTCTCACCGTACTCTCGTCTGCACTTGTTTTATTTTATATCTTATTTTTATCTCATACATAACAGAAACTCTGAAATCTATCAATCTTCTAGGTCAGGTCTTCAAAGAATGTAAGGGAACAAATGGGTGTGGATCTTATTTACAAGCTATGTTCATTGAAGAGCAAAATGGAGCAAAGTACACGTATGTCAGTAAGATTCAGTATCTATTTGTTTATTCATTTAGTCCACTTGTTTCAACTCCACATTACGGAAACATTCAAAGTAGCCAGCATACTTTTGCGTATGTAAAGTGGTACAAGACTTTGCAAGTAACAAGTAGACAACTTGGAGGTGTGGAAGTTTGAGATCCTGCATTTTCTGCACCTGATTTCCAGAGCATATTGCCTGTACATCGCTTTCTCCTTCCTGTTGCGATTGTAGACTTCCAAACAAAACAAAAAGTCAATAAGAAGCTTATAATTTCTTTACCTAGATAAATCAATTCCTAATATCACTGGGGAATTAGATTTCTACACATATGCGATAGTATGGAAAATTCTGAGTGACAGAATAATTAAATTCTGGAATTTGACATTTATAAATTCCATTCACAATATGTTATGTTACCTGTGAGTTGTCCATGTAGCTTTTGAACTTATAATGATCCATATAGAAATGTAAGTTTCTTTTAAACTATTTAATTGCAGAGAGAATAATCAAATTATGACATCTTTTTTTTTGGATGTTACATTAAATTAAACTTGCTTTGAAACAGAGATTCCAATAGAAAATCTATTTTTGATAGAAAACTGTCTACTGAAATAATGATATTCTATTGGATCATTTAACAGAAGAAGCAGGATTTATGTATACTGTCTTCCAAATCTAAACACTTTTATTAGACAATCATGCATGGCTAAACTATAGGATTCATACATGCCATACTACTGCAATACTTCTTGCACTTCATTTCAAATATTTTTATAGGAATTGTTTTGGAAAAATTGTTTTTATTAAAAAAAAAGCTTCTTGCTTATAATATGTATGGCTTGACAATATATAGTCTAATCTAATATATAGGCTACTATATAACTAATATAATAACAAACCCTTTCATATGTTATAATACATAAATACTTCCAAAACAATAGAATCCTAAAATGAAACGCGTGTTTACAGTATTTCACTAGTAAGAGAAGGCTAAAAAATTATTCAATTATATTAGATTATATAAATATTTATTTTTCTTTAATTTAAATAGTATGACTACTTATCAGTACTTTCGTCAAAACCAGACATAGTGCACATTGACTGTTGTTCTGAAAGGTTTAATAAAACGCATTAGTAAAGATCATGGAATAAAGTTTAGCTTTATTACTTACCAAAGAAAACCGGTTTTCAAAGACAAGCTATTCAATCAGGTACATAGAAATGTTGGCAGTACTAACAGAGATAGAAAATAAACAAAATTAGATATAAGGATAAAATAAATAAATACATTATTCAGACTTACCAGATAAATTTCTGCTGTTTGTATGTCTTTATGATGAGCTGAGGAATTAATGAGATGAGGAGCTAATGAGCTGAGGATAGAAAAAGAAAATAATTAATAAAGAAACACATACACAATAACCGCATTTTATCTTTTTGTTCTTGTCCATTAATCAACACGGCAAAGACTTGTAATACTATCAGCAACCACAATAATAATAAAAGAAAAAACATTAAGAATAAATATAACAATAAAATAATAAAAACAAATTGCTTACCAGGGTGTGAACTCAAATACATCAATTAGAATAAAAGTAAATAAAGCGGAAAAGAAACAGGAAAAAAAGAAATAAAAAAAATAAAGAAAAAGAAAAAAAAAGTGGGCTTTCAAACAGAAGGCAGTTTAGATGAGAATTGACTCTAGTAAAATACAATAGTAATAAAATGAATAGTCTGAAATTATATTGTAACACTAAGTTCTATGTTAAATATTAAAGAAGTTGTTCAAGGTTATAAAGAATTTTATAGAGAATAATATATAAACCCTTACTTTTCTCAGCTATTTCATAAATCTACTTTACATCAACTTATTTTGTATGTATATCTTTGATTAAACAAAAATAAATATATTTCAACCCATACATTTATTTTATTTTAATAATTTATTAATGTATAAAACTTTAATAAAAATACAATAAAAAAAATTGCCTTCCAATAGCAGCAGAAAAACAGACCGTAAAGGAAAAGGAAAAGCATCTGCAATTATATCTACCTCTGCAAACCGTGTTTTGGCTGGCCATGTTGCACCTCGAGAAATTGCCTCCAGTTTCTCATCCAACACTATCCAAGATCAGCAATACATGGAAATTGTTGAAATGTTTAACAAAGTAAATAACAGTATCAATGGTGTCAAGGATGACATTGCTGCTGTCAATAGCAACATGACAGCCTTTAAAAACAGGATGGGCGTTGTTGTTGACACGTCTGGAAAGACACATACGGCATTTGCAGACTTTGCAACTGCCTGTGCCAACAATCAGACTCATATGGCTAGTCTAGGACCATCTCTGATACAACCCATGTCCCCCAGACCTCCCTCAGTAATGCCGAGGTTTCTGTCATTATCTCGGTAATTAATATTAATATATGTTAGTATCAACAACTTATTAAACAACCTGTATTTAGGAAATCTTTGCTGAAAAATTGTGGGACTGGAAGTTCGAGTCTGACGACCCTGCTCTTGTTGCTAAGAACGAGAGTAAGAAGAAGTGGAACTTGAACAAGAAGATTAACCACCGCAATAACGTAGCTGTTATCAACTACTTGAAGAGCTACATTAGCACCCAGACTCGTCTAGCTGGTACTCACCCATGAGTGATAAGTGATAAAATCAAGAACAGGTACAAGCACAGTCATCGTACTTTCCACGAGTCTCCTGAGCAGAAGGTCAAGAAAAACAGCAAGGGGAGAGCAAAAAGTCGTACTCTTCAGGTTTGTATATACTATATAAAAAATTAATTCGTATATTACTATTTTCTCAAGCTATAATCTATATAACCAGATGTCTATCCAATGCAAGTTGACATACATGGACAACTGGATAGCTATTGATGCTGCAATGTGATATAAGACTGGAAACCCTGTTGAGAAGGCCTATCTCAAACTCTTTCAGAAGGATGTCATATCTGATGGTGAGTCAGATATTGAGATCGTGGACAATCTTCTACAATGGTATTTGCATGTGGCTCGCCCCACTTGGAGAAGTGAAGAGATAAATAATATTTAGAATAAATAAATAAGTTTTATAACAAGAAAAATAAAGAAATAATAAAAATAAATACAGTTCAACAGATTGTTGACAATGGTTGACGACATTGATTGTGCCCATCACGTGTCAAATGTGGGCATGGGAACAAAGCCAAGAATGAACAGATATCCAACAATATTGTTGCCTTGCTCTGTTTCTGCCACCCTGTCCCAGTCATTGCCTCGTTGGGCAATCAACGATGAATAAACATTTTCTTTTTTACTATGTTCTGTTGTAGGGCCGAATAGTAATAATTGAAATTGAATTGATTAAAGAAAATAATAATAATAGAGGATAAAAATATAAGTAAGTGTGTGTATGAGAATTAATAGTATTTTTTTTTGGTAAAGGAATCGCAAGTTTTTTGTCAACGTTTTTTGTAGTTTTGTAATCTACTATTGCAACTGTTAGGAGAATCCGATGTACTGGCAGAATGCTTTGAAAATCTTGCTTGTAGAATTCATTCTGTAACAACTCAACCCCTTCTAATTCTCTTATTTTTTCCGAAGTGGATTTGAACCATTTGACAAATGCAAATACATGCTGACTACTATGGGGATTTCTGTATGTTAGAGAAGAAACAGTTGGCCTAAAATTGTGAACAAAAAGGTACTGAATCTCTCCAACATACGCATGTTTCAACCCAGTTCGTTCAGTGAAATATGCTTTTATGTATGATCTGCAGCCATTCGTGCCAATGCACCCTTTGTAGCTTTGCCCAAGAAGATCAACGGACTTCACCATTTCGATTCAGTCATTGACAAAAGGTGAGTCATCAATTACATCTTTGCAACTTGAGATCTGTGGATTCTTGTACGCAGCTTGATAGTATCCTACAAGACAATCATATTCATGTTTTGGCATAAATGATACTGATCTTGTTTTCAATGGCAAGGCAGATGGTGACATGGGCTCATTTCCACAAATTGTCATTGAAAGATTCTGTGAAGCTTCAAGATATTCAGAAATTGAGAAAGAGTGAGAGAGGTAGGTGTTGATGTTGGTGTTGGTGTTGTTTTTGTTGTTGTTGGTAGTGAACTTATCAAAAATTTCAAAACATGCAAGTGCATGCATAGGTTTCAGAAGTTGACAAACAAAATTTCCCTTCCATGACTCTTCAATAAACTGTCTCATAAATGTTGATTCGAACCCATTTCTTTGATTGGTCTTGATATTTTTCAGGACATTATTATACCTTTCAAAGCTGAAAAGCCAATAGCCATAGACGGGCCCAAAGTCAATCATTGTTTGGTGTAAGTGCAGATGCAGGTGCATGTTGGGAGAGAGAAGGTCCAGGTTGTACAATGCCTCATGCCCTTTACAGAATTCTTCTAAGCATTTGTGTCCTTTCTCAATGTCTTCTTCAGAAACACTAGGCTTGGTGAAGTGTCTGCATGCATTAACAAACTCTATCCAGTTCTTGAACTCTAGCAATGGCAACACATCCCTTAGAACCACAGGAGAGTACACAAGACACCAAGACTTCTACTCATCAGCCTTCATATAGGGAAATTCCTTGGCAATCTTTGTCTCAAATGACGTGTAATTGGGTGGCAACACTACCTTCTCAACAGCCTTTTGCATGGCAATGAGTTTTTTATTGTTGATTAATCAATCCGCAACCCATCTCTTCAGCATTCTTTTGGCAGCACCTAAGAAAAGATTGTGCATGGGATCGATGATTGTGCAGCAGACAATGTCAAAGTACTGAAGATGATGCAGTTCAGACCAGCAAACACCATGTGCAACTTCAAGACGCTGTCTCTCAGTTGGTTTGGTTGCATTTCTCCAGATCTCTGCATCCTTATGATTGTCATTCTTAGTGCGAAGAAGCCACTTTGAGAAAACGAATCCAGAATAATCAATGGAACTCGTTTCAGCCAACCTTGAGAATTGATGCTTACACTTGTGGCATACATTTGTACTTGTATGGGATGTGAATCCACATACTTTCCTTGCAGAAGGTATACCACAGGCAACCATGAGAAGGGCTGCTTAGATAGAAGTACCATTTGGACATTGGTGAGTCTTAATCTTAATACCTTTGTACAGCTCCATCAACTCATCCACAAGCAGTTTTAGATAGTTATTTATGTCAGAAGTGCTCGCGTCTTTAGGCCCTGGCATTAACCCAACAAGAATCATGTTCTCCTTCTTGAACCACTCACTGCGTGGAAGATTATTGATTGTAAGATATATGGCACCACAGGAGTAGGTAACACCATTGAATGGCTGAAACCAGTCAATGTTCAGAGTGAGCATGAGTGATCGCTCGGTATCAACAAAAGGTATACCATCTATGTCTACTATCTCATTCCACATCGCACCACCGTACACGTCAAACAAAGTGCTATCCATTTTTGGGCCGCGGTTCCATGAGTTGATCTTGTTTTCAAAATCTGGGCATTGAAAAAACGTCTTTAGGGCTTTCTTGACGGAGTGGAATACATATGTCTTTTTAGGTGCTTTTGATCTGGGACCAGACTTAAACAAACTGTTGCCACACAAGGAGGTTTTACTAAAATTGGGTGATGTACAACACAAAGGAGCGGCTTCATTATCATATATGGCATGGCATTTGCTACATGCAACATACTTCTTGACACCACTTGTCAATGCTTCAAATCCAGCCAAACGTTTGAGATCAGCAACACTCACGGGAAGGCGGAATGGGTCAAACAAAAACTGCAGGATCTTGTTGATTATAGCAATCAGGATTACAGCTCCTTCATCCACAACGTATAGTGAGACAAAAAGAGCAACCAATATAACAATGAATCAGTAAATCAAATTCAATTCCGAGATTGATTCCAATGAAAAATCTTTAATTTGATTTTTTTTAAAAAACGTTGATTAACTCTTTATTTTCTAGGATATAATATTATCTAAAGCTGTGTACCTAACTTCATCATTGTCTATCTCAACATCGGATTCATCTTCATATTCTTCTTCTTCTTCGTAAGTGTCACTTGTATACTGGACATTATCTTCAGGGCCAAACACACAATCCGTTTCAGAGAAAGGTTGGTTTCTTGTCCGTATATCTAAAATGTCATTTGTGTCATTTAGGTCTACAAAAGCGGAATGTTAGACCCAAATAAATCAATGTAATAAAATAAGTTTTCTTATTTCTAAGCTCAGAATTCATTTCAACATCTTCCTGTTCAAATTCAAAACTATCTTTCTCCTGATTTACAGGCTCAGAAACAGCACTACTAATTGTATCGCATGTGTCTTCATGGGCTACACATTTATTATTATTATTATTATATAAAATAATAAAAAAGGAAATGATATAAAATAAAATAAAATAAAATAAAATAACGTAAAGCAAATGTATTAACTGTACGCGTTTGAACATGTGTAATATCATGATTATCTTTTTATTGATGACGTTTAAATGTTTTAACAGATACACAATTGAATTCTAGTATCTTGCTTTTATAGATAGAGCATCGACACTCTTTTCTAACAGTTGGTTTGCGAATAGAAGCCATTTTAAAATGAAAAGAAAGGTTTACAATAGTATTTAATAGTAAAGAAAGAGACTTCAAAGAAAACACACTTTTATTTTATTTGAGTTTGATGTTGCATTCTAATGCTACACAGCTGCCAGTAGCCAATAGAGTAGCTTAAAATACTATTCAAATACTTTACTCACAAAAGTGAGCTGAACTACAATTTTACCTATTCTGTCTATCAGAACTTAGGTATACTTTACATATGCAAAATTGATCTGTTTTTGCAGTGATACGTTTTTAGTTTAACATCCTCATCTTCAACATTGATAAGATTGTGAAAGCAAACTTGGGTAACAACATTTACTAGTTGTTAGACAGAAATCTCACCAGCCTGTCTGAGAAACTAGTTCCCGATGATATCACATTATGTTTCTCTCCATGAACCCTTAGAGATGGGCTACAATAAAAATAATAAAAATCATTATTTATTTCATTTTATTTATTCTTATCTTCACAAACTCAATGCTGACGATTTATATAGAGATAGTATTTATTTTTCTCTGTCCTTTTTTGTTATCGTCATTTATTTTACTTTTTCTTTTTTAAAAAAGAAAGAAAAGAAAGAAAGGATATTTATTATTGTTTTTTTTTAAGCATAAAGCTTTTTTGGTAAGGCAATTACCAGTTTTTTTTAGACAAGTCCTGTTGTATGATTAGCAATTGCTACTTCTAAAGAGATTCTATGTATAGGCAAAATTGAATGATAGTTTGATTGCAAAGGTGTTGAACCACAAATATCAACTCCATCTTTCTCTCATGATTTATCTCCAAGTAAAGAAAGCCAGTTATCAAACGCGAATACATGTTGATCATGATGAGTGGAATTGGCTTCATAGTGCGATGACGTTGGAGGAGAAGTAAATGAATAAATGAAGATATACTTGATTTGCCATGTGAAGATTGTTTCTGTACTTCCATCACTGCCAAGAGACAATGATTGGACATATGATCTGCGGCCAGTGGTGCTGTTAATGCCATAGTACACTTGGCCAAGAATATTGATTGATTTCAACTTTATAATCTGATTGCCAACAAAGAATGAAGAGACAGCAGCATTTTGATAATGGATGAGATCAGGAGTGAGGTACGTGAGTTTGTAGTATTCCAACAAATGGGAATAATCAATATCACTCATTGAAGAAGGTTTACTAACTGAAAGTAGGAGAGATTTGTTGCCAAAGATAGGAATTCTGGTAGTTTCAGAAGAATTCACAATTGCTTGCAAAATGTATGGTGGCTGAACAATTGTGGAGGAGACAGATGATGAGATAAGGACAGATGTGGATGAACAGACAAGTTTGGAAAGAACAGAAAGAAAGAGAGCTTGAGTGAGACATGTGAGAGCAGAATTAACAAAATCACTTTTGTATATATCTTCAACAAAGCATCTCATAAATGTGGCTTCAAAACCGTCCTTGCCATTTGTGCTGATATTCTTGAGTAGATCATTGTATCTCTCAAATGCAAAGAGCCAATAACTATATACTGGTCTAAAATCAAGAATAGTTTCTCGAAGATGGATGTGTAAGTGCATATTACATATAAGGATTGTGGCGGTGTAAATCTCATTGCATTTTTCACAAAAATTTTTGAGATGTCTATGGGCAGTATTAATATCATCAAATGTAATGCTGGGCTTTACAAGATGACGACATGCAAGGATGAGAGCACCAACTTCAATACCACAGAAGAATATACCAATACCCACGACTTCCACTCGTCTGCTTTCATAAATGCAAATGTTTTTCCAATTTTGCTTTTCAATGCAATATATCCCCTTGGCACAATCATCTTATCAGCTATCTTTTGCATGGTGGTGAAATCTCTGTCTCCAAGAACACCACGTTCAATCTACTGATTCATCATTCTTTTTGCTGTCCCCAAGAACAGGTTATGCATAGGATCAATGATCGTTCCATGTACTAGATCAAAGTATCCAAGGCAGTGCAACTGCGACTATCAAACACCATTTTCGATTTCCAGATACTGTCTTTCTAAAATAGTAGCTGCGTTTTTTCACTTCTCAGCATACAGTTTATTCTCCTCATAGTTATAACAACACCACTCAGACTCTTTAAATTCACGGAGATCAACCTTATTTGTGCTGCCATGGCGAGTAAAATGACGGTTGCACTTAAAGCATGTGCAAGTGCTATTATGCACAGTAAATCCGCTGGTCTTTCTGACAGCTGAGATGTCGCAGGCAACTATCATCAATGCAGCACAAATCACTTCGCCAGCAGGAGACTCAAACATTGTGATTCTTACCCCATGATACAGCTGTATCAACTTATCTACTATTGGCTCAAGATAGTTATTTATCTCATTGGTTTTAGGCTCCTTAGCATCAGGCATAAGTCCTACAAGGATTACATTCTTGGCTTTAAACTGGTCACTGCAAGGCAAGTTGTCAATGACTAAGTAGATTATATCACAGGAGTATGTAACTTTATAGAACAGCTGAAACCAGTCAATATTGAGCATCAGCATCAGCAAACGAGGCTGCTCAACAAATGAAGCACTATTACTATCCTTGAGTTCTTTTCAAACCGCTCCGTCATATACATCACACATTGTGTCTACTAATTTTGGCTCTGTATTCCATTGACGTATCTTTTCTTTGAAGTCTGGACGATTAAAAAGAATCTTGAACGCATTTTTGATGGACTGGTAATGGAAACTATGCTTGGGAACCAAAGCACCAGATGAAGATTTCTTTGTCAATTCACAGTTACAAGCTGCACAAGCACCTGTCTTTACAAAGACACAGCAAGGAGGGACAGATTGATTTTCTTTGTAAATTGCATGGTAATCCTTGCAGGCCACAAATCGTCTTATGCCCTTGGAGAGCTCACAGAATCCCGTCATATGCTGAAGACCAGGCAGACTTGTGGGAAGCTGGAAGTCCTGCTCGTAAATCTTCAAGAGCTCGTTGATGAACTCAATCAAGACAACTGTGCCCTTGTTGACCACGTAGTGGGATGCAAATAGCACAGTGAATGTTGCGATAAATCTGTGTACCGGATTCTCAGGCATACTGCTGTTTGAAAACATGTCTATTTAAAAATATAAAAAAATATTAATTTTTGTGACTTTTTTTTAGATTTTTTTGACTTTCATACAAACATTCAGTGTCAACTTCTTCAACATCAATATCAACAGTATCTTCGGCATTCTCATTGCTCTCATACTCAAAGTCAATGTCATTGAAATTGACATCGACCTCATAGTCCACTGACATAGGGGAGATATCCAAAATGGGTAAGTCAGACTGACGTGCAAGAACTTCTACGGATCCAGATTCTTGGACTACAATAGCTACAAATATGGAATATAATAAGAAAGTTGTTTTTTTTGATACCCAAATAAAAATTTCTTACATTCCGCATCAACGTTCATTACATGTCTCTGTGTACCTGTGTTTAATATAAAAGCTATTAGTATATAAAAATGCAAATTTTATATTGTAAATAGCATACCAAGTTCACTTCTGATAGCATCTTTTAGAGCTGCTTTCTTGTCATAATGCTGGGCAGTTTTCTTTGACACTAAGGTGTATCCATTATAATTTTTAATGCACTCGGTATAATAGCACTCTTCAAAGTTTTGTTTGATAGTAGAAGATATGATGTTTGTGTTTTTTTAATAATGAAATAAAAGGGAAACAGGTGTTACATTTATCTTTTCACAAAGACTTTATAGTAATAAATAAAATAACTTTTGTTGCTTGTTATATCTGAGCCAATAGAATATAGTAAAAGCAGTTTTTTTATTTGAATACAAAAAGCAATGCTGAGATGAAATATACTCTACATATATACTATCACTGAATTATTTCGGCACTAGTATATTCAGAATGTTTTTCCAGTGATGTATGATGATATATATAGGCAGATTTGAAAATTTAATCAATTTAATCTGATGTGATAAAGACAATGTAGTATCTGACATTTGAAAAATATTTGAAAATTCTGAATGCATAAAGGTTGCTAAGTACAAAGAATTCTGCAATGTCCCCACACTGCCAGACAACTGAAATTTTGTTAAATGCTAACCATTTTTACAACACTCTATGTCAACTGATACATGTGATACTTGTATTTGTAGTAAACGTTGACAGGTGATATGTTATCATGATTTTTGAGATTTGAATGGGTTCATAGATATGAAATAATCTCTTTTTTTCACAAGAGAGAAAAAGACAAACTCAAAAGAGAATGTAGAATTAAAGATAATAAAATCAATAATAAAAAAATAAGAGAAAAACAGTACTGTTGATCAATCTTGATAGACTTGACTCAATATACTTGAATAATCAAACAAGTAAAATATCAACAGTGTTAAATATGAAGAGAACTTGTTGTGAGGAAATAAGACAAAAAAATTGATATTTATTAAATGCAATTATTGTGATATTTATAGTCTTGCAATTGACTTGTTGAATAACTAAATAAATAATATTATTGAAAAATATAATAAAAAGTTGTATAATTGACAATCTATTAAATGTGATTTGTTCTTTACTATTATTAAATACAAATAAAATAAAACAATTATTAAGTCATAATCATAAAAATAATTATGCTTATAAGAAAATATAATAAAAATAATGTTAATTCCAAGTTGATTTGTTCAGTTAACACTGGGAAAAGTGTTCAACTTCCTCTATGTGAAAGAATATCGAATCCCAAGTAAAAGAATTAATTTAACTCAGGATTTGGGTGTTCTTGACATTATGATATAGTTCTTATTAAATCTAAGAAATGAGAACATTAATTCTATGTGAAAGAATTGGGCTAAAAAAGTTATATAGTACTACCTTAATATGCCAGCTCAGAAATGCAGGTTAAAATGAAAATAGATCTTTTTTCTTTTTTATGTACAGCACGGAATTCCATTGTTCTTAAAAAGGCAAGAAAAAGAAGTAAAACTGATACTTTCTTCAGAGGAAAGTAATACTTTCCTCAGGTTTTAAGTAATTCTATTGGGTCTTGAAGGCGCAAGAAAAATAAGTAAAACTGATACATTCTTCAGAGAAAAGTGTTGTAAATGAGTATTGACTACTGCTGTAATTGAGAATAAGTCTGAAGGAAATAATATAAGGCCTCAGCTATTCCAGTCAAAGGTGTCTACCGATTACTTTATTATTTAACACACAGGTTTAGCATGCATGATAGTGATTATATTTCATATGCTGATATCACCATAATATGGGATACATCAGTGGATTATTATAAGCATAATTATAACTCATAAACACATTTACTTTCGATGTTAATACTTCATTTGAACTACACACATTTATATAATTAATCATACATTAATTATCCCAAGATCACATTGCTCTGATTAAGGCTCAGATAGGATCGATTACCTGACCCCAGTCATATAATTTTCCCAATCCAAAACAATATAAATAGCAGTAGTAGTTCAGTGTAGGAACCTGGTCAAACTTTGATACAAAATCTTTCTCAATAAACAAAAACCTACACAAGTTCTCACAAATCTTCGTTCCTAATTTCAAATCTTCAATTCTTCCTCTTAAAAACTTCTTCAACTTCAACCACCACAACAAAAAGTAATAATTTTCTCAAGTTTTAATCAATTCTATTGGATCTTATTTTACAGATAAACTTCAGTACCCTCATTTGATTGACTGAAAGATAGTCTTCTCATACTTCTTTAAAACAGTATCTGGGAAATAGTTTACAAATGGGGCTTGTTTATTTTGTAAAAAAAATTCTCTTGAATTACATTGCATAATAATATAGTATACACATAGCTCTCAACTATTTTGAGTTTAAGTAGTTTGGGTATCATTGGTAAAAAGAGAGAATTTATAATAATAGTGAATATAAGAATAGTACAGTAAATGAGAATAAGCTAGAGTAGTATTAAGAATCTGATATAAATACAATTGTTACCATTTACTACAAAAAGAAAGATAATTAAAAAGTTAAATAATATGTTTTGTATTTAAAGAAATATACATATACTTACAGTCAAGTATGCCAGAGTTATAATCGTTGTGTATATACTACATGCAATAACTATAAAGAATGATTTTAACATTGATAATAGCTGTTAATATAAGAGATATACTGACCTTAATAAATGATGCTGATAATTCTTCAAAATTGAAAGAATGAACTTATTATATACTGTGATATATTCAAATATATATAATATTAGTATAAAAACACATATATAATTTTGTAAGTTTACCAAGTATATTGCCGCAGTAGACATGTGTAATCGTGCACAGGACATATATCCGCTAACAGATGAGAAACAAATTAATATAAAACTAGAACATATTTGACTTGTTTTACCTTTATGTTTAAGAGTGAGACATATCCAACCGTATGAATAGACCTATTGATAAATAAAGAAGTGTCTCAAAAATTATTAGAAGTTTAGTAGATCTAGAAAAAGAGAAATATAAAAACAAAAACAAAAACAAAAATAATTAAGTATAGTAGACTAGTTTAAAGACATCATATTTCTTTATCTGATTGTATGAATAAAAGAAAAACTATTAAATAAAGAGAGAAGAAGCAAAAAGGCAGACAAAAAAAAACAAAGGAAAAAAAAGAAAAAAAGAAAAAAAATTGAATATAAAAATAAAAATCTTTGTCTTCTGAAAAAAAAGATACTGGGAATTAAATTGAAAAAATCTAAAACAGAAAATGGTTCATATTTTCATATCATGTCTTCAAGAAGTCTAATAATAAAGGTTTAAAAGAACCTTTTTATTTCACTATATTTCATAATATTCTCTTTCTCGATCTTGATCTCCAAAATCAAATCTTCCAACACTTTCACTCTACTATGTATGTATGAATTTATTTAATGTATAAGCAAATAACAAGAGTAAGAATAAAAAATTTAATGTATTTTTGTTTTATTTTGAAACATATGTTTGTATAGAAAATGGCTCCCATTACTCCTAGAACCCCTAGATCTAATGCTAGAAATAGCCTTACCCAGGTTGCAGTTGGTCGTGTTGAGCAACATCTTGTTGTACCTGCTGTTACCCAAGAACAGCGTATGACAGAAATGTCAGCTCGCCTTGATAACATGGGCACCATACTTGGATCCCTGGACAATAGATTTGGTCAATTTATTAACGTCCAAAGAAGAAACACCAAGACAGTTGGTGCAATTGCTATGTCTTTGGCATCTACAAGTAGACAAGTTCTCCCAGCAGTTGCCCCATCTGCTGCCCCATCTTTTGACCAAATGTCTGAAGAAGAGACAAAAGTTGCAGTTTTGGTAAATATGTTAAATCTTATGTAGTGAATAATAATCTAATATGTAGTATCTAGGCCTTGATCAGAGAGAAGATCTGGAAAAAGGACTTCAGATCTAATGATTCTACTGAGATTGCTGGGAATGAAGCAAGACAAAGATGGAACATAGATGAGAGGGTTGACTATCTCAATAATGTTGTTGTTGTTGCGTACTTGCAGGAGTATATTCATGCCCAATCCCAAACTGTCAGCTTTTGGCCTGGCATGGTAGTATCTATGATAAAAAGTAACTATAGATATTGTTATTGTAAAGCACATACATTGCCTGAGCAGCGCGTAGACAACAACCGCAGAGCAAGAATTGCCAGCCAGATTAAAGAGATTATTACAAAACATGTTATTCATTTAAGATATTTTGTACTCATCTTACTATTTTTTCTTAGATCTATACTTGCCGCCAGGATATCTATACTAGATACTGGAGGGTGATAGACAAGGAGATGGGTCTCACGGTGAAAGAAGATTTCAAGATAGCTTTTTTTAGTGCTATCCAAAAAGGGGCTATGTCAGACGGCAAGTCTGACACAGAGAAACTTTTTCCTGGATTCCCAGTGCGTGTGTTAAAAGTTGCCCGTCCCAGCTGGAGAAGCAATGAAGTAAGTTATTTCTTGTGATGTGCTCTCAGTGAAGTAGAATATTAATAAAATAAATATAGTTCAACAAGTTTCTGGGCTTGATTGATGAAAGCATGCATTCCAATCATAAAGCAAAAGGGAATGCAAAGCCAAGAATGCCTAGGTTTTTGAGAGGAGAAAAAAATGTTACTGTACCATGTTGGCTGATTTTGTCACTGCCTCCCTGGGCGATTAAACAATAATTGTTTTTTTGATTCACACACACACACGTCCTTTATACTTGATTTATACACAACAAGACTGAAAGTAAAAACGATAACAAATAGAAATAAAAAAAGAGATAAATATATTGATAAACAAAGTAAAATAGAATGAAATAAATAAAGTAATAAAATATATAAAATAAAGAAATATATAAAAAGAAAAGACAATTAAGTATAAATTTTTTGTGGCAAAGGTATTGCAATCTTCCTATTGATACTTCGTCTGGTTTTGTAGTCAATGATTGCTACTGGCAGAAGTATACAACGGATGGGCAGTATACTTTGGAAATCCAAATTATAGAAGTTGGCATGATAGATTTCAATATCTTTGGGTTGTCTGCGTGTGTCTGATGTTGTTTTGCACCATCTAACAAAGGCAAAGATATGTTCATGGTTGTGGTTACTGGGTGCTGTGGGAGAGTTTGTGGGTATGAATAAGTATACAAAAATGTACTGAATCTCCCCAATGTAACCATAATGGGCATTCATGCGATTTTCTTCAAACAAAGCTTGGATGTAGAAACCACGTCCATTGACATTACATCCCTTATAAACTTGCCCTAGTATGTTAATAGACTTAAATATCTCAATATGCTCATTTACAAATTATGAACTCGTCATGTCATTCTTGCAACTGGAGATCATCCCATTGTTATATGCAACCTGGTAGTAGTCAACAAGGCAGTTGTATTCAGGCGTTGGTATCAGTGACAATGGTTTCTTTGCCAAAGAAAATGCAGTTGGTAGGAGAGGTTTGTTGTCTTTAATTGATATCAATACGTCCAGTGTAGCAGTGATAAAGTTGGCGAGTGAAAAAGACAATTGAGAGTATGGGGTTATTGTTGATGCTGTTTTTTGTTAATGTTTTGTGATTTTTTGAAAGATATCCATGTATGCGTGAGTATCAGTAGATTCCATAATGTGGCTGATTATATCTTGTTTATAAATATTCTCAACGAATTGTCTTGTATATGTCAGCTCGAATCCAGTTTTCCATTGGTCTTTATGTTTTTCAGGATACTGTTATATCGTTCAAAACTAAACAACCAGTAACTGTATACAGGTCCAAAGTCGCAAATAGTGGCTTGCAGGTGGAGATGTAGGTGCATGTTCAGAGAGATTAGATCCAAGGTGTACAATGTTTCACACTCTTTGCAAAAATTCTCAAGATACTTGTGGGCTGAGACAATGTCACTTTTGCAGACATTTGACATAACTAAGATTCAACATGTCTTGACAAAAAGCATCTAATTTCTAAACTTGTTCAGCAGCAAAACATCTTTAAGTACAACAGGAGAGTATACAAGACACCATGACTGTTGTGGTGGTTGAAGTTGAAGAAGTTTTTAAGAGGAAGAATTGAAGATTTGAAATTAGGAACGAAGATTTGTGAGAACTTGTGTAGGTTTTGTTTATTGAGAAAGATTTGGTATCAAAGTTTTATCAGGTTCCTACACTGAACTACTACTGCTATTTATATTGTTTTGGATTGGGAAAATTATATGACTGGGGTCAGGTAATCGATCCTATCTGAGCCTTAATCAGAGCAATGTGATCTTGGGATAATTAATGTATGATTAATTATATAAATGTGTGTAGTTCAAATGAAGTATTAACATCGAAAGTAAATGTGTTTATGAGTTATAATTATGCTTATAATAATCCACTGATGTATCCCATATTATGGTGATATCATCATATGAAATATAATCACTATCATGCATACTAAACCTGTGTGTTAAATAATAAAGTAATTGGTAGACACCTTTGACTGGAATAGCTGAGGCCTTATATTATTTCCTTCAGACTTATTCTCAATTACAGCAGTAGTCAATACTCATTTGCAACAAAGACTTTCACTCATTGGCTTTCATATAGGGAAACCCCTTTGCAATCTTTGTCCCAAGTGACGTGTAATCAGGCGGCAACACTATCTTCTCAACTGCCTTTTGCATGGCAACAAGTTTTTTATTATCAATTATCCCATCTGCAACCCATCTCTCTATCATTCTCTTGGCAGTGCCTAAGAAAAGATTGTGTATTACATTGACGATCATGCAGCAGACAACGTCAAAGTACTGGAGACAATGCAGTTTAGATCAGCAAACACCATTTGCAACCTTAAGATGATGTCTCTCAGCATGTGTGGTTGTATTTCTTCAGATCTCTGCATCCTTACAATTGTCATTCTTAGTGCGAAGGAGCCACTTTCAGAAATCGAATCCAGAATAATCAACGGAACTCATTTCAGCCAACCTCAAAAATTGATGCTTACATTTGTGACATGCATTTGTACTAGTATGGGATGTGAACCCACATACTTTTCTTGCAGCAGGTATTTCACAGGCAACCATGAGAAGGGCTGCTCAGATAGTAGTACCATTTGGACATTGATAAGTTTTGATCTTAATACCTGTATACAGCTCTGTTAGCTCATTGACTAAAGGCTTCAAATAATTGTTGATATCAGACATGCTTGGTTCCTTGGGCCCTGGCATCAATCCAACAAGGATCACATTTTCTTTCTTAAATCTAATGTTGTGCAGAAGGTTGTTGATCGCAAGGTATATGGCTCCACATGAATGTATCACCTCATCAAATGGCTGAAATCAGTCGATATTCAATGTGAGCATCAGTGAGCGCTCGCTGTACACAAAAGAAATTCTATCAATGTCTGACAACGATTTCTACATGGCACCATCATACACATCAAACATCATTCTATTTACCTTTGGACCATAATTCCAAGAATCAATACTATTTTCAAATTTGGGACAATGGAAAAATATTTTTAATGATGAAACAATGGAATTGTACACGTATGTCTTTTTTGCAATTCTTGACTCTGATCCAGATTTAAACAATGACATTGATCACAGATTATTACTACCAAACTTAGTCGCAGTACAACATAATAGAATATATTCATCACAACTATATATTGTATGACATTCATCACAGGCAGTATACTTTTTAATTTCTTTTGTTGAGTCGCTAAATCGCACAAGTTGTTTGAGACCAGAAATGCTTAATAAAAGACAAAACAAATCATTAAAGAGTTCCAGAATTTTGTTGATAATGGAAATCAAAATCACTGTGCCTTCATTGACAGCATACAATGATACAAATAAGGCAATAACAATTACAATAAAACAGTGGATGAAACTCAATTCCAAAATGGACTTGAAAGAGAAAAAAAAATTTAAAAAAAAGAAATAATCAATTCATTTTCTTTTTATTTCTCAGAGACAACATCGTTTAAAATTTACTATACAAACCTTCATCATCACTCATGTCAGCATCACTCTCATCTTCTTTGTTGTCAAGATCATTGCTTACTGCATACTCATTGCTTTCAACACCAAATACAGCATCGGATTTAGAAAGAAATAAGTCTCTTATCTGAGCAGGCATTTCTACCTTTTCTACGCTGTCATTCAATTCTATCAAAACGGAAATATTAGACAAAAACAATCATAAAGAATAAAAAAAAGTTTTTATTTTACCAAAAATATAATCTATATCATATTTGTTACTTTTGTCTTCAAAATGAATTTCATTATGGCTGACAACCTCAGATGTTTCTTTGACTATATCAGTCTCTGTATTTCAATTAATAAATTGCATCAATTATTATCATATTAAAAATAAAAATAAAAATAAAAAATAAAAATATAATTGTTTTTTCTATGTCTGTTGGTTTGCCCTCTGATTGCAATTTGTTTATCTCTTTTATGACATTTAAGCATTTGAGCAGATATGGTATTATATTCTTCTGCTTTAATTCTGCATACTGGATAGTCGTATTTGAACTTTTTGGTTAAGATACGGCTAGGAGGCATTTTAATGAAAAATAAATAAATGTGTTTATGGGTTTAAAAGTAAAAAAAAGAGGAACATAACATAGTTTATTTTTTATTTATTTAAGCTTAGTATTTTTCTCAGATGCTATACAAATTGCTATGGCCAATTAAATCGACTACATCTCTTATCAAATATTTAATTTACAAAAACCGACTGAGATTTAATTTTATATTTTCTTCCACTCGAAATTAGATTCACTTGACATATGTGAAAGTGGACACTTTTTCCAGTATAAATATAGTGAGAAAATAAGATATGATGTATTGTTGTGTGAAGTTATTGTTGACAGGATGATGCTTTTTCATTGTATATATTGGTGTTTTGCTCTACAAATAGAAAAATTACTTTTTATTCAGCCTTGGCTGCCATCAGAAAATCAAAAAAATAATAGAATATAATTTTTCTACATTACAAAGAATTCTATAACGTCACCAAACTGCTAAACAACCGAAATTTCGCTTACAGCTACTTGTTTTTAAACAACACCTTGCGACATAACATCGTATATCCTCAATGGTCTAGTGGCTAGGATCCGACGCTCTCACCGTCGTGGCCGGGGTTCAATTCCCCGTTGGGGAAATCGTTAAATACCATTTTGGTGAATTTGTGTCGGACATTATTTTGATGAATCCGTAAAATCTGAAGATAGTTAACCGCAGTATAATGACTATTTCTTTAATTAAATATAAATAATAACTACTGTCGTTCCTGATCTGGGATGGTCTTCCTTTTACTATAGCAAAGTCAAAAGGTCAAACCCACTGGGGATCGGAGAGTATATGTAAAATCGAAGAGAGGATAAAAGGTCCTTTTTATTGATAGGAATTGAATTGTCTTATATAGTTTTCTAAACTAATACTGCGCATTATCCGCAGTAAACTATTATACTCTATTTAATTACAAGAGAAGTCCTTTTACTGCGGTTGATGCTCAGAAGATGTTACTGTGGTTAATCTTTACAAGACATTACTGCGGTTCGTTATCTATGAGGTATCTTTGACATACAGAACTGCTGCGGTCAATTATCCCGATTTCTCGGATTCATCAAAATAATGTCCGACATCACCCCCTCTCGAAACTGTTGATCGTCCTCGGTCAACTCTGGTAGACTCTATCATCGAGAACGGCAAGGTGGAAGAGGAATCTATGGCCAGATCACGTCGCATATTGTTATGAGCAGCGGTCGGGTGATACCAGGTGCGGTCGAAATCGTCGGATTTGGCTATTTTGAGGCGGTCAGCATGAACCCAAGAAGTATAAGGGACACCTTCCATTGTTGTGAGCTTGTATATATTCTTATCGAAATTTTTATCTACTACAATATATGGGCCCATCCAGTTATATTCTAGTCCAAATTTGTTTTCATGCTGCAACAACAAATGTTCACCGATTGCGAACTGATGAGGTTTCATGATCGAATCCCATCGTTCCTTGTCTTGTTGGCTGTTGGCGGTTACTCGAGCGTCAGCATTTTTGCGAGCCTGTTGGAGATTACGAAGAAACGGGATAGCGCCATCGGATACGAGGGTCGGGTCGTCAGGGATAGATGTATCCATAAATGGACGTAGGGGATCGCCAGGAATACGAGGTTCGCGGCCATAAGTCAAGAAAAATGGACTGAACCCAGTTGTACGATGCTGTCTGATTCGGCAAGCCCAAAGTGCTGTTTCCAGATATTCGTCCCACCGGTGAATGGCACCATGTACATATTTACGTAACATCTGTTTAAGAACACCATTTAACCTTTCACATTTTCCATTAGTACGTGGGTGAAATGCTGAGGTTAATTTATGATGGAGCTTAATTTTCTTAATGTAAAAGCTCAAAATATGTGACATAAAGTTTGCACCACGATCTGTCAGAATTTCGTCTGGGCAACCAAAACGCATGACTATTTCTTCGTACAAAAAGTTGGCGATGGCTTCGCCCGTAGCAGCAGGAACAGCACGTGCAATTGGCCAATTCGTAGCGTAGTCGACGGCAACCAAAATCCATCGATTTCCGTTGATTGTAGTGGGAAGTTCTCCAATGAAATCGAGATGCCAACGAGAGAAAGCAGGGGGGATATCCAATGGTTCCAAAGGGGCATGGTGTATGTTGCGTTCTGCGTTTGAGGCCAATTGACATTGATGATGTTGTGGTGGTTGAAGTTGAAGAAGTTTTTAAGAGGAAGAATTCAAGATTTGAAATTAGGAACGAAGATTCGTGAGAACTTGTGTAGGTTTTGTTTATTGAGAAAGATTTTGTATCAAAGTTTGACCAGGTTCCTACACTGAACTACTACTGCTATTTATATTGTTTTGGATTGGGAAAATTATATGACTGGGATCAGGTAATCGATCCTATCTGAGCCTTAATCAGAGCAACGTGATCTTGGGATAATTAATGTATGATTAATTATATAAATGTGTGTAGTCCCAATGAAGTATTAACATCGAAAGTAAATGTGTTTATGAGTTATAATTATGCTTATAATAATCCACTGATGTATCCCATATTATGGTGATATCATCATATGAAATATAATCACTATCATGCATGCTAAACCTGTGTGTTAAATAATAAAGTAATCGGTAGACACCTTTGACTGGAATAGCTGAGGCCTTATATTATTTCCTTCAGACTTATTCTCAATTACAGCAGTAGTCAATACTCATTTACAACATTATCCTCCACCAGATTCAACAATACCTTTTGTTGATTCGGCAAAACATCTCATCTTAACTATTTATTAATTTGTCGAATTGCTCAATTTCATTTGGGTCAATTACGCTCATAATTTTTTTTTATACTTCAAGAGATCTGCACTGTAAACTCAGCTCCGTGGATTACGTGTTTATTTTATCAAATTTTTTGTTGCTCTTCTTTTGGACATTCTTTCTTCTCTACTCAGTGCGGTAGGAAGCTTACTTCCATTGTACTCTTCAATGCGATTCCTTTTTATTTTACCATCATGTCTTGGAATTTGAACTGTTTTCTTTAATGAGGCTGCACTCTTATTCACTAATTCCGTGGCTCTCTCATTCTCTAAACGTTCGATTTCTCTGACCTTCTTCCAATACTTTTGTATTATTGTGGGATTGGTAAAATCGTTAGCCATTTGCCATGTGTTTGCCCGTTCACCATAACCAACCCATTTTACCAGATATTCTCTTTCACCAGCAGCACCACGATGATCGCGAATGTCTTCAACTTCATAGAGCTCATTCTCAATTGTAGATTCATCGATGGTAACCATCTTGAGTTCTGAGGGTGTGTAATTTCGGTGCAACAATTCTCCTTGCTCATCCTTTAGTTCATACGATCCTCCTTTATTTCTTCGAACCACTGTATAAGGACCTTCATAGATTGGTGCCAATTTATTTGGACGATGTGGTAATCTGACCATTACGTGTGTTCCTTTGGGGATGTCTATTAAGATGTTCTTGTGATCGTATTTCTTTTTTAACTCTTCGTTGATCCGCAAGACTCTTTCGTTTATGGCAGGGAATATTATTTTATCCATATATTCAATCTGCTTCTCCAATTCATCAATTGTTACCGTGTTTTTGGGAAGAGAGAATTTTGCTTTATCACCATACTCATCAGGTACATTAACTCTGCGAGCATACATTAGTGAAAAGGGTGCACTCAGTGTCTTTTGAGGAATATGTCTGTTTATGCATAGCTGAACAATTGGTAAATAGTGACACCAGTCATTGCTGTTCGCTCTCATCATTTTCCGTACAGTATTCTCTGCAACTTTCACACTGGCTTCAGCAATACCATTTCCTTGTGGATGATATGCCGTTGAATATCTTCGATCAATACCAAGCTCTTTCGATAGGCTTGCCATTAAAGAATTTCTAAATTCCAACCCATTGTCACTTTGCATTACTTTGGGAAAACCATAATCTCCAAATATTTTTATCAATGCCTTAGCTATTGTTGTCGAGTTTTTGTTTGGTAATGGTCTCAAGATGATATACTTGGAACAAACATCAACTAACACTAGCATATACGTGTGACCATCCTCTGATACTGGGAATTCACCGCATAAGTCAATTGCAACATGATCAAATGGTCGGAAAGCTACAACATTGGTCAATGGGTGATATCCTCTTTTGCTGATGTTGTGCTTCTGACATTCAGAGCAAGAACGAATAATCTCCTTTGCTTCTTCATATATATTAGTCCAATGTAATCCTTGAGAGTGAAGATCATTCACCATAGCTTGACTACCAAAGTGACCAAACGAATGTGCTTCTTTTAACAAGCCATTTCGCTTTTCTTCAGGAGGCGACATATAGTCGGAAGTCTCTGATACATTTTCGATGAGTTGTGTAGCAAGTACATTTAGCACTTTGTCCTTACTGTACTTTTTCTTACGAATAATAACTTTATCTTTAGATTGCAAGTGTTTTGTTCTGATTTTTCTCAATCCATCATCCTCCACCAGCTTGTAACTATCCTCTGGAGGATACAAGCGACTCAACAAGTCTGGTAGTTTATTCAACAAACCAGGAATATGGACCACCTTAAAATCAAAGTCAAGAAGTGTCTCAATCCAGCCAATTATCATGGGATTAGCAATTTTTTGTGTGTGAAGATAAGTGAGTGCTTTATGATCAGTAAAAATGGTGAACTGTCGGCCCCATAGAAATGGACGGAATTTATCAAGCGCCAAAACGACTGCATACAATTCTCTTTTGGTGGTACTCCATCGCCGTTGGGATGGGCTCAGGGAAGTTGACACAAAACTAATATACTTATCACGCCCTTGATCGTCACGCTGAAAAAGCAGGCAGGCTACTCCATAAAGGGAAGCATCTGTGGCCACATACATTTCACGTGACATATCTGCGTAATGAAGAATTAAATCCTGATGCAGTATGTCCTTTAATGCTTTAAAGCTTCTTGTCTGCTCATCTGTCCATAGCTCAGCTACATTGTTGGCATGACTTAATCGTGAAATAGGTTCAGCCACCTTCGAGATCATGGGAATATAGTCTCTGAAGTAATTAATCAAACCCATAAATTGCTGAATTTGTTTCGCAGTTTTAGGAATAGGCCATTTATCAACGTTTGTCAACTTTCGCTTATCAACCTTGGTGCCTGTCTCATTGACGACAAAACCAAGCAATCGCACTGAATGTTGAAACCAGACACATTTATCAGAGTTTAGAATCAACTTCGCCGATGTCAATCTATCAATCACTATTTTTACATCCTTAACATGCTGCTCAAATGTTTCGCTAGCCACAATACAATCATCAACAAAATTCTGCACACAGTCAATTTTATCAAACAAAGTTGCCATGACATGTTGAAATTGTGATGTAAGCATCTTCAAGCCAAAGCAGCCTTTAATGAAGCTATATTGTTGTCCATCTAAATGAGTGAATGTTAATTTATGAACATCTTCAGGTGCAACTTTGAAACGATGGTAGGCATTCGATAAATCCAATGTGGTGAAAAATTTCTTTCCACTCAAATTCTGGAATATCGTTTGGATTTTAGGAATTGGATAGTTGAATGTGGGAGGTAGGATCTGATTCAATAATCGCACATCTAGACAAACTCGGTGACTCACAATCTCTCCAGCTTTGTTTCTTTTAGGCACAAGCAACATAGGACTGTTGAAGGAAGTATTGGTCTTGGACTTGACAATCGTGCCTGTCTCAAGCCATTCTTTTACTTGTTTATCAAGTGTTGGTCGTAGAGCATGGGGAATAGGATATTGACGTCTATAAGCTGTGGCGCCTTCTTTTGTGGGTAATCTAATTAGAGATTCTGATAAAGGACAAGAGGACTCGACTGGGATTTTCTTATTTTCATCCAGTGAGGCCTGAATTGACTGAATAAATTCTGCTCGCTGTATTTCCGTACCAGCTGGCGAATTATCCGGTTCAAACTTTTTCTCTTTATCGATATTTAGATTCTCATACACAGCGGCATAGTCTTTAGCGTTATCTGAATGAATATATTCTCCTTCGATATCGTATGCAACATTAATCAATCCGATGTTCATTTTTGTTAAGATATCTCTTCCAAGAAGAATATCAAAATTAAATCCTGTATTAAACTCTAACACCTCGGGTGCATGCTTAAACGTAATTCCATTCACATATTTAAAATTTAAAGGATCAGTTTTTCCCAATCGCTTAGTACCACTATTCTTTGACAAGAAAGTGAAGGAACCATTTGATGAATTTATTTTATTTATATTTAAATTTTCATTCAAACATTGTAAACTAATGAAAGTGCGTGCACTGCCAGTGTCAATCATTCCAAGTAGTTTGTGGTTCTCTACAATAATAGGAGTGGTTAGATTAAATGCATCATTGGCTTTAACCCTTCTCTCAATTTTGTCAAGTAGGTACTTACAGTCGAAAGACATGTCTTCGAGTTCCAAGTCGACACTGTCTTGGATCGCCTTGAGCACTTGCTCAGACTTCTCCTTGGCAGGGACCTGCGAGACCATCAGGACTGGCTCACTGTCCTTACAGACGTGGCCACGGAAGTAGTTTTCTCCACACCGCCTGCAGGGGTTGCGCTTGGTGGGGGCAGCTACTTTGGCCTTGTTGTTGGCCAGGGTGAAGCATTTGCTCGACTCATGTGTAGTATTCTTACCATGGTGCGAGCAGAAGAAGGAACGCTCCGGCTTACTGATTCGGTGCTGCTGGTTGTTGCTGGAGTGCACCTTCTTGCGAGGGTACGCCTCCATTCTCTTCTTCTCCATTCTCTTCTCAGTGTGCATGTTGGCACCAGGAATGAGCTGGGTAGCTTCGGCATACATGCGATTGTCGTCGCCAAGGATGTCTCTGCCAATCTGCGTCAACTGCTCCACAGTCCAATCTCTTTTGGTCTCGCCATTGAAGTCCAATCTGGTCATGGTGAGCCGCAAGAGTGTCTGTACTTGCCTAGTCAAGGAAGCGAGGAAGCGGTCGGCAACACGAGCATCGTTTTTGGGGAGGCCGGCATCATACACAGCCTGAAGGAACTTCTTGGAGTAATCTCCAATCGACTCAGAAGGAAGCATTACCATGGTAAATACCTCTTTTACCGAACGGGATGTCACCAAGCGCGATCCATGTCTTGCTGTAAAGCAGATCTTGGCCGCATTCCAATCTACACACTTCTTCAAATCCATCTCTACCCATCCATCGTCACTATGAGGCAAGCAGAGCGGTAAAAATCTCTTCCAAACTAGTTCAATGTCCTGAAGGGACGACTCAATAACCTTTTGGAAGGTGCGAAGGAAGTGGTCTACTGAGTGAAAGACCTCTTCATTTGGGAAGGATCTAATCACATCGTCTGCCAACTGGAACTTAGGAAGATCTCTTCTATTAAGAGTCAACCCTCCAGTGCGACTGCTCTTCTCTACAACTTTCACAGAAGGCGAAAGGTACTGACTGCATGCTATTTCTATATCTATCATTTCTTTGACGCGTCTGACCTTATTAAGGGCTAATTCAGCTGCTTGCTCATCGTTCATAGCGTGAGCAGCGCTGACAGCCTCTACATGCTGTTGAAGTTCTAGTCTAAGTTTCTCTGACAAAGACAAGACTGTTGTAGCAGCATTCGCTACCAAGGGACGAAGGGGAGAGGGAGCAACAAATTGTCCAGGGGTGGAGCTGGCAAAGGAGATGTTGTCACTCAGACTGGCGATGAGGTCCTCCTCAGTCATGACGGACATGGCATCCTCATCATGAGCAGGGATGATGGCGGCGGGATAGTTCTCAGCAGAGGGGTTCATGGTAGTTCACGAAAAAAAATGTTGTGGTGGTTGAAGTTGAAGAAGTTTTTAAGAGGAAGAATTCAAGATTTGAAATTAGGAACGAAGATTCGTGAGAACTTGTGTAGGTTTTGTTTATTGAGAAAGATTTTGTATCAAAGTTTGACCAGGTTCCTACACTGAACTACTACTGCTATTTATATTGTTTTGGATTGGGAAAATTATATGACTGGGATCAGGTAATCGATCCTATCTGAGCCTTAATCAGAGCAACGTGATCTTGGGATAATTAATGTATGATTAATTATATAAATGTGTGTAGTCCCAATGAAGTATTAACATCGAAAGTAAATGTGTTTATGAGTTATAATTATGCTTATAATAATCCACTGATGTATCCCATATTATGGTGATATCATCATATGAAATATAATCACTATCATGCATGCTAAACCTGTGTGTTAAATAATAAAGTAATCGGTAGACACCTTTGACTGGAATAGCTGAGGCCTTATATTATTTCCTTCAGACTTATTCTCAATTACAGCAGTAGTCAATACTCATTTACAACAGATGACATTTCGATAACCATTCTTGAATTTGACTTCTCATGGCTGGCTACCACCAACGCTTCTTCATTAAATCATACACCGTTGTTTCTCCAGCATGTCCGAAACCATTGTGGAAATTATTTACTAAGTCTGCACGCTTGGCAAACAGTGCAAAACGAATTTCTTGTACTGTGTCACCTATTTTAACGAGACGGAAAACCTTTTGGTCGTGGACCACAAACTTATTGCGTTGCCGATGGAGTAATTCTTTTATGTCTTCTGGCCATTCATCTTCTTTTCGTGCATAAAATTTTGGCCAGTCGGACGTTTGTGAGTCTGGTATGGTGTACAGGTATTCTGGTTCCATTGATTTAATTAATGTTGCATTGTATTCTGGGCCATCGAGACGAGAGAGCACATCAGGGACACCATTGTCTTTGCCCGGTTTGTATTGAATTATCGGGTTGTACAGCTCGAATTCAGAAATCCACCTTATCAGGCGAGGCGTGGGCTTAACCTGACTGCGAAAATACTTGAGTGGTAAGTGATCGGTGAATACAGTGAACGGTTTTCCTTCGATCATGCAGCGCCAAGTACGCAAGGCATGTAGAATACCGAGTAACTCGCACTCTTGAGCAGGATACGATCTTTTGGCAGGGGAGAGTTTTTTCGATTCGAACGCTAATGGTTTCCAACTTCCGTTTTCGTCTTCTTGCATTAATACGGCACCAACACCAAAATCTGAAGCATCTGTTTCAATGCGGAATGGTTTATCCATGTCTGGGGCAAGTAATACAGGTGCAGTACTCATTTTCTCTTTTAGTAAATCGAAACTTTCCTGGCATGTCTCCGTCCAAACGATAGGCCGTCATTTTGGTCCTGTCCCTTTAGTTAAGTCTGTTAAGGGCGCAGCAATTCCAGCAAACCCAGGGATGAAGCGGCGGTAGTGCTGTGCAAGGCCAATAAATTGTCTAACTTCTTGTAAATTTGTTGGCGGTGTCCATTCTTTTATAGTCTTTACTTTGTCTGGCGATGGTAAGATGCCTTGCGCAGATACGTTGAATCCAAGGAAAGTTAGTTCGTTTTTGTTAAATTCGCATTTTTTAAGGTTGGCAATTAATTTCGCTTCACGTAGTTGGTTTAACACATGTCGTACATGTTCTTCGTGTTCTTCTGGTGTCGTGCTAAAGATTAGGATATCATCCAAATAGACTAAGGCAAACTTATCCAAACAATCTCCAAGAACTTTGTTCATAAGATGCTGAAACGTCAGTGGGGCATTGGTGAGACCAAAGGGAAGAACCAGAAACTTGTATTGGCCATATCAGGTGTTAAAGGCGGTTTTTGGCACATCTGAGTCTTGAATTCTCACTTGATGGTAACCGCTTTTGAGGTCCAAACTGGTGAAATGGTTTGCTCCACGAAGGCGTTCCAAACACTCATCGATGCGTGGCAATGGATGGTTATTGCGGATAGTAACTTTGTTCAGGGCTCTGTAATCAACACACATGCGCATCTCACCATTTTTCTTTTTAACAAATAAAATTGGAGCACCCCATGGCGAAGAACTTGGACGAATTAAGCCGAGGTCTAGAAGTTCCTTTAGTTGTTGCTGTAATTCGTTGAGTTCTCGAGGGCTCATTTTGAATGGCGGTTTATTGACAGGGTAGGCATCTCCAGTGTTTATAACGTGTTGGACGTCACGGTTCGGCGGTAATCCAGGTAAACCGTCTTGGAAAACGTCCTCGAATTCTTTTACTAATTTCATCCAGTGTTCATCATTATGTATATCTTTTTCTGTCTTAATGTGCAACAAAAAGCATTTGGCCTCCTCTCTCCTAGAGAGTTTCTCAATTTGTTTTGCAGATATCAGATAGTTTAGGTGAGGTTTAGTAGGACGGGGCCCATGAGGACACAAAATAAATTCTTGTTCATCACGATGTAAAGACCAGCTATCGACATGCCAATCTGGGACGGGTTTAGCCATTTGCAACCAAGTGCGGCCAAGAATCAAGTCGAATTTAGTGGGAAATACAAAAGCATCGATGGTGTCAGTGTATCCATTTAAAGAGAGGTTTAATGTTGCCTTCTGATGGATCTTAATGCTGTGTCCTCCTGCAGTTTCGACTGATCGTCCGGGTATATCCAAAATGTGTGTGGCCAAATGGGCAATCTGGGGTGATACATAGTTTGCACTAGCACAACTATCAATTAACACCAGGATTTGTTGTCCGTCAAGTATAGCAGCGTATAAGGGCAAGTCTGTGTCCACGGCAGCATGGAGATCTTCTAAGAAATGTTGGTCAGCAGTGAGACAAGGGTCACAATTTTCTTCAGACATAGTCTCAGGCTCTTCATTGGTAACATTTGTATACTGTTCAGACACGTCTTTATTAATTTCTGGTTTGCTAGTTTCGCTAATATTATTAGCCTGTGGGGAGGATTTTTCTTCCATTGAACACAACCGATCTCCCGTTACGGTTGTGTTTTGCGAAAACCCTGCTTCTTGCTACGTGCCTCATCTAACTGTCTAATCGCTGCTAATCGATCCCTACAGTTCCTCTTGAAGTGACCAACTTCGCCGCACCAATGGCAAGTAGCCACATTACGTTTCTGAGGGGGGCGAGATCGGTAGTTATTACGGCGACCTTGAATCGCATCCAGGTCCATGGGCTCGGGACCACTGTACTGCTGTTGGTACGTCTGTTGGTACGGTTGGGGGACGGGTGCGTAGTTGTTCTGTTGCCCCAAGTGGAGGCCACTGGCATATGCCAAAGCGATGTTGCAGGCATTGTCAACGTCGACAGGTCGGGCGGCAAGAACATTTCCTCGTATGGTGGGGTGAAGTCCGCGGACAAACTTGTCGAGGGCTTCTTCACCGTTCATTCCAGGCAACTCCAACTGGATGTCGTGGAACGCGTCGATGTACTCTGCGACCGTTCCTGTTTGGTATAGTCGAGCAAGGCGGTCCCTGGACGTCTGTAGTGAGTAGACTGGACGAAATTCTCCCGACAGAGCCATCTTGAACTCATCCCAGGTTGTTGGATGTTTGTCCTTTACTTCCATGCGTCTCCACCATGTGTCTGCTCTGTCACGCAACAGATTCACTGCAAATTCACAGGCTTTTGTTGTGGAAAAATTGTAGTATCTGGTGTAACGTTCGACTGCGCGCAGCCAACCATCCACTACTGTGGCAGAACGTTCTCCATGGAAGCAATCAGGTTGCTTGATTTGTTCAGCACGGGCCTCCTGCTGCACCGTGATTGCTTTCATTGCTTTGGCGACGGCAGCAGCAATTGCTTCGGCTGTTAGAGTGGCGGTTTGGGGGGCCATTGTTTCTTCTTGTTCTTGTTTGTTCTTTCCTGTTAAGGTTGCGGCTAGTTTTGTGGCTAGTTCGGTCCACTTCTGTTCTCGGGCAGGGGTCTTCTTAATACGCTGTTCTTCAGGGATATGAGGAACACGCCGATTCTTCTTGTAGTCGTTTACTAATTTGCTGGGTAACAAGTCCTGGACTCGTTCTTCAATCTCGAATTGGCTAAGGGTCTTCTTATCAAATATGTCTTGGTGTCTTTCAACCGGATTCATCAAAGGTCTTGTTAGAGGAAAAATAGCTTCAGCTACCAATTGTCGTTCCTGATCTGGGATGGTCTTCCTTTTATTTTAGCAAAGTCAAAAGGTCAAACCCACTGGGGATCGGAGAGTATATGTAAAATTGAAGAGAGGATAAAAGGTGCTTTTTATTGATAGGAATTGAATTGTCTTATATAGTTTTCTAAACTAATACTGCGCATTATCTGCAGTAAACTATTATACTCTATTTAATTACAAGAGAAGTCCTTTTACTGCGGTTGATGCTCAGAAGATGTTACTGTGGTTAATCTTTACAAGACATTACTGCGGTTCGTTATCTATGAGGTATCTTTGACATACAGAACTGCTGCGGTCAATTATCCCGATTTCTCGGATTCATCAAAATAATGTCCGACAAAATGACAAGACAAAAAACAAAAAATGATTTCTGCCAGACTTGAACTGGCGACCGTCTGTGTGTTAGACAGACGTGATAACCAACTACACCAAGAAACCACACACTCTCTTCCACAACCAAATTATTTTTTGAATTCAAACCCAGCACAGTTTTACTTTTACCTCTTTTTCTCTATAACTACTATATCAAACCTATCTGTTTTTTGCAGCAGGATTGATTGTCATAGCTGTTTTTATATATCTACCAATTTTCATTTTTTTTTAATTGACTTTTTTTTCAAATTGTTGGAATCATCATTGCAATCATCTTCACATCTGCGCCGAAATCACTCAAGATTGTCAGCATCTCCAACTACATCTCGATTGCCTGTACCTCTGTTATCGTCTCCAGCTCTTTTCTCCTTCTCTGAAAGTGGTCCTGGTGTTTTACCATCAACTTCGCACTTTTTTGTCCCAGTTTCAGACCTTTCTTTTTCTGCTTTGCCTGCTCCTGGTTCCCACGAAATTTTTTTTCAAGCTCCTCCAACAATGATTGGTTCCCAAAAACAGGTGATTAATTCCACTGGCCGCCCTACTCCCACTGCTCTCATTTTGTCTGGCCTCAAGGCAGACTTTAAAAAATTGCACAATGTTTTGTCCTGTTCACATTGCCAGACTACAGGCAAAATTGTTTCTAATGGGTCTACTTCTTGTACTGGTAGCCCACAGTTTAAATGCAAATGTGGTGCAACATTTACTGCTTCATCCATGCAATCTTTGATCAATGCAGTCCAACACAAAATTCCTGAAGTTCATTCTGCAAGTGAGCCTGTTGTGTCCCCTTCTGTTTCCATCTTGGGTCATAGTATTTCCATGGCAGATATCCATGAAATTGAATCTGACATTGCACCTGTTCTTCCAACTGTAATGCCCACTCTTCAGGATATTTGGGACCGTTTCCAGGCTTATGATGAACGTCTTTCTGCATTGGAGGCTGTTCAAAAAGAGAACATTGAGTTGCGTAAGGCTCTTGCTACTGCAAACGCCACTATTGCACGTTTGACAAAGGAGAATGTTGATTTTTCTGTTGGTGCTGCAGCATCCAAATATGCTACTATTGCTGCCTCTGTTCCAGTTGTTTCTCAGGCTGATTTTCCATCACTTCCTGCATCCCAGACCCATCATTCCACTGAACCCACCAAGACTTTCGTTTCTAAAACACCACGTAAAAGGGCTCCAACTGCTAGGGCCATTGCTGCTGTTGTTCGTGGCATGACAATTAAAGAAAATGCTGATCAGGGGTTTCAAATTGTTTATGTACCTAATGCTATCCGTCTCCCCATTAGTACTCAACGTCAACGTCTTAGGAAATTAAAGATAGACAATGCACGTGTGCTGGATCTCCACTATCCTGATCGTAAGGTGATGGGAATGCTTGTACATAATGAGTATGCTCCTGAGCTCAAGACTATCTTGGCGAGTTATGGTGTTACTACTTTGGATAACTTTGATCCTCTGGACCCTGTTCACCTCCGTGACCCAGCTCTGGCCTCTCTTTCACTTGATGATAGGGCAACAAAAGCTATACATGTTCACAATGATCGTATGCTACGTGCCATTGAATTCATTAGGGCTCCTGTCAAGTTTGCTGTTGCACGTTCCTTTTGCTCTCAGGGATGGATTAGTGATGACCAACTAGCTGAGATTGTTCCCCCACGACCTACCAAAAAAGACTTGGACATCTCTATACATACTGCCAGCATCACCATCCCTTCATTCTCTGATCTATGAATCCAGTAACAATTACATTATGGAATGCAAATGGTCTTGCAAAACAGACCATACCTACGATCCTTTCATATGCTCCACTTACTTCCCTTCTTTTTATCACTGAAACGTGGCTTTTGTCCCCCCATCGTTATCCTACTTCTTGGCAGCAGTACCATACCTATGGTCAGTCTGTCCCCAATGCTAGCCGTGGCTGCATGGGTATTTCTCTTCTTGTAAATCCTTCTTTCCCTTACCCCATTTCTATTGTTCCTTCTTCTTCTCCTTATGTTCTTTCTTGTATTGTATTTGATTTTCTTATTCATTGCATTTATCTTCCCCCTTCTCTTTCTGATGACGATGCAATTTCTATTCTTTATGACCTCCCCCTCTCTTCTTCTTCTATTCCTTCTTCTAACACTATTTTTTGTGGTGATTTTAATTCACGTATGGGATCCTTTCTTGGTGACCATGCTATCACTTCGCGAGGAACTTCTTTTCTTCAGTGGATCCAGGCAACTGGTCTCACTTGTTGGAATGAATTACTTGCATTTGGTATTCCTACCTTTCTTTCTGGTGGCTCTGGTACCTCACGTTCCAGTGTCATTGATTTATTTCTTTCTACGTCCCCCCTTCTCAATCCTTCTATGCAAATTCATTCTGATCTTTCTTTAGGCTCTGATCACAAAATGGTCAACCTCACTTTCACTCCCTATGTTTCACCTCCCCCTCCCCCTACTAACCATCTGCGCCTACTTTGGAATCTTTCCGGGCTTGCTCAGCCTGACACTCTCAAGATCTACATTGATACAGCTTCTGGGTCATTGGACAATCTGACAGAGCAGTTCAGTGCTTTCCTTTCTTCTTCTTCTCCTCCTCCTGTAGATTCTCTGTGCTCTGCTTTTGCTCAAGCTATCTATGATGCTCTGGACACTGCTGTTGGTCGTCGTACACCACGTACCATGCAAAAGTACTGGTTCTGGTCAGTGGACCTTCAAGAAGCAATGGATCTGAGAGAACGCAGCTACCAATGCTGGCGTCATTCTAGTGGTTTGCAGAAGGTTATATGCTGGATGCGCCATCAGGATGCATGTCATGCTGTTAGGTTATCAGTCCAGCATCGTCGACGTGAAACATGGAAAGAATTCTGCAACAAATTGGCAACACAAGACTTTGCAAAGACAACAGCAACAATGAAACGTATTAAAAGCCATCGTCAAACCAGTCCTGTCTTTGTGAATCCTGGTGGACCTCAAGTAGCTGCTAACAAAATGGCTGATCATCTTCAACAGATTTTCTCAGGTCAATTTCTTCCTGCACGCCGCCCTCCAGACCAGACAGTGATGATTTCATCACCAATTGCAATTGATGAATCATGTCCTTTTACTCATCTCTCTGTAGAGAGTGCAATTCTCAAGCTTCCTACACGCAAGGCTCCTGGTGTTGACCATCTTCGTGCTGAAATGCTTCACCCAATTGTTAAGCAAGTCTCTCCTGTTCTTTGTCTTTTGTTCCAGCTTTGTTGGCAATGGGGTTCTGTACCTCTTGCATGGCGTACTGCACAAGTTGTCCCCATCTTTAAAAAGGGTGATACTTATGACCCTGCTAACTATCGTCCCATTAGCTTAACGTCTATCCTGAGAAAAGCCATGGAATATTGTCTACAGTTTCCTCTTGAAGATGTGTCTCCAACAATTGACATTGCACAGGGTGGATTCCAACGTCAACGTAGCTCCCTTGATCAAGTTCTTTGTCTCCATGCAATGGTCCGTCGTCACACAGCTCTATTCAAAGCACCACCAGTCTTGGCTTTTCTTGATATCAAGTCTGCATATGACACTGTTGATCGTTCTGTAGTATGGACATCGTTACGTCCTCTTGCCTCTGATGCTATGTTAGCTTCGTTACAAAGTCTTTTTGACAATGTTCAAGTTGAGGTGTTGCTTTCTGGTGCAACATCCAGATCATTCCAACCATTGACTGGTGTTATGCAAGGATCTGTGCTTTCTCCCCACCTTTATTCTGTGTACATAAATTCTCTACCAGTTGCTCTTCGTGCTGCAGGGGAACTTTGTAACACAGTATTTAACCAGACTGCTGCCACAAGACTCAATGATCAATTAGTCAATTCACTACTTTTTGCTGACGATGTTGCCATCATTGCTACACCAGAAGCTATGCCTGTCATTCTGAATTCTGCTGAACAACATTCTCAAGAGCTAGGATATCGTTGGAGTCCCACCAAGTGCATGATCCTTCACCATTCCTGTTCTCTTTCTCCTTTGTCATTCTCTCTCTACAATGTGCCTATTTCTCATGCTCATTCGTTTCCTTACCTTGGTGTTCCCTTCTCAGCAAAGGGGACTATTGATCCATCTCTTCTCATCTCTCGTAATTGTGTCTCTGCTATCAACAGCATGCGTGCTCTTCAATCACTTGGTGTCAATCACACTGGGTTGTCACGTCTACTCTCAATTCGTTTGTATCGCCAGTTTATTCGTCCACAATTTGAGTATGGCCTGGCAATATCCTGCTTCAACATTAAACAAGTTGCTGTGCTTGAAAAGGCCCAGAACACATGCTTACGCATGATTTTTGGAGGTCACTCCACATCTTCTACATCTGTTTTCCGTCACCTTGGGAATCTTCCTAGCATGAGGGAGAGGATCTTGACTCTTGGTTTCAAGTTTGTATATCGTGCTTTCTGGTTGCCTGATGAGGCTCTGTTTACTCTTCTTCGACCTGTTCTTACAAACCCAGCACACCAATGGTTTAAGCTTTTAGCTAATCCCATTTGGTTATCTCTCTCCAATCGTCAGAATGCTGATTCTAAAGCTTGCAAGCATGCCATTCGTTCATTTTTGAACCAGGGCCTCTCCTTGCAACGCTCTCAACAAATACTTCTCTCTGCTTGCCGTCCTTCTCTTAGTGTTGACCCTATTCTCTGGCTTCCCATGACTAACTATGAACGTAGTAGATTCATACGTTGGCGTATGGGGTGGCTTCCTGGACGTCCTCAACCTTGTTCCTGTGGATTGCATACCACCAGCCGTCATCATGTCATTGAGTGCACTGGAGCTGCAATTCGTCTCCATCTCTATTCTACAGTACAACCCAATCCAATTGATTATGTACTCAATATGCTGCCTCTGAAGAAACTTAAAAACAACAAAAACAATGCCTTCTGGATCTTTACTTGGCCAATTCTTTGTAGAATCATGTTAGACATAGAACAGATCTGTCTCCCTGGGGTTGATCTTGCTGATCATGCTGCAACAGACAGAGGACAACTCTTCTTGAACTGGCTACCCAAATGAGACTGGCCATCTCCTTTTATTTTTAGTTTAGATCTGTATTAGTCTTAGTTTCCATTTATTGCATGAATTTCATGCATGCTTCATATTTTATCCTTATCTCCCTTTTTTTGTATCCCCTAGCTTAGTTTCCCTTTCTAGTTTTTTCCATTTTCCCCCTTGGGTTTTTTTTCCTTTCTATTATTCTTTTTTGTACTCTTAAAGGCGGGCAATAGCTCTATAGTGCGTGTGCCCACTAGCCTTTCAATAAAAATCTTTTACCTACACCAAGAAACCATACATATTTTGTCACATGTGTTGTAAGCAGGTCTGGCTTTGGCTAGTTTCTCGTGAGAGATACCAGATGGTGGATTCCTTCGGTGGTTTGGTCCAGCAGTGAGCTGCAACAGATAGTACCAGACTCGTGGGCGTTGACATCGATGGTGAGTTGACCAAGTGACGTGTCTCGAGGGACAAGAGTGGTCCCCCAGGTTTCTTGGGAAATCTTGCTCCTGATACCCCTATATCCAAACCCCCCAATATAATTCTGTTCCTTAAAATTAAATTACTCATCTACATCATCACCTCAGAAACACCTGTCACCCACTAAAAACATTATATTTCTTTCCCCTAATTTTATACACTTCTTTATCACCGACATTTATTTTACACTATTTTTTATTACATTTTATTAGATTCCATTATTATACTATTATTATATTTTTTTACTTTACTTTACTACATCGTTATTATATTATTACTTTACTTCTATTCTATTTCACTATATTTTCACTTTATCTTTATTCAATTATTATATTTTTACTATACTTTTATTTTACTCTCTCTATATTTTTCCATTCTACTTCTACTATCAACACCAGTTACATGTAGTAAAAATTTTCACTTGACTTTCTGTTGTATCCAACATAATCGTAGATTTAAATTAAAAGTACAGACACTCAATAAATACATACATTGAGTTACCAACAACTAGTAACAATACTAAAAGATATATCTTCTCTTATACAAGAAAATTATATAAAGAACATACTAAGACAAATACCAAGACTCTAGTCAATAACACTAAAAACATAAGAACTAAATCATAGAAGATAATGGTAGAGAAACAGACATTACATGATATCATCATATCATCACCAAGCTAAATACAATGTCTATATAAATGCACAATACTAATAGCAATAGAACAGCATCTCTTTTCTGATTCTTTCACTTCTTCTAATAAAACAAAGTCTCACTGTACTCTCATCTGCACTTGCTTTATTTTATATCTTATTTTTATCTCATACATAACACTCTTCATCTCAGAACAATTTGCTTATTTTCTTTTATTTTATTTCTCGCAATGATATCACAATAATGAAAATGATGATAATATTAGTGAAGCACATCTTGATCAATAATGATAACAAATATTATATAAGTATAACTATTATAACATTTACTTTACAAGATCAATAATGAATGCTTAATTAATTATATCGTATTTAAACATTATGTTACTATTACAAAGTCTATTTACACTGATGTTATTATTTTAACCAATAAAATATTCTGGCATCGAAAATTAAAAAAATAATATCGTAGCAATCATATGTTTATACTTAAGTTGATTTATCTTTTTTTCAGAAAGTTAAACAAGTAAACATTATGAAATATATATATAATGGGAAGTACAACTTTTATTCTTTTTATCTTTCTTAAAAAATAATAATTCAAAAATGTCTGATATCAACATCGCACTCATAAACTCTGTCAGAAAAATTGAAATTGATATTGCCAAAATAAAGCAAATAGTACGCATGCTTCAAGATCAGTTTAGCAAACAATTTGCCTCAGCTGTCAGTGCAGAAGATCTTAGTATAATGCAACAAAGCATCATTGAGCAAAGTGGTAAGATACATTTACTATATATCTGTATATTTACTTGTCTTATTAATATGATAGTATACAACTTCCTTTTTGGTAGCTCTTGAACATGTTGCCAAGTCTGTGAAAAGGTCTCAATTCACTGAGTATCCTGACCAGCTTGGCAAGCAAGTAATTGGTACAGGTGGCGATTTCAAAGGGAAAAAACAAAGCCCAGAAATACAATTTGCTGTTGCAATTGCCTCATGAGCAGGAGTGGAAAGATCGTTGTAAAGAAATTTCAGAAGGGCAACTTTTTCCCCAATTGATACTTCTTTCAGACAACGATTTGTCTATGAAATGATTGCAGCTCAAGATGTTGAGCCGCATGGTCAAGTATGATCTCATTGACAAAGACTTTTCTGCTTTAAGTAAAGAATGGAAAGGTATCCTGACAAAGCACTGGGAATACTACAGAATGTCATTAGAGAGAATGGCAAAGGATAATGGCTTTGCTATCTACAAGTGCAAGAGCATGTGGTGTGCCAAAAGCCTCCTCCAGGGAAGCTTCAAAAGTGACAACCAGAAGCAAAAAAGAAGAATGGTAGAGAAGAACATTGTAAGTTTATTAATTAAAAGATTTCATTTGTATGTTTTAATAAACGTTTAAAAAAATTATAAGGCACAGCAAGATGCAAATGATTCTTTGCTGTCTTCTAATAATATATCAGAAACTGATGGTGGTGAGTCGCCTATTATGGTGGATGTGCTGTAAGTTATCATGTTTTCTGCTGGTTTGGTGCTGTCAATATGAAACTAATATAAACTTTTTATTTTTTTATAAAGTTCTCCTCTGGCAGAAATGAGTGTTGCACTAGCACATAAGAGAAGCCAAAGATCATAGGAGGTTTTGATTGAATCAAAATATTTTTTAGCGTATTTTTAGTTCAGTTTTTATATTTGTCTTTTATTTTCTTCTTTTCTCTTTCTTTCTCTTGTTTTTTATTCTTTCTCTTTAAATAAAGATATGTTGCCCTTTTTTATGTGATTGGTATCTATATAGTCATCAGCATTGAAAACTAATGTACAGCATCTGCAGCATTGCTATAATTAATTTTTGAATGATGCACAATAGATTTTTTTTTCAAAAAACAAAAAAAACTAATAATACTCTTGTGCTGCTATATTATACTTGATAGGTTTTATATTCTATGTAAGTATCTTGATATAATATACATCTCGTGTTAACAAAATAATGTTCATTCAGTTTTCAACTAGATTCAACTTGACTTCATATTGTATGACTCAATTTTTTTTTCGGGTTTTATTTGATAATAATTTTGAGTGATACTCACTGCTTTTTTCACTTGTCTTGTAGATATACTAACACTTTTTAATAACATATGAAGCTTACATATTAATATTATTTTCTAATATATATATTTTTAGAGCAAAAAAAAATCTTTAAAGCTATTAAATATATCACATAAAAGTAAGCACTATATTATTATGTCTATTTATTTATTTTCTCTCTTACATTGATATATTTATAGAAACCAGTAATAATTAAAGAACGTCGTCTAGTCTATATCAAAGTACTCAAAACACATGAAATGCTTTTGGGATAAAGGGTTTTTACTACATACCCTGCAGTAGCCAAATAATACTATGTCTTTTTTGCAAGTTCCAATAGACGGGTTTTAAGTAGTATTACTATCATATAATAAAACATAAATTGAAGCAAAATCTTATTCAATTCAATTCATTCCAATTTATTTTAATTCAATTCAATAAATGGTTCATTTAATATGGCAAATAAAAAGCAAAATGATATACTAGTATTGGATACAGTAGAGCAAAAAAAGGGGGACGTGAAAGAAATCCAAAAAAAACCAAAAAAAAAGGAGTGAACCTTGGTCTTTTTAAAAAAAAGTGGAAACTGTGCCTCTAATTGCACTATACAGACTCATATCTACCATTTTTTATTATGTAAAAAATGGCAGTTATGCTACCAAAGTGGTAACACATTGCTACTTTTTTAACCATAGTGATGTTGTATTTTTAGATAAAAGTATAGAGAAAAGGAAAGTTATATCTGAAAAAAAAACAATAATAATAATAGAATGTGTTGAACCAAAAACATATTAGGAAGTCTGGTGAATACAAGACTGCTTTCAGTTTTGAGAATTTAAACTTATTGATTACATGTGCCAGAAAAGAAATACCAGATTGAGACTTAACAAGATAACAATCCAGATTGGAAATGATGTCAGAGTTGAAATCGTAAATAGAAATTCTTAAGTAAGATATCTAATTGGTTATTCTTTTTAACATATACTTTCAATGTTATATGAATTGATTTTCCATTTTGTTAACTAAGACATATTATATTGCCTTCTATAAAAATAAAACCAATATGTTTTGAGTGAAATAATTAGATTAGATAGTTTTACTTTTAAGAAATCTGTATACATATTTCAAGATTTATATCAATAAAAAAGGATTCAATTCTTTATATTTCTATCTGTTCTTATTTATTTACAACGTTCTAGTTGGTGGTGATCTATTATCAAAACTTATATAAGTTAAAATAATAGAAAGATATACCCAGTTCAGACTTGACAACTGTCAGATATTCTTTTGATAAATCCATAAAAGCTGAAAATGGTTAACTGCAGTACCTCTTTATGCACAGTAACATTTTCCTGAGTATTAACCACAATATAATGACTCTTCTTTTATTTAAATATAATATAAAACTACTGTGGATAATGAGCAGTATTAGTTTAGCAAATTATATAAGACAATTCAAGTCATATTAATAAAAAGTGTCAGAGTCAACATCCGTGAACAAAATTAGTAGTTATAAGTAATCAGTAAAAGTTTACTGTTTAGGATAAAAGATCTTGACTTTGGCAATTGGTCTTTTGTCTATGTTTTACATGTTGGAGATGAGGGATATACTTGTAGAGATATTACTGGATAACTACCATCTAAGACATATTATTGTAGATATTCTTTTAGCCCAAAAACAACAATCGTTTTGTATAAATAGTCAAGAATTACATTCTATAAAAATCATCTTTATTCTTATCTAAAAACTATTCATAAAAACTTAACAAACCCCAGCGGTATTAATTCTGCGACTTAGTTACAAGTGCCAGAAAAGAAATACTAGATCGAGACCTGACAACTTGACAAGAATTTGAGCATGACATTACAACTGTCGTTCCCGATCTGGGTTGGTCTTCCTTTTACTATAACAAAGTCAAAAGGTCAAACCCACTGGGGATCAAGGAGTATACGTAAAATCAAAGAGAGGATAAAAGATACTTTTTATTGATATGAATTGAATTGTCTTATATAGTTTTCTAAACTAATACTGCACATTATCCGCAATAGTTATTATTTATATTTAATTAAAGAAATAGTCATTATGCTGCGGTTAATGCTCAGGAAGATATTACTGCGCATAAAGAAGTACTGCGGTTAACTATCTTCAGATTTTATGGATTCATCAAAATAATGTCTGACACAACAACAACCAAAAATACTGGATTTCGCAAAATATGCCATGACCTGGAATCGAACCAGGGTCAGCGCGGCCACAACGCGACGTACTGCCACTATACTATCATGGCTTACATGAGTTATGCCATGTGTGTAATAAAAAAGTCCAGCGTTTAGCCATGTCGTGGTGTCCGGTACCGAAAAGTCAGTCTGCTCAGTTGGTTGTCCGGCGGTTTATCGTGATGTGTCGTCCCGGTTATGAGAGGCTGACGTCAACGGTTTGTTGATGTGGTGCTGTACCCTCGGTGGTAAGAGGAGAATTTTTCCGTGCACAGGAAGAATCTCGTTTCCATTCCCTGTTCCTTCTACACACAATACTTTTTCCTTTTCCCTTGTTAACATATTCATCTACATTGTACTAATTTGAAATCATGGTCTCCCATGCTAGTAACATTTCTCTTCTACAATGCACATAATTCATCTTGCCAACATCTCTGCAAAACATCAGTACCTTTATTATTATATTTTTATCTTATTTTTATTCATATATTTTATCCTTGCCATATCCATTATTCATCATTCTATTTTTACTATCTTTATTTTTCTGAACTTCCACTGGAGAAATGATCCTGAATATCCTTGTGTGAAGGTTCATGGTTACATGTGGATATTTAGAGCAATTTTTCATCTCAGCATGTTTTTTAGTATACATGTTCATAAAGTCATGTTGTAATTTTCTATTGGCTCAGATATAATAACCATCCAAATTATTTTATCATTATTATTATTATTATTATTAAAAAGTTTGAACAAATAAAGTAAATGTAATATTTGTTTCCCTTTTATTTTAACATTTATAACAAAATAAACACCATGTTCTCTACTTCTGAACTTTATAATAAGAAGTGCTATTGCACAAAATGCAGCAATAATCAACAAGGCTACAGCTTTGTCTCTACATGAACCCTTTAGTGTCACAATAAAAGAGCAAGATATGAAGACCTGGAAAGAAGTGAAAGAAGTATGTTTTGTTTTTCATTTTCATTTTCATTTTGGTTATTTTATATAATGTTTTATTTCAATAGATGTATCTGTTCAAAGAAATCTCATGGATATTGATTTTGAAAGTAAGAAACATTAATTGTGATAAAAAGAGAAGTAAATTAAAAATTGAATTCTATATGTAGCTACATCAAACCAACAAACTGGACCCATGGAAGCAATGGGCGGTCAGACCAGCTCGCCTGTTTGGGAAGGAGCCCCAATTTCTGACAATGAGATTGCTTTTAGCAATGAGTCAAACGGCAAAAGCAGTGATGGTGATGAAAATGACAATGACGAAAAAAGCAATGGCAATGAAGAAAGTGAAGACAATGAAGAGAATATTGTTGAGATTGAAGTCAAAGAATTCAATAATAAAGGTCAGTTCGTGTTAATTAACTAATAAAAAAAGACCCAAAAAAATTCAAGGAAAAGAACCAAAAAAGAAAAATCTGAAAAAAGGGGGGGGTGTTAATTTTTTTGTTTTTTTTTTACAATAGATCTTTTTGCCACCCCAAATATGCCTGAAAATCCGGTACACAGGTTTATTGCTACTTTTGTAGTAATGTTTGCTTCCTGCTATGTGGTCAATAAGGGCGCTGTTATCTTAATCAAGTTCATCAACAAGCTCTTGTCAATTTACAAGCAGGATTTCCAATTGCCCGTGAGACTTTCTGGTCTCCAAAGCATAACAGGATTCTCAGCCATGACAAAAGAGATTAAGAGATTTGTCGTGTGTCAGAATTGCCACAAGGTGTATGAGGAAAGTGTATCTGCTCCTTTGAATTGTGATTTCGTAAAGCTTGGTGCACATACTACCTGTAATTGCAAATTAATGGTCCAATCATTGTCTGGTGATTTGGTCGCAAAAAAGTCTTATGTATATCAGTCTCTCACACATGCTCTTAAAATTCTTTTCCTCCGTCCCAATTTCGAGCAAAAGATCATGCACTGGAACCAAGAATTCAAGATCACTGATACATTGTGTGATGTTTATGATGGTGAAGCCTGAACTGATTTGAAGGACAATGACAATGAAATTTTTGTTGAGCATTCTCGTTCATTGATGCTGACATTAAACATCGACTGGTTCCAGCCTTTTGATGGTACTAGCTATTCCTGCGGTGCTATCTACCTGGTGATTAACAACCTGCTTAGAAGTGAGCAGTTTAACGCAGAAAATACAATCCTTGTTGGCCTCATGCCTGGACCAAAAGAGCCAAAATCAGAAGAAATCAATCAATATCTCAAGCCATTAGTTGACGAAATGATACAGCTCTATCTTGGAATACAGATACCCTCCTACCAGCAAACAGACGGTGCAACAGTTCGTGCAGCCTTATTGATGGTTGCATGCAATATACCTGCTGCCAGAAAGACTAGTGAGTTCACCACGCACAACAGCACATGCGCCTGTTACAAATGCAACAATCAATTTTCTTGTCTACCAGGCACTTCTTCTGTCAATTTCTGTGGATTTGATTGTAACCAGTGGCGCCATCGAAGTGATAGAGCAAACCGTGTGCATGCTGAGGAGTGGAATAGTGCGAGTACACCCTTAGAAAGGCAGCAGCTGGAGGTCGAATATGGTGTTTGATGGTTGCAGTTGTATCGCCTTGGATACTTTGATCTAGTACGTGGAACAATCATTGATCCCATGCATAATCTTTTTCTGAGAACGCCAAAGAGAATGATTGAAACATGGACAAAAATCAAAAAATGAAAAACAATGATCTGCTTGCAATGCAGACAGTTGCAGCAACAATGATATTGCCCAGCAACTATACCAAGCTGAAAACGAAGATAGGAAAGAGCTTTTCCCACATGAAAGCAGATGAGTAGAAGTCTTGGGTATTGGTGTACTCTCCCATGCTTCTAAAACCAGTTCTTCCATCTAATATATTCAATAGCTGGATACACTATATAAAAGCATGCTGTATACTTGTAAAGCCATCAATCAGTTTCATCGAAATAGACCAAGCACACAGATATCTACAAGAATTCTGTCAATCTTGTGAAGATACATATGAACCAAAAGTCCTCACCTGCAACATGCATCTGCACCTCCATCTTTATGACACAATTTGTGATTTTGGACCCGTGTATGGCTATTCGCTCTTTGGTTTTGAGAGATACAATGGTTTGTTAAAGAATAACAAAACAAACAGAAAAGACGGGTTTAAAACAACCTATATGACAAAATTCACTGCAGACGCATACAAAGCTGATTACATACAAAATACGTTATCATGTCCAAGCCTCATTCCATTCCTTCCTCTTTTCGAAAAACTTACCTCTACGACCAAACCTATAACGACCTATGCCACTTATGCTTCAACCAACCAACAACCTTTCCAACTGCAACAATTTGTAGACTCATCCTTAAGTTGAGCAGCACCTATCAAAGGCAATGAACCACTCCCCCCATCCACCTTTCCTTTACAGTCCTTAAAAGAATCAACAATGAGTGATATTGATTATCCTCAATTGTTAGATTATTATAAAATCGTCTATGTCATGCCCAATCTCATTTCTTACCATGATGCCAGATTGTCACAATATTTTGTAAATAACCAAATCACAAAATTGAAATCAATTGATCTCCTTGGCCAAACATATATTGGGAACAACAGTTCTGGTAAGCACGGGTCACTCGTTCAAGCTTTCTTCCATAGCAGCAATGGCTGAACTTCAAGCATATATACTGGACAAATTCAGTATCTTTTTATACATTCATTTACTCTGCCTCCTCATCCAAACCACCGAGCATCAACATTATATCAAGACCAGCATGTTTTTGCATACATCTGATGATATAATTTGACAAATGACAATGAACACAGAGACAAAGGTATTGCAATCTGCTTGCCAGAATTCTCTGCTGATAATTATCACAGCATCTTGCCTGTACATCACATACACTTAGAGGTCGCAACTGCTGTAGATGTAACTGATATGAACGAAGAAAGAATGCTAGTCATTCCTATGCCAAAAAATACTATGTCTGAAGCCTTTATAAGTAATTATGCACTATGATTTTTTATGAGAATAATTAAATAAAAAACAAAGAACAAGTAATGTCTCTTTATGCATTTTTTAGTTATTTAAAGTATAAGACGTTATGAATGAAAAAAAAAGAACAAAAAATATAAACTTTATTTAGGGCCCGTTTCTAAGAGCCCACTGAGAAAACTGTGCCGCAATTGCATCAGGAACTGGTCTTTCAATGGTTTTGCCAAAAGCACATGACAGCAATTGATGACTATTTAAGCCTAAATCAGCTACCACTTTGTTGTCAACAAGTGTGATGAAGTGGTTGTACTATATTAAAGACATTAATATTTTATTCAGTATAATACAATATAATATATTAACTAAATTAAATATTTCAACTTTAAAAAAACTAATTACCTCATCACTTCTCCAACCTGGACGACAAAGACGAAGCCCACTATAAGAAACATGAGGCGAAGTGCCATCGTCTGACTCACCAACAGACATAGCCTCTTTTATAATGAGACCAGAGCAATCTCTTTTCATCTCGTCATCAAAGCAGTCTTGTTAGACTGGTATGCTGTTTTGCGACGTTTCAAGTGCTGTTGAAAATATTAAATTAGTTTTCTTTTTTTGCTTTAAATTAACGACTTAGATAAGAATTATTCAAATAATAAATAAATAAAGTATAACTTACCTTCTTTTCGCGACTACTTCTTCTGTTGCGAGCATTGTCTGACTTCTTTTTAGCCTGACACTTATTAGCTGCCCGCTTTCTGCTAGTGAAGTTTGTGTAGACAAAGTCACGAACATCACTTTTTCTCAGTCCTGCTCCTACAAAATTTCTTTCCAAGTAGGCAACGAGGTTTTCTTTCAACTCAGTGTTTGGCAACTGGTTGAAGTTGACAGCCGTGTTCCACCTTGGCTTGCCATTGTTGGCTTGAATTTCAGCCAAATGTTTTGACTTGAACTTAGGGTCCCACAAATGGTCCCAAAGAAGTCTCTATTGAATCTTGGTAAGTTATTAAAGATATAATTTACTATATGTATGATATATACATAGGCTTTTGTTTTGTTGACTGATTTTGCATCAGAAGCCATGGTGGGAGAACCAGCTACATTCATTTCCATGCTCACAGGAGCAAAAGCATGCACTAAAGCCATTGGCTGACTCTGCAAAACAGCAGATACAGGAGTGTTCAAAGTTTTTGCTTTGATATCAGCAACGTCATTCATGACGGTGGTCATGTCACAACGCAAGATGGCAAGAGAGTTTGTCATCTCTCTCTCAGCAGGAGTGCGTCAAGTGGGATAGCTTTCATTTTGGTTAGACATATTCTATTAATTTAAAAATATAAGTTCAAATGTGTATTAACTGTTAATGCTTTTATATTCTTTGAATAAATTTCTATTATACACTACAATTATATTTATTATCAAACATACCAAAATAAAAGACAGAAAAAGATGGGGAGATAGAGAGAGAAAGTGTGAGTATAAGTAAGAATAATTGTAAGAGTGCGTGAGCAAGGGTGAGTAAGATTGTAGCAAAAACGTATATTTATATTTCCAAAAAAAAGAATGTCTAGTCTTGATTGATCTTGGTTAAAAGAATATATCTAAAGTAACTTCTTGTACACACACTGTGTAAATTGATACAAAGATTGCTTTTAGATACTACACCATTATATCTACTATGCTTTTTGGATGTTTTTTTTTGAGTTTCATTTTTTTTAATTACCTATTTTGTTTTTTTTGTATTTTATTTACTTATTTTTTTTTATTTTTCCATATTTTTCTATATTTTTCCTTATTGACCATTTTCTTTTCTTTTCTTTCTCTTTCTGATTTTTGTTATAACTGTGAATTTTACTGGTAAGATACATTCTTCTTAAAAATACTTCTGCACAGACAACAACAAGATTAACACATTCTGTTGTCATAGATACATATATACTCTCTTAGTGTTTTACTATATTTGCAAACTTTTTTGGTAACATATCTTCTTTTTTTTTAAAGCAATTCTTTTCTTCAAATGTAACTAAATAATAATTATTATTTCAGTTGTCATAGATACTAGCGTGTTTTTTCCTTCTGATGTATTCTCTTTACAATGGCCATCCAGATTAGTCCAGGTTAGTAACTATACTTCATGTCATCATCCTATAAAATTATTCTGACTTTTCTCCTTCTTTTTTATAGACAATATCGCCAAAAATATTCTCTACAATTAAACAAGACCATCAACACGATAATATTTTATCTTTTATTTACTTTTAATATTTATCTGACAGAATATAATTTTTATTACAGATGAATGTTCATCTGCCAAACACGCAATGAATCAAGAATCTCTATCTCTTGGTGCCGTCATTGACATGGTAAGACTTCTTCTTTTATTCTCTTAATATGTATGATAGTATTATTTATACTGTATATTAATATATGTTTTTTACTAAAGGTTATATCAACTCTTGACAAGTACTATCTAGGTCTACAAATAAATCGACTTTTTTTGGGTACGTTCATTACATATTCTGTCACCCAATTCACTCAAACTAACTTCTCTATATTATTTTCATTGTTAAAGAAATTATACTTGACGCCATGCCTCGAACTCTCAAAGTTTTATTTTTATCTTCTTCAGTCATTATATTGTATGTATCCTCAAATTAATATATCACTCACAACATGTAAATATTTAAATACATATCTAACTTCTCTTCTATTATGTTAAATAGTATCTGTGCCAAAGATAACTACTGAATATGAGAGTTTACAAATATTATATATAAAGCACTGCTTGATTTGAGTCATATGAAGGATACCGGTAAAGACGGTCTGAGGCATATAATATTATTCCAATACTATCAACCTAGAATCATTCAATTTTTTCTAATAAATACAAAAATAAACTATAATTCAAACCAATAATAATTGAATATCAAGTAATTGGGGGAGCAGATAATCTATGACCTTATAATAAAGAGTATTAATGATTGGCTTATAAGCAATAAAATGTTCATGGTTCTAACTATTCACCCAGGGATAGTTCAACAATACACATGCGACGTAGTCCCTGATTATTAACCTTTAACATGGAAACATTGTATTACAGCAAAAAACCAAGTTTGAAATAAAGTTTTCTTGGTACTTTATTATATACAAAGATATAAAATTACTATTGACGCCAACTTCACTAGTGCTATTGAACCTTACACTTGTAGATAGCAGGTCTGTGCACATGTAACCAGATCAGCTTTGGTACCAGTAGAAATAGGCAAAACCCCACAATAAAATGCGGAATATTCACAATAGTATGCCTGAATTTCCCTGTGTATATTTATTATTATTTTTCCAGTGATACATTATGGTTGCTAAAATAAATAAATAAATAGAATGTAAGCAACTTTTGATTGTATATCAAAAAATATTATACTTACTTTCTATAGGGGCAAGTAAACATCACGTAATGGTTGCCACAGCTGGTCTTGTTTTTCTTTCTTTGGTACATGCATGGAGAATATACAGTCGAGTTCATCCACAAACGTGCAGCTACAACAACAACAGAGTCACCAAACTCGTGGCTAGTCAAGCCTGTTGTTCTCCGGTAATATATCAATAAAGCTTCCTTCACACTAGGGCCGCCTACACCTTCCACCAAATCATCATTCAAATTAACAAACTGATGAAACGGCTCCCACAACTGCGCATCACTAGGATCATTAGGAAGGTCCATGTAGCTCTCTCTTCCATATGGCTTTGGCCGAATGAGGTTGACTTCATCACAGATGCTGATTGCCATGCTGGTATAATTGTGAATTGCAAATTGCTCGACAAGAAAACTGGCATTTCGGCCACCCTTTGATTTGGACTTTATCAATTTTGAGAAGATGCCAATTACTCTCTCCATTGAGTGAGTGGAGTAGCATCGCAGGGGGCCTTGCTGCTTGATGATATAGGGTATATGAACCAGGTAATGTTGCACTGGTCGGAAAACACTACGAGACAGAGTATTATTCTGGACTTTTTTATATAAAAACGAGTGCCAGTGCTTGAAGTATCTATTATTAATATTTAAAAAATAGTAACAATCAGCTATTTGTAATGATAATATATGAGACGTATAATAACTTACGACTCCATCTCATCAAGCAATTCTGATGTCAACGTCTATTGCAAGGCAAGCGCGCAGCCTTTCACGAGAGATAATAGAGCTGTTTTGACAGCCCTATTTGGTAAATAAGGCACGACCAAAGTGGGGACAAGGTATAAGAGAAAGTCAAGCCAGTCAACTGCGCGAGTATTATCGATCTTGGCAAATACGTCGTCAAAACTGCCTTGAATTGAGGGGGGTATATATTTTTGTGAGCTGGTGATACAGTTTCCAATTGTTACAAGGTCTGCTCTTGGTATATGAAAAGGGTATTCAGTGGTATTGAGGGTATTGTCTGGATGGGTATAATAAATTTTGGTTTCCTTTGTGAGGGTGACAGTAATCAGGTCATACACAAGCTTTCCAATCCCTCTTGCAATTAAATGAAGTTCATCTAATGCAAAAAATGATGATCCAGAGAAGGTTGAGAGTTGGGTATATATGCTCGGCTAGTATATGTTCTTCGACTATTACAAGCAGTTATTTAATATGAAAAAAAGCTGGCTAATTGAACATTTGTATACTTACAGGGTTGTCTACTTTGAAGTCTTCCAAAGGTCTTAACTGGACAGAAATGTCATCAAAGTACATGCCATGCCATCTGTTAGTAGGGCATTTGCCTTTGGTCTCACAAAAACGGCAACCAAATAAACTTGTATGGGAACTAATGTGGGCCATATCAGCTACAGCTGGAATATCGCCAGAAGCAAGCAGCAGATAGACCTTGGATCTGCAAAGCTCCACTCCATTGTGCTTGACAGCCAAGCCATGTGCCTCAAGATCTCGCAATTCATTGATGATGGGTATAAGAAAGGAGTCCAAATGAGTTGGCTTCTTGGGGTCAGGCAAGATTGCCAGTTGCAAAAGGTATTTGTTGGTATATCTAAGTATTTTATTAGTAACTTTTTTTTTTAAAAAAATATAATAATAATAATAAATAGTAATAAATTAATTAATTATCTGATAGATGGGTCTAGGTTGAATATTATGCAATGGATGATGGTATATGAGTTTTTGCCTTTCTTTTGATTTAAAAACCCATTGGTATAAAGTCCAATGGCAATATCATTGAGATTGGAGAACAGGCTCTGCTGCACCAACTGCTTGTAATTGTCACTATAAAAAATGTCAGTTAGCTGACCAGCTACAGATTCCCGGTTTGCTCTGTAGCAGAGGAGTTCTCTTGTGGCTGGATCTGCCAACATTTGAGAAAGCATATCCCCGACTGACATAAGTTTCATACTGGTGGCTGGTGTCTGACTTTGATTGGGATCAGTCTTGTATCGCGGTTTGCCGCAGTCAACACAAGATTCCTGGTCGTCATTAATGCCATACAATTGACAACCACTAGAGCAGACATCATACTCATGGCCCTTGACACTTGACTTTGACTTGAGCAAAGCATCAACAGTTTCGCCATGACTGATCTTAGCTCCAGGTTCTAAAAAAAACGATATCACTACATGTTAGTGATCTGGAATTAAAGTACAAGATAACAGAAAATATAATATTTTACCCATCATTATATCATCATGGTCTCGGATGACAGTGTTTATAAATTGAACAATGTCTCTATATGCTGCTCTAGCAATTCTATGCTGTAGCATCAATTGAGAGAGATGAATACTCATCAACTCGGCCTTGGTAAAAGTATTTGTACTGATTTGGCTGCTGTTGTAAATGTGAGCTTCACCCTCACTGTCCTCAAAATTACATGCGCACTTATATGAAATAGTATTATCAAGCTCCATAGACTCCATAGTATATTCTGTAATACATTATTTAGTAATTAAAAAATAAATAATACAATTACAGCTCTTTTCATTACCTGAATTGCTAACAGATTCATCTTCATTACTAGTATCATTTTCGTCATGGTACATGTCAACATCATCCAGAATAGACTGGTCAATTTCAGTCATTGTTGCTGAATCTCCTCTGTGAATTCTCTTGTGGTTTTGCAGCTTCTGGTAGTTATCAAAAAACAAGACACATTGATCACATTGGTATTGCTGTGTAGATATTCTATCTCTCTGCTGGCTGGCATTGGAAGAAGACATATTGGTTGGGTTGGTACGTATGTAATATATAAAATAAAGCTGCGAAGAGGATTTTGGTGCTATTCATTAAATGTAAAAGACATCTTTATATACTCTTTATTTTTTAACCAAAATGCTTGCGGCTCTTTTTCTTTTTCTCTCTCATAGTGATGATATAGCAATAATTACAGTAATGTCAATGCTAGGTGAAACATCTGTCAGTAAATAATTCCCATGGTTGGAAAGATTCTTCTTCATTAATAATTATGATGTAAGTTAAAATACTTCTTGATTGACAAGGGGGTACCATTAAAAGAGCACTGGTGAAACAGATACGTACTCTTTACTTGTGAGCGATTAGATATTCCTTGGGCTTTATAAAGAGATATATGTATATTTAGGATAGTTAACAACCAAATAATTTATGTTTTTTTTTAAATAAATTATCAATTACTCTCTAATACCAAAGGCAAAGAAAAACAGCCTTCTAATAATTAACAGTTAAAAAAAAGTAGTACTGTCTAAACACATTGGTAGAAAAGACATAGTTATATTATCTGTGTTGTACTAATAGTATTTTTGAGATAGTGAATATATATTTAGCTAATAGCATTATTTTCTTGTTTATGTATAAAACTTAAAGAAATAGATATAGATAATGAGGGCTATAGTTTGATACTCTTTTACTGACATCATCAAGATAAGCACTACTGATCAAAAGGGGTAGTAATTGAAAGTGCCGATGTAAGTTAAAGCACACCTTTTTCAAAAATGTACGGTTTCAGTCAAAAATGCCCCTTGGTAAATAATAGTAATGACAGTTAAAATTATTTTTACCTTTGATAACAGCATCAATCAAAACGCGTTTTAGTCGATAATGATAATAAGTATGATATGGACTTGAGTATCATAACATTTACTTTAATGTTGATAAAAAGGAGCCAATTAACTATATGATGTTCAGATGTTATATAGCTACTGTAGAGTATATTTAAAGTTATAATTTTAACTGGTACAGGGTTTTGTTATCGGGAACTTTAACCAAATTTCATGCTATATCTGCAATATGTATAGAGTTATATTATTATATCATATACTTTAAAACGTTTAATATGTAGACGGTGCAAAGTATGAAGATTTATATATATAATATTGATTTAAAGTCCAATTCATTTTATCTTTATATTTCTTACAGTTTTGTTGTGTTGACACAAAAAGACTGTATCATGTTCACATGAGCTACTGCAGACAGGTGCAGACAGGTACATATAAGTGCATAAGCATCCCTTCTTTTATATGTTTTGTTTGTACATCTGTCTGTATCTTTTTCATATAAATAGCTATCAATTGCTTGTAATAAATCGTTGCCTTTCTCAAACTCAAATCGCTCTTATTCTACTTGTCTAAACTATCACCTTTTCTTTTCAACTCACTGCTTATAGCTAAAAAAAACTTAAGCATGTCTGATATTAACACAACTCTCCTCAACTCAATTCAAAAGATTGAGGTTGATCTTGCTGAAACCAAGCAAGCATTGCGCAAGCTTCAAATGCAATTCAGCAATTAATTTGCGCCAGCAGTCAGTGCGGAAGATCTAACTACAATGCAACAAAGCATTATTGAGCAGAGTTGTAAGTCATATATATTCTGTGCTTAGATGTTTATTTACTTTATTAATATTGTCATACATTTTTTGTAGCTCTTGAGCGCATTGCTGAGTCTTTGAAAAGAGCCCAGCTCACAGAGTACTCTGATCAGCTCAGTAAGCGAGTAATCAATACTGGTGGCAAGTTCAAAGGAAAAAACAAAGCACAAAAATACAATCTGTTGCTTCAGATTCTTTACGAGCAGGACTGGAAGGCGCGCTGCAAAGAAGTTCCACAAGGGCAGCCTTTGCCTCCATTAGTCCCTCTTTCAGACCATGATTTGACAGTAAAAAGACTGCATCTCAAAACATTAGGCCGTATGGTAAAGCATGATATCATTGACAAAGACTATCCTGCGGCCTCAAAAGAATGGAAGAATATCCCAGAGACAAACAGGGAATACTAAATGATGCATTTGGAGAGGTTGGCAAAGAATAGTGAATTGCACATCCACCAATGTAAAAGAATGTGGTGTGCAAGAAGCCTTCTTTGGGAAAGCTTCAAGAGCAACAATCAGATGCACAAGACAAGAACAGCAGAGAAGAACAAAGTAAGTTTATCAATTAACAAATCTATATATTGTAAACTTTAATTAACATTGTTTCCTTTTATTATGCTATAGACACAGCAAGACATAAGTGATTCTTCGCTTTCTTCTCCTGATATGTCAGAAACTGGTGATGTTGAGTCGCCCATAATGGCAGATGTGCTGTAAGTTACCATTGTTGCTTTTTCTCATTCGCTGTTAATACAAAACTAATATAAACTTCTTACTCTTTTATGTAGGTCTCCTCCACCCACAGCAAGTGTTGAGCCTGCTCGCAAAAGAAGTCGAAGATTGTAGTTTGGCTGCTGTGATTGGCCGAGTTTGATTTTTTTAGTCTGTCTTTAGTGCATTTTTTTTCTTATCTTGTCATTTTTCTTTTTATGTTTTTTATTCCTTTTTTCTTTCATACAAAAAATTTATCAACCTCTTTCATATGATTGCTAATGTTGTGATTACAAGAATTTGAAGCTAATGTACAGCATCTACAATTCTGCTATATTCAAATATAAAAGGAAATAATATATAGCCTTTTTTTTGAGAAAAAAAATAATAGTAATATTTTTGTACTGAAATATTATACTTGGGAGCCATTCTATTATATGTAAGTATATTGAGTAGAATAAACACTTTGAGCTTTCTAACAAGATGCTCATTCTAGTTGTATGAATCAGATTCGAATTTGCTTCATGTTACTTAACTTGAATCTTTACTCAAGTTTTTCTTCTTCTATGATAACAACTTTCTATAGTGCTTATATTTTATTGCTTCTCTTATATATAGATATTAAATATTAATACATTCTTTAATATATATATATATTCTTATAGTAAATGCTTATTTTACTGAACAAGTAAGCATATTATATAAAGGTAAGCATTATAATAATATTATATCTATTTATTTATTTTAAGTTTTTTCTCTAATATTAGTATATTTGTAGAAATTGGTAAAAAATAATAAGTGCTATCTAAGATATATTAGAATACCCAAAGTATATGAAATACAATTTGAATAGTACTGTTTTACTGCATATGTTTTGCAGTAGCTAAACAGAACCATTTTTTATTGCGAGTGGCCGATGGAATTGTTTTTTCATTATTACTATTATTATTATCATTTTCATTTAATAAAACATGCATTGAAATAAAGATTCAATTCAATTAAACCCGATTCAATATTGTATAATAAAAAACAGACCATTCTGTTAAAGCTGCAAAGGAAAAACAAGAGGTTGTGCTAGAATTGAAAGCAATAGAACAAAAGAAAGAATGTAATAGAGGAAAGGAAGGACACTTGACTTTTTTTTGAAAAAATGGTAACAGTGCCTGTTTTGGCTTTTTACATAATAAATAACTGCCATTTTTTATTATGAAAAAAATGGTAACAGTGCTTGTTTTGGCTTTTTACATAATAAATAACTGCCATTTTTTACTATGTAAAAAATGGTAACAGTGCCTGTTTTGGCCTTATACAGAGTCATAACTGCCATTTTTTATTAAGTAAAAAATAGCAGTTATGTTACCAAAGTGGTAACATGTTACCATTTTCTCCGCCATAGTAAAATATTTGACATTAGCTTATAATTGTCTTGTATTTAATGTATTTTGATATATTTCATAGCTCTTATTACTATTAGACTTGACATATACAGTCAAAGCTCGATTTAGTAATATTTTTAGGAGAAGCCATATTGTATTACTATTACTAAATCAAATGAATTTTTCTTACTCCGCATATGTTTTTTAGCAATATTGCAGATTTGCTCTATGTGACTGCAAATAAAAGTGCTGAAAAAATATTACTAAATCGCGATTATTACTAAATCAAATATTATTAAATCGAGCTTTGACTGTATAATAATAAAAATAAATATCACAGCAACTTGCTATGATAAAAACAACAGTTACGCAAATCGGAGTACAAACAATAATAAAAAAGGCATCTCAGTAAGAAAAAATACATTTGATTTAGTAATAAAAATATGATTTGGCAACTCCTAAAAATATTACTAAATTGAGCTTTGACTGTACCCTTATTTGCATAAGCTAATTTTTGTTTAAAAAATGTATTACTCAAAAACAACAAATCAACTACACATCTATCTCCATCCCTGTCCCACCAATCTTGCTAACCTAAGCAACCTCTGTTTTATCAAGTTGCTATGAGTCCAAAGGAATCTACCAACACAAACATCTTTAAGACAGTTCCTCCTCAACAGTCTAGGCTGAGAAAATCGTTGGCTGACCAAACATTTTGCAGCCCCAAGTATGCTCAACTAAAAGCAATTTTGGATGAGGCGCTTGCACGCGCAGCTATACACAAAGAGCAGCACAAAGATCTGCTTAGCAAGATAGATGTAATTGTAAAACACTCAATTGCATTTCAAGAACATAACAGCACTCTTACTGAGGAGCTCTGCATTGCAAATGAGCACGTAGAGTTCCTACACAACCAACTTCAGCTTCAGATACAAGTACCTGATGCTTCAACCTTCACCACCACTACTCTCCTGCCTACAGAGATTGGACCTGTTGAGCATTTCTCAGTGGAAGCTTCTGCCCATGGTCCTGTCACCATCTCCACACTCTCACCCACCATGTTTCTGGCTGCTGCCAAGAAGGCAATGGGAAAGAAACTCAACCAGCCCAAGCTTAGCACTGCTCAAGCTACCTACACCCTGTAACCCAAAAGTAAACCATCTGAGTATGCATTTGTATACCTGGCCTGCTGCCACCACCTCAAATACTCTCAAGTATGAAAACTCTTGAGAATATTGAAGATCCAACAGTACTGTGTCTTGGACATTGCGTTCCCCAAATGCAGCACTCTCTTCCTCCTTGTGCACAACGACTTCAAGGACAAGATCACCCAGCTCTTCGCAGACATTGGCATGTCTGTGAAGACAGATTTTGATCCCTTGGACCATTAGATCATTGCTGATCTGGTGCATGCCCACAAACACATGCAGGAACGCCAACAGCTTGCATACAAGCTATACTGCCAATGTCTTCTTGCTCTCTGCCTTCGCCTCCCTGCCCCACTGGGCAAAAGTGTCATGAGGCACTTTTGTATAGTGGAAAGTAGCTCTCTTCGCCTCCCTCCAGTCGGCCTTGAGCAGTATCTGGAAGACCGAAACCTTCCATCTGGCCCCCAAGCCAGTGCCATTGACACTGCCACTGCCATGGTTATAGGATAAATAAGCTTGCTTATAGTCTTTTCTTCTTGTCCTGTCTTTGCCCCTCCTCTCTGCCTCTCTTATTTTAATCTGTATTATTCTTTCTCTTCCCCTTAGCTAGTTTTATCAGTCATATTTCTGTTTTTTCTCTTATTTCTTCTGCAGCAGCTCTCTTGGGTTGCCACTATGCTAAAATGCACAAGACCTAGACAAACTCACATTGAAAAATATTTTCACCTGTCTACTGCTAATATTTTATTTTATTGAAAAAATGCAAATTTTTGAGATATTATGTTAGTTTTCTCATGATTTAGATTTTCAATTCAACTAAACCTTCTAACACATATACATATATCTATATACTACTTAGATCCAAAGTTATAGAGAGCCAACATTTGAATTTGTGAAATAGATTGATACAAATGTATAATATAATATATCTGAAAATAATTTGGCTCAATCAGTATAATACCACCCAACATTTATGCTTTTTAATTTGCTGGATATATATGTAACTCGTAGGATAAAGTATTTCTCACAAATGATTTCTATGAAAAAACAGAGTGGAGAGTTATTTAACTCACAAGTGATAGATAGCTTATGTTGATGCAAAGAAGCAGATTGATAAGCTTTATAAAGATAAAAAAAAAGATTGTCTAGCTAATAGAATATAAAAGTAAATGAGTATATAAATAATAAGTTGTCTAGCTAATGAAGTATAAAGAAAAATATAATAAAAATAAAAGAAAAAAAGAAGAAAAAAAGATTATATTATAATGAGATCAATAGATTCCTCTTGATTGGAAAGAAAAGAGAGCATGACATTTCTACGATCATACTTATTGAACTCTATAAACTTGTTCCAATAAGTATCAAAGTTGTTAAGAATCTGGTTTCTGACACAACCCAAAAAGAATAACTCAGGAATGGTTCACCATTTTCTTGAGACATTGCGGGAGAGATGTACTGTTGTCCAGTGCTTATTGTTAACATGATTGAAAGTCAGAGGTTGTTGATGTTTTGATAGATTTTTGGGAAGGACAAAGGGAAGAAACAATACAGAAGGGGTGGTGAGATTGTCTGAGTAGATGCAGACTGATCACTTATAGGTGCCCGCAGCTAGTTGAGCACAGTCGGGTGTGCTAAATCACATATTGACTTCTAAACACGCTGGGATGAAGTTGGAGTTGGAGTTGGAGTTGGAGTTGGAGTTGGAGTTGGTAATACAGAGATCAGAACCATGCTTTATAATGTCTTCTAATTGCTTGACATTGGTTCTAAACGTGCTGACATAAATGCTGCTGTGTTTTGGAAGGGTTGCAAGCATATATCTTTTGACAAAAGAGAACTTTTTTTAATCTTTATAGATCAAATAGGCAACGACCTGAAAAGCATACCACCCATCAGCAGTAGAGTTAAACCCACCCTTAACATCATTGACTATCTCATGAGAGACAGGAAAACCAGGCTGAAATTTAACCCTCTTGCTAACAGATGTGTGATAGTCATACTGGTAATTTTCTTGAGCTGTAGCAGGTCTTTTAAACCCTATTTCTTTTGTGGCATCAACTAAAAAGCATATAAGTATACAATAATATTTCTCTTTATGGATTCAATTATACTGAAATATGAGAAAGAATATTATCTGGGTTGAGAGACTTTTGTTTTATTTTTTGTTTTGTTTTTGGTGGCATTGACTAAAAAGCATATTATTATAAGACTAGATTTCTTTTCATGAATTCAATTACACTGTAAAATAAAAGTACATATTATCTGGGTCGAGAGACTCTTTTTTGATTTGTTTTATTTTGTTTTTGGTAGCATTGACTAAAAAATGTATGTAAATATATGACAAGATTTTTTTTTCATAAACGCAACTGTATATAAAATAAAAAAGCATCTTACCTAGATCAAAAGGCTCTTTTTTTCTTTTGTTTTGTTTTTTATTGTTTTTTGTTTTTTGTGTAGCTGCAGGCTTTCCATCTCTTGTTCTAGCTCTTAACCTAACCATTGCCTTAAGGCCAGCCTAGTATTTCAAGGTACATATTAGTACTTTGTTATGTTATATTTTTATCTTACATGACCAGACAAAACACTGATCTTCCTCCAGTTTGCCCAACCAAAGTCTTTGGGACGTGCATCACCCTTTCTTCTGCCAGGATTTTTAATTTTTCTGGGGCTTGCAAGTTAATCAAAGGGTACCCAGTTTTGCCTTTGAATCTAGAAGTAACCTTCTTGATCTTTTGAAGAAGGTTGGTCACTTGCTGGCTGCCCTCACAAGAACGGAAAAGAACTTCAAGCTTTACTATATCTTGCATTCACTCTTCTGACCTCTTCGTAATGACATGTGCTATACGACTTTCTTCAAAGGATGTCTCTTTTGGAACAGGGTTTATGATCTATCTTTCAGGAACATCATCAAGGGTGAGCTCCCTTCCAGCTGGCAGCGAGTGTCTGCAGGGCAAGCCAAACTCAAACCTGTTTTTGCAATAACAAAATTCATCATCTCTATTGATCAAGCAAAGTTCTTGATCAATAACAAGCAATGCTCTCTTAGAGACTTTCATAAAAAGCCTGGAAAGCTGCTTGTTGCGGCCAACCAAGACATCAACAGTTGTCAATTCCCTGATTTTTATAGTATTGAAGTCTCTTTCGAGCCTGCCTACATAGGAGTTGACAGCTTCAAATGCAAGCCCTAAAGACGAAATTGCTGATATTTCTCTTTTCAAAGCTTGATGTGTGCTCTCAACTCTCTGGGTAGTTATACACCCAAAATGCATTTTCTGGCTGGTCAGGTATCCTGCCCACTTCTTCTAGAACTTTATCTATCTTTCAGCAAAGTAAATCAATGCATCTATCTTGAACCATTCTTTGTCTACTTCACAACCAGAAGATACTGCATTGAACTTCATCAACATAACCTCAAAATCTCTTTTCATACTGCTGTGAATCATAGAGTTCAAATACTCCATAAGAATGTCTTTCTCTGCAACTGACTTGATTTTTCTAGCAAAGACTTTTTCAACACTCTTCAACATATGCCAGTAGCATAGCAATTTGATATTTTTTTATGAATACAATGTCAAGTGTATCTATTAAGATCATAAATTTGTCTGTTACAAATGAAGAACTGTTTTTCTTGTTCTCAAAAACAAGTACCTTGAGCTACTCAAAGAACCAAATGCAGGTCTCTTGTTTCTCATTCGAAACTCAGACGAAGGCAATGGGAAACGATTTAAAAGTGTCTTTCCGAGGTTATAGACGCCTTCCATGCATACAAGAGTCATTTCCAAATTGTTGGTTGAGTAGGTGGCATCAACAGCTATGACTTCTGAGAAGCGATGAGCTCTTTCTAGCATCTTTAAGTGCAAGAAAAATACTCTTTCAAGAGACTCATATTTGCTGGTATAATAGCGTACAAGATATCCCTTAGCTTCCATGGTTTTAATGAGTTCAGTATCTGTATCCTGAGAAGTGGAAGCAGTAGTATGAGCAAAAGCAGCCTTGATATTGTTAATGTCATTCACATACAGCTTGTGGCTGACATTATCCTTTTCATTGATTGCCTTTTGGATCTCACAAGTCTTAGTTTTGATCTTAACAAGCTTTATGATTTCTCTAGCATCATCAACAGTAACCTTTGATGAACGACCTTTCAAGATGAATTCCAGGCAGTCATCATCAAGAGGGTAATTGTAGTAGCCTTCAATCTTATTAGTGGCTTTCAAAAGAAGATATCCTTTAGAAGCTTTCTTCTATGATATTTTCAAGAGATAGAGACATCCAGTCTTTTTACTAGATGGAATTCTCTTGCGTTTGCTATCTTCAATATTCTGTGTGTTCTTATAATGACTGTCCTTGGCACACTTCAAATACACTCGAGTTGGTTTACTATCTCTAGTTACAAGTGCATATTCCTGCATCTTTGAAATTGTCATTGTCATGTCACTGTAATCATTAACTGGTGAGACAGGAAGAGATTGTTTGACAGGATAATGTTTCTTTCCATTGAAAAAGTGAATTTATTTATTGATAAAATGCATATTAAAGTAATTTCTAAAGAATATTTATTAACATCATGCTTTCTAATTGCTAATATGCAATGAGCAAAGTAATCTCTTTACTATTTTCAAAAAAATATATTTTTAAATGCAATCGATTAGTAGCTCTTATGAGATGAGTATAGAATAGAAAAGAAGGTTTTATATTTAAATATTGAGTTAAGAATTTCAGGACACATCGTTTTGCCCTGAAGGATTAAAGAAAAGATCTCAGACCTTGGACAAGTAGTCCCAACAAATTAGTCCAGTAGAAAAGATTATGCACCATCCTGAAAATGTTGTTTCCATAAGATTGCTGTTCATCTTCTATTCTACTCTGTAGTAATTCAGACACTCGGATATTGAATTTATCATATATAAAACCATATTCATATTGGGATAGTATAGTAGCTATCATCTTGTCAGCATAAAATGTATATAAATAATTAAGTAATTGGGTTAATAATTATTACAGTCAGTACTGAGTGGGTATTATTTGGGCACAAGCATGGTTTTCGATGGCGTCTCTTCAATTTGTAGTTGGTGAAAGACACAGGGTAGAATAATTTCTTTTTGGGAAAAAATTGAAAATCAGACTTTTTTGTGTAGCAGTTTTACTAAGTTTTTTTGAGCAGAATTTGACTTTTTGAAGTGTATTAGAGAAATTTGAAACTGACAAGATACATTATTATTTTTGATAAAGATTGTTAGGGAGAATCGTATAAAAGATATTATGAAATAATAATATTAAATACAAAGATATAATGATCATATTATATTAACTTTAAAAGCATAAGAGAAAAAATTTATTGAAGAATTGTATAAAATTATAAAAGAAAAAAAGACTAAATTAAATGGAAAGTATTAAATATGTATGTATGTATGTATACATGGGATGTTTATTTAGAAGGTAATGCTGCTATCAGCAATTCTTTTTGTAAGTTCATTTAAAGATATCTTTAAATCACAGTGCTTATTCTCAACAAGCAAAGCAACCTCTTCTTCTGTCAAATGTCTTTCTTTAGCAAGCCGTTCCACCTCATTATATATATGAACTCTTCTGCTAAAGAATTGTGATTCTGTTCTGTTATCACCATAGATTCTCCACTTTGCCCTGAAGTTCTGTTCAAGAAATCTAATTGATGGGCTCCCAGATATTCCAACAGAATATTCGCACCACATATCTGTTACAGTTAAAATTTTTTGGCTCATTTTATAATATGGTGCTATCTCTTCATTGTTGTCTGGATTTGTAACTCGGGTAAAGCTTGAGGTAGCAGACAGGGCAAACCGGACTGAGGGACCAAGGGAAGCAGAAGTAAAGGAGGGAACAGAAGGAGCAGTGTGGCCAGAGGACGTGGGAGATTGTGTCTGTAAGACATTTTCAAGGCATTGTCGGATTTGAGAAGGATCATTGCATAGACAAAACGAAACTTGTAAAAAGGTTTCAACTAGTACATTTCTAGTCTCTAGGCCTACACTTCTGGCATTTGCAAATTCAAATTGGGTTTGGGCTTGCATTGTATTGAAGGAGCTGATCATTGCATCAAATCTGGCTCGCATAGCAACAGCTATCTCTGGTGCAAAAAATTGAATACGGTCGCTCACTTGAAACTTCTTGATTGATTTACCAATGGCACCAGAAAGTTGTGCTTCAAACTCTTGGTATAGGCTTGTCAAAAATATTTCACTTATCCACAAGTAATAGTTTGGGTACTTCTTTCACAAAACCACAGAGTCCTATTTTTATAAATTATTAAAGAAGAACATTTATCCAAGCACTATTGCTATTTTCTTATCAGAAGAAAACCGATCCTTAAATAGGCCAAAAGATCCAAAAAATTGGGACCAGCGATGTCATCTTCAACTTCTTTCTTGTGGAATTTAGCTTTCCATGATTCAATGCTTGGGAATATCATTTGTTGCAACTCAATTAAGAGAGTGACGGTGGCACGGTCAAGGAAATAGTCTCCTCTGCAAATAGAAAATCTGGCTAGAACCTTGATTGCATCAACAGGAAGATCAGAAAGATAACATTCCACCATTCAGTCCAATCCCCATCTACCAACTTGTCTTTGTTGATCACTGGAGACGTCTTGATGGGATACCATATTGATGGCACTCTTTTGGTTGATATAGATAACTTTAGATGAGCTGATCCCAACTGCTTCAAATGCCAACTTGTATGCTTTTGATTGCTTGTTGTAACTCATCGGTTTGCTTTTATTTTGATTGGGAAACAAGTAGCTGTTGTACCATGTTTTGCGTATAGAAAAATCAACAAACGGTTTGTTTTCATAGTGGAATTTGGAAAAAAAATGTTGAGCTAGTGCACCAATAGGGCATAATTCTTTATTGGCGTGGCAAAGAGCAGATCCGTATTGGATTTTTCCATTCTTGTTGGTTTTTTCATATGTAATTGTAGCTACTAATGCAACACATGGAGAAACATCTTGATCTTCTAGTTCCATTTTGAAAAGGTTGGGATATTAAGTACCAAAGGCAGTTTTACTTCTCAATAACATTGCATGACTCATAAGAAAACAAAGATGATTTCTAACTCCCACTGTACTATCTTGCTCGAGGAAGTACTGACTGAGAAGAAGAAGTTCGTTTTTTGTATATCTATTGTTGAGTGTGTTTTTTTCTCTGTCTTTATACTCTACTCTCTTGCACTTTGTTTCCTTCTTTGTGTTTGTGTCTAGAAACTGTCTTACAATTGGTTCTCTAGAATGGAGGTTCTTGTTCAAGTCCAAAGCTACTTGCTGGTAATAAATGTCTGTTATTGCCTTAACGTAAGCCTGAATTGACTCTCTTCCAAAAGGAACAGGGGTGTCATCATCATTTCTCTTGAACTTGCGGTCACAAACCATGACAAAATCAGTGAGAAAGAAGGCGACTTTTTCATCAGAGACAATTGTGCCATCAGCAATTTTTTTTGTTTCAACACACCAATTCTAATTTTCATACATTACATTAGATAAATGAAAAAATAGTGACATATTTAATCATGAAGAAGTGGTACTTTATTCAACTTACCATCCACTCTTTCTGCTTTGCTAGATATGCATGAATTGTGTTCTTGGAGCGGAACAGCTGGTTTTTGGTGACAATCATCTCGCTGTTTTGCTGCATAGTCAGCCAGTTTTCCATGTTGCACTGATAGTATTCATTGTTTAGTACATTGGTTTGGGTAGAGGAGCTGGCTTCTGTGTAGTTCATGATGGAGATGTCGAGGGTATTTTATTATAAATAGTAAGGATGTAAAGAAAAAAAGAAATTGTCTTGTATTTATACTTTTTGATATTAAATTATGGCTCAATGTTATATTCAAATGTACCAATCAATGCAGTGGAAATGTAATCAGATTAAGACGTGAGCTGTCAGATAGTTAAAGCCTTAACATTCCAGCCACTATTTATTAATATTGGTTCCTAAAAGCCATTGTGCCACACTCCCAAAAATAAGTATTTTATATCTAAAAGACATGTATATTGTAGCTATCTTTAGACTTTCCTTTCTTGTACACACACCTGCCACAGCTTCTATTTTTTATAATTAACTATCCATCAAGTCTATAAAGACAATATATAGTTCTTGGCAGATATTTATTATATAAATATCAAGGTTTCAACACATCTTTACTATCAATTATTTCTTTTAAATCATCTTTATACGTCTTTTGTATTTTTTATTAAAGCCAATTTAATATATGAATACCACTTTTTTTCTCCAAAAGAAAATTGTTGTGCTAGTAATTCCTATTAAGTCCCTATTCTATGTAGTTTATTGGTCCATTTAAATGTCTTCTTGATTTTAGACCCAAACCTCGAACTATTGTGAGTAATTCTTGCAATTTACATAGAAAAAAAACCAATTGTGAGTATTACTCACTTTTTTTTCACTCTCCAATATGAAAAAATTAGATGGCTTGAGACATGCGGGGACCTCAGGTCTGTATACTGTAGATAATATCTTAAAAATTGTTAAGATAATTACTGTAAGAAATGACAGAATTTGAAACACAGCTCTTACAACTTTGTTTTGGCAAATAAAAATCCAGTATTTAACCATTAGTGTTACAATGCTTTTTCCTGTACATCCAGAGATTATATCCTTATTAGGAAGTTATATATACTCAAGTTTATTAAAAAAAGCTTTATTGAAAAATAGAATTCTGCTGAAATTATAGTCAACACTTTTTATTTTATTTTCTCAAGTTGAAAATTTTGGGGTAAAAGATGCCCTAGTACATGTCTAAGTATTTTAATATATTTTAAAAATTTGCTAACTACTTGAAAAATATTGCATGAAAGAAGTAAAAAACAATAGTAATAACTGAAATAATTTATACCTATATATAAAGAAAGAAAAAAAGAAGGAAAAAAGAACTTTAGTGTTTGTGATCTGAACGAATTTATTTTAAATAACATATCTTTGATATTGAATGAACATGAAATAATACAAAGCTTTGTATTTGTTTCTTTTTACAATATATCAATACTTTTATTCTGAGTATTTATATCTTTAATGGGCTGGATGATGCAAGTCTAATTATGATCAAAATGAAGTTTGATTAGTAATGGACCATGTTGTAATAGTTGAAGTTTTTAAGAAGTTGTAAGAGGAAGAATTCAAGATTTGAAACGAGGAACAAAGATTTGTCAGAACTTGTGTAGGGTTTGTTTATTGAACAAGATTTGGTATCAAAATTTGACGATGTTCCTACACTGAATTACTACTGCTATTTGTATTGTTTTGGATCAGGAAAATTATATGACTGAGGTCAGGTAATCGATCCTATCTGAGCCTTAATCAGAGCAACGTGATCTTGGGATAATTAATGTATGATTAATTATATAAATGTGTGTAGTCCCAATGAAGTATTAACATTGAAAGTAAATATGTTTATGGGCTATAATTATACTTATAACAATCCACTGATGTATCCCATATTATAGTGATATCATCATATGAAATATAATCACTATCATGCACACTAAACCTGTGTATTAAGTAATAAAGTAATCAGTAGACACCTTTGACTGGAATAGCTGAGGCCTTATATTATTTTATTCAGACTTATTCTCAATTACAGCAGTAGTCAATCACTACGGGAAAAAAAGTGGGGTTTTATGGCTGCTTTATGACGGTTTGACAAGGCAGCTTTGTGGCGGTTTTTTGCCAAATATCCACTTTGCCCCCCTGGAGTTTAAATACATATTCCAGATCTCCGCTTTCTGATTCTCTTTTGTTGGCTCTTCTATTGGACAGTGTTTCATTTTTTATTGTATAAAGTATATTATATAATCAATTACTTTTATTGAGTACTCTCTTAAATGTCATTTATTACTTTAATACTTTAGCTTAGAAAGGAATTCTATTGGACACTAGTAATTTTTTTTTAATGTTACTTTTATGAAAACAGTTTTTTATTACATAATATACATGTAAATGTTTGATCATTTTAATAAATACAAATTTTTATTGTTTATTACAATAGAAGATCATTTTTATTAATCATTTTTATTGGTTGTTATGACAGAAAAATAAATAATATTGTTTATTTTATTGGCTATTTACTATTTAATATTCTAGGTTTTCATAGTAAAATATCCTATTCAATTCCACTACACCGGATTACTTATGAGACTGTAATCTTTTATGGCGGTCCCTCCAGAGATGTGCAACTCTTGCAGTTGATGCCCAGTTTCCGAGACATCTAGTGAAGTCTATACCAGAATCCTTCATTATATTTGCATGCCTGGCACACATTTCTTTCTTAAGTGCTACTGGTATAGACCCCCAGCTAGGATTAGGACCAAGAGCGATCACCGAAGGATGGGCAGCCATATCATCACATATAAGCTTTGTACACATATTGAGTGTGGCCTTTTTGTTACTTGTTACTTCAATGCCAAGGTCTTCACTTATCATCTTGAAGATATGCTTTAAAGTTATTTCACGGAATATGCTCACTGGTTTGCAGATAGTATTAGCACTAGACTATTAAATGACATATTAATATATATTCAACTCGTTTTATTTTTTGTCTTACAATAGGAGATACAGAAGGCGAAGTGTGTTGGTTGGAAATGTTTCTATTCTCCAGTTGGCTCTGAAGAGCAGTAATCTCCAAATTCAAATCTTTGATGCTTGTCTTCATTTCGAGCTTCAACTCTTCGATCTGTGCCTTCATTTCAAGTTTGAACTTTTCTTGGCCTGCCTTCAAAAATAGTATCTCATTGTACATGACGTATAGCAAAGAGATGGAATTGTTATCTGTGCTATTCATGTTGAGAGTTTGGTTTACCTGAGAAAAAGAATTATTGTGAAAGAAAGATAAAGGCCAAAAAAATTTTCTATTGTCTATTATTAGTTTCATATAAATGCGTTTAACCTATTGGTCCAGCCAATATTATTATTGGGTTACTGTAGTTCTAATAACAGCTATTACACAATGTTTTAGCTTCTGTTCCTGAGTTTATATTTGTATCATCTATGTCATTGCCTACTTGTAGTCATTAAGTCTATACAAATCTCAACACTATTAAGTATAAAGTCATATTATTTAAAAGGAATTATCAATATTCATACCTTTATTCTTAAGTGTTTATTTCCAACCTAAAAATGTCTTCAAATTCAATTCTTGATAGTTACCAATGCAATCAATGCAAAGAGCGCCACACCAATTTAAAAAAAGCTAAGAGTTGTAGAGCTCAATGCTTTAAGAACCATCATAGAAGACATAATTGTTGTGGGGAGAAAATAAAGCAAAATATAATATAGACGAAAGCATTTGTGAGAACTTGTGTAGGTTGTTTATTTCAAAAGAAAAGTAAAGAATGATAAAATTCGATTCTCTTTCTACACGGAACTATCTACTGATATTTATATGTTTTTCTAATTTGTAATTCAGTGTGTGCTTAAGTAATCTTTATCACGATGAGTCATATTCCAGGAGTATTGTTCTTCTGGAAAGATCCGGAAAGACCAATTGATATGATACTTCTCCAGTCAGATCAGTCCAAGAGTTTTGGTAAAGAAGAGCATTTATGCTATTGGTAATATTTTAGTATTCCGACCCAGATACTCGGGTAATGTTTCATAATATTAGATAGTTGTAGTTGTAGTCTCTCAATTAAGTATTTGTATAATAAAAGAAATATGTAGATGAAATATAATGATGCCATATATATAATGTATATGTATTTGTATATCCCATGTCATGGTGATAATAATAAATAATCAATTATGTGTATGATGATCTGTGTATTAGATAATATCATAAAGGGAGATCCGTTTGACTGGAATAGCTGAGGATATTATTTTATCCTTCAGTCTTACTCTCAGATTCAGCAGTAATCAATACTCATTCACAACAATAATGATATCCAGACTTCACAGACCACGCCTGTTCCTGGACAAGTCAGTGTTGTTTTGAACACTGTCTCGAGCGACACTATCGAGTAAGACTACAAATTACATACATACTATTAGAAAGTGTAATTAATTATATTGTTATCTTCATAAACAAGCAGAGAGCGTGCTGATGCAATCGAAGATCAGATCATGGATACACTCAACAGCAAAGATAACAATGATCCAATTATGAATATCTTCAGTAATGATGATAATGATGAGTCTATGATAAGATATATATACATGTCTTATTATATAATGCTAATTATTATTTATCTTATTAAAGTATAATGCAGAACTTGGCAATGACATGGATATCATTGAAAACAAAACATCTCCTTTGGTTTTTGACTTCAGTCAGTCTGCACCTACCCCTGACAAAGACGATGCAAAGAACTTTGAGTTTCTCAAGATCATTAAGGATTTTGGTATCTTCCGCAATGCCCATGAAATGATAGTCAAGCATTTCAACAGCATTTTGGAAACGTTGACTTGTATTACATACAGAGCATATATTCCTCATCTTGGCAAAAAGCTTTTGAAGTGTTTCTCTGATGTTGAAGAGATAGTCCATGATATCTGTCAGAGGGGATGTATGCTTTTTACCAGTCCATCCCAGACTGAGTGCTCCAACTGTGGACAAAGCCGGTACAAAACAAGACGTGGAGAAACCGAGGGTGGTAATCTGGTTGCTGCTGCCACAATGATACAGCTTCCATTGGCAAGACAACTGGCTCTTGCGTTAGCCAATGAGAATACAAGAGCAGATATGCATTACCACCATAATCATGAGTCAAGCTCGGATGGAAGTAAAACCAATGTGTTTGATGGCCAGGTTTACCAGCAAGCGAAACATCTGTTTTCCGGAAAAGATGACATTGCAATTTCGTTGTCTGTTGATGGATTCATGCCACACAATGTTCCTGGTTCTGTAACGATCCTCCATGCCACCATTCTTAACCTGAATCCCATGGTCTGGTATGAGAGAAGCAGAATGCTCCAGATCGCAATGATCTCAGGTCCAGACGCACCTGCCAATTTCTGGTCGTTCATGGAACCAACAATGAAAGAGCTCCTGGTGTTGAAGAGCAAAGGGATGGTCGTCAAGACACCAAATGAGACCATTCGTGCCAAGATACATGTCTTAATAGTCACTGGTGACATTCCCGCCTTAGCAAATTTGGCATGTCATTCTGGACATATGAGCAAAGACAGTTGCCATATCTGTCATGTTGTCGGCCAATGTCCCAAGCACGGACAATACTTCAGAACTTTGCCCAGGCCAGTGCATTCAGCTGCAAAGGGTTAAACGGACAATCCCCTCTGGCAACATTGAAGGTATTCTCTGGACCATTGTTTTTTGCCCTCGATGAGATGAATGGACTTTGCCATGGAATAAGCAAGCAGGTCTGGGGTTTGGTTTCTGGTACCTATGGAACAGACCATTGTTTTGCTCTTTATTCTAGTGTTCGAAAGGAGATCAGTACAGCAATGTACAAAACAAGAAATACTATCCCTACATCATTCCATGGCAATTAGAGAAATGTATACAAGAACCCCGGGTCATTCAAGGCCATCAATTGGGCAGACTTTCTTCTGTTTGTTGTCTCTATGCTGGTGGCAGAGCGTATTGGAGATGCAACTGCCTGGAATGTGTTACTTGGCTTGGTTCAAGCATATAACCTACTCATGAGCTGGGAGTTATCAGCAGAGGAACAGACCTCTATCAAAAGGTATATTTTAGTAAAAGTTATGTGTTATTCTATTATTTATTCTAACTATTTTTCTTCAGTAAACTTGAAATATGGAACATATACCTGGAATCACTGCTTACAAGTGGAAAAATCAAAATCAATATTTTCACTATAAACCAGCATCTTCTTCAGCACTATCCTCTTATGATTGATGCATATGGCCCACCTCGTGAATATAGTGCCAGATCCGTGGAACAGGCAATTGGTGAATACTCAAGGGCTATCAAGAGTAATTCTGCTATAAATGTTAATGCTGGCAATATCATGCTTGGCTTAGCACAAATATGACAAGCAGAGGCCAGAGCCACTGTCATGATTACAGAAGCAAAAGCAGCACAACACTTACAATATGAAGATTCCACTGCTGGTTGGCCGTTGACAGATGAGGGTGAGCATGTTGGTGCTGGGTCTGATATTGAGTTCTGGGGGCCTTTGAGGAATAGAATGATCCGAGACAGTTTTGAAGGCATTTCTTGTCTTTCGAAACTTCTTGAAGACTTCTATGAATCAAAGGGGGAAGAGTGTAGTATGATTGAAGCAGCTATATAAACTAGCCGCAAGGCATTTGTCAATGGTTGTGTGATTGACTCTGCACTCAACCAAAATTATGTAAGGGAGGTACATAACATCAGATTACAGATTCAGATTGATGAAAACCGCAACATAAATTCTACATACTCCCCAGTTTACAAGGATTTCTTCAGAAAAGTTGTTGTCTTCTTTGAGCACAAGCTCAATAACAAGAGGTGGCTGCTTGCTCTTGTAGAGATTGTGGCAGTCTGTTTGGTAAATAGTATACCAGTTGTTAACAATGGGTAAATGAAGCCAAAGGTAGTTCATCTGGCAGATGTCAAAGAATTGGTTGGTTTGGTGAAGTTGGACGCAACTATAAATACAACAACAACAACAACAACATACATAGTGTGGCCAGAGCTTAACCGCGGCCCAAAATTGTCACTTGGTTCTCTTGCAGACCTATAATTTGTTTTTTTTTGTAATACATTTTTTTTTCAAATTGTCTTAACATATTGTATTCTCTCAGCAGAAAGTTTAGATATTTTCTTCTCTTTTTCTTCTGACTTTTAATAGTCATCAAATGCAATCTACATTTACTAAAAATGTAAAGTCTGTAGTTAAAGCTTACTTTTGTCTATCAGGAGATTTAATTTTAGGTGGTCAATTTGCTTTTTGTCAACCTTTTCAAAAAACAGAGATTTTCTAGTTTCAAATTGGATTTTTAGTGATTTTTTAACTATTATAGGCCGAAAACATAGTCACAAAAGCAAAAAACCGCCATTTTTTCCCATAGTGAATACTCATTTACAACAGACCATAAAAGCTATTAACATTGATAATATCTTTTCACTGATCTTCATATCTACATAGCAGTATTTTTCTATAGCAATGTTACTTTGTATGCAGCATGATTAAAAATATTATCAAGGGATGAGGATTTTTAAAGATTTTTCTGGTCGCCCGCTTATAACTATCAGAGCTGTAATAACAGTCATTATTTCTGATACTCACCCAAAAATAACAAATTATTTTCAATAAAGATCACCATGATTATTTTTTCATATTCACATAAGTTATACACTGCATAATAAAGACTTTATTCAATAATACGTTCTTTTACACACATCTGAAAAGCTAGCATAATATTGATAAACATGTTATTTAACATCTTGAACAAGAAGGGAATTTTTTATTGAGTACTTCTTGACTTTTTGCCATATATATATAATTTAACAGCATATTTACTATTAAAAGCTCTTTTATTCACATCTTATTAAGCATTAAAATTCATAAAATTGCTGTCAGAAATCAGTCTAAGCAATATAAAGAGGTAGAAACAAAAGAAAAATTTTAAAGATATATTTCTTTATTAAAGAAGTTTTTCACTATCTTTCTATAATCGAGCTCTAAGAATATTTGCTTACCATTTCCAACTAAGATCTAATCTACGTTTATGCTGATTAGCAATGTTACAAGAGAAGTAGTTTGAACGTAATTAGTTTTTGAAAATAATGTTTTAGATGTGAGTACATTACTTCCAGGAACCCAATTAGCCGTTACTGATAATCTTTGACAAAAAAAACCAGTATAAGTATCATGTAAAAGTGCAATTTCTTCATCTTTCCAGATCCTTTAATACCTATTCAAAATTAACTAAAACTCTTTCCCCTATTCCGCCACAACTTCTGATGTAAACGTTAGAATGGTTGAAGCTCAAGTGGCTACTTCTCGTGAAGCTGAAGTCAACAGACCAGAAAACACAAAAAGAAGCTATGCTTCTAAGCAAAAGGAGTACAGAGATTGGTGTGACAAAACCTTCCCAAGCATTTATTCTGAGAATCGCTACACTGTATATGGAGATAAACTCCATTTGTTTCTTAAAGATTGTGTATGTTTTTTGCTGTTTTTTTTTGGAAATATATCTTGTAAGTAATAAAATTAAATATTTTTTCTTCTATTAGATTGTCAACCAAACCCACAGATGAAACACTGGACGAACAATCAAGTATGATACTGCAATGACTTACCTTGCTGCACTTGTGGATGTTGTGGGGAGAAAATAAAGCAAAATATAATATAGACGAAAGAATTCGTGAGAACTTGTGTAGGTTGTTTATTTCAAAAGAAAAGTAAAGAAATATAAAATTCGATTGTCTTTCTACACGGAACTATCTACTGATATTTATATGTTTTTCTAATTTGTAATTCAGTGTGTGCTTAAGTAATCTTTATCACGATGAGTCATATTCCAGGAGTATTGTTCTTCTGGAAAGATCCGGAAAGACCAATTGATATGATACTTCTCCAGTCAGATCAGTCCAAGAGTTTTGGTAAAGAAGAGCATTTATGCTATTGGTAATATTTTAGTATTCCGACCCAGATACTCGGGTAATGTTTCATAATATTAGATAGTTGTAGTTGTAGTCTCTCAATTAAGTATTTGTATAATAAAAGAAATGTGTAGATGAAATATAATGATGCCATATATATAATGTATATGTATTTGTATATCCCATGTCATGGTGATAATAAAAAATAATCAATTATGTGTATGATGATCTGTGTATTAGATAATATCATAAAGGGAGATCCGTTTGACTGGAATAGCTGAGGATATTATTTTATCCTTCAGTCTTACTCTCAGATTCAGCAGTAATCAATACTCATTCACAACAGTGGACATGTACCAGCAGCAAGTCAAGATCGGTGTAAACAATTACCTTCACCCACACAAGACCTGCATCCAATTGTTGGATAATATGAAGTTCAATGACAAGCATGCCTGCCATGCAGAAAACCAAGACCGTGGTCAAGGAACTCTGGTAGATGGCTACACAAAAGAGACTGAAATTGCTAGCATTATCAGTTATTACTTCTCTCAATCAAGTGGAGGAGATTTGAGAAATGCAGTATCCTTTCTATTGTCACATTTCTGTATGCTGCGTGATGAATCTGTCAGAAAGGCCGAGTTTGCTGATCTTCAGATGGTCATGTTGAATTGTGAAGGGCCATCTGAATTCCCTGCTTTTATTCTGATCTTGAAGCAAGGCAAGACAAATCAGTTTGGGGGAGTCGAGCTTGCAGCATGCCTGAGAAACGCCAAGGTCGAGATCTGCCCATTTATGGCACTTGGATGCTATTTCTTTTGGAGATGGCATGTCAATGGGGAAGCCTTTCCCTCCCTTGAGACATCTGATAGTTGGTTCAGCCACAAGTTGCTGCGATCTGGTCAGGATTCGACTAGAGAAATGCCGTACTCCACACATCTTGAAGCAATAAACAGAGCCTTCAAGGCGTGTGGAATTGTGTCCACAGTGAAGCCCCACGCTGCCCAAGAATCATCTGCAAGAATGTCCAATATGAGTGGTGCAGATGAATCTGACATTCGAAGACAAGGCCACTGGAACAGCGGTACCATGAATGGCGCCTATCTGACGAATCTTCCAAGAGGTGCCATGTGTACAATGGCTGGGTTTCCTTTGGGTGAGGGGCAGTTTTACCTACCAAGAGCCCAGGTAAAGCTGTCCAAGTCGCTCCAGCGTAAGGTGTTCCCAATGGTTGACTTCTGGTATGACAGGATCTTGTCTGGTGCTTGCCAGCAGACAGCAGCCGCACATGGATTCCTGGAGCTTCTGAAGCAATTAAGAATCACTTTTCTTCAGGATTCTGTGCTAATGATAAGAAAAACTCCAGGGTATCCATTGTGGTTGCATGCTATATTCGATGATCCAGAATATATGGAATTTAAAAGGTAAGAAAAAATACAATGCCATGACAAAAATACATAGCTCTAATATATTTATATGTCAATGTTTTAGATCAGTTGATACTTTCATTGAGACAGATATTGAGTCTGCAGATGTGCTTCTGCAGAGGGAAATGCCTCTGATGGTTAGTGTTGTGGGGAGAAAATAAAGCAAAATATAATATAGACGAAAGAATTCGTGAGAACTTGTGTAGGTTGTTTATTTCAAAAGAAAAGTAAAGAATGATAAAATTCGATTGTCTTTCTACACGGAACTATCTACTGATATTTATATGTTTTTCTCATTTGTAATTCAGTGTGTGCTTAAGTAATCTTTATCACGATGAGTCATCTTCCAGGAGTATTGTTCTTCTGGAAAGATCCGGAAAGACCAATTGATATGATACTTCTCCAGTCAGATCAGTCCAAGAGTTTTGGTAAAGAAGAGCATTTATGCTATTGGTAATATTTTAGTATTCCGACCCAGATACTCGGGTAATGTTTCATAATATCAGATAGTTGTAGTTGTAGTCTCTCAATTAAGTATTTGTATAATAAAAGAAATATGTAGATGAAATATAATGATGCCATATATATAATGTATATGTATTTGTATATCCCATGTCATGGTGATAATAATAAATAATCAATTATGTGTATGATGATCTGTGTATTAGATAATATCATAAAGGGAGATCCGTTTGACTGGAATAGCTGAGGATATTATTTTATCCTTCAGTCTTACTCTCAGATTCAGCAGTAATCAATACTCATTCACAACAGTTAGAAAGTTGGCAGATATGCAGAGCAATATCTCCGGATATATGAGTGCAATGACAACTGGGTACGGTGCTCTCTCACAGCAGATCAATGATTTGGTGTCTGAGAGAATCTCCCTTAGATTCTTCCAAGAAGATGGAGGGGAAAGAGCTGGCGTCCCACCAATGAACATGGCACCATTCCCACCCCAAGTGCACAGTTCTGAAAGCAGTTCCCAGCAGCCAGCCACACCTGCTAGATATAGAATGAGCAGAGGTGTACAGACAATAACGGATTTGTAAAGGGAGTGATATGTGGGGCTGTCTAGTTGTGTCTCAGTACAGGAGATGGAGACGAGATATAGTGTTGCATGGAGAAATGATGATCATCAATTCTTTAACAGATATAAAAAAATTGTCAATTGCATCAAGGAGTACGCAGTTATTCATTCTGTAAGTGAGAAAACAAGTGTCAAGATTGCAGAAGCAAATCGAGTAAGAAGAAGAAAGACTTTAGACTTTTTGTCTAAAAACACAGACCAAATATTTCAATGCGTCTTTAAACAAATAAAAATTATATACATATCTTGCTTTTTTTTATTTTGTACTGTCACTGCTTCTGGCTAGTATTTGAATAGCTTTGTTCATTTGTTGCTAATATTTTTGCTATATTTCACTTCATTTGATTAATTTACTATATTTATTTAAAAATGTATCTAAATGAACATATTCCATTCAATTAAAAAACACTAAGTTAGTAAATATAAGAGAAGTATAAATATATTGCAAAATAAATATAATGCCTATTGAGATATACTCTCATAAGAAATTGAAAGGATCTTTTGCATATAAAGAGGTATTTTGTTTTTGCCTTTTTTTTGTAATAAGTAACACATTTTGTGAATGAATCGACTATAAAATTCGGCATTACAACGATTTTATAATTTCAAACAAGTCACTTTTTGGCTTGTAGCCTGAGTCTGTGACCCCACTAAAAACCCTGTGATAACTCCTTATTATAGCTGTTAGAATTTTAGGAACAAAAAAAAAGAAAGAGAGAGAAGGATTTATATATCATGTGACTTTTGTAAGATGTAATTTTTTAGAGATAGAATAGAGTGTATAGAGCGAATCGTTTATCATGTGATATACAAAAAGACTGAATTTAAGACAGATTTTGTATATCATGTGATCTTGCTAATTTTCTAATTTTTTAAAGATATAGACAAGATAGACTGGCGTCACCAGCGGGACTGCATTGAGAAGAAATAACCATATTATGAAAAGAAAGAAAAAACCGTTCGTCTGAGTTTATTTGGATTTTGTTATTATAAAGGTTTATTGTAGTAATAAAAATAAAATAATAGTAAGGAATATATCTTGAAGCCATATTTTTTTGAGGGTTTATATTTTGATATTTTCAAAAAGGAAAGAAAACATTATACTTTGTCATATACACAATTGGTATTGACAATTTAAAAAAAAATATTAAAATATTTGAGAAAAAAGTAAAAAAAAAAAAAAAAACATTAAGATAAAGATAAGTATAAGCAGAAATAACGTGAATACAAAAAATACAAAAATAAAAATAAAGCATATAGAAAAAGATTGGCATATTCGGATAAAGACATAGGGCAGAAAGCATATGATATGGAACAGATTGGTTAATTTCTAGAAAGCACTTCATTATAAACAACATTGTTTATATAGACATTGCTGATTGCTTCAGTAGAAATACTGTCCATATCAACCATAATTTTTACTGAGTTTAGAGTTTGGACCCTGGAGAGAGCAACATACAACTGCCTGTGACCAAAGACATAGTCGGGAAGGTACAGATTAACTTTGTCAAGGGTCCAGCCTTGGGACTTGTTGATAGTCATGGCAAAGGCAAGCCAGACTGGAAATTGAGATCGCTTGAACTCAATGGACATGGTCGATTCAGTTGGGTTCAGCTTGATTCTGGGAATTAGCACCACCTTTCCAGCACTTGATCCAGTTACAATGGTAGCCTTGATAACATATCTGTCAAAGTCATTGCATATAAGGTGGGTACAATTGCAGAGCCCATTCTTGGGGTCCAGATTTCTCAGTAGCATAATAAGACATCCTTTCTTGAGGCATAGAGTATTTGGAGGCAAGGATCTAGGGTTGAGAGTATTGAGCAGTTTAATAGGGTAGCTCAATCAATTATCTTTGCTTAGACCTTTGTCAATACTTTTGAACACAGTTTCTTGCCCAGGGAACAGTTTAATAAGGATATCATTGATCTTCTTAACTTCTGCATTCTTTGGGGTCAAGATTGCACGGCCCATAAGGAAGCTGGGACTGGTGGCATTGTTAAGAAGATCAGAAAAAATTGCACTGGCCAGGTGATTGAGATTACGGCCATGAAGGAGCATGTGTGATAGGATGAGAAAGACGCCTTCACCACCAGTCGTCTGAAGACTGTCATTGCCAACAGTCAAGAGAAGGGCAGCAAACGCATTAAGCTGTGCCATTTCTTGGAGATTAGTGGACTCGGCAATGCACATGTTCCTTGTAAGTCTCATGTGGTGAACAAAGCTCTAGAGACGTGCTTTCTTGACGCATTGGGAAACAATCTGGACTTTGTTTTCTTGTGAAATGACTGGAAGCATCTGACGAAAGTCACCACCAAAAATGAATAGATTGCCACTGAAAGTAACAGACTTGAGCAAGAGGTCAACCAACTTCATAACATCTTGAATGGAACAGTTGACAGCATTAATAAGATCCTTGCTGACCATGGAGATCTCATCCCAAACAGTTAACTCTGTTTTCCTGATCAACTTTGCCACCTCAGAGCTGACAGGAATGGAACACATAGAGTCAGTGTCGATGTCAAGGGGAATCTTGAACCTGGAATGAGCAGTTCGGCCACCATCCAAAGGCAGAGCTGCAATTCTACTGCTAGCTACCACAAGAGCAATCTTGCCTTGTTGACAGACTTTTCTGAGCATGGCATTGAATAAAAAGGTCTTTCCAGTGCCACCTAGTCCATCAACAAAATATAATCTTGGGGTTGTAGGGCTTGCTTCAACTGCTTCTTTGACAACACGGTATACTGCTTGCTGTTCCTCATTGAATGAGAGCATGTCTGAATCAGACAAAGACAAAGCCTCAGTGCAAAGGGCTTCTTGCTCATCAATCAATGTTCTCAATCTGCTGGCAGGAATCTGGGCATCCGAGGAGTCTGGCAATGGGGTCAGAACAAACTCAGAAAAGGAAGTGAGAGAAAGATCATTGGCTGACATGTGGCTTTCAATGCTCCACAGACATCTGTTATACATGACTTCAGTTGGCTCAAGAGAGAAGTCATTTTCTGTCTGTTGGAAAGCATGGAGATAGTCCTCAACCATAGAAGAGTGATAGACCAGCCAGAGAGCAAAGGGATCTGACATCTCACAGAAGATCAAAAGGACAGCAAACAGACGGCACAATGATGATGAGATCTCGTAGTCTACAGCTTCTTCCATATAGCAGTTCCATTTGCTGTTATCCACCAGCAACCCAAGAGCACGGCAAGCATCTTGGTTGGTAGGATACACCCAGCCTCCAACAGTACGCAGATGTTCAAAGCTGGTAGCACCAGGGACATTGTGCAGCAAGATTCTTGGATAGTACCATTCTGGATCTCTTGATGAAATGGCATGCACTCTGCCAAGTGTAAGCTTTGCAGACTTGTGCTTGGTCCACTTCTTCAGAGACTTATTCTATACATGCTTTTCAGAGAAATTCACATATAGAACTTTGTGGGATAGTGTATTTGATGCATTGTAAGTAAATCATCCAGTCAAAGTGGTAGCAAGATTCCTGTTGGAAATGTTGTCCAAGGAGTCTGATTCATTGTAATAAATAAGCTGGCATTCCTCAAGATGGATAGCAAGTCTCTGATGAGATGGGGATTCTTGGTGAAGCCTAAAGAAAAAAATTCTCCAGCAGGCTTCAGACGCAGAGACATAGTGGGCATTGAGGAATTCTTGGACTTCATTGATGGGCTCCAGGGGGTAGCTGTGGATCCAGGCTGCACGCTTGCCATAGCACGGTCATGACCCTTGTATACATACTTGTAGAGGTATTTCACAGAAGCAACAGAGGTACAGATCTCGACGTTTATATGTGCATTGTACTTTACACATAGGTAGCGATTGTGAGAAACTACCCATCGATTGTCCAGAATGGTATTATACTGTATGACTGATCTTTTGTCTTGTATCCAACGATATAGAGGGTACCTAGCACTATCTTCAATTGTACTGTCTCGGATACTCTTGGGATAGTGCTTATGGCAATGGCCATTCTTCATGCAACGTGGTGGTGAAGAATTAGCAAGATGGGCTTCCTGTCCACATGGTCCATGCACCATATGGCGGCTTATGATTGCAAATGCTTCTGGCTTAAGATCAGGATCCAGATACTCCGCAGAGACAATGGCATCATAATCGTCCACTGTAACTGACTTGTCTTCCATAGCCAGGAACAAGAGAATGTGAGCATGGGGGAGACCGCGCTTCTGAAACTCAATGACATAGATGTGGGCTACAACCTTGCCCAAAACATGTTTCTTTGTCAGGTCGTGCATGAGTTCCTGGAGCTTCATGTTAAACACACGGGAGCAAAGATCGGGTCTATCATTGGCACTTTGTCTACCCAACAGAGAGTTTGTGATTTCTGGCCAAGTGGGGTTGCAGGTAAAGATCACAAAGATATCTGGCTTGCCAAAGTGGCGCACAATGCCCATAGCATCTTGGTACAATTGACGCATGCAGTGTGGACTGCCAATAAAGACTGAGGGAAGGATGACTTGCTGACCAAGATTTGCCAAATTATTGTCAGTGAGGTGGAGTGCATCCTGAATGCCCCAGTAGAGCTTGGAACGAAGTTTCTTCTGGTTTTGGGTAAGAAAGTCCAGGCAGTTGTGCTCAACCTTGGTATACATATCAACAATATACTGTTGAAAGAGCCGGCCAAATTGGTGGAGGAGGTGCATGGAGTTGGGACGGTACATGAGACGGTTAGCGTACCAGTCCATGACAGACACTTTTTCTCTGGTTGCAGAATATGACACAATGGTCCAGTCATAATCACCCAAAGGAAAGAGCAAGACATACTGCAGAGCATCATAGAAGCAATTATACTCATTAATCCTTTGGAGGCCATTTGCATGGGTGTGGAGAATAATGTCCCTTGAGCTGCCAGTTTCGTTGTCTCTGATCAATACTGCCACTTCCTCGGTGGTGGGAGCATTGTAACATTGCTGGTCCTGTGGTCCATCAGCCTTCAAGCAAATGATGAGATTGGCCGTTCCATCATTCTTACATGCAACTTGTTCTATAGAGCGGAAGAGAGAAACAAATGGATTGACCTCCATGAGAACGGCCTGGATCTTTTCCAAGATTATCCTGTCCAAGTCTGGGGCATTGCGCTGTCTATGTTCGACCTGAGAAGCTGGATCAAAGATATAGATCTGGGCAAACTTGGGTTGGTCCATCTGAGCCTGGGTTGTTGGAATGACTGATACAATCTTGTGGCAGACGGTCTCATGGATCCGGTAGTTGTACGCACCACCAATGTTGTTGGCAACAGACTGATTGATGTTGGCTCCCATGGAAGTGAAACTTATGGTGCTGTTGTACCATCTGATCTTGTCAAAGAAAGTTTGGCCAGCTGGAGGTAGTGGGGTGGTAGTATGCCAGGCCATGTTGTGAGTAGTAGTTAACTGGCCAGGGACAAAATTGCGGTTCCTTTGGTTGTTAGGACACTGCAAGTTGTTGCTCCATTGGTGACCAATTCTATTACAGCTGGAACAGCAGGGAATAACAGTGGCAGTGGCAGTGGTGGTAGTCAAATCCAAGACTCTCTCAACATCAGAAACTTGCAAAGCCTCAAAAGCGGCAGTTAGATCTATAATAAAAATATTAAAAAATAATTAATAATTGTGGCAATTTATATATAATTTTAAAAATTACCTCTGTTGCTCTCTGCAGTATATTGTTCTGTGAAGGAGAGATCAATTGACAATGGTTGTATGGGCGCAACAGAATCCTGGACAGCTTCAACTCTTGGTCTTGAAGCAGCAGCTAAATAGAAAAATAAATAGAGTAGAAAAAATGATTAGAATTTTTGCTGAATATTAATCAATTACGCTATATTTATTTACCTCGACTACTCTCTGCAGGATATTGGGCAGCATGGGAGAGAGCAATGATTTCTGCTATGATATCTATGATATAAGAAAACAGATGTCACATGATATACTCATATCATTATCTTAAATGTTGTATTTGGAGAGGATTGGAAGCTTGATGTGGTATTTCAGATACAAAACAATAAAAAATAATAAATTTGATAATAGAGACATATAGAAATACTTTGAAACTGTATATAAGTTGTCCTTTATTCATAAATAAAAAGTATCTCTTTTTATAAGAAAAAACAATCTGCTCTATCATTACGTCTTGGTTTCTTAAGGCTTTCTTCCTTTACTATATTTGGTTATTAGAGTGTATTTACTGAGAGGGTATTTTTGGTGGGCCATAGTCTGATTGAGTTTTATTGTTATTTTTGGTGCGATGAGATTGAGCAAAGGAATACCCTTTTTCCAAAATTTGGGTTCATTTCCCGAAAAAAAATTCTTAATTTGTTAATAAAAAGAGGACGATTTCAGCATTTTTATTATGACAGATATCACTGTAGTAAATGGCAGACATTATAACTCCGCGACCGTATAAATTATACAGAACTGTATAATTTCTACAGTCACGGAGTTATAATATCTGCCAATAGAATCTTGGTTTTTAGTAAATTAAAAGTATTTACAGCGAATACTATTTATGGGAGTTCAAATTACTTTTTTTTTAATTCAATAAAATCTTTTAAAATAGCAAAATTATACCATTTTTAGATAAATATTTCCCTTTTTATAAAAAATTTGGAGAATACAATTCGTTAGATTTCAGATTATTTTTTCTAATCCAATCAAATAAGCTAAATATAGTAGTGCTATACCTTTTTTAGGCATATCTATTCTTCTTATAATTGGTCCAGCAAATGCATGATGTTTTAAATGAAAATATTTTTTATTAAAAAAAAACCTTGGAACTGAAAAAAGACATATAAAAAACGATGGAAAAAAATAGAAACGAAATTAAGAGAAGTATATTAAAAAGAAGTGTAAATAATATTGCTTATATCTGTTACTATTAAAATCCCTGTTGTGTAATGGTTGGTTTACACTGTATGAGTGTGTAGTGTACGTGTGCCTTGTGTGTAACAGTTCCAGAGATTGTTAACTTGCCAGGTTCATTAGCTAGAAGGAATCAGTGTTTGGTTGTAGGGTCTGCTCTTTACTCAATTGCGGTGCATATATCACAGTAGTAAGCCTCTCAAAAGGATTGATCTTGTGTCCTGCAGTGTTTTATCCTAGTCAACAGGCACAGATAATAGTCACAATTGGACTTGAGAAAGAAGTGATATTGCCAGCAGGAACTACAGTAGGGATGGTCATGCCAGCAGGAGCTTCTTTGGATGAGATCCGGACTGGAAGAGAGGTAACAGAGGATAATGTGGAGGTGATGAGGTATCTGGAAAGCGTAGTAGAGTACTCAGAGGCACGTCAGATACCATCAGTCACATCTGGACCGATCCTATTGCCAGTCAAGAAAGGGAAACCTTGAGCCCAGGTATTCACCATGAATATGGAAAAAGGAAGAACGGAACACAGTGAGGTTAGTTGTCAAGGGTTCGATATCAACCCTGAGTTAATACCAGAGACCAGAGATAAAGCAATGTGAGAGCGATTTGAAGAGTGGATACAATTACAGACAGTGACACAACCTCAGGCACAAGAAAAACAAGACCTTGTAAAGAAAGCCATGAAAGAAAAGTACGATATAACCCACAAGGCCAAGGCAAAACCTTTTCGAATATGGGACAAAGTGCTAGTCAGGTATTACAGCAGACAACCTATGAGCACCAATTTAAGACCAATCTGGCTGAGACCTTACAGAGTGGCAGAAATATTAAGACGTAATGTCTATGTAGTTGTAGACGGGAAGTTAAGAATACCAGCACGGGTACATGCAGACGACATGAAACTGTATGCTAGTCAACCTCGATAAAAGCACTTATATCGTAAACAAGCAGAGGACAGATTAGCTCACAACATCACTACCATGACCAACTCAGATGAACTGGAACATAAGCGCCATCGAGAGAACATCACTGATGTTGGGCCCTTGTGATGTTGTCCGGGTCGGCCAACCATTCAGTTCGATCTGGGCTGAAGGTCGTGCCCAAGAATCTCCAATAATCACATTAAAGAAGATAGTACTACCATAAAGTAGTACTCATAATAGCATTGTATGCACCAAATGAATAAAACAATCTCTTTTTCTGTTAAGTCTATTATTGTTGCAAAGGACATAGGTTGCTCTGATCATTATTAGCTGTCTGAATTGTTAGAAGAAACCTCTTTAACACAAGTATCTTGCACTTTGCTGTGGCAACCTCTCTCCGCCTTATTCTCCAACGCCCCCTCTCACTCGTGTGTGTATCTATCCCCCGTCTCGGTGGAACAAAAGTTCATATTACACCATATACGAAAAATCTAATCCCCTTCACAACATTTACTACTAAAAAAACTCTTGTGGTGTAAAATAAGTTTTTTCTTTAAAAACAAAATTGCTATGCTTTCAAAGCTGTACTGTAAAGTGAGAGTAGCCAAGCTGAGATGCAAGAGTTAAAGAATAATTACTCTTGGGTTTTGCAGATTTTTGAAATTATGATGACTGTTGATATGGATTTGTATACATATACATATGAATGTTATTTACTTTAATAATCTTTTTTTTTCTTCATATAGAATAAAGATAATTGAGCTCTAGACTTTTGGTTACAAACGAAATTAAAATAAAGCAAAAAAGGGCTGAAACAGTAACAGCAAAACACCCATTTTATCTTTAGTTTTATTACCCTCTTTTCTTTGTTTTTGTTTTTTTTTTGCTTTATATATAGGAGAAGACTATAACCTATTAACTTAGAAATTCCTGTTGAATCACTCGACCTCAACCTTGATAATAGTGTCTACTTCTTCATAGGACTTATTGGTAGTGGTATTGATCTTACTGAAACTTCCTTTGATCTTAATTCCACTACTAATGACCGTGTTTTTACTTCCGATAACCGTGTTATCATGACCTTTGACCTTATTATTATCCCCTGCAACCTTGTTGCCATTGCCTTTGACCTTGTTGTTATTGCCGTTAACCTTGTTGTTATTGCCTTTAACTTCATTCCCATTCCCATTAACCTCATTGCCATTTCCAAACAACTTAGTACGCTTGGTGACTACTGGAATGACATTGTTGTTTACTTGAGTGCCACTTGTATTTGCGGGAGTGTTGAGGATATTTTCCAATGCTCCAGTAACATTTGCTGGAAGGTTGACAGTATTTTCAAAAGCCTGACTTGCATTTACTGGACTGTCAATATGATTTCCCAGAAATTCACTCGTATTGGCTGTAGTGTCAAAGGTATTTACAGGCGTGTCATTGTCGTTTACTAGCATTTCATTGTTGCTCGCTGGAGTGCGAATATCTTTTTTGTAAGTATTATCGCCATTTGTCTTATTGGTAACTGAAGCTTCGCCATAGTCAGACACTAAATCATCTTCAAAAAAATCGGAGTCAACCTGATCAACCAGTGGTTCAACAAGCGCAGGTTGGTGCGTTGGAATAGCTACGAATTTTATAACGTTTTAGTTTATCCAGCCTGTTCTGATACTGAAAATAAAAGAATATATTTACATTTTGTGTCAATTTTAATAGTATTATTTTCTGTAGCCCTCTCTATTTTAAAAGGAAAATGATTTATTATCGCACGCGTCAAAAAAAAAAGTGCAAGAGTCTGGGCTAGCAAAAACAAAATACACACCATTAGAACGTCTTTTCATATCGTCAAATTGAGATTTCATGGCGTGAATTTTAGCGTTATTTCTGGTTTGTAGAATATATCCTCCCGGAGCGATACAGCATCTACTGCAATAGCACTTCACATTGTAAGGACCTGAAGGGGTCATATTTCTTGCTGTTTATTTTTCTCTTTAGCAAAATAAAAGAAGGGAAAGAGAAATAAATAAAAAGAAAGCTAGTGTTACATATACTTTATTTTGAAGTCAAAAGTATAGCAAATAAGCTATCTCCGAGAGAGTCACAACACAATGCGTCTGAAGAAATACCTATCCACTATGGTAACAACAATAAAATCAAAAAGGTAGAAAATATAGAGCTAGGCTCTGGGTAAACTTTTGAGCCAAAGCTCTCTATTGTCTAAAACTTACTTACTCTACTTTCTTTAGCTTGATATCACTTGGTTTTGATAAATCAATACAGAAAATTAAAGAATTTAACTTGAAATTTTGGTTTATTTTTATAGACTTTAATTCATTTTCAATTGTCCTCAACCTTGTAATATGGAATACTCTTTCTTTGTTTTATTATTCTGTGACCTTCAAGGAGCTAAATTCTTGGTTTCTTATTTTTGAGGATTTCGTCATATGGTATTTCGTTGCGAGCTATCTTCCCAACACTAAGGCTACTAGAAGTATCTGCCAAATCTTTGTACGAGGGGGGTTTTATAGGCGTATCTTTTGTGTATAACTCTGACATGTAGTCAAAGTCCTCATCTTCATAGTCGAGTAAAGAGTAGTTGTTTCCCATCTTTCGCTTCCTTTCAGTAAAGATTCCCATGTTATACTTTCGGCTCATCATCATATTCTTTACATAATCAAGATCCTTAGTCTGTTGTCGAATACGTGTACACAGTTGCTGCTTGTAGGTATCGTAGCTGCGCACTAGAAGGTCCATCGCTTGGCATTCTGCACTTATCAAATCTGTAATTTTGCTGTATTTTATTTTGAAGCTATCCTCTTTGTCAAGTATCTTTACCATGGCAGACAGTAATGGCCGCAAAATGGTGTATTTACGGTTGAATAAGACCAGATGTCTCATGTCTAAATCATCCGATTTGTACAGACACTGTAAAGCTTTCAGGCAGCGTTTACTTGCTGAATCATCCAGAACAGACTTTTGGGTGACACTTGCAACTTCATCCTTGTTGAACGTGGGCATAGCAATTCCAGAGTTCCATTTTTTTACTTGCTCTTGCTCTTCCGATGTCAACCCAGTGCTAGAATAGCTTGTATTACTATCTAACATTGTGTTTCCGTGCATATAGACCAATGGGGCGAGGTACCATCCTTCATTAAGTGCTTGTGAGATCAGACAAGCTTTTTGTGTAAGCTTTTCCAAACTGTCGTTGGGATGTGGAACAATATCACTCTTGTTGTAAAGGTACGCCGGTGGTATCTTTAAAGCCTTTTTCTTGGGATCCGTGTATGGTTGTCGAAATCTGGAAGGTATTGGTATATAATCCGGAATTGAGCTATATGAAGATATACTGGGATAACGCTTGATATATAGGAGGGCAGGAAGGCATTGTCAATATTCATTCATAATTATTTTCTTTATTATGTTATAGCTATTAGAATTTAGGGTAACATAAAGACTGTATGGTGTTTGTGATGGTGGTGTAAGGTTTTGTGCGCGGAGTGAAAGCTAAAGCTCTTTGGGTGCCTCAGTACTATTAGCTTTATATATTACCTTTGGTGGTCCACTTTTAAATAAATCCTGCTCGTTTAATATGGTGCTATTTTCTTCCTGTTTGTCAGGATGACTTTTCCATGCGTCTAGCTCGTTTTCCAAGCCCATGATTTTTAATAATATCTTTGGTTTTATTTTAGGCGAAAATCGGCTTTTTATATTAGTTTTACTGTATCAAGCACGGGATTTTTGTTTTTCTATCACTGATAAAAAGATATATAGGCTGCAATAAAGATAGGTCTTGAAGAATATGAACGCCTTTCTTTAAAAAAGAAAAAAGTAAAAATTTTAAAAAAAAATCCAAAATACAATTATATATATATTCAGGAAAGCTACTGTTTTTATTGTAAGAACCTTTGACCACCTTTATATTTATAGCAAAGCAGAAATCTGTATATGTATATATATATTCCTATTTTTACTTTTAGAGTCTATTGATAGTGTAGCAATGGTTTTCTATGCTATCAAATGGCGTCGGCTTCGGAATCATTATTCTCTTTTGTGGCCTAAGTTTTGATAGACATACTTTAACTGTTAAATACAGTCTTGAACTATTTATAATGTGTTGTGCCGTTTAAAAATTGGATTAATATCCCTATTCTTTTGTCACCACTATAGAACCCACGACATAAAGCACGAACCTTGTGGTTCTGAAAGATATGTTTGCAGTCTTTGTAAATACATCACTGGTCATATACAATATTGACCAAGCTCAACGTGTTACTACTAATTATATCAGTACAGCTACATTCTATCCTTTGACACTACTTCAAAAACCAAAGACTCAAATAACATCTCATTTACAGTACAGATATTCTGACAACCCTATTGCTGTTCTTTTTGCTTTGATGTAAATCATATTAATATCACTAACATCTTCCTTTACACAGCCCATGCCTTTTTTGATATTATAAAACCGGCGTATTTCCTGTGTCGTCCTTTTTTTTTTCTTATTGAATTTAGATCAATTATATTAGATTGTGGGTATCTAACTCTCGACACCCAAATTGTCAAATCGTCAAAATTTGCATTGTCTACTTGGACAATGTTTTTCACTCAAGACAATGAATAATTGAACTTTTCATAAAAAAAACAAAAAGAAAGTATATGTCTGTAAGAGCATCTTCAGCAGTGATTTAACTTTATTTATTTTTAAAAAAAAAATGAAATTATCCAAAGTTAAGCACCACCACTTTAGCTAAAGAACAGCTAACTTTTTCCCAGCAGTTCAATTTATCTTTCTTTTTTCTTTAAATAAATTTTGAGAAGCGTTTTCATCAATCACTCTTATTTTGTTAAATTTAACGAAAAAGATCAAAAGAAGGGATTATCTTTTTTTTTTAAAAAAAAAAAGAAAAGTGAATTTAATTGAACTGCTGGGAGGACCAATTCTAACTAAATATTTAAAGTAGACTGTTGAAGATGCTATAGGCGCGTTTTCATTTATCTACTTTTTTTCTAATATATGTAATTGCAAAATACTTTGGATTTGACCAATACTATGAGTGAATTCATCTGCAGCCCTCATTACCAGGATTAATTAATTATTCTTATCTTTGGTTGATTAAAAGTTACGATTAGCACATATCGGGTCAAGTATCCAAGTAGTTTATATTACGCATCTTTGTTTATAATTGTGATTTCTTTAATAAAGAAATGTAAAAACATCACAGGTATTATCGCGATTATATATATATATATATATTGTATGTATGTAAGTATATTATTCTTATATTATTGTATATTTCCTTGGTATATTTGTATTTACCCTAAACATGAAAAGAATATATATATATAAAGAGAGAGAGAGAGAAAGCAAAATAATGATAGTAAAAAAAAATAAAAAAAAATAGACAAACTCCTCGTTATTTATTTTTCTTCAAGGGATGCTTGGGCTTCTGGAGTAAAAAGACCACGGCCGGAAAGAAGATCGACAAGACCTCTGTGCTCGAACCACCAGGCCTTTACGGGCTTACGGTTAATCACATCTGTTGTAGGCAAGAGTTCTCTAACGGATGGGAAGTGTACTTCGGCACCTGTCAGGCCAACCACGGCTATTGACTCTGGGGCTGAGGTAAGCTCAATTGGAACAGACTCGCCAAGAACATGTGCTTTCTCAAGTGCTTCATGGGTATGCTGTTCAACAAAGTCAATGCATCGCATTGCCAGGCGTGTGGCGTGAATGCGGTCCATGGGCGAGGGGGTATTTCCCTGCTGGATGTGCCCCAAAACAGCCGTGCGGGAATCAAACAAGCCACGACCTTCGTCTTTGAGAATGCTGCTGATAACATCAGTAGTATAGGTCTTTGATACCTTTTCGTTACGCAAGATGATACGACCCTCGGCCTTGTCAGCAGCATCGTCGAGATAGAGTGCCATAAGGTGGCGGACATCAGACTGCAGGCGTTCAAGCTTGATGCCTTCTTCAGGAATGTAGACAGTGTTGGCACCAGTTGCAAGTCCACCCTCGACAGCCAGGTAGCCAGATTTGCCACCCTGGACCTCAACCACAAACACACGGCGGCGCGAGGATCGGGCAGATTGGATAATTGAATCACATGCATCGATAATAGAGTTTAATGAAGTGTCGGAGCCAAGTGAGAAGTCTGTACCAGGCACATTGTTTGAAACAGTAGCAGGGATGAGACCAATAGGGATGCAAAGAGAGGGATACTTTGCACGCGCTTTGTCAAGCTCGATCAAGGCCGAGAAAGCCTCAAAACCACCTACGATCATGATGGCCTGGATGTTGAATTTCTGGAGCTGGTATGCGACCATTCCCATATCAACCTCTTCGCCTGGAACAGCACGGTTGGTACCCAACTCGGAACCACCGCGCGAAGTCCAGCCATCGACACCAATCCAGGTCAGCTCCTCAATTGAGCCACGCACCAGGCCAGGGAAACCGTTGTAGACAGCAAAGGGGGTGTGGCCACGGTTGAGGGCGTAGCGAACAGCAGTGCGGGTGGCAGCATTCATGCCACCAGCAGGAGCACCCATGTGGACAATCGCAATTCGCAAGCGTAGATGAGGAGGCAGCAGGTCCGACTCATCATCGACAATCGTACTGGCAGTGTAGGCATTGAATTCTTCAGCGAATTGGGGGTCTCGCAATTCCATGGCACGCGCAAAGTTCTTTTCTCCAATTGCCTTTGCTACCTCGTGTGTGAGCTCGACGGCCTTCATCAGTGGTCCACATGTCACTTTGTTGCTGGTCATTCCGATCAATGGGGATGGGATATCGGGGGTTGAGCGCAGGACAGCGTCGACTGCACAAACACCTTGGACGGTTGCCAAGATACGATCGTAGGCGGCGGGTGATCCACCACGCTGGGTGTGACCAAGAGTGGTGACGCGAGTGTCGAGACCGAGACGGTCAGTCAAGATGTCCTTGATGTATTCAGGTCTGATGGGTTTGAGCGACTTGTCGATGGCACCCTCGGCCACGATAATTACAGTCTTGCGCTTGCCGAGCTCACGATGGCGGTGGGCCACAGCACACATGGTGGATTCCCAGTCGTCTTCCATTGGCGGGCGCTCAGGGATAAAGACAAAGTCAGCACCGGTGGCAATACCAGCCATGAGAGCCAGCCAGCCGCAGTGACGGCCCATGACCTCGATAACAAATGCACGCGAGTGGGACAGGGCAGTGGTTCCAATTGAGTCTACGCTCTCACAGATACGGTGCAGCGAGGTAACGGCACCAATAGTTATGTCGGTTCCAGCCATGTCGTTGTCAATCGAACCCACCAAGCCGACAATAGTCAAGTGACAGTAAGTTGTGGCCTCCTCCTCTGTAATTCTATCGGCGGCTCTGAGCTCCTCCAACAAACCTGACCACTCGGATCTAAATACGTCTGCACCTGTTAAAGAGCCATCGCCACCACACACAATCAGCGAGTCAATGCCGTTGTGAACGAGGTTTTCGGCAGCCTTGAGACGACCTTCCCGAGTCTTGAATGGCATACAACGTGCAGTACCAATACTTGTGCCACCCTAAACACAGACACACACACATATATATATATATAGTTTTATATTAATTGAATTCATGTTGGATGTTTTTTTTTTTTTTTTTTTTTTTAGAAAAAAAAATGCATAGGGTAACTTACGACTGACAACCATCCTCGAACACTCTTCCAGTCCATGCGACGGATACGATCACCACCATCAACAAGACCTTGGTAACCTTCATACACACCGTATACATGACATCCTTTTGAAATACCATAACGGACGACGGCTCGCACACTAGCGTTCATGCCTGCTGCATCACCTCCAGAGGTGAGAACACCGATCTTACGTGGTACAGTTGATTTCTTGTGTGAGGGTGTGTCATTGGGTAGGGGCATTTCCAGCAGACTGGGAAGAGCTGGCTGGTCAGTGAACACAAGCACGTTGTTGAGAGGGTCAAGGGTGTACAGTTCATGGTCTTCCAGGGACTCCTGCCATTCTGCCTCTAGACCATTAAGCTGGACTTTTGTTTTCTGATAATTTTGTTTTTTTTTGAAGAAACAGAAAAATTATAATGAGTTTAGTGATATTTTTGCTCACGTGCATTGATAATATTGTGTGGAGTAGTAAAATGATTAGAAAAAGAAGGTAAACTTACTTGCAAGTCCTCTGACAAAAGAACCAGCTTACCTGCCAAAAGTGACCAGTCTTCTTCAGGCGATGGTTTGGAAACCAACTCAGTAGCGGAGAGAACGATTCGGAGAGTGAGGTCAGAGGCAGCAACGGCGTTTTCTGCAGAGAGTTTTAGCCAAGTATCACCTTGCTGTGTAGGTGGAAGTGTCTTGAAACCAAGGGCACTGTAGAATGTCACGGCTTTGGTGATGTCCTGCGTGGACTTTCCATAGAATACGGCGTGTGCAAGTCCCTGAATCATCTCGTTTGCTATTCTTTTATATAATGTGGTTTGTTCAAGGAATTAAAATGATATAAAGAAGAAGAAGAAGAAGAAGAAGAACAACAAAAAAGAAGAATAGGAATAGGAATAGGATTAGGATTAGGATTAAGAATAAACTAAACTAAAAAAAAAATTAAATAAAAAAAATCCCAACAATGAGGTGATCTATGATAAAAATAAAATTAAAAAAAAAAACTGGGTACCTCGGTCACAGTTGAATTTGTCTCAACAATCGATGTGACTTGTAAACGCTATACCTTTTATATAAATAATAATAATAGTAGTAGTAGTAGTAGTAGTGGTAGTAGTAATATATGAATAGAGAAGGTATGATGTGAGTGAGTGAATGAATAAGAGAGCTGTCCGTGTGTTTTGTGTGCAGTTAATTTTTTATTTTATTTATATATTTTTTAATACAACAAAATTAATCCCAATTTTTTTTTTTTTGGTTTTTTTTTGAATTAATTTTATACTGAAATATATATATATATATATATATATATATATATATATATCTTAAAGGTTAAAAGAAAAGAAAATACCTCTTGACTATTTTGCTATAATCAAAGCTTACAAGAAGAAGCACCAAGAATTCTCAAAAGACTCTTTACCATATGCTTGTACCTTACGCGCACAGTAATTATATATATATATATATATTATAATATAAATATATTTAAAGCGTTATTTTATACTAGATATTTACCAGCCGGCCAACCAAAAACAAATAATAAAATGAATGTGAATGTGAATGTGAATGTTTTAGCGGAGATGTGATTAACGAAAACCCTCAGTTTGGTTTCACAAGAAGTTCCTTGACTTCTTTCGTCAATGCGAAACTACCACCAAAAGATATATATATAAAGAAAACTTAATAATTTGGGATAAATCTCGTGTCATGATAAATTCATTCATTCGTTCTTTTTTTTTTATAGGCGTGTGGTTTATTGGTTTGGACAAAATAATAATCTTGGCTTTTGATCCCTACTGTTTTCCTTACTCTTTCATTTACTGCTATTAAAGGTGCTACAATAGAATAGATAGTTCCACATACATACACAGGTGTTTTCATTCACAAGCTGAATGTTATTTTATCATTTGCATCCTAGGCACTATAAACCTGAGCTCACTTGACAAGGTTTATTATACAATTTAATGTGTATTGCTGCTTTTGACAGCAAAATATTCCATAAAAGCCAGTTTATGCATGAGAAATATCAAAAGATTATTATTATTACTATTAGTAGTAGTATAGTTTTGGTTTATTTTTATTTTTTATGAAAAGTCTAGGGAAAAAAAAAGTGAATAAAGCCAAGACATTAATCTATCTTGTTTTTAGTAAGTCTGAAGATGTCTGTTTGCTTGGTGTATATTGTATAAAGTCAAGGTCTCTAAGCGGCTCCAAAATGACGTGACAAGAGTTCCTAGATAGCAAACAGGAACAAAAAAAATAATTAAATGTGTGTATGTATGTAGAGCAGTAAAGACTAAAATCAATAAAAGGAATGCCTGTACTTACATATGTCATAAAGATGATGGCATTGGATGGTGCACTACGCAACAAGGTAATACCACATCCTCGATAGAAACCTCGTACTCCGGCACCTTTATAGATATCCTGGCCGGTCTGTACAAATGTACGCTGCTTGAACGCTCTGCCAAGCAGCTCTTCGTCGGTCTGCATCTTGGACTTTATGACATCCACTGGGAAGAAGGACAGATTGTAGGCTATACCACCCAATGCACCGCCAAGCATTAGTTCAGGTGCTGAGAGGTTTTCCTTTGTGATCTTTGTGGCCGAGAGTCTCTGTCGGCGCTCGATGAAGAGTGAGCAAGTGTATTCGTAGGCACCAAACCAGAATGCTCCACCGCCTGCTTCACGGATCAGGGTGGCCAGATATCCTCGGTAGAATCCATTGAGACCGTGTTGGCGCAAGATGTGGCGCATGACATCAAAGGGGCCAGTGTATTTCTTTGTTTGGGTAGCCGTGGTGTCTTGGATCAGTTGAACCTGCAACTTGCACTTGACGAGTTCTACGGGTGTGAGTATAATTGAGGCTAGGGCGCCCGATGCTGTGCCTGCTAGAACAAGTTGAGATAGACTCAAATCAGCTCCTGGCTCGGTACCACTGTACTTTCGAATCATATTTTGGATCTGTCGATATCCTACAAACAGAGTCGCATTTTCCAACATTGCTCCAACTAGCGGTGATGACATTCCCTGATAAAATAGATAATTTTTATATTTATATTTATATTTATATTTTGATATATATATTTTTATATTTGTACACATACACCATAGAAAAGAAACAGAAAATATGCAATTTTATAATAATAATAATAATAATAATTATATATTCACCATAAAGAAGAAGAAATTCGATTAAGAAAATAATAATAAATGAAGATTGGTATTAAGAAATATCAATTCATTTCATCAATTCACTAATTTCCTTTGAATTGAATTGAATAGCATATCATATCCATAATACATAATACATAATGCATAATATTCATTCATTCACTCTTTATCCAGAAATTCATTATCCTTCTTTCTCTCTTGCTTTTTTTTAATTGGAATCAAAATTTATAATAGACTTTTTTTCTATTTCTAAGCTTAAGCATGTATATGTATACACTGTGCTGTGTAATATATACTTTTTCTAATTTTTTTTTACCTTGTAGAGTCCTCTGATACCTTCCTGCTTCAATGTGGCAGTCATACATTCGAGTGGACCAGAGAAAAGCGGTCGGTCTAATGGTTGTGTCTGTAGTCTGACCTTGACAGTATCAAAAGGATACTCTACAAACTTTCCAACCATTCCTGCCACCTAATAAATATATATATGTACACAAATACACAGTCCAAGTAAGTTTGTGCATCTCTAATACAAAAAAAAAACAAAAATTGATAGAGTTTTTATTGTTTGTTTTTTCTTTACCGAACCAAATAATAGATCGTCTACTTGGTGTCTCCAGCTTGTTTTCTCGACCGGAATGGGCTCTGGAATCATTGGTGTGTGTTCGGAATGCGACATTGTCAGGTAAATTGAAGAACCAAAACCGAGATAGAATGAAATGAAATAGAATGAAATAAAGTAATATATATATATATATATATATATATATAAAAAGTGAAGACCACACACTACACACTACACACTCAGAGAGAAAGAGAGAAAACAGAGAGCGGGGGAGAAGCTGGTTTTTTTTTGTATTTTTTTTTTTTTTTTTTTTGGGCTTTGCAGGGTTTATGGTCTTGTTTTAAGCGGCCAAATAAAATATATAGAGATCAAAGATGGATAAAATATAGTGCGACTTTTAATATCTTTATTGTTTTCCTTTCTTATTTTTAAATGTAAAATGTATACATATTTTTTTTTAGTTAATTTTCCTTTTCACTCTAATGCCAATTCTATTTCCAGCTCCATCTCTAGGTCCAGCTCAAAATTATCCTTATCTATTTCTTTATCACTTTGACCATCTTTTGATCACTCAAACATCTTTGAGCTTTAGATAAGATAATAAAACCAAGAAAAAAAAACCGCCATCAATGGATAACCATCGCAGTCACTCATTCACAGTCTCAAAGCAGTAACACATACCTTCCCAGAATTTTCACACACATACTGTATTTTTATGTATTAGAGAGCCCATTGTCGAGTGAAAAATATATGGAGTCAAATAATGGATCCCATTTTTTAATAATAATGATGGTCTTATAGTCAACTTTTATTTTATTTTATTCTTCTTTACCTTTACCTTTATCGACTGTTTATGTTCTTATTTGTTTCAATGTTCCAAAATAAATGCTACAAGCACACATATTGCCCTTAGAGACCATACAATTCTACGCTCCAGCTTTATGACCTTTTACTCAATACTGTATTTATATCCCTCAGGCTCCGCAATTACCTTTCAGTTTCCTAAAAAAAACAAGGGCAAAGAAAATTAAGTAAAGTTCATTTAATCTCTGCGTCTGTCTATATAATTTTATTCACTGTATATAAAAACAGTATTTTATAATATCATATAATTTATATACTCACATACATATATATATATATATTACTCTATTTTAATTATCATCTTTGTTCAATATTTTGTATATATATAATACATATATAAAAAGAATAATAAAATCATGAGAGATTTGGACCCTATTGCAGTAAGAGATCTCATTCTGATGAAAAGAAAAAAGAACATTTTGAGATGATAATCAAAGCTAATATCTCATTCAAATCATCATCCTTTTTGTTATATACATATATTCTTTCTCTTCTTTCTTTATATGAATATATTTATTTAAATATTAAAGTTTACTGTAGAGCTAGGCAAGTTCTATGAACTGTCAAAGGAATCAGGCACTGTCGCAGTAACGATGAAGCGAAGTAAATAAGAATTTATATTAAATCAAGACGTCTTGCGAATTGAACAAAAACAACAGCCACAAAAAAGAAAAACATCAAACAAGAAATCTCATCAATCGTGTTTCTTAGTGACACCTGAACGTCTTGCAATTACTCTCAAGGTAAAGAAGCAGTTGCCTAAAGGAGGTCAGGATGCCATGAAAAAAACCGATGATGCATCAACCTTGCGTTACCCCTGTTTGGTCAGAGCCACTTACAAGACAAAGAAGATCAGTACTACAGTAAGGATTTTGCTGTTACCATTATTGTTACTACTATCATTCTACACATACACGCTCGTATAGAGAAAGAGAGAGAGAAAATCCTAACAATAGACAGACAGACAAACACCATCAGGATATACTTAAAGGAATTGTACATACGTGTGTGTGTGTGTGAGGTGATTAAGAGGATAATACTAAATGATGTTGCTTTGTGTATGTATGTTTATTCTTAGGTTTCTGTGGATGAATTTGATCGATTTCAGTCAGCTTACAGCACTGTGATCCGTGCTTATATGGACACATTAAAGAAGAAGGAACGCGTAAAAAAGGCCAAAAAGGCCAAAACTAGTGCATAAAAGATTATTACTATTACTATTATTTTTCTTAAAAAAGGATTACATTAAATAAGATATATACATATATTTATATCGACATCAAGGGCAATAATGCAACGGTTACCAACGCATTACACGGTTTCGAAATATTACTCTCTCTCTCTCTCAACAAATCTACTATATACGTGTGTGCGTATATTTAAAAAAAGTACTTTAAAATTGTAACTGAAATAAAATTGAAACGAATTAAATTGAAATGAAAAAGTTCTAAATTAATTACCACACACTTTCTTGTATAAAATTATACTAAAAGCAATATATTACATACTACATACTACACACTGCACACTACACACTACACACAGCAAGCAATACTTGTGGGATGACGCCTTGAAAAAAAAAATCCAGAAATGGAAATCGTTCTAAACAGGTCACGGAGCGTGACGCACAATGCGTTAGACATCCGCTAAAACGACCGTCACATACAGTTTTGGACTTTTGCACACATACATACACACCCCTCGCTACCCCCTTCCCTCGAGTACAGAAGTTGTGTTATGTGTTCTTGAACCTTTTTTTTTGTTATATCTATTTATTTATATTATAATATACTATAATATACTATAATATACTATATTCTACTCTATCATATCATATCATATCATATCATTTTTTGTTATTGCTATTCTTATTATTACCACCACTACTATTACCACTGCCATTCCTACTGCAATTGCCACTCTCATTACCAATACTACTATTGTTACAATTTTTGATTGCGCTCGATAAATTCTAATGAACACACCCGGGGTTGATTCAATATTAGCACAAGATAACTCAAAAATGCTTAATCATGGCCCTGATGAAACAACCGTCACCAGAGATGCTTCTGCTCTTTCACAGGCCATAACGACCACTCTCTCAACAGACACATCCGCCAAGTCAGGACTTGTAGCAGAACGTAGCTTTAATAGTAAAAGTGGTAAGAAATAAGTAGCATGAGTTTTATATTATACTGTTTTATATTATATAATTCTCTCTTTTTCTTAAAAAAAATAAAATAAAAAGAATGTAGAATAAAACAAGTATAAAAATGTATATGTATAAACCATTCTTGCTCTCTCTCTCTTTATTTTTCTATATATGTATATAAAATATTTTATTAAACATTAATAAAGAAGATTCCTGTACGCCACACAAGATGCCTGGTGTACGCATGTCAGTATCCACAATCCTTAGTCAGGAACGAGAACGCTCTAAAGACGACAATAACGACAATGCCCATGATAACGATAATGACCACATTAACCACGACAATGACCCAACTACTCTTCCTGCTCAAGACCAAGTCACTCCTGCTGAAAGAGGACAAACCTTACCTCCGCCTCTGTCTCTGTCTCACTCATTCATCCAAGAAAAAGAAATACTCATTAAACACCGTTCGAGTCAGCTAACTGACTCCAAAACAGTCACTGACACTGAAACCGACACAGAAACAGACCCAGATCCTTCTTCACCCACTGTGTCTGCATCTGGATCACTTACAAATGAACAACTAGTATTAGCATTGACATCTGTTTCGACTGCAGAAACTAATGCTGCCGATGTTTCTGCTGCAACTGCCACTACCGCTACAACCGACTCTCCTTCTTCTGTACCGATCCTTACACCCGCCACAATCACAGCCACAGCCACAGCCACAGCCACAGCCACAGCCACAGCCACAGCCACACAGAACGCTACTACTGCAAACAAAAAAGCTACTACTTCTACTACTTCTCCTGCTATTGCTTCTGTTACTACTAGTAAAGCTGCCATCCCTTCAACCATTCCCACAAGTCGTTCCATTTTTAATACAAATATCTCCACCTCAACAATTACCAAAGACACGCGGGACAGTTTATCCACTAATAATAGTAACAATAATAATACTCACAATAATATTAATAACCATAACAATAATAATAATAATAATAATGTTATTTCTATTCCTGTCGCCAGTTCTGGTTCAAATACTGTTAATACCACCACCACCACAACAACAACAACCTTGACCTCGAACATTCCAACTAGTGTTCCAAATGGTTCTGATCCCATCCGTTCACAACAGCAACAGCAGCAACAGCAGCAACAGCAGCAACAGCAGCAACAGCATCAACATCAACATCAACACCAGCATCAGTACCAACAACATTCTCAACACCAGCACCAGCAGCAACGTCACCACCAGCAACAACAACAACACCAACGACAACAACACCAACACCAGCATCATCATCAAACTCACCACCACCAACAACAACAACAACAGCATCATCATCATACACACCAACAACAGCAACAACTTAGCCATCCCCATCCACAGCATCAACATCAGAACCACAACCAGCACAGTCATCCTCAACACAACAGCCACAGTCTTGGAAGCGATACTGAGCCTAGACGAGAGGAAAGAGTGTCACCCACAGAGATACTTGGAAATGCACTGGCAGCCGTTGCACGCTCCAACACGTCTTCTACGGCGTTTGGAAATCTGGCAGCCAATCTCAGCAATATTCTGTCTGCTAGTTCAAAGTTTGCGGCTGCGGTACAGCGTACCCAAGACGGACGGCGTAAGAGTACCGGCGTACACCCGACAAGCACAACCAATGCGTCTGGGCAAGCGTTTACAAACATGCTTGATCAGGCGTTTCTTTTGAGCCGGCCGCCTTCCACAAGCAACACACTTGCACAAGCGCCACAATCACCCCAATCAACACAATCGACACAACCACAATCAAAACCAAAATCACAAGTACAGTCTGAAGAATCTGATTCTGTCATTAGTGCCGGTAATACCGCAACCGTGCCCGTAACGACCCCCGCAGCGATATCCGCAACTACAGCCGCACTTAACAAAACTTCTGCTTCTAATGCTCATAGTGCTGCTTCATCTTCACCATCATCATCTGCTTCCTCTAACATTACTTCCACTGCCATCTCTGCTACTACTTCTGCTGTATTATTATCATCAACAACATCGTCATCGTCATCATCATCGTCATCATCTTTGGTATCGTCCTTATCACCATCTTTATTAAGCTCGCCCTTGCACACAAAGGGATTAACTCTAGTAAAACAACTGCCGCACCATCAATCACCGGTCGAAAAGAAGCCAGAATTGATTATAAAGAATGATCAAGTATGGCGAGCAATAGAAGGAGTTGAAGAAAAGTCCCTAGGTAAATTAATTAGATTTTTTTTAAAAAAAAAAAAAAAAATTAGTTTGTAATGGTTATTGGTATTATCATTATTGCTGTCTTTATTTTTTATATATATATTTATTTGTTTATTTACATCTATACAAAAAATATACATAATAATTTTAGGATTCTACTTGTACTCTCCTACATTGTTACTTCCCAATCTTGAAAAGTGGGTTAATGGTGTACTCCAGGTACGCGTGCCTGCCCATTATCTCAGCTACTCGAATCCAAAGGTACGCAAACGTGCAGTTTGGGGAACCGATATCTATACCGATGATTCGGATATTGTGGCGATTGCGATTCACTCTGGTAAATACAGACCTCGTTTTGGTCGGCCGGAAGCCGCCAATGCAAGCGCAGGTGCGGCACAAGGAAAGAAATTAGGCGGGAACTCGGATGTTGATGTGGATGTTGATGTGGATGTGGATGTGGATGTGGATGAAGAGGAAGAGGAAGAAGAGGAAGAGGATGAAGAAGACGATTTCATGCCCGACGACAATCCTTTTGCGCTGGCTGTGGCGGGCAAACACACAGAGGCCATACAGGCAATCAAGAGAAGAGAGCTTTGGATCAGACGGCGGGATATGGCAGCCGACCCGTCAATGTGTGTCGACCATGACCTCAAGGTGACCTTGAAGGTGCTTCCGAAACTGCGGTCCTATGCAAGTTCGATTCGCCACCGGATAAAGTCGCGTAGCTGGGGAGCCAATCACGACGGCATGAGTCTCTATGTCACAAAGGTCGAGAAGATCAAACGCGGCGAGGCAAGGCTTGGCGGACGCCGGTCTCTGAAGGCAGGTCTGTTTGCATACGAGCCGTACCGAAAACGGGCTCTTGGATTGGACAAAGTACCACCATTACTTGGTAAATGTAGGGCGGCCAGCACCACCACTACCACCACTACCATTACTACTACTGCTGCACCTGCTCCTGTTCCTGTTCCTGTTCCTGTTTCTGTATCTGTATCTGGTCCTGCAACTACTACAACTACTGTTTCAACTACCACTAATACTATTACTTCTACTCCTGGAACTGATACAACCAATACTCAAAAACTAAATCGAAAACAAGAAAAAGCAGTGGCAGAGGCAGAGGCAGAGGCAGATACAGAAGCAGAGACAGATGCAGAGACAGAAGAAGAGGAATCAGCCAAATATGGTTCTGAATCTAGACCCAAGAAGCGGATAAAGAAGTCTCATAAACCCAACAACAATATTGATTCTACTGCTGTAAAAACATCATGAAAACCAAAAAAAAAAAAATCAAATCAAATCAAATAAACACAAGCATGATTCTGTTTTCTGTTTTCTTCCTTTATTGTTCTTCCTTGTTCTATATATAATTATATGATGTATATGCATCTATACCTTTCTATCGTTATTATTTTATTTTATTTTAGAATTTGATGTTCTTATTTGCGTGTTCTCTTTGGTCAGATAGTTAGTTAGTATATCTACTATGTGTAGAGGAATGGTTTGATAATTGGATAGGGTATTTGATTATCCCACCCCCCCTCTTCTTCTTTACATTTTCCCATTTGTCGGTTTTATCTTTTGGTTTAGTTGGGAAATATGTTATATGTTTTTGGTGATATTTATTGTTATTGTTGTCACATATACTTATACATGGTAGGTATAGTGATGGTTGATACTAGTAAAAATGATATAAAGACTATCACAACTCATCAAACTGACGAGCAAGTTCGTCCAACTCTGCCTTGGAGGCGTTGTACTTTTCTAACAAGCTCTCATACTTTTCTTCCTTATCCTGGCTCTCGAGTTCCAGAGCAGTGACCTTGCGTTCGGCATTCTCTTCATAGGCCTTGGAATCATTATAGCTATATTGATAAGAATAATAGTAGAGAGATTAATATATATTTACATGTCAATTCTTGAAATTATATGGTTTTACTTACCTGGTGGTTACTTTTGCGAGATTCGCGGTGGCAACCTCGAGTTCATTTTCAAGGTTTTTGACGCGAATTTCCAAAGACTTGATCTCGTGATCCTTGGAAATGCCTTCGTTCTCGAGAGACTTGACTCTGTTTTCGAGTTCATCACCTCTGGCAGTGGCATTGTCAGCCTCGGTGCGAAGGCTAGAAAGTTTCTTTATTTATTTTTTTTAAAAAAAAAAAAAAAAAAAAAAAAAAAAAAGAGTGAATTTAGTTTATATGTTTGTTTTGAGGTATTAGATAGATATACAAATTGTCTTACTTCTCTAAATTTTTCCATATTGATGATATTTTATTATTAAATTTAAAGCTTAAGAAAGAGAGAGAAGAAAGGAAAGGAAAGGGCGGGTTGACAGGAGTACAAAATAAAAGAAAGGGGTAGATATTAAGGTAATTTGTGTGTGTGTATATGATAAACATAGTAATAGTATAATATGTTTCTCGTTCTATTTATATATTGATTTGATCTGATTGGATAAGCAAGATTGAGAGTAATTATTGCCCAATAAACCAAAAACGAATATAATTGGTTGCTGAGCTTATAATGTGTGTTTTTTCTATATTTTAATTTTTTTGATTTATTTATATACAATCTACATAATATATATATATATATATTGTACTATAAAAAAATAAAGAAGAGGCACTACTAAGAGAGAGAGAAAAAGAAGTAAAAGTAAAAGTAGAATAAAGTGGATGATTTATAAAACATGATAAGGATCATTATTACTTGATACTTTTCTTTCTCTTGTGTATCTTATACACACTTGACATTATACACACCTGAAATTAAGCACAAAACAATTATTCTTATTATTATTTTGCTACTATGAATTATAAAGATATACATATATCTGATGTGCTATGCTATGCCATGCGGTATGGTGCTGTGCTGTGTTGTGCTGTACCGTGTTGTATATGCATAAGATATTACAATAGGGAAAATATACAGCAAAAAAAGAAGGAAAATAAAATAAAATCCAAGTTTCTCTCTTTATGTTCGTGTATGCGAGTTTGCGTGTGTATGTAAATATATATATATACACGCGCGTGTTTGAGCGTAAATTTTCTTTTATATATGTGCGTTTCATTTTTCTGGAGCTGTTAATGTTTGTGTTGTAAATGATAGTAATAAAAATAACAATAAAATTTTATATATCTAATGTATGTATTGTATGTATTGTATGTATAAATGTATGCGCCTGTGCACGGACCTTGTTGCCTTGTTGCCTTGTTGCCTTGTTGCTTTGTTGCTTTGTTGCCTTGCTTTAGCGTTTTGCTGGTATTGCATTTTGTATGTATGTGTGTGTGTGTTTGTTTGTTGAAATGTTGGATGTTGAAATGTTAATGCCGCTTGGTACTACCGCTGCGGTTTTTTTTTATATATATATATATATCGATTTTTTGTGGTTGGGTGATACTAGATGTATTTATATTTATATTATATTTTTTATTTTTATTGGATTGGATAGTATTTATCTTATAATTTTATTGTGTATTGTATTTTATTTATATTATGCTGATTTTGATGCTGGTGATGATGTTTCTGGTGGTGGTGGTGGTGATAATGATGATAATAATGATGATAATGATGGTGATGGTGATGCTAGTTGTTGTTGGGTTTTTGATTGTGTATGTATATGTGCATGTGTATGTGTATGTGTTTGTGTTTGTGTTTGTGTTTGTGCCACTGTCGCTGTCGCTGTCGCTGTCGCTGCCATTTCCACTTCCACTGCCACTGCTTCTACATCTACGTTTAATTTTGATTTTGATTTTGATTTTGATTTTGATTTTGCTGCCTCTGCCTCTGCCTCTACTTTTTGTTGCGCTATTTGTTGCGATTGTACTTGTGCTGTAGTTTGGTTTGCTTCTTGTAGCTGTAGTTGTGCTTGGATTTGTGCTTGGATTTGTGGCGGTAGTGGTGCTGATGTAGGGCGCGGACTGGGGGAGGCAGGCCGACTGGATGCCAACCTTTTGCGCTTCTCTTTCTCTGCAATGACTCCTGGGGGTTCTTGGGTGACGACAACCAGATGGTCGTGGTATGTGGCTGTGGAGGAGGTCGGAGGAGCGACTAGGACGTGGTGGACATGGCGAGATCCTGGTTCGATTGGGGTGCAGACATCAATCTGCTGCGTCCATCTGTCGTCTCGCATAGCCTCAATGGTTGGTCTCTTGGCTGGGTCTAGATTGAGAACGGCTGCCAACAGGGCTCGCGAATCCCGAGGCAAGAGTTTGAGGAGCCGAAACTGCTGCTGGTTCTGGTTTGTTGCAAATGCCTTGAAGGACGGGTCCGACATTCGCGGATAGCGCCATGGGAATCTGCGGATCGTCATGCACACAAACACAATTCCACAGGACCAGATATCGCTCTGGCGCGGATCGTAGTGTGGCTGTGTGTACTGTTCTGGGGCAATGTAAGGATCGGAGCCAAAGATTCCCTTGGACATGGTGATGTGGTCCTCAAAGGGGTACTTGAACACACTCGAGCAGCCAAAGTCGATGATCTTTAGGATCCCAACATGGTCGAGGACCAGATTGTCCAGCTTGAGGTCGCGGTGGGCGATTCCTACGCTGTGCAGATAGCCAACACCGTCCAACAATTGGCGCCAGCAACAGGCAATCTCTTCGCGGGACATCATTCCGCTCATCACGACACTGAACAGATCGTTGGGAGCGTACTCCATAATCTCAAAGAAATTAGGACCTTCCTGGATGATGTCGAGGGTTTCGATTACGTTTGGATGGTGCAAAGTAGAGCCGATGCAGAACTCTGCAGTGACCTTTTTGATGTAGTCCTTTTCGCTTTCTTGGCTCAGTCGTTTACGAAACTGCTTGACTGCAAAAGTCTTTTGGTCTACGGAGCGTCTGATTAATCGGACCGACCCCCCTGCTCCCTTGCCAATATATCTACCTATTAAATATACAAAAGAAAGTGAGTATAGATATATTAAAATACAATATGTCTTTATCTTACCCCATGTTCCATATCTTCCTCCGATATCTTGCCTGAATTGATTGGCAAAGGTGTCTGATCTATGGTGTGATTGAGATTGTTGTGGTTTGTCTTCTTCTTCGGGTGCAAAGAATCGCCTGAGATCTGACCAGACGATAAAGCTATTGTCCTTGCGATCTTGGGATGGTTGGCGATGGAAATGTGTTTGGTGGTATTGGTTGTTGTACTCTGGTTTTTTGAAGATGAATTGGGATGGGGTGCAGCTGGCTGGACGGTGGATTAGAGAAGGACGAGAGACAGAGACAGATGTTGGTGTTGGTGTGAAGAAAGAAGAGGAGGAGGAAGATGTGGGAGGCGGGGTATGGATTGATGGTTTATTAGGTTTATTGGCTGTTGCAGAGGGAGGAGATGATTTTGTGGATGTGTTGGATGACAAGGATATAGAAGAGGAAGATGGAGATGGTGGTTTTGAGGACTGGAATAGTTGAGAGCGAGGTCTTGTTGATTTTGATGATAGGGTTGCGGGTGTCTTTGGTTTTGGGGCTGTTGTTGATGCTGCAGACTGCAAGAGGCGTGCGAGTTCAGATAGATCGACTGATGATGATGATAGGTTTGGATTTGGGTTTGGGCTTGTGTCTGTGTCTGTGGAAGCGGTGCTGGAAGAGGAATGACGATGGGAAGAGTGACTGGTGGCTGTTGTGTGTGTGACCACAGCTGGAGAGAGAGTGGGACTGGATGGCATGGACCGGTCTGGCGTTACAAAATCGTAGCGCTGATTGACAAGGTGCAGCATGTTTGTTGAGTGTTAAAAAAAAAAAGTAGGAATATTATTGTTATTAGATAGATGGTGAATATTTGATAAGGTGAAAAATATTATTAATATAAAAATAAATAAATAAGAAAGAAAGAAAGAAAGAAAGAAAGGAATTGAAATAGGGGGAGGATAGGCGGGTTAAAATACCAAAAAAAAAAAAAAAAAAAAAAAAAATAAGAGAGAGATTCAAAATGACAATAATTATGATGAAACGTTAATATTTTTATTTATTTTTTCTTTTTAACATTTCAACACACAGTACACAATCGATTTTAGAAATCATTCTATTGATTCATAATTATTTCTTACTCTTACTCTTTATTAAAATAAAATAAAATAAAATATATATAAAAATCAGTCTATTTCACACAACACATAAATAAATAAATAAATCAAAAATGATATTATAAAATCACCAGATTAATTCTACATCTCTAATAACCAAAAAAAAAAAAAAAAAAAAAAATTCTGAATATGAAATCAAGCCCTTCAATTGAAACAAATCTCTTGCCAACATACAACCCATTGACAACAGACAAATTCTATAGGCGAGGCTGTCTCTCTTAATAATATTCTGACCATAGCAACACATTTGTTCCATTTAACCGTCAATCCAAAAATTATCTCTCTTTCTTCTGGAAATATTGCTCGGATTTCTTAAAGCGAATAATAGACAAATGTAAGATTTCACGCACAAACCCTTTTACTTTTTTTTTTCTTTGTTATCTTTTATGTGTCTATATTACATGTAATACAAAAACCCAAAATAATAATAAAAAAAAGGAAGAAGAATGATTCTGTACAAAAAGTGTTTTTGTACAGCCACATATCATGAGTTGTCTAACAAAATAGAAAGGGACAATCATTAGTTCCAGAACAAGAAGAGATTTTTATATATATTCTTATGTGTCTTTGTGTCAATAATAAATAAATAAATAAATAAATAAATAAATAAATAATGACCAAGATCGGCAACGATACAAAACAAAATTATAAAATTATTATATTACATTTTAGGAGGTTTCAAATTTAATAAATAAAATATAAATTTTGTATATTTTAATTTTAATTTTAATTTTAATTTATACATATACGAAAGAGAGACAGAGAAAAAAAAAAGAAAAAAGTATACTATTACTATCAAATTGTTATCAATTGTTATTTGTTGCTATGGTTATAAATATCATTATAGTTATAGTTATGGTTATGGTTATGGTTGTGATCATTTATTCAATAGATTCCCCGGGCATGAAATGATATTTAGAGGCAATTTGTTAAACAATGGATTATATAAAAGAGACTGAACAAAATGAATTGGATGAATGAAACGCCATGTTCTCTCCTTTGGACAGCATCATTTTCTCACCACCAAACGTCATTTCTCACACTTGAATTCCTTCCTTCCTTCTTTATCTTCTGTGCGTGGGTGTATATTTATATTTATATTTATATTTACATTGACATAAATAATTGTGTGTTTTGGATCAAAGTGTTTTATCTATCTATCTATCTATCTATCTATCTATCTATCTATCTATCTATCTTTCTATCTATCTATATATACTTTATAAAGTTAATATCCGGCCATATTCCATATAACAAATCTGTACTGTCATGTCATGTACTGTCATGTCATGTCATAATTGATATATATGTATCTTGGATCAATTCGGTTATTTCCAAAAGAACAGGTGAAGCATTCAATCGTTGGAATAGTTCAATATATATATATATTATTCTATCTTTAAATGGCAACCCAAAAAAAAAAAGAGAGTCAATAGAAAAAAGGTGTAAAAGAGTATGACAATGATGATGTAATATTACCCATTAGTTACATGCATTTATACATACATTTACATATTTAATGAAAATAATATTAATATATATATATAAAAAAAAAAAGGATTATTTTTGTCTTTTCTCAAATTAATTTTATTATCAAGATTATTTTAGAATAAGAGATAAGTAACAATAAACACTAATCCAGCTACTGCCAAAACAACCTCTGGAGGATAACCATCTACAGAAGGCTGTCGCAATGCTGCCAAGTGTTGGTGAACAGCGTCAGATCTCTTGCCATCCTCCTTATCAACAACCTTGCTCTTGTTCATAACCAAACTTTCTACTTCCTTTTCCAATAGCTTGATCTGAGCACGAGCCGCGTTCAATTTAAGCTCCAATTCAGCAACTCCATTCTTTACTTCTACTTCTGCTTCTACTCCCACTTGGTCCTTGTCTTTCTTTTCATTCACAAACGATCCAGATCCAATTAATCCCCTATCCAACTCTGGCGCTGAAGTCAACAAAGTTGGTTGTGATTGTACTGTTGCTGCTGTCGGTTGTAATGATACTTCTCTTGGCTTGATATCATCAACCTGACCAGAATTACCGCCATTGCTTCCAATAAAAGAACCCCCATCTGGCTTCATTAGCTTTTCATCACTATCTCTAGCAATTTCTGGTCTAGAAAACGTAACCGCAGCAACTGGAGCAGATCCATTGCTAGATTCAGGTATATTTATTTTGGTTACCTATTAAGATTATTATTTTAATATATATATATATTTATGTTATTGGTTTGTATTCGATAAATATTTACCGGTTTAATCTCTCGTGCAGAATAAACTGGGGTTTCGGTAGCATTAGTTCCAATACTAGTGTCAATCGTGGCAGTAGTAGTATCAGCAGCAGCGGCAGCACTCAATGGAATTGTCTTATCTGACACGTGTTCAGAGGGAACTTGCTGAATTATTTCATTGTTTTCTGCAATATTAGACTCAGATGCTGCGGCTGGAACAACACCATCAGGCTTATTGTTAGTAGTTGTAGTTGTAATAGTAGTGGCATTGGTGGTAGTAGATGGTTCTGTTTTTGGTGCTGCTAAAACTGGTTTATCTCCTACTGACGATAGAGTTATTGGCGCTGAAGATGGTGGTGCAACTGATGATGGTGGTGCAACTTGTGCTGGTAATTGTTCTTGTGCTTGTGCTTGTGCTTGTGCTTGTGCTTGTGCTTGTGCTTGTTCTGGTACAACCAGTGCAGGTACAGGTACAGGTACAGGTGCTGGAGCTGGAGCCTGAGCTTGAGTCTGAGCTGGAACAACTGTTTCTGGCACTGAAGGAACTGGTACGGTAGGTGGCAGCGAAGACACAGGCGCTGGTGTAGGTGGTGGAACATACGCAGGTCCAGCTTCTTGTACAGTAGGAAGAGTGGTTGAAGGCAAGGTAGCATACACACACTTGATTTTAAATTGCTGGATACTGGCCTTGTCCTCAGCCTCTACAAGTCCCCACTACAAACCAATCAACAAATATATTAGATCGTTTGGTTGATGTTCATTAATTAATTCATTAGTAATTAAAATAAAATTATTTGTATATCGAAACTTTGGGCTACTCTACCATTTCGGATGTGGATAGATTCTCATAAACAGGCTTAATAACAGCTGTCTGGACAAGAAATTTATCCTTGCATTTGTAATCCAAAGGCAAATCTTCCTTGAAAGGCTGGAGAATGACTATAAGATGCAATAATAGTCATAAATCAGTCTTTTCTGCGCATATAAAGCATACCAACTTGAACAGTCTAATATTCTAACTGTCACTCGGTAATATTTCCCCATCTCACTCTCAAACTCTTTCTATATGTATGTATGTATGTATGTATATGCGTCGTTTTATAGACATTTACTTTGAACTTCAACTTGAGAGTTAGGTTCAATGCGTCCTGCATTAGGTCTGACACAGTATTGTTTTGGAGCAGTAGTCTTAACCTTGAATGAGACTGGTTCTGCACCAGGATTCTTTACATGGAGAACTTCATTTCTTGACTCGGTCAAGGGATCTATAGTTTTATATATGATTAGCTTATTCAATCCTTCGTATGTATCTATATGATTATCGGTAGATATCGTACGGTAGAATGTTAATTGTGAGACTGGCTCAATGACGACAGACATGATGATGATGTCTTTAGTAAGATGAGTAAAGAATAGGAGTTGCAAAAAAAAAATATAAAATTAAAAATAAAATAAAAATTAAAAGATGGAAAAATATGGTCTACAAACAAACAACTCTTTTTTTTTTATTTTTTTTTTAGATAAAAGAAGAAGCAACAAAAGGCGTATTGTGATTTGGTCCAGTGTAGTCTAATCTAGTGCTTAATATGTTCTAGTCTTGATATCCTTACTATACCCTACCTTAACTTGCCTTACATTTGACTTCCCCTTCCCTTCCTCCTCATACTCCTCCTTCCCTTTTCCTCCCTTTATTGGAAATTGATGTCGCATTTTATATATACATATATGTTGAAAATGTGATATTTTGTGCGCTGATAAATCAGAAGCCGTATCAGTACCCGAGAAGTTTGTCGCACACAATTTGGCATTTTGAATTGAATTGAATTGAATTGAATTGAATTGAATTGAATTGAATAAATTAATACTATGATATACATACATACAAATGTGAAAATAATAATTATAATAATAATAAAAATGTGACAATAATACCAATATTCAGATACCCTTGGTCCCTATTTTGTATATAATTGTTATTCGTTTCTCATATTGAATATAACCAGCTGTGCAGTACAGTATCAACAGTACCAGCATATTATCCTGTATTATATCCTATTGATTTCTGGCCAACTAAACAAAGACAAATATATTGTAATACTTATTCAAAACACATAAATACCCCTTCTCACCACCTCACTCTTGTATAATGTTTAGTCTTGACATAATGACATGATAAACTTTATATATCTCTTTACTTGAAATTCAAATTTTGAACCAAATTTGTAATACATAAACTATTTCGATTGAACATCTACATCATTCAAATGCTTTTTTATATTTATATTTTTACTTTTTTTTTTATGATCGATAAATTATTGGTTAAAACAGGTATATCACTAGATTATATAGCAATTCTATAATCTTTATCATTCAATTTAATTTAATCTATAGTATTTTGATTAAGTCCAATCAACATCCCTGTAATACTCTCTAGTATATCTTTAACATTTAGTCTTTTAAACCAACCAACCGACCAAACAAAATGATATATGATGAATTATGATTACTTTATTAAAATATACAATTGTCTTCTTTTTCTTCTTTAGTCATGGGGTGAAATAAGATCAATGTCGACATTACTAAACTCATTAACCTTTGTACCAGTTGGTTCAAACACCTTGGTTTTGCTTTCCGGAACATTATATCCCTCCCCAACCTTACGCATCGCACTACCAACCGACCCGACCGGAGCATACCAGCTTAGTCCAAAGAACCGACTGAAGCTAGGAACCAAATTGACCACAACCGCTTCAGCAAGTCTGCGTTCGGGTCTTGGCTCCTCGACGATCAATATTCCTGGGTGAAACAGACTCACTTTTTGGAATCCAGTCTGTTTTAAGCCTTCTTCTGTCTGTCCCTTTGATCTTGGGTACAAGAAAACAGAATCCTTATTTGAACCCTTTACACCAAAAAATAAAATAATAAAAATTAAATATATATATATATATATATAAGGTTTAGAAATGAATCCAATAAACTCTTACCCTAGACGAACAGTACAAAAAGTGTACTGGACTCAGCTTCTCATTATCTTTTGGTGGATTCTGTTCCGCAATAATCTTGGCTGAGTTAAGCACGTAGGTCTGGTCAATCTTTACAAAGTTCTCTGCAGTACCAGCCGCTGCTCGAGTAGTTCCAAGACAGCAATACACATCACTACACACACACACACACACATTTATTAATAAAATAATAACAATAGCACTACTACTAATACTACTTTACCTGGCGTTATTAAAGGCTTGTCGATATTTGTCGAGATTATCAAAGTCAACTGACTTTTGAACCTACATTAAAGTATTCAGTAATGGCAACCAAAAGACAAATATATATATATATATCTTATTCTTACAAGTTTCTCTTGAGGAACATTCGAGTCAAGTTCAACTGGTCTTCTTCCAATGGCAACAACCTTTTCGTAACTTCCATTTACCAACAGATCCCTTACGAGTGCCTTTCCAACCGCGCCTTGATTACCACAATGTGTAAGATGACTTTTTTTTTTTTCTTTCTTCGTGAACAGCAAGCTGTGTTGTTACTATTGCTTGATATTATTTACCAGTTCCACCGAGTACTATAGCTGTTTTTGATGCCATTGTGTTATTGTTTTCCATTTGAATTGATAAGCTATAAAAGAAAAGAAAGCTTTATATATAGTAGGTATTTGTAACTTGGTCTTGCGTGAATATGAGTGTGTATCTATTTTTTTTTTTGAAAGACAGTCAAAAACTATATATATAAATATAAATTAAATAAAAAAAAAGGGGGGAGGGAGTAAGCTTTTTGCCAATCATGTTATACAGATATGCAAAAAAGGTGAACAAGGAAGCGTAATCACTTTCTGGCCTCCGTCTAAAAAAGGAACTTATCGTAAGCAAAAAAATAAAAAAATAAAAAAAAAATACTCTTTATTTCACTTTTTTTTTTTTTTTTTTAATTTAAATTCATATACTTTCCATGAAAGCCTATTGGCGTATGCGTAAAAATAAACTGAATTGATTGGTTAATAAATTTGAGGTTTAAAAAGAACATAAAAAAAAAAGTGTAAGGGGAAGGTAAAAGATGTTGATTTTTGGTATCAAAAAATACGCACACTTTTTTACTTTTATGTAAATATTGAATAGAGTCTTATTTATCTTGATAACAAATATATATATATACACATAATATAGCTATATCTTCATAAGAAATCAAGTGATTTTCTACTGTTATTTATTATTATTATTATTTTAACTCGTATTTATATATTTATCCGTTTCGTAACCATCATTTGTATATAATAGGGTAATAGTTTAGTGGTAGTAGTGTGGACGTTACAAGCCTAAATCTCTACTTTGATTTTACTGCTCTGAATTTGGCTGTAATGCGATGAATATTTCGCTTTATTTCAAACACTCTTTTTCGATCTAGAATAATAATATTATCCATCTTGTTCTGTGTCGATCCAGGAATCAATCGATCAATCGATCGTTTTTAAAAAAATAATAATTAAATAAAGAGTCTTTAGATTTCTATCATTCATATGTCAATAAGCCTTTAAAGAATCACTAGATATATATATAATAGATAGTAGTAGTAAATTTATTAATAGTAAGTATATAGTGAAAATGGTATATTAAGTAGGTAGATCAAAGTTGTTTTTAAATATTAAAATAATAAAAATAGATAGAGTGTATGTAGATATATTTTAATATCGATTTGTAAAATAAAAGCAGAAATCAATCAAGAAGCTTTTGTCATTTTATAAACCAAATGGTATATTTATCTATCTATATTTACACATCTATATATATATTTAAGCGTGCAGTTTAATAGTGACTGAGTATCCAATGGAATCTCAAATGGGGCTGACCAGAGGCTCTTACAATTATTCTCATGGTTTTATTATTATCATTGTAATTCTCATAACACTAAGAAGAACCATTCATTCATTCATTCATTCATTCATTCATTCATTCATTCATCATTTAATTAATTAATTAGATATTGTATAGACTCAATATTTGAAATCGATGGACATTTTACTTACTCGTCTAACATTCTTAAGTATCACCAAGGTCCTTCTTTATTCTTCTATATCTGTATATCTGTTTGTATGCCATTGAAAGAAAGACAGAGAAAAGACAGTAATATATTTCTCATTTAAAGAAGTCAAAATTAATCAATCAAATTGAACGATTTTTTTTATTTTATTTACTATCTTAAGACAATGCTATATCTTTTGCTCTCTTACTTTATTCATTTTTGCACAAAAAAACCAGCCTTTTGTATATTATTGTCTTGTAATCAATAATTTGAGTTTTTTCTTTTTCTTTTTCTGGTTGTATCTAGCTAAATCAAATAAATATACCTACAAGTAGACAGAGCCAATGATCGTTACTCTCTTTCTCCAGATTTTACATTAAGAATCTTCAACGGTCAAAACCAAATGTGTATCTATATCTATACATCTATAATCATGTACAAGGCTTATGCTAAATGCCATAACATCATATTAGGAATATTATTTGTTTTTTTGAAAAAATTTCAATTCTACTGTCGAACCCCCTATCCTCTTCATGCATTTGTTCTCTACTTGATCATCTCGTACTTCAAACCTCCAATGGTTAAAACCAATTCAATCCAATTCGATCCAATGCAAACCAAAACCAAAACCAAACCAAACCAAACCAAACCAAACCAAAAAAAAAAGAAAACAATAAACGTGCTGTAAACTTCTTGTCACTCCATATATACATATGTATTGACAGTGATTTATTACCTACCACACACACACACACAAACACGCACTTCTGCTTTTTCATTCCAGCCAGCTTTGAAACCATTGAAGATGTCCTTTACACATCACATCATATAAATATACCCAACTTTATCACATTAATTTTTTTTTAATTCTACGTATTGACCATCTTCCTTTAGAATACATCATATAAAGTCAAAAAGAGAAAGAAGAAGGATAGAAAGAGACTTTACTACTATGAAAGCGAATACAGCAAACATCCTGCTTTGGATACTCTGTGGTCTCCGATGCACACAGCTGTCAGAGGCAGCTTACATAAAGAACCTTATTACCAACTCTTTGTTTGATCATTTGACAGACTCAGACTTTGGATTTCCAATGCCATCTGCTGGTAAACTAGAGCGTCGGCAGCAAGGAAGTGGTTTAACAAATATTGACATTGTAAGTTACTATAGTATACCAGAATAAACTCTTTTATTAAAGATATCTCGACTAAACAGTAAAAGAAATTAAAAAGAAACAATTAAATACTAATGTGCACATGCACATGCATATCCATGTATATTTATACATCCACGCACTTTTACACCAGTCTATACACACATATATCTACAACTTTATGTGCATCACATTTAACTGTTTTCTTTTTCTTTTTACCTTCACAAAACAACAATAATAGATTTCTCGCTTTGGTGCTATATTTTTCGGAAATGTCATTACACCCGGAGACTTTATTGTTGAATACCCGCTTGCAGTCCAAGGTGATATTAACGTAAAAAGTTTATCAGCCGGGCGGATTGCTCTCCATGCAGCTTGTACATCAAACCCAAATCTCACCTACCTTGAATATGGACTGGTGGTCGGCGGAAAATTCACCGCCACCCACCTGGGAGACGTTACTGGCCTAGCACTGATCGAAGATGGCGGAACCACAGACCAATTGACCCAATTTGCATGGGATTGCAGTATCGAAACCAACCAGGGCACGGGTGTTGTCCAATTCGACAATCTAAAAAATTCAGTTATTGATTTCCAGGCTAAGCTGGCCAGCCTACTACCAACTCTCCAAATCAATCCAGACGCAAGCTTGACTCCAGTCATTGTTACTCCACAAAGGTGTATGCCAGTCAGACAACACCATGTCCTAACTTTCAACAGTTGCGGGAGCATCAATTGCGGAGTTGCTGCCAGTGAATTGTCAGAAGGTTCATCCCTCTACACAGGCCTAACTCCCTGGAATGGTATCTCGAGTGGAAAATTCCCTGAAGATGGCAAGCCCATTGTTTTCAATGTAAGATACTTCAATAGAACATCAAACGTGCTTAGCTGTTTTGTTGATTGACTGTCTGGTCACGCGTAGATGTATGTGTGCCGTATATACTCTAGTTAATCTGACACTTTTAAGTATTAATTTCTATAATAGTTCCCTGTACTCGATGGCTCGACATTTTTGATCAATTCAACAGACCCTATCTTGGGTATTCCGGTTTGTCGTGTAATTTACAATTTTTATCCAGTGGATGCAAGTGGTAACTTTGTTCGCGATGGAAAGATCACTATTCAAAAAAGCTCAGAACATTACTTTGCCGGCATGTTGATTGCTCCACAAGGTTTGTATATATAGATATCCATACACAGAAATGTCTACTAATTACCATTTGTATTGGTCATAAAAAATGATTATCTATCACTTGATTTTGTGGTCTTTTTCTTTCCTTTTTTTCTTCAGCCGATGTGGTCGATACATCAAAGAGTATCTTTGTTGGAAGAATAATTGCTGCAAATCACACATGGGTTCCTGAAACTCCAAGTTTTGTATACAACTATGGCGTACTCTCTACTCTCGGCTGCCCTTACAATACAACCCATCTCAAAGACGTTATGATCATACCCGCAGACACATCTACTTGTGCACCCGAGATTCCCACTAGTACTGAAACAGTCTTGTCAGAGACAACATATTTCTCGACAAATTATGAAACATTCAATGCCACATTCACCACCACCACAACAGAGTTCCTGACCGAACTCAACGAAAGAACAGTAACCTTACCACTCATCCTAAAAGATACAGTGACTCAAGTTTCGACCCAGACAATCATGGAAATAGATGTATCATCTATGGTATCTACGGTCACAAATGTCCAGTTCGTTGACCGGTTTATTGAAAATCTAGCAGCCGAGCCCCCCTTGCTTCCAAACCCGGTCGTGAGCACCGTGTTCGAAACTGCAGCAGTAACTTCAACCGAACTTTACAACGTAACCCAACTAAACCTCTCGACTTCCTACCGCGATGTCACAGCCACAGAAACCTTTACGGTTATGATGCTAGGCACGGTTTACGAAAGCTTTACCACCACATTCACAAAGATGGTCGATTTCTTGAACCCAGCTCCAGAAGAGCCCCAGACTGTACACAGTACACTGGATGTTACTGTTGTCAACATGCTAACAGACACCAAAACAGAATTCAAAACCACAACCCAATATTCTTCGTACGTTGATCTTCGCATAGTCACAGAAACAAAGCAAGAAACAAGAACTGTTGAACGAAACGAAGGCCAGATCATCGCAACTCTAGTATCAACTGAGTTTGCTACCAGAACAACCGGCGCGGTCGTAGTAGAAAACTCAATAGTCATTCAAGACATCACAACCACAGAATTTGTTACCGTTACAGACATGTCAATGACAACCATCGGTGTCACCGAGACAGTGACAACAACCGAGTATGAGCCCATGATTGGAAATCTCGTGGTCGCCAAGTTACCTTTGGCTACTCCCGCAATTCAGGAACCTGATGCCTTCCCAGGCTTTCTGGCTCTCCCATTAGATCCCGTTACTATGACGGCCCGCTATCCTTTCATGATAACTCGTGAGCACACTGGACCTACCGTAACAGATCCTAGAGACATCTTCACAACCACAGTCCATGACATCTACACACATGTTCCTGTCCCCGTCGAAGCAGTACAGGCTCACAAGAGATTACCCAATGTTCCATCAATTATCGAAGCTGCAAACCAGGTTATTTCGTCTGCTAATCAAATGAAAGCTGGTGTAATTTTACCAGATGGTATATTTGAAGGCTCCATCAGCAATCTAGTCGACCTGCTATCTGAACACCTCAAGAACACATCATCTATAGAACACGGGGCCCTGTCCGATCCAGCCAGTGATCTGGTCACCTCTCTTGTAGATATGATGGCCCAGAACACCTTGTTGTCTGATGGAACCTTTACAGTTCCCGCCGGACACCTCATTGAGGCGCTAGAGGATTTGATGAACAAGAAAGAATTGACCTACAAGAGCGGGTTTACCGCTCCTGCCAAATACCTTGTCGGTGCATTGTCCGACTTGGCCACCAACCCCAACAACCTTGTTCCAAGTCAAGATCTTGAATCTTCTTCACGATACTTGATCAACAGCCTAATGGCGCTCACAAAAAAGAACGCCCTCAGCAATAACCAAGGGTACGAGACACCGCCTTCGAAGCTTGTTGAGGCGTTGAATGGGCTGTTGGACGACAACAAATTGATTGAAAATGGAGCTTTTACCTCTGCTTCTAAAAACTTGATCCATTCGCTGGCCTCCTTAAGATTTCAGAGACCATCTAATGGAGCGGAACTCATGGCTATGCCAACAGTGGCCGGTACTCTTGGGATCGAGACAAGGACGGCTACAGAGATAGTAGTAACAACACAAACCATTCCTTACACGCCTCCAGCAACATTGCTTATTGGTCAGGAAGGTGGCATTTGGAGATACAGAGTGTACAATGGCGGCGACCGTGAAAGCAACTGGAACATGGAAGACGTTGTTGATGTTATTAATGATAATGACGAACCTGTAAACGAAGATTTTGATGGTTTCCTTGATGGATCTGATAACGGATTTAACGGTGGACCCAACGATGACTATAATGATGGATTTGATAATGGCTCTAATGGTGGACCTAATCAGGCATTAATTGGCGAATCACACGGTGAATCGAACGATAGATTCAACAGTGGGCCTAATGGTAAACCAAACGATGGATCAAATGATAAGCCTATCGGTGGATCAAACAATGGATCCAATGGTGGGCCTAATTGTGAGCCCGATGGTGAACCTAATGATAAATACAATGGTGGACGAGATGATAAAAGATATCGAGGAAACAGTCGAAAAGATGATTGGGAAAATGAAGACAATGATGATGATAATAGCCAACAGCACAGCTGGATTCATAAAAAAATGCATGAAAAAGGTACTAAATTAGACACCGAGGATAACAGCGAATGGCATAAAAACCACAACGAAAAGGACGGAATGGTGTATCACAAGAAATTATACAAAAACAATTATTGAGCAGACGATGAGAAGAAAGATATCCATATACACACATATACACCCATACACACATACACACCCATACACACACAAACACACAAAGAAAACAAGTAATAGTTTAATGTATAACATGCAAACACGAATATGCGCACAACTCAAAAGTAATCACTATTATATATAATTATAGCTGTGCTGGTGTATATCGTGAACAGAAAGTTCATTTCTTTTTAACTAGAAATATTAGATATTTGAATATTTATACCCTTTATCCTTTTCATTATACCGAATCAAATAACTATATCAAAACTTGAAAGAAAATATTGTTTTATGATCTTGTACGTATCGATATCAAACTCTATGTAACGATATATATATATATATATGTTTGTACTTTGTTTTGTTGAGCTCATACATGTTTATTGGTATAGATACCAAGTAAAGAAAAATAAAGGTGGAGAGCATATTTTTTTCCAAAAAAAATGCAAAAAAAAAGAATGAGCATGGGAGAAAGTAAACTTTTACAATGTTTAAGATTATGAGATATCTATGTACAGAGAGAGAAAGAGAGAAAGATAAAGAAAGAACAAAACCAAAGCGTCTAAAAGGCATTTGTACCAAGCTCAGGAAGTCTTTCAATAACGTATTTTCGGCTGGAGATGTACATGATGGGAATACCAGGAACCTTACGGATACGACGCTTCAAATCACGATCACAGGTAGCTACAATATAGCATCTGTGTTGCATGATACGTTGAACCAGACAGTCATCAGCATAGGTACCCTTGTGCGAACATGGGAGTCGCTCGAAACGAGGATCACGAGCAATCCTATATTAAAAGGAAATTATTATTATTTTAAATATGTAAGTTTTCTACTCTCAATAGCCCGTCAACTGTTTTAAAGCCTTACTTTAATGCAATGCGGTACTTGGGGCCCAGCTTCTCCAATTCTGCCATAACACAATCGGTAATGCATGGAATGGCTAAAATATATAATAACAGGAAACTTAATAAAAGGAAACCCAAAATATTCCTTGCAGTGCTCCCCATTCTATACATTTAAGTCCCTACTTACACTTTGCATAGAGACAATCCATCATTGACTTTACCAACTCCAGTTTGTTTTGAATAGAAAAGTTGATAAAGTTAGTATCGACCAATACATGGTAAGGGGGGCCGAGGGCTGCGTTGTATTGAAAAAACATAGAAGAGGCAACCTGGGGTCTATATGTAAAGCAGTATAGTTTTAGCCACCAGTACACATACACACACACACACACGTCTATACTAAGATCGTCTTGCTCATGAGTATGATCTATAAAACTTACAATTGGCGAACAACAGCCTTTTCCTTTTCTTCTTCCTTCTTCTTCAGCTTTTCCTTGTTTTCCTTCCTGTGCAAGATAAAAATATATAAATACATATAGGAGACAATTCAATAAAGATTAAATCAATTTAAAAAACAAAAAAAAAACAAATAAAAAGAAACAAGAAAGCCTTACAGTCTGGAATCTTTAGTGCTGATGATGCGCTTAACTTCGGCGAACTTTCTTGTCTTTTTTGCTTTACCCTGTATAGTTAATTTTATTTAGTATTAAGACATTTGATCTTGATAATGAGACAATTAGCATACCATAATGTGAAGTTTGAGAAAGAAGAGTAAGATAAAATGTCTCGGTAGGCCCAAAAAAGGGTCGGCCAACTAGCAAAAAAAATGTGACTGTCGCATTGTAATTTAGTGACTGGGTTTTATTTTTTTTAAAAAAAAAAGAGGATCAGGAACAGAAGGTCCAAACCTAATCTGAACCCCAAACTTACGCATCGAGATTGCTTGTCAATTGAATTAATCATACACATTGGAATTTACACAATCTCTACTTGTAGATTTACAACCAGTAACAAAATGTACAAACTAACCGATATAGAATATCCTTTAATCCAACCTACAACTCTAAAATTAGTTTTGGAATTATAATTTGTTTACTAAATTCAAGTAAAAGTTGGATTGGCAATAAGTTCTCACAATGTTCAGTGATATTTTTTTTTGAATGAAACTCTTGTTGAACTAAAAGAATTCTCTATATTTTTTTTTAATATATAAACAATTTTGCTAAAGGATGGGACCATTTACTTTTAAATAAATTTACTGATTAGAGCATTTCTTCTTTTACTTCTTTTACTTTACTCTTAAAAAATTAAAGTCACTGGCCATATTATTTGCATTATATTTCAATAAATTAGCTTTTAAGTTTGATCAAGTCATTTATTAGTGTTTGACTGACGCACCTTTCCTTGGCTGTTGCTTCTATGCCTATGATTCTTCAAATAATTAACCAAAAAGTCGCAACTTTCTTGTAATGATGTACCCTATTGGCTTAAATGTGTGCGGTGTCTACAAGATTGTATTATATCAAATATATATATATAAATATTTGACTGAATCAATTTTATTATTTTTATTTTTATTTTTTTTTATTTTTAATTTTATTATTATTTTTGACAGTTTTTATCATATATACATATATTATTTAATTCTTGGTGAATTTTTCTACGCCATAAAAAATAACTTTTATCAAAACCACCAACTCTTACCGTGACTTCTCTTATCCGCCCCGTCTTTAAAAAGAGTGTTACTCTGCCTGTCATGAAGAGTGCCCTGACCTTTGAAACCTATGCTAGATGCTCGACAACCAAAGGTCGAGCTTCGATTCTCACTCTTCCTCATGGTCCAGTCAATACTCCAGTATTCATGCCCGTAGGAACTCAGGGAACTCTTAAAGGAATGACACCTCAGCAGGTCAAGGACATGAACTGTCAGATCATGCTCAACAATACTTATCATCTTGTAAGACGACTCTATGATTACCATTACAACAGCTTCTTACATTCAATTGTTATCTTTCAAGGGATTAAAACCAGGACAGGAGATCTTGGACGAAGCTGGTGGATCACATGCATTCCAAAAGTGGAATGGCAACCTCCTGACCGTAATTATTATTTTGTGTTTTTTCTATACAGGATAAATTGACTTATCACTATGTTTTTCTTATATTTTATATTAGGATAGCGGAGGATTCCAAATGGTGTCTCTTTTGAAACTTGCAGAGATTACCGAGGTATATATATAATATATTTAATAATTAGATGTCTAATATATAACATCAATGTACACAGGAAGGTGTTCAATTCGCTTCTCCCCACGACGGTTCATTAATGATGCTTACACCCGAGCATTCCATGTCGCTCCAGAACTCTATTGGAGCTGATATAATGATGCAGCTTGACGATGTCATTTCATCCCTTACTACTGGTCCTCGTGTAGAGGAAGCCATGTGGAGATCTGTCCGCTGGCTCGATCGTTGCATTGCATCTCACAAACGTCAGGATGATCAGAACTTGTTTGCTATCATCCAAGGTGGTCTGGACCCCGAATTGCGAAAGAAGTGTGTAGATGAAATGGTAAAACGCAACACACCTGGCTATGCTGTAGGTGGTCTGAGCGGTGGTGAAGAAAAAGATCAATTCTGGCGCATGTAAGTTCTACAAATTTTGTCTGGGATCTCATTTCAAGCAAATACAAGTTCCTAAATTTTATATGCACATTGGCTAGTGTTTCTTTATGTACAGATCTGCTTCCTAAAAATAAACCTATTTACTGTATGGGTGTTGGGTAAGAATACACAATTACATCAAACATAATGGGAACAACAACAAAAAGAAGAGGGGTACTGAACTATATATAACATTTTATAGATATGCCGAGGATCTTGTGGTCTGTACAGCATTAGGTGTGGATATGTTCGATTGTGTATTTCCTACAAGAACTGCTGTAAGTTTGGTACAAAAGGAGGTATATATATATTTCAAAAATAAATACTTAAAAGTGCTTTGTGTGAATGTTTAGCGATTCGGAAATGCTCTGACCATGAAAGGAACTGTTGCTCTCAAATCTGGAAAACACAGTTCCAACTTTGGACCCATTGAAGAAGGTTGTGATTGCTCAACATGCAAAAACTACACAAGATCATACATTCAATTGTTAGTCACAACAAAAGATACCGTTGGTTGCCACTTGGTTTCTATTCACAATGTAGCTTTCCAGTTACGCTTAATGCGAGAGATGCAAGAGGCTATCAAGCGAGATGAATTCCCAGCATGGATAAAACAATTCTTTGCCGGTTACTTTGGAGACCAAAGCAAGTATCCTGTCTGGGCTGTAAATGCACTCCAGAGTGTCGGTGTAGATTTGACAGCATGAAACATAAAACATAATTGAAATGCTTAGTCCAAAAAAGGCATGCAAATAAAATACACTACGGCTCAAACCATCAACAACTGGATACTTGTTTGAAAAAAAAACCCCGTCTAAAAATACGTTAATGTGAACCGGTGATTTAAATGTAACAAATAGAAAGAAAGAAAGATATAGAGATATCAAAGCATTCATTATTATCAGCAGGTAAAATAATAGGGACCTTGGTGAGACGATAAGAGACATTTAGGCGTCGAGTTACCAAATATGGATTTCTATCAAACATTTTTTGTCGGAATATCATGTCTCAAACATAGTATACATTTGGTAATCATTGCCTGTCGGAAAAGGAGTAGTACTAAGCTCACGAATGCTGCTTCATATAATCAAGCTAATGAGAGATTCGTTAACTTTTATTAAATAATAGTCATTTTTTTCTCGGTATTATGTTAGAACAAAAATATTAATACTAACTTTATTAAAAAAATAATGAAAAAAATAAGTAGAGAAAAGTATACTGAAGGGATGGTTATATTCTTACATGCATACGTTAAAATTACAACTATTAATATTTTCAAGCTTAATGTATTCGTGCGTTTAGCAACAAAGAATTAATACAACATGATTGGTCTATTATGTTTTACAATGTTTGAAAAATTTCTTTCAAGTTTGACAAACTTTTGAGAAAATTTATCAAACATTCGTGTTTTTCACACCCAGATTTCCTTATACGGATAATTTAAACTCCTCGAAATGTTTTACAAGGTTTCACCAAGGTCTCTAATTTATAATGAACAAGAATCCTTCAAGACCTTTTAGTCTCTTTCAGAATATTAAATAGTTGGTATGACAGACAAGAGCAATCATAGTAAGAGATATATTAGAGAGCGTTATAGAATGTTTTAAACTTAGTCTTCCAAAAAAGAAATACTATACAAATAGGGTACCCAATCATAAAGAAAAATCATTGGGCAATGAAATATGTTTAAAACGTATTAAAGTTTTGATTGAGTACTTCTAAAGAGCGGTTTACATTTGTCTTTGAAAATTGCGATCTTGTAAAAGAAAGTTTCAGTTTTGGTTCACCTAAAAATTACCATTTTTAAAAAAAATTGGTTAAAATCTGCCCTGAATCACAAAAAAAATGAAAAAAAAAATGGCAAATCAAATATCAGGGCCATTTATGTGACGGTCTAAGTTTTAGTGGCTTGATTGAGTCCATAAAAAGAAGGTGAGTAAAAAAAAAGTCAAGATCGATTAACTACCTTCGACTACATCATGGGCAAGCGCAACAGAGAGGCATTGTTGCCAACTCATCTTCCTCAACTTCAAAACTTGATCAAGCGTGATCCCAAGTCCTATGAAGCCGAGTTTCTCCAACAGTACCGACATTTCCAGTCCTCTCTGGCCATCTTTTGCCTTAAGCCAGATGAGGAAGCAAAGGAACTCTCAGATCTCGTCATGTTCATGAGCCACGTTCTCCAATGCTACCCTAAAGAAACTGCCGGTTTTCCTGAGCAGATTGTTGATATCCTCAAGGAGCACTGCATGGTGCTCCATCCCGAAGTCCGCAAGACACTTGTCCAGGCTTTGATTCTCATGCGTCACAGAGGTGTTATCGATAACACTCGTCTGCTCCCCCTCTTTTTCACTCTCTTCAAATGCAAGGATAAACACTTGCGTGAACAACTCTACACCCACATTGTCACAGATATCAAGACCTCGAATGCAAAGGCGAAAAACAATAAACTCAACAAAACCCTCCAGTCATATATGTTCACCATGCTTGAATCAGCAAAGACAGGAAACAGCGAAGAGAACGCAATTGCAGCAAAGAAGAGTATAGATATTTGCATTGATTTGTACAACAAAAACGTTTGGAACGATGCAAAGACTGTCAATGTTATTGCTGAGGCCTGTTTCTCGCCCGTACCAAAGATCGCAGTTACTGCAATCAAATTCTTTTTGACTTCAGATGAGCATGAAGAAGAAGAGAGCGACGACGAAGAGGTAAGAAAAAAAAAACAAAAAATAGGGCAGATGTAAAGTCCTATTTTGTGTAGTACACCAAGACTAAACTTTGATTTTTCTTTTTTAACCCTTTAACTTAGATGCCTGATCTTAGAAAAATGCAACAAGCCAACGTAGTCAGTAAAAAAACTAAGTCCAAGGCCCGTAAAATGGATGCTGCCAAGAAGAAGATCAAGCGTAAGAGTAAGGCAAAAGAAAAGTCTGAGGTCTTCAACTTTTCTGCTCTTCACTTGTTGAACGATGCTCAAGGTAAGCTTTTATAAATACTATTATTATAACGGCTAGAGAAAACAAAGAAAAAGAAGAATAAGACAGAAGCTAAGGGAAATTGCAGGTTTTGCGGAGAAGTTGCATTCAAAGCTGGCTTCAAAGGAGGATCGATGGGAAATCCGTGTGATGAAGATGAACCTTGTATCTCGTGTTATTGGTCTTCACCAGCTTATTATTCTCGGTTTCTATCCCATGTTGATCAAATACCTCCAGCCTTCCCAGAAGGATGTCACTATGGTCCTTGTCAGTGCTGCACAGGCAAGTCATCCTCTTGTCCCTCCGGATGTTCTCGAGACCGTATTGAAAGCCATCGCCAACAACTTTGTTACTGACAGAGTAGCAAATGAAGTTATGGCTGTTGGGTAAGTTGTTATTTAAGGGCTCCAGAATTTTTTAAAAAAAAGATGAAAAAAGGAACAAGTGCAAGTGCAAGTGCAAGGCCAAGTATTTATATATGTATCTATTGTAGTCTCAACGGTATTCGTGAAATCTGTGCTCGTCAGCCTTTGGCTATCGATGTCACTCTTCTCCAGGATTTGACGCAGTATAAGAACCATCGTGACAAGAGTGTGATGATGGCAGCACGCTCCCTGATTGCTCTCTTCAGAGAAATCAACCCCGAGATGCTCATGCGTAAGGACCGTGGCAAGACTGCTACTGTCCGTATGAAGGATGGAAGCATCAAGACTGTTCAGTATGGTTCTGCTAGTTCACTTGGTGTCGAAGGTTTCCAGGGTATTGAGTTACTCGAGGAGGCAGATATTGCAGAAGATGAGAATGCTGGATGGGAAGGATGGGAAGAAGAAGAAGAAAGTGACAGTGACGAAGATGGTTGGATCAATGTTGGCGATGGCGATGAACCAGTTACTATCGCTATGAGTGACGATGAAGACGAGAAGCCAGCCACCACAAAGACCGAGGGCGATCAGCCAAAGACACGCCGTATTGGTAGAAGAGCACTCCGGAAACTGGAAGATGCAGAAGAGCGCGAGGTTCTTACTGAGGAACAGTTAAAGAAGATGCAGGAGGACGCAGCAGCAAGGCGTGCAGAGGAGAAGAAAAAGGAAGATGCAGCGATGAGATTGGCAAGCACACGTATTCTGACACCCGCAGATTTTGCCAAATTGAACGAACTCAAGGTTGCAAATGAAGCTGAGATCATCGTCAAGGGCAAGAAGAGACCAGCTGAAGAGAGGTTAGTAGACAAATATTTGATTGATGATGGGGTATGAGTTCTGTTTTAGTGTATTGACTGACGGTTGAATTTCTGTATTACTAGTGTACAAGGTGCAGGTCAGGTAGACGAATTTGCTATTCTCGGACCTCGTAAGAAGGCCAAGCAAGATTATGAAGAGAGAATGGCTTCTATTCAGGAGGGCCGCGAGGGCCGCGAGAAATTCGGATCAAAGAAGGGTAACAAGGACAGAGGCAGCACAACCAACCGTGAGAAGTCACGAAACAAGAACTATGTGATGATTGCACACAAACGCGACGTCGTAATGAAGGCAAAGCGAAGTATGAAGGACAAGCAGGTCGCACATCGGGCGGCTATAGAGAAGCAGAAGAAATCCAAGCATTAAATAACAAATATTCCTCAATTTTCACCTTCCAAAATAAATTCCATATATATATATATATTTATCTGCATCATAATCATAATCATAATCATAATTTCCCCTGGTCTCTTTATTAAGCTCTAGTCGGAGAACGACTGTGAATGCATGATTAGTGTCTAAAAAGTCAAGGGAAATCATAAACGTGAATCGGGCACCTTCTCCGATTGATTATAATTTTTGGTTTTTTTTTTGGTTTTTTTTTTTTTTTTTTAACCATAAAACCCCCCCTAGCCTCGGTTATTCGCGTCTTTTTTTTTTCTTTTTTCTTTTCAACGTTCTTCCCTAATCTTGGACATTCTAAACACTAGCACTAGCTCTTATGAGAGAAATCATCAGTCTTCACGTCGGCCAGGTAAAGAAATACCAATTGCTACCCAAACCAACGTCTAACCCTCAGATGATATCATAGGCAGGCATTCAAATCGGTAACGCCTGCTGGGAATTGGTAAGTAGAATGTCAAAGAAGTATAGACAATTCATCACATCTGTTTTTTTTTCAGTACTGCATGGAGCACGGTATCAACCCAGACGGTCGCATCACAGACGAAAGCCAACTGTACAACAACTCCTTTGGGACATTCTTCAGCGAAACCAGCGGAGGAAAACATGTTCCACGTACCGTGTTTGTTGATCTAGAGCCCACTGTGGTCGACGAAGTTCGCACCGGAACCTATCGTCAGCTCTTCCACCCTGGTAAGCCTGTGCTTTTTGCTGAGATTGGAATCAACCAAGAAGGTTCTGACATGTGCTACGTATAGAACAACTCATCACCGGCAAGGAGGATGCCGCAAACAACTATGCTCGTGGTCACTACACCGTCGGTAAAGAGCTTGTTGACACCGTTTTGGATCGTATCCGCAAGCTGGCAGACAACTGCTCTGGTCTGCAGGGTTTTCTGGTCTTTCATTCTTTTGGTGGTGGAACTGGGTCTGGCTTTGGTGCACTGTTGATGGAACGTCTGTCAGTTGACTATGGAAAGAAATCCAAGCTTGAGTTTTCCGTCTATCCTGCCCCTCAGGTGTCAACAGCTGTTGTCGAACCTTACAACTCCATTCTAACCACACACACCACCCTGGAACATGCAGACTGTTCCTTTATGGTCGACAATGAGGCCATTTACGACATCTGTCGTCGCAACCTTGACATTGAGCGTCCCACTTATCAGAATCTTAACCGCCTTATTGCCCAGGTTGTGTCGTCCATCACAGCCTCTTTGCGCTTTGATGGTTCTCTCAACGTAGACTTGACCGAATTCCAGACCAACTTGGTCCCTTACCCCCGTATCCACTTCCCTTTGGTTACATATGCTCCTATTATATCGGCTGCCAAGGCCTACCACGAACAGCTGTCTGTGTCCGAGATCACCTATTCGTGCTTTGAGCCAAATAACCAGATGGTCAAGTGTGACCCCCGTAATGGCAAGTACATGGCCTGTTGTTTACTTTATCGTGGTGACATTGTTCCCAAAGACACAAATGCAGCCATTGCATCGATTAAAACCAAGCGCACCATCCAGTTTGTCGAGTGGTGCCCTACTGGTTTCAAGGTTGGCATCAACAACCAGAAGCCGACTGCAGTTACTGGCGGTGATCTGGCAGAGGTTCAGCGTGCAGTCTGCATGCTCGGAAACACTACCGCAATTGCGGAGGCATGGGCCCGTCTTGACCACAAGTTTGATCTCATGTACGCTAAGCGTGCATTTGTGCACTGGTACGTCGGTGAGGGCATGGAAGAAGGCGAGTTTTCGGAAGCACGCGAAGACTTGGCTGCCCTTGAAAAGGATTACGAAGAGGTTGGCATGGACACCCTTGGAGAGTCGGAGGTCGAAGAGGAACATGAATATTAAATCCATACACATTCGCATACATAATCTTTGGATATTTTTATTCTACTTTAGCTTAAAGCGTAAAGTGTAGAGTGTAAAGCATAAAACATAAAGCGTAAAGAATAAAGCGTAAAGAATAAACAAACGAATCATAATAAATCAAAAAATAAATAAATCAATAAAGGAAATCTCAGTAAAAAGTTTTAGTTTGTCTTCAAAGTAGTTTTTTTTTTCTTTTTTTTTTCTTAGAAGAAGTTCCCAAAGCCAGTATACAATGTGAGGCTGGGGAGGTTTTTATATATGACTATACTAGCACTGTAAATGCACACATAATTTTTCTGTGAAATGGAGACACAGACGACAGCCAAAAGAAACCAATACCCGCCCAATGTTCTTTTTTTAGCCAAAAAATCATTTTTGCTTATACACATTCTATAGTTTGTTACACCGCGAATCATTCGCAAAACCCCTAAAGTGTAATAAACAACATCAGAAAGTCCCTTGTCCTTCTTTACTCCTCCCCCTTCTTTTATTTTTTATTTTATTTTGTTATTCTTACAAGGTAAACTACAAGTCGTCACTTGGCTACCCCTTCAAACGGTCATATCTAACCCCCTCCTCCCCCTTTATTTTGATTTCGGTATCTCCTTAACACAAAGATGTCTGTTCCTGGTAAATATATACATATGCAGTTCATAATTCATAGTGCACAGCGCACAGTGCACCATTTTGTTTTTGTCTTTCAAGGCTGATTTACTTATGTATCTATATATCAATCAATAGTTGCTTATAACGATATCGGCAAATCCGCCAAGGACCTTCTCTCCAAGGATTATCCAGTTGGAGGTGTAAAGCTTGAAGTCAAGACAACTGCTATCAATGGTGTGGTATGTCGGGATATTTATGTACCAAACATGTAAAAATTTATTCTCTACTATCTACTCAGGTCTTCAAGGTCAATGGTCAGAGAGATAACAAGTCCGGCCACATCGTCGGTGACATCGAGACCAAGTATGCCAACAAGCCCAACGGTCTCACTTTTACCGAAGCCTGGACTTCATCGAACCATCTCAACGGAAAGATCGAACTCGACAATAATATTGCCAGTAAAGTATATGTATTAATACAAATAAATATTACTGGGTAATAAATACTTAAGTGAGTTTTATGATGGTTTGATTTATTTAGAGGGACTCAAGCTTGAGCTTTCTACTTCCCTCCTGCCTTCCATCAAGGAAAAAGCTGCAAAAGTGAATGCTATTTACAAGCAGCCTAATGTACACACTGTCGCCTCTCTTGATGTATTCAAGGTAAATTTACAATAGCAATATATATTTATTGGTACAACAAATCTTCTCGTGCTTAAGTTCTCTACTTGTCAATAGTCCCACTTTAGCGTAAACTCCGTTGTTGGTCAAAAGGGTTTCTTGGTTGGTGGTGAGGTCGCCTACAATGTACTTGAGGGAAAGGTAAAAAAAATTCCAAAATAAAAGGTGGAATAGCTGGTTTTTATGTTATATCAGAGTACGTGGTGTACTGACTCGGGCAATTTTGTTTTAAAAATATAATAAAATAATAAGATCAACCGTTACAGTGCAGCCATTGGCTACAGTACCAAGGTTTATTCCGTTTCTGTTCAAGCTACCAACAACTTGACCCACTATGCTGCTTCTTACTACCACCGTGTCAACAGTGACATTGAGGCCTCTGGTAAGGCCACCTGGGATTCTCATAGCAACAAGCCTGTGGCTCTTGAAGTCGGCGCCAAGCTCTTATTGGACAAGACGACATTTGTCAAAGGAAAGATCAACAATGCCGGTGTCCTTAGTGTTGCGTAAGTTTATAAACAGATTAATGGATGGGACGATTAAATTACAAGAAAGAAAAAAGACATATTTTTATGCTATTTTTCGTTCTATCTTCATTTTAATTATTTCTTTATTGATCAATTCATTTTTGGTGGGGATTTACGGACACAATGTGCCTAACTTAATTATTCAATATCAACACAGCTACACTCAAGCCCTCCGCCCTGGTATTAAGGTTAACATGGGTGCTGCCATCGACACTGGTCGCTTCAACGAAAATGTTCACAAAATTGGTGTTTCTTTCACTTTAGAGAACTAAAACTTATAAAACAAATGCGTGTCTAGAAGTGCATTTTTATAGATTCGATATATTCACAATATACATTGATTAATAAAAGAAATATATTTTATTTTGCTCTTTTTATTATCCTTTCCTACAAGGCGAGAAAGAGGTGGTCAAAGTGTGTTAAGTGGAACAAATTTATCTGTTTATTTATCTAAACATACACGAACAAAGATATATGAAAGATTGAGATTGGGGCATATACCGTATTATCAACTCGCGAGTTGAAATTACTGGTTTGCCCATAGTTTGATTTACTTTTAAAAAAATTATTCTTTTTCTTTCAAAAACTTATTTATTATGTCGCCCTTGTCTACTAATAGCGCTACTTTTAAGAGACGCTTTTTTAACAAGCTTGATAAAGAAGAACCAGAGCGTTTACTCGACCAAAAAGAAGGTAAGATTTCCAGTGAAATTCAGGTACAAACAAAACATACAATAGATTTTATGCAAAAAAAATTCACGCCAATATTAACGATATATATTTATAGTCTACTAATATGGCTGCAACCTCTGAAGGGGCACCCTAGAAAGCTTGTAGGGGTCGACCAGCCAAAATAATTATGCTGATTGAAAATTCAACAGCTGAATCGTCCAGATCCACAGATTTGTCTACTTTCGTTGGCTCAAATGCCTTCGTTGCTTCTCAGAATAGCTCATCAAACAATGTGTCCAAGTTTGAGCTTGCACTTAAGGCTCTTTCAATGAAAGTACATACTAGCACTGCAGAAATTTACATAATGCCTTTAGAGATTTCGAAGGTATGTCTCAATGCAAAATAATGATAATATATACTGTATTGACTGTATCCACTTTTTAATCTTGCTTAAATTGAAGGACTTTTGTGAAAAAAAAACAGACATCAATATGCTATTGATTCTCAGTACCCATACACTATTGGGCCCACTGAATCTGTTTTCAAGCAAACCTATATGAAAAGTGTTTCGGTAGAGACTGATGATAGAACAGATATTGGTTTAAGAGCAGAAGATAACGAAGAAAGCTCATTAACTTTGTTCCAAGTTAATACTTTAACTCTGTGAGATATATAAAATATACATCAATTATACTTAATAATCAATCTGTTTTTATAGTTGCAAAGAATGCTCCTTTTTTTGGCAGATACTGCACTATTGTTTTCGTTGCAGTATGGCAGCCTCCCTGCAAATGTCTGGTCTCTTGCTTTTTAGCAAGGACAGGCGCATGGTTGTGGTGTTGATGTTGAATCTCAAGTGGTTGAGAATCTGGGTTGGAATCAAGTAGGACTTGGCAGGTTTGTACAGGAACCCTAATAGACATAGTTTTGATAGAACAGCTTCTGTTTGCAGCCGCGCCTTCTCAGGTGAGGAAGTAATGATAATCAAGTTGTTAAGGTATGCTGGTATGCAAACTCCTCAGCGACAACCCCAGCAAAGAAGTGGTCATAGAACTTTGGTGAATATTAGGAAAGAGAGGGACAGACCAAAGGGTAGAACCCGAAATTGATATGTCTTACCTTCCCGATGGAACTGGAGGTACTGGTGTGATGAGGTCTTGATGAGAACATGAAGGAAGGCATTCTGCAGATCAATGATCGTGAGGTAGTCGTTGCGTTGTATCATCTCACAGACGTGATAGATCAATTTTATTTTGAAGTGTCAGTATGGGATGAAGCGGTTCAGGGATCAAAAATTTAGGATTGGGCAAAGGTCGCCTATTTTCTTGGGGATATTGAAGATCCTCTAATGAAAACTTGTGGTACTTGTTTCTTTCATAACTCACTTTATAAAAAGGGAGTAAATCTTGGCTTCAATATTCTGATGTACCAGTGTCTGTGTTGTTGTTGTCAGTGGTGCTTTGGAGGATGTCAGTGGGGTGGCTGTTCGAAGGGTATGCAATACTCATTCTAGATGATCTGGCGTACCCATGATTCGTCTGTCAACTTGGACCATGCCTTCTGGAAGAGGGATAGCCGTCTGCCTACTGAGCTCTCTTCAGTTTGTATTTACATTGGTGCTGAGAAAAATCTAATGAGTGTTGGAGTTAAGGGCAAGATTGATGGGATGGAGTTTGAGCAGATTTAAAAGGCCCAGGGTGGGACTGGTGGTCCATTGATTGTATATTAGGTCCTGGTTTGTAGTCAAGACGTTCTTTTCTCTTTCTTAATTGGGAAGGTTTACCATGTTGGGTCGCAGTGAGCAGAGACTGAGTGAGAGCAGTTTGCTTGAGAATGGCCTCAGTGTACAACAACAGCTTGGGAGAAATAGAAATAGATGATATAGCAGTGGGTATGAGACCAGAGTTATGACAGATATGGTCAACTTGTAACAGTGTGATATGCAAGGCAACATCAGCAAGAAGTAAGTGCATGATTCGTGCAAAAGTTAGAACTGAATTAGAAAGTATTGCTTTATTCTGGACTATTCTATGGAGGAAGAAGTCAATAGGTCAAGTCATACTGAAAATCACTGGACTGTGTATTTTATTTGCAAGTAAGTGTGCTCACATTGGATAGGTTAAGCACAGGAGCAAAATACTGGTATCTGACACTATGAGGATAGTTTTGAAGGAATATATATTGATTGTTTTTGCTAACAGAACTGCAAAAAAAGTTGTGGAGCATGATAGGAAACGCTTTTTCTAATTTGGGATACAGGGTGAAGTCAGTGAGAAAAGAACAATTAGTAATATGAGAATTCATAGATACATCATTCTTGGAATTGGCACGAACCAATTCAAGATCATTGATGTGTTAAAGAGCAATAACACAATCTTTAGACGTTTAAAACAAGTAAACTTCTGAACGGTCAAGCACCAGAATGAGAAAGAAAAGATAATAGAGGTTGGCATTGACTATCTAGTAACTATATATATTAGAGATCTTGGTGAAGCATTGTAAAACATTTGGAGGTACTTAAATTATTTATATAAGGAAATCTGGGCATGAAAAATGCAAATGTTTGATAAACTTTCTCAAAAGTTTGTCAAATTTGAAAGAAATTTGAAAAACATTATAAAACATAATAGACTAATCAGGTTGTATTATTTTTTTATTGCTAAACTCACGAAAGGGTTAAGTGTAAAAATATTAATAGTTGTAATTTTAATATATGTATATAAGAATATAAGCATCCCTTTAGTATACTTTTCTCTACTTAATTTTTTTTATTATTTTTTTAATAAAGTTAGTATTAATAGTTTTGCCTCAACATAATACCAAAAAAATGACTATTATTTAATAAAAGCCAAAAAATCTCTCCTTAGCTTTGTTGTATTTGGGATACTTTAATATCCGATATCATATACGAACCCAGACAGAAGTACCTGTCAAAGAGATCATTATAAATGATTATCCAATATGAAGTCCTATCTGAAACATAAGAGCAATGTGTCAGATCCATCATTGGATCATTTTCAAGAAGTACTTAAACTATTATCGCAAAGCCATTACGATGACTCATATCCAAGGTGACTGGATATATCTCAATAAATATAAATATCATAGATAAAATAACTTTTATTAAAAAAATTCGATTTGACTTGAACTTTTAATAAACACAATAAAAAAGAGTCTCAAAGTACTTATCGTTCCACCTTTCCACATACAAATATAACAAGCTTGATTATATAAAGCAGTGTTTGTGAGTTTAATACTATTTCTTTTCTGACAGGCAATGATTATCAAATGTATACTATGTTTGAGATATGATATTCTGACAAAAAATGTTTGATAGAAATTCATAGTTAATAATTTGGCACCTAAATGTCTCTTATCATCTCACCAAGGTCTCTATTATCTAAAAAAAATTAAACTTTTGACTAATAAAGAGAAAAGATAGTAACATAGTCAGAGTCTCTAACTTGGAAAGTGCATTAAAAGAAATAAAACTAAAGATAAAGCAAAGTAGCAAAAGAGCTGGCAAGGTCATCAAGAAATTCTTTAGTCTGAAATATAGCAGTCAAGCAGAAAGAGATAGATAGAATAGTAGAAGACACAAAAGATATATTGTCAAATATTATGAATAAATGATGTTATCAAATAGCCAAAAAAGCTTAGCTAAAAAAAAGTGATAGCATGAATATCAGAGGGCTATATATGAGGTAAAGACAGGCTATAAAATGATTTGTGCAGTATAGGAAGAGTAGGAGATGTGGTAATCAAAACACTCAGCTGTTGCATTTATATCATATAAAAACATATTCATATTGAGATAGCTTAGTAGTTATCATCTTGCCAGCATATAAAATATATATAAATAATCAAGTAATTGAATCAATAATTATTATAGTTAGAGCATCTCCAGCAGTATCTAAACCCAAATACTAAATATCCAAGTTAAGAAACTGGTGTTTAGATTTTCCAAAAAAAAACGTCTCCAGCAGTTTCTAAACAAAAATCTAAATACTCAAATCCGGAATTTAGATCTAAACTTTTTGAATCAAAATCTAAACTTCTGTAGGTTTTCTCAGAATTTGTTTAGATTCTATCATTTATTAAATTTCTATTTTTTATATTGTGACTTTGAATTTTCAATTTTAAATCTCAGAATTTAGGAAAAATCTCACTAAAATCATCAGCTCTTTAGAATCTGTGTTAAGAAACTGCTGGAGTGACCTTGATATTCTTCATACTAAATTGCTTTATTTGTACTAGTGCGAGAAATCCTAATTTGGATATTTAGTATTTGGGTTTAGATACTGCTGAAGATGCTCTTAGTACTGTAGATAATATCTTAAAGATATTAGGGGTCTTGGTGAGATGACAGAGGTTTGTGCAATTTTTTTAACAAAATTAAAAAGGAAATTGCCTACCTAAAAAGAAATAGTTTGTGTTGTGAATGAGTATTGATTACTGCTGAATCTGAGAGTAAGACTGAAGGATAAAATAATATCCTCAGCTATTCCAATCAAACGGATCTCCCTTTATGATATTATCTAATACACAGATCATCATACACATAATTGATTATTTATTATTATCACCATGACATGGGATATACAAATACATATACATTATATATATGGCATCATTATATTTCATCTACATATTTCTTTTATTATACAAATACTTAATTGAGAGACTACAACTACAACTATCTAATATTATGAAACATTACCCGAGTATCTGGGTCGGAATACTAAAATATTACCAATAGCATAAATGCTCTTCTTTACCAAAACTCTTGGACTGATCTGACTGGAGAAGTATCATATCAAATGGTCTTTCCGGATCTTTCCAGAAGAACAATACTCCTGGAAGATGACTCATCGTGATAAAGATTACTTAAGCACACACTGAATTACAAATTAGAAAAACATATAAATATCAGTAGATAGTTCCGTGTAGAAAGACAATCGAATTTTATCATTCTTTACTTTTCTTTTGAAATAAACAACCTACACAAGTTCTCACGAATTCTTTCGTCTATATTATATTTTGCTTTATTTTCTCCCCACAACAGTTTGTTTCATATTTCCAAAAAAGATTTTGTCAAAAGGCACCTTTTCCAAAACTTTTATAAGCCCAATTTGGACTTTGCAAAGTATCTTCAGCCAATCATTGAAGATTATTTTTAACTGCTAAGCTAACAATATATTCAAAGGAAGATGCAGAAGTAAAATATGTTAAAAAATATACTTTTAACAATGTAAATATTATATTAACATGACTTCTTTTATGTCATTCACTATGGGAAAAAAAGAGGTGCTTTTGGGGGTTCACTGGGGGTCTGCTCAGGAGGTTGTCCAGGTGGGTGTTTTTTGCCTACCTACTTTTTCACCTCCTGCCTGTTATGGATTAGTTTATAACTCCGCTCTTTAACAAATAACCGCCAGAGAAATTTCTTGTGTAGGAATATAGATATACCTTACATGCCCATATATAGACACAATTATCTGCAATAAATTCTGGTCGAAATAAATCACGGATTTAAAAATGCATTTTCAAAAAAAAATGGTTCAAAAAAATTGTATTTCAAATAAATTGGTTTTTATTTTTTGTTTCAAAGTAGAAAAAAATGCTAAGCTATAGCTACACCATATAATTTATGAGCAGAAATATATAATAAATTAAATCTAGTTATTCTAAGCTAAAGATAGGGTTATGGAGTCTATATCCCTTATAATTCTTGAAGACAAAAGCACTTAAGAGCACCCGTAATAGTGAAGTACAAGAGCAATCTAGTAAAATATAAATATGAATGAGTATTTCCAGTTTAAAAATATAAGTCAAATGAAAGCTCACCTTTGAGTTTGCTGAGATGAATTTCATAAAAGTTAGAATCTCTATAAGTAAAAATGAATAAAAGATTGTTAGTATTCAATTACTTTGTAAACTAGATGTGCAGGTATTACCTCAACTCATTTTGATCAGATAATGAAAAGACTAATTGTCAGCTAATGAGACCCAAGATAAATAACTGCGTTACAAAGTACAATATTGCTTTTTTATTATACATACCTCAAAAACAAGAATATATAGACATGTTTCCTAAAAAGATAATATACTATATGTAAAAACACATAATGAACAAACTTTTGTTGGTAAAGTAGAGTAAGAAACAATGCAAAGGATGTGACCCTACACTTATTCAAAATCGATTTAAAAAATCCTCATTGGTCTACTGGCTTTTAATATCAATATTGCAACTCGTAGAAATGTTTTTAAAAAAAACGCTGTCATTCTCTCTCAGTTTGCCTTATTTTTATAAGTTAAAGAGATATGTTCTAATAGCAAATAATTGAAATTACAGCTGTAACTTATTAAAAAAAAATGTGAATACATTTATATCTTCATTGGGTTGAGTTGTGTCTTAGAAGGTTGCCTTTGCTAGGCATTCTTTACTAATATTATGTAAGAAACAAAAAAAATTGTATATTTTTTCTTATTTGAAATTTTGTCAAAGTCGTTTTATATGCTGAAAATCGTTGTCTTTACCAAATTTTAACAGAATTATTTTTTCATTACACAATACACTCTCCGCATTTCCTTATTCAATGTTTTGTCTTACTTGAACAGCTTTTTATTGTGATCAAAAAAGTTTGAAGTAGGACCAAACCTTCTTTCCTCCTTTATTTGGAAGAAAAAATATTAAACTCACAAAATTATAGAAAGAAAAATTTTCTAGGCCAATAATATTGTTTGGGTACCATACCCTACCATATTTGGCTTCCAATTTTTGTGGTGGTGGAATTTTTTGTTTCATTTTGATTTTTTTGGTGATTCTTTAATTATTATAGACCAAAAATGAAGTCATAATTACAAAAAACGCCCCTTTTTTTCTGTAGTGGAAGAGCTCTGGCCAACGAGTGTGAATTTGTTGACTTTACCCTTTTAGCTCTCAGCTGGTGTTCTAAGTATGCCCAAATGT